TGGCACGACCCGTCGGCAGCAAGGTGGTCGGCAATCCTGCGTATCACATCTGCTGGAACGGCAGCAGCGGGCATGGCACGCAGCGGTGGGCCATGTGAGCTGTGTGTGAGAGAGAGAGTGCAGGAAGCGGTGTGTGAGAGGAACAACAGAAAGGGGAACACTGGCGATGATGATGATAAAGCCCATTACCCACCTTTATCCTGTTCTCCCCTCTGACGGTCGAGATGGGCCCCCGAATAAGTTAGCCGCAGACGTGACGTAGTGGTACAAAGGGCCTGGGAGAGAGGCGGCGGCGAGGACGGTGGCATGATGCGACCAAGGACCCGGGGCCTTGGACACCTGTGCTCTGAGGGAAAGCATACGCGCACACCCAGCAGCCAGCAGCCAGCAGCCAGTGCCCACCCGTGCGTGCACCCCGGCACGAGGGGGCCGTCGTGCGTCTCGGAAGAAACGAGAAACAGTAAAGGACATACGAAAGCAGCAAGAGCGTTACATACAGCCAGCCAGCTGCCAGCCAGGTGGCGTTTTGGGTCGAGTTTTCCCAGATTTCTTCTTGCTCGTCGTGCGTTGCAGGCCCTGGTCTCTAACACGAGCGTGACAGGTTCGACCGCGCGTACTCTCTCCTGGCCTCCTGGGTCGTCTGTGCGTGCGATATATGTATGTACTACTGACGGTACAGTCTCCCCTGCATCGCGTCCTGTCTGCACACCTCATCTCACTCCTTTCTCTCTCTCGCGCTCTTTATCCAGCGCCAAACTGCCATTTTCAGGCCACCAACAACAGGACAACCTACGCGCGCGCGGCTGCAGGATCAGTCTCGAGCGAGCTACCTCATCTCACGTCCCCCCAACCTCCCCAACAAAAACTAGACATCTTGCAATGCAGACTCGTGACTGACCCCTCCTACACCACCACCCACTATGGATCCCGAGGTAGCCGCAGCGTCTTCGTCGTCGCCGCTGTCGCCGTCGACGCTGTCGCCACCCCCAGCGTCGTCGACAGGGACCACGCCGCCACCAGCGTCTCCCCTTGACGCTGGCGCCTTTCCACACTTGCTTGACGTTATCATTGAGAATGCTCCACTGGCCACGCTGATGGCCTTTCGCTTGACGTCGTCGACCATTCGGGACCGCGTCGACAAGGTTCTCTTCCACCACCTCTCCCTGTGGCCTGTCAAGCGGTGGGACCTGCCTGGCCTGCCCGTCGAGTTCCATTCGTTTCTCGCTGCCACGGGTGGCAGCAGCAGCAGCAGCAGCAAACGGGTGCCTCTGACACTCAACCCCCACTGGGGACGGCGGGTGCGGGTGGTAACGTTCCCAGTCGCCATGGTCCGCAACTATCTCGGCTACGACCCGCGGCCACTTGCCAGGCTGTTGCCCAACATTCGCGTGGTGCGTCTCATCAACCCCAACCACCAGCCCGTGCTGCCTCTCGCCGCACCCGTCCTCGTCGTCTTCTTGGCGTTTATCCCCCTCTTCGAGACCGGTACTCCCGTCGACTCGCCACGCGCAATGCTTACCGCCACTGCCCCGCGTATTCCGCCGTATGTCGAGCGCCTAGTCCTCACGGTACGTACGCAACTCGACGACGACGACTGGAGTTCCGGCGGCATCGTCTCCATGATTCATCCGCAAGACGCGCTCCGTGGCGAGCTCACAGCCGTTGTCGTCATCTTTGACGTCGCGAGCAAGCTGTATCCGACCAGGCCCGACGGCGGCGGCCCACTGCAACTGCCCCTGCGGCCGACCGTGTACTCGCACGACATTCTCGAGACCGTGTCCGACCTCGTCGAGACCATGGTGTACACCCTCCACCGCGTGCGGTATACCCTGGTGGACGTGCATCGAATGACCCTCCGCCCCCGCCGCCATGTCGAGACGGCCATTGCCAGGCAGCTCCAGTCCGAGCTGAGCCGTGGCCGCCCAGAACTCGACGACATGGACTGCAGGCTCGCGCTTCAGAACGTCGAGTTTCTGTCGTCCAGCGAGTACCGCACCCGTGTGGGCGACGCCCAGTTTGTCATCGAGACGGACGAGTAATAAGGGCCATGCAGCCATGCCATGCATGCAAAAGGGCGGGCCGGGGTTGCCATTGGGATCTTGGCTTTCGGCAGTGGCGGCGGTCACGCTTTCCCAAGGATCAAGGTTGGATCCGAGAGCTCCGGTAGCGGGGTGTGTGTTCCCCATCAAGGCCAGGATCGATTCCATGGCCAAGCACTGTACCGTACACCTTACGTTCTCCTCGATCTCCTCCCTGCCCGCCAACAACGTCACCCACACGCATTCGGCGGCGTCCGCAGTATGGACGCACAGAGCTTTTTCGCCTCTCATACTCTTACAGTTCGGCGCCATCAGGAGCCACAGGAGTTCACAGGAGCCACGATCGCAAGGTCACGGTCACGGTGGCACAAAATCGAGTCCGGGGGGCCGGGGGGCCACCGCGCCGTCGACGCCGCGTATATGCCGCGGACGGACGGCGGCGCTGGCATGCGGCGGCCGTGCCTCGGCGGCGAGGGCTCTGAAGGGAGCGATCTGGACCTGCTCTGGCGCTCTGGCGCTCTGGTCGAGCGAGCGACGATGGTCTGCGGTACAGTAACTGGTGGGAGGTGAAGTGACGCAAAGTAGAGACCGAGTAAGTTGTTGGGCCTGGTCGTCCAACCTCCCTCGCATTGTAAACACCCACCTTTGTCAACCCTTTGCTATAGGATGAGGTCCTCCAAACGCCAGCGAGGGTTTGTATATGCAATACTGAACACACTCCATGTGCAAGACGGTGCACTGCTGTAGAGTCTTTGGGCCAGAACAAGCACCCCGCCTGGCCGCCTGGCTTGTCTGCGTGTGTATGCTTTTTGCTTTAGACCGTCTTTTCGACCCGCGTTCTCCATCTTACCAACGTGAGCGCCAGTGTTTGCAAGAGGCCTGACAAAGTTGGAGCAAGCGGCGTGCGGGAGGTCTGAGAGGTCCATATAACACGACCTTACTGGCTAGACGGGTGCTTGTGCATGCCAGAGTTGGTGGGCCTGTGGTTGGCTGCAACGGTCTCAAGGCTGGCGGGACGACCGTGCCCACCATCCACGCGCGCCTATACCCCGCTCACCCACTGTCCCTGTGCGCACCGGCCGGAGCAACACCAAACTCTCCTTTGCATATGGAGGTCAGTTGCGGCGGCGGCGTCGACCAATGGCCTTTTGCTGTTGCTGCGGCTGGTGTTTACGACGACGGGGTGGAGATGATGGGTGCATGGTGACGACCGGAAACAGCCCCCGGGAACAACCCACACTGTTTGATCCGTGGGCCGACGAAACCTCCCGTTGTTGTTTCTGCACATTCCTTCACACACACAACACAACAACTACACTCTCGACCCAACCCCGCATCTCTTCGATCTCTTCTCTTTCGTCCACGCCATCCAGCGTGCCTCTTCCATTGCGCAGCATCGCCAGTCCGCGCTTCTAACCCTCGGCAAGCTCGCCACCCGCTTCTCGCTAAACCCCGCCCAGCGCGCCCGCGGGGTATTCCAACATCCGTGAGAGAGGTGGGGCACCCCGTTCGACGGAGCTCCAACAATCTTATCCCTCCTCGCTCTCTGGTCCGTACATTTTGCCTTTGTTTGTTCAAAAAAAGCCCACACACGATGCCGACGTCTCCACCGCTGGCACCAAAGCGCTCCTCCATCGACGCCGCAGGGCCGAGCTCGGGACCCGCCGCAGCAGGCGGTGACGGTAACGGCGACGGCTCTGCTTCGGGATCGTCGGCCAAGCGCACGCGTTCACGCAACGGCTGCCTTGTGTGCCGTGCGCGCAGGATCAAGTGTGACCTCGGTGAGTAGCGGGAGGAAGAAGAGGAGGTGCCAGAGCTCCAACTGACATCCCCCCGAAAAGAACGTCCAGAGTGCCGTCGCTGTGTCAACTATGGCGCCGAATGTGTTTACCCAGTGAAAAAGGCCTTTGACGCCGTCGCCGTCGACGCTGCGCTGGGTAGTCGCCATAACCGCCCGTCCAACGTCGCAGCCACCGCTATTGCCGTGCACGGCGGCGACGGAGGTTCAGACGCCCACCTCGACAACAGCGCTCACTCGCCGCCAGCACACTCTCTCGCGTCGTCGCTGCCTCCGTTGCCTCCCCTGCCGCCCCTCCGCCCACGCGGCGACGAGCGCCGTTTGATCGACTCTGTGCCCCCCTTGGAACTTGTGCACGCACTCTTCCGCAAGACCAAGATGGGATCGTTCTTCAGCAACCCTACAGACCCTCCAGAATTCCTCTCGCTTGCGTTTCCCGAGCCGGATGACCTGCGCTGTGTACGTCGTCGCGACGCCGCCTAAAGGCCGAAGATGACATCCACGCTGACGCCCCGGAAACAGTTCCACCACGCGCTCACGTATAGTCTGTCCATCATGGTCATTGACGAGGATCGCAACCCATGGGTGGAACACATTGCACCCATGTTCCTGTTCCCCACGGGCGACGCCCCGCTCTCGACCCAAGCGCTCAAGTACTCCATGCTCGCGATTGGTGCGACACACCTGGCATACCTCGAGGCAACAAGCCGCGTTCCGAATGCCGAGCACACGCTCCAGCTGTCAAAGAACTACCGTCACACTACCATCGGGCTCCTGCGCCAGGCGCGGCGTATGCCCAGCGAGCGCGAGCACGATGCCTTTTTGGCCGCCTCGCTCATGCTCGTCGACCACGATATCCTCGCTGCGTCAGTCTCCTGGCGTGAACCGCTCCGCTACGCAAAGACCGCGCTCGCATACCGAGGAGGCGCGGGCAGTGTCCTCTTTGGACCCGACTGGCGTACAGCACTGTCCGGACGCGGAATGGACATTACACCGCCTCCCTCCGTTCGACGCTACCTCGTCGAGCACGGTGTCATGCACGACATTCTTTCGTGTTTCACCACCGGCGATCCACCGACAATCCTCAACAATGACTCGCCCTGGTGGGAGGCGCTCGGTACCACGGGCATCACGGACCGCGAGGTGAGTACTACTGCTAGACGTGGTTACATGCTGACCGCGGCTCAGTGGGAATCCATCGAATCCCTTGTGGGATTTGACCGCTCCATTCTGCGCATCTTCTCGAGCGTTCTGGCGCTGTACGCCGAGTGGCGCCGGTTCGAGGACCGCTACCGCCCTGTCAACGAGCTCGACCCGAGCGTCTCTCCGCACAGCTCGGCCGCCATGGATCGTCTCGAGCTGAGCCGCCGACTGACTGACATGCAAATGGAGCTCGCGACGTGGCGCGCCGAAGCGTCGACCCGGTACATGGCTGCGCGTACCATGGTGGGCAGCATGACGCTCTGGCACGCGGCCCAGATCCTCATTCTGCGCGACATGCAGAAACGCTCGCGGGAGGACGCCGAGATCCAGTCGTCTGCGGCGGCCATCCTCGAGCTGTGTATCGAAGTGGGCGACAAGGTCGAGTTTTTAAACTGGTCGCTCGTCGTTGCCTGCTGCGTCATCCTGGACCCGGAGAAGCGCAACGTGGCCCGCGGCATCATCAAGACGTTTGCCTACCAGTGCTGCCACGAGATTGAGTCGACCCGCATGCTCATCGAGGAGATGTGGCGGCGCATGGACGAAGGATACGACGACGAGGCGTGTAACTGGCGCGAGATTGCGATTGAGATTGGTCGCTCCGTGCTCATCGGTTAGGCGTTGTCGCTGCTGTATATACAGAGTCTATCTAGTGGTGTGTGCTTCGAATTGAGGCTGTTTGGTGGGCAGAGAGATCACAGGTCCACGGGGTGACTGTGCAGATAACGGGGCGGGGTATTCTGCCTAAGTGGCTGCCGCCCCTTGTACATTGGCCACATGATAATCGATATGGAGAGTATGAACATGTCCGCCAGTACATGCTCGATGCTCGATGTGGTGGCCCCCTTGCAATTCGCTGGCCAGTGCCATGTGCACGCACCCACCATTGCCGTTTGGCGCTGTTTGGCTGATGGTCAGTTGTGGATAAAATCACCCCCGGTTGAGGCTAAAAAATTGCCGCAGGGGATAATCTTATTATCACTCTTGAGTCGCCGATAATGGGTTATTTTGCCTGTCGGTGTCTCGCTACCAGCCGCCAAAAACCACCCATCCATACAAATGACAAAGCCGTCACCTGATTGCAGCACGGCCACGCAGACCCATGCAGCAGCAGCAGCAGCAGCAGCGGCAGATCCAGAAGCGTCGGGTCATCCATATGCTATCGCTTGAGGGCTTGCCCATTTTAGCCTATCGAATCCCACCCACAGAGCCTGGCTCTGCGCTGATTTCCTTACCTCGTGTTACTCGGCGGGGTCCTGAGAGACACCATGGAGAGAGAGAGGGTGGGCGAACCAATCCAACCAACCGGCAACTTGCTGTGGGGTTTGGCTCGACGGTCTGACGCATGCCTCCTCGCCAACAACTATAAGAGAACCCGCGTCAACGCCGTCTCTTCCTCCTCACAACCCCCCTCACACAGACACACACACCTCCCTCTCCACCCCACTCCCCCCCCCCCCCCCCCCCCCCCCCCCCCCCCCCCCCCCCCCCACCCCCTTCACACAATGGTCACCGATCTCGCTGCTGCCACAGCAGACCTCACTCTCGGCCCCGCAAAGGCTGGCTACCACCCTCTCGACCCCGTCTCGGCCTGTGAGATCTCTGCGTCCACTGCCGCGATCCGCTCCCACCTGCTCAAGCTCGCACCAAACGCCCGTCTCTGGTTCAAGAGCATCCAGCTCGTCGAGCCCCCCAAGAAGCTCCTCGCACCATGGCTCGACCAGTGGAACGCCGCGGGCGGCAAGTCGGCCGGCCTCGAGCGCCTGCCCCGCAACGCAGAGTGCATGGTCGGCACAAAGGAGAAGGAGGGCGTCAAGTGGTATGGTGAGTTGCACTGAAAGGGACCTGTTGCAGAGAGCGTTGGAGCTGACGATACACCCAGAGGTGATTGTGTCACTGGACGGCACTGCCTCTGTCGCAAGCTGCATCCGCGCACCTGACAACCTTCACGTCTCGCCCGACATGGCCGAGATGGTCGCTGCCGAGGAGGCCCTCCTTGCACACCCCGAGTTCCAGGCCGCTATTGCCAAGCTCCAGCTGCCGCCCAACGCCAAGGTTGTCGCCGACGGATGGATCTATGGTGAGCTTGAAGAGCTGGAGCAAACGTCCTTGACTGCCGCTGACACGGTTCTCAGGCGCCGACAGCGTTGAGCGCAACCGCCGTTGCACACCCTTCATGGTCTACCTCAACTTTTCCGACAACCCGGACTCGTGCCACTACTCTGCCCCGCTCCCCCTCGTCCCCGTCGTCGACTCTGACGACTTTTCGCTTGTCCGCATCGACTACACTCCCATCTTTGGCACTGGCAACAAGACTGTGCTCGACCTTGACGGCCCCTTCCCCTGGGAGCAGTACGTTGCCAACGACTACGACCCCGCGATCCTTGCCTCGCAGGGTATGCAGTTCCGCGACGACATCAAGCCGTACCGCGTTGTCCAGCCCGAGGGTGCTAGCGTGAGTTGACCAGAATGGTCTGCCTTTTCCCGGCTGGCTCGTGCTCGTGCTCACACACCACTCAGTTCTCCGTCGAGGGTCGCGTGCTTCGCTGGCAGAAGTGGTCGTTCCACATTGGCTTCAACTACCGCGAGGGCCCCGTCCTCTCTGACGTGCGCTACGATGGCCGCAAGGTCTTTTACCGCCTGTCCGTCTCGGACATGACGGTCCCTTACGGCGACCCCCGCGCTCCTTACCACCGCAAGATGGCGTTCGACCTCGGTGACATTGGTGCCGGTGTCTGCGCCAACGAGCTCGAGCTGGGCTGCGACTGCCTGGGCGAGATCATGTACCTCGACTTTGACCACCTCAACGTCCAGGGCGAAAACTCCAAGCTCAAGAGCGTCGTCTGCGTCCACGAGGAGGACGACGGTATCGGATGGAAGCACACCAACTACCGCACCAACCGCCCCGCTGTGGTCCGCTCGCGCATCCTCGTTATCCAGACCATCATCACGGTCGCAAACTACGAGTACATTTTCGCATGGAAGTTTGACCAGTCGGCCGGTGTCCACCTCGAGACCCGCGCCACCGGTATCCTCTCCACTGCCGCGATCATGCCCGGCGAGACGTCGCCCTACGGCAACGTTGTCTCGCCCGGCGTGCTCGGCACCAACCACCAGCACATCTTCTGTGTGCGCATCGACCCCTCGATTGACGGCCACGACAACACCATTGTCCAGGAGGACTCGGTGCCCATGCCCTGGTCCAAGACGGACAGCGACGGCGACAACCAGTACGGTGTCGGCTACGTGGTTGAGAAGACGCCCATCACCAAGGCCGGCTCGGCCGACGCCGCGCCCCACCTGAACCGCTGCTTCAAGATTACAAACCCCAACAAGATCAACTCGATCTCGGGCCGTCCCATGGGATACAAGCTGGTCCCCGCGCCCTCGCAGCTCATCATCTCGCACCCCGAGTCGGTCGGCTACGCACGCGCCGAGTTTGGCGAGCACCACATCCACGTCACGTCGTACAAGGACGGCGAGCTGTTCGCTGGAGGCCGCTACACCAACCAGTCGTTTGGTAACGCCGAGGGCATGCGCTCGTGGATCGCCCGCGAGGACAACACGGACAACACGGACGTTGTCCTCTGGCACTCGTTTGGCCTGACACACAACCGTGAGTTTCCCGGCCATTCCCCCCTTTGGCTCTTTGCGCTCTTGCTGACACCAACTCGCAGCCCGTGTCGAAGACTTCCCCGTCATGCCCTGCGAGACGCACATGATCTCGCTCAAGCCCGCCGACTTCTTCGACCGCTGCCCGTCCCTCGACGTCCCGGCCTCCACCCAAAAGTTCAACCAGTCCAAGCTGTTCAACGGCGGTGCCACCGGCAACTCGCAGACCGAGTCGTGCTGCTCGCGCTAAAAGATACAAATAACGACCAGGGGAAAGAGGAACCGTTGAACAGGAGAGTTGTACAGTAGTATAGCACTGAAATGGAAATCATCGTCTAGCGGAAACACTGCCTCCATCGGGCCACACAAGTTGGTTGACGCACATGCCCAGCTTTTCCCATGTGCCAGCACCGCTGCATCACTTGGGTTGGCTCGGGCAGGTGCACAACACCTGTGGCAGTTGTGTCTCTTCCCTCTCCCTTTCATTGACGGTGTCTGCTCCCAACTGTGTATCTCCTGCTGAACCCCTTCCTTCCCTCCCCTCACTCCATTAGAAACTTGCCATTCTGTTCCTCAGTGTCTATCTCCGGGACTCCTGGGCGTCTACGTAAGTGCTATGTTCCGCGTAATACCAGTAGCGTGTCTGTGATGTCGTGCCCACTGTAGTTGGATAGACTGGTCGCTTGTTAGGTGGTAGCCAGACAGCACAAGATGGATCACGCATGCAATCTACACTGTACATCATTTTTCACTCCCTGCTCTTCCTCTCCATACGCAGCTGGAACGCCCTGTCCTCGGCATCTGGATAGTGCACCGCGCGCCTCCTGGCCATTTGCTCGCCCACATCGGCATACAGCGACTCCTGTGGACGCGGCGTCAGCTCTCCATGTTCATTCATGCCTCACCCAACCCACCTTGATCGCTCCCCACGCTCCCAGCGCGACTTTGGGCGCGACCTCTTCGCCGAGCTCGGCCGCGCGGTCCAGGATCTGGTCGGCGTCGACTACCTCGTGCGCGATGCCCGAGGAGACGAGGTCCGCCTGCGTCCAGCGTTTACCGAGCACGGCCTCCTGCAGGACGTTGGGGGTCATCTTGGCGCGCATGATGGCGGCGGGGGGACCGGGGATGGGGATGCCGATGAGAAGCTTGAGCCAGGTGTCAGCAAGGGGGAAAGGGATAGAGTGGCTCGCTCTCTGGGTGTGCGTGGGGGGCTCACCTCGTTGAGAGACCAGAAGGAGCGGGCCGTGCTGGCGAGACGGTAGTCGCAGCACAGGGCCGTGATCATGCCTCCCGCGAAAGCTGGTGTGTCAGCCACAGTCATGACTCTGTCAACACAACCGATAACCTACCGTGGCCGTTAACCGCGGCGACGGTGACGAGGGGGAAGGTGAGGAGACGGTAGTTGACGCGGTCAAAGACATCTGGCAAAGTGTCAGCTGGTTTGAGGATTGTGTAGCTGAACAGGCCGGCCTCACTGTTGACAAAGTCTGCGTTCTTGAGCAGCTCCGGGTCGCTGAGGCCATTGCTGAAGAACTTGGGGATATCCGACGTGACGACGAGCGCGCCGCCCACCTTCTCCTCGGCAGCCTTGCCGCGGTTCTCATCGCGCCATTGGCCCTCGACCTCGTCGAGGCGGTCTGCGAGCTCGTCAAACACGCGTGGGGACAGGCGGTTGTCTGGCGGCGAGGCGAGGGCGACTTGCCAGACCTGGCCACGCGGGCGGGTGAGGTTCCATGCGTTACGGACGAGGAATGTGGGGCGCATTGTTCGCGGTAGTGCTGATGAAGCAGGATGCAGTGAACCGGGCAGTGAAGAAGGAGGACGGAGCGTACGAGGTCGAGATGTTGCAACGGTTCGACGACGGTTATATATGCGTGTTGTCGCCCGTCTGTTCTCGGCTACTTGGGCACCGGCTGCTTGGGGTCCCCGCACTCGGTGCATGTTCCGGTCCCTCCCCCAAGATCCACCGGCATCGATCCCCCCGCCATCCGCGGCCGAGAAGACCATGATTAGTCACGGCCCGACACTTTCGACCTCGTTGACTCGACATGCATAATGTTGCTCTCATTGCACGCAAGTCCCCGTGTTAGAGGTGGGGTGGGTGATTGCCGATGTGGACGGCCGTCGTGGGTCAATTGTGCAGTCTCTGTGGACCTCTCATCGAGCCCTGCGCGTAACCGCGTAACTGCTCCTTCTTTGGCAACGTTGGGATCGACTCAACGGTGTTGCTGTACGCGATTCCCTCCAGCTCTCAGTGTATGCATCTGTGGGTGCAGGTTTCCTTGGGTGCATGGGCACAACTGAGTGGTGGCATGGTGCTGCCACTTTGGTCCACTCCCAACAATCTGCGAGTGGTGCACCGTGTTTGCCACTGGCTGTTGCCGGCAAACGCTGAGGCTCTGCTTTGCTACTACCGGCACCATGTGAAGGAGCTGGTTTCAACTGACCTTGTCTGCCTGCATCGTGTGTGTGTGTGGTTGCTTCTACTGTCTGGTGCCTACTTGGCAGTGTTGTAGAGTCGAGTCGAGCGTCGGGTCACACCACTTTGGTTGTGGTGGTGGTGGTGTTCATCCTTTGGACAACTGTAAAAAACCGTTAGCTTGTCATTCTCTGCATCGCCAGAGCATGTCCTTTGATTGAGGCGGTCGTCCCACCGCCGCAGCTGTCGCGGTTGCATACCATACGCGTACGCATGTGTTGGAACCGAGAGCAGAGGCCGCCAAGCCCGCCTTACACACCGACTGTCTCTGGAATCTCTGGCCCCGCTTCGTCAGCGCAGGCTTCCTCCCAGCTGGATCAACTCTCGCCATAGTCATTGTGAGAATACAATGTACGAGTGACACCACCCCTTGTGGACTCTTGTGACCCACTTGGCCACTTGAGATGCATGAGAGAGAGATGCATGAGACATGTGGTCTACATGCTTTGATGGCGACCAGCGCTGTGCACCCACCCAGCCGACAACGGAGACAAAAACGTCATTGCACCCACCATCGGCTCATCCGGTGCAACGCAACATCGCGCAGCAGCGGCGGCGGCGGCGGCGCGGTCGTCATCATCCATCCATCCATCGTCGTTCGTTGTTCTATTCTGTCCATCAACCCACTCTCCCATCACAGACTACAGGCACACAGCGCATCGCCACCGTTTCTCATCTCACTACACCGCAGGCCGGTCATCCCCTCCGCTCAAGCACTAGATGCACCGTCCCCAATCCCCTTGACGCTGCCCCCATCCCCTCCTCGCCGCCCACCTCCGAGCATTCGTCACAGACCTACAACCCTCCCCCTCCCCCCCCCCCTCCCCCCCACGCCGCCGCCATGAGCCGCCGCCCGTCCATCCCAGCCTCCAATGCGAGCTACGACGGGCTGCCATACGACAAGCTCAAGGCCATCGCATTCGAGTCCGACCCAACAGTCGACCGTGGTCCGCGACAATGGTTCGACCTGGCATTGCGACACGCCGAGACAGCGCGCCAGGCCGAGCGCCGAGGCAGCAAAGCAGACATGTTTGTCGCCTACTCGCGTATCGCTACCAGCTACAACAATGCAACAGGCCATCCGGACACCAAGGCCCTCAAGGCGACCGACCGCGCTTGGGCCCAACGGCTGGCAGATTTCAAACCGGTGAGTGACAACGGTTTAACATACCGCCCAACTATTTCCAGTACTGATGTATAGACGTGGGAGATGGCTGTGCGCAAGGCTCGTTCACTCAAAGAGGAGTTTCGAGAGGCAGACGAAAAGGCCAAGGCGGCTGGCAGCACCAATGGGTATGGCTCTACCACGCACAAGGACTTGACGCTAACAGTCCCAGGTCCATGGGCCCGCCGCCTGTTCCAACCCCCGCCGCACGACTCGCTGGCCAACGAGGCTCACCACCTATTGACGCAGAAGCTGGAGGCAGCATTGCAGACCGCATGAAGGCGCTCAGCGGCCATGGGGTCAATGTTGGGCATGTCCCTAACCGTATCAGCCACGACTTTGGCAGCGGCGGTGCAGGGGTTGCACACGCCGCAGCAGCAGCACCAGCGCCGCCGGCAACGTCGATGCACGCTGGACACCATTCGATCTCCTCTATCCCTGTACCTCCTCCGCACTCGAACGGCGTGGCTCCGAGCGTGACGGGTGGGTCGGCTCAGAGCGCTCTCTCGGCGCGCTCGCACGACGACGGTGGTGGTAGCCTGGGCGGACTCGTTAGCCCGACCCTTGGCAGTCCCACAAAGTCGATACCGACGCTCCCACCAACCCACGGTGCGACGCCGCCGTCCACAGGTGCGTCACCTGTTGACGAGCTCGACAAGTTTGAGCGCGCTTTCCCCTCGTTGGACAACTTTGGCAAACAGTTTGGCGAGACCGACCTGCCAGTCATCACGGGCTCAAGCAAGCCTCGACAGGCATCGCCTTCTGGCCCGAGGCCTGCACCAGGCTCGCGCTCGAACAACAACCTCGCCGACATCTTGTCCTTTCCCTCACTTCCGTCCGTGCCTATGGATATCCCCGGCAAGTCGTCAGCCGCTGAGGCCGCCGTCGACCTCCCTCCACCACCTCCACGTCCAGCACTCGATTCTCTTGAATCTGCCCCTTCTCCCCCTTCCCCCGACCTCCTCAACGACCTCAAGCGGCCAGCAAGCACACCAATGTTTGGCGCAGCCGGGCTGTCCATCTCGCCCCCAGAGGCCTCGCCCACAGACCTGGAAGCACGTTTCGGCGCGCTTCGCGTGGGAGAGAAACACACCTCGCCCGTTGCTGCTGCCGCCGCCGGTGTGAGCCCTCCAGCACGGTCACTGCAGCCTGGTCCTTCTGGCTCTGATGCAGCTCCGCGTGCGCTGGCGACGTCGCCTCCGACGCAAAAGCCGGCAGTTGTGCCCCCTCCTCATCCATCCACAGCTTCTGGCGCCCTCACGTTCCCCATGGCCGCCCCAGCTCCACCACCGCCATACGGCATGCCGACAAAGAGCAGCCTGCCCGATTTTGCGTTCACCAACAGCATCACCCCTGAGACCCTCCGCACGTACTTTCTCAACCTGTCGGTCGACGTGCTCCTTCTTGATGTGCGCGCGGAGAAGGACCATGACGTTGGCTACGTCGGTGCAGAGTACATTGACCGCGGATGCAAGATCAACACGGTGTGGATTGACCCCACGGTCATCATGCGGCCAGGGTGAGTTGGCGTTCTGTGAAATCCAACTAACTCGTTTCCAGGATCAATACTTCGACTGCCTTGGAAGACGCAATGTCGATCCTGCCCAAGGAATACCGTCTCGCGTTTGAGAACCGCAATCGCTACAACATTGTTGTCGTGTACGACCAGTCGTCAACGAGTTTCCCCAAGAAGGGCTCCCCACCGACCCCCGTCTCTCGCTTGGTGGACCTGATCCACGAGAACGAGTATGTCAAGCCATTGCCCAGGTTCCCTGTCCTCCTTATCGGCGGATACGAGGGCTGGCTGTCGTTCATCCACAGGCGCGTGCAGCAGAACCAAGCCCACCACTACGCCGTGTCCAAGTCGCCCACGTCTCCACCCACCTCCAACAGGCCGTACAACCCAAAGACGAACGGACATGCCAATTCGACTCCATTGGGTCCCAAGCCGGTCGGTGCGGGCAACATGCCATCGGACCTGGTGACCAAGAAGCCTCCCCAACACGCTGCGACCTACACCCACGGTTCGCAACCGTCGCAGTACTCCAAGGATATCACAGAGAATGTGGGTGACCATGTTCGTCATTGTTGCTAACCGTCAGTTCAACTATGGCGCCCCACAGTCTATGAGTGGTCCGTTGTCCTACTCTGGTCACCATGTCAGCACTCCATCCTTCCCTGGCCACGCGACGTCTCCACCACCTGCGTCGCACCACGTTGCAAACCCTTCCTTGCCACGCACTTCACATGTGCCATCAGCCTCGATCTCGTCGTACTCGGCACAGGCGCCCATTGCCGCCCCACCGCGTGCGTCAATCCACCCCGGCGCTGGTACTCGCAGGCAGAGCGGATACCTGGACAACACACAGCACTACTCCGGGTTTGGTGCAACGTCCAGGCCCAGCATCGACTATCCCCAGGCTCACGCGCTTGCACTCGTGCCCCAGCCTCCCCCTGCCGCGGCCACGCACAGCCTGGAGAGGCATGACCAGCGTCCCTCAAACCAGGTCGTGCGGAGCACCGCGTCCCGTCCTGTGGAGCAGCTCACTTCGAGCAGTGGCGTGCGCTACTGGCGCAACACCAAGCTTGGTCTGACTGGTTTGAAGAACCTGGGAAAGTGGGTAAGAAGAGTTGAGCAATACTAACGCATCAGCACATGCTACATGAATTCCACGATCCAATGTCTCAGTGCGACGTTGCCGTTTGCGCGGTATTTCCTGGACGGCCGTTTCAAGCGCGATATCAACGTGTACAACAACCTTGGAACCAAGGGCGACCTGGCAATGGCCTTTGCCGAGCTGCTGGGTGCGCTGTGGGGTGAAAACTATACGTTCCTCTCACCCATCTCATTTAGGGTACGTGAAGGGACGCGTGGAGGAGGCCATTGTACCATTGTGCTGACGGACCTCGCAGAAAAGCATCATTCGGTTCAAGAACGACTTTGCAGGCACCGAGCAGCACGACTCGCAAGAGTTCCTGTCGTTTGTCATGGACGGCCTGCACGAAGACCTGAACCGCATCAAGGTGCGGCCAAAGCCCGTCGAGATGACGCCCGAGCGAGAGGCGGCGCTCGAGTCGTTGCCGCCGCAGATTGCCTCGGACAAGGAATGGGGCATCTACAAGCAGCGCAACGACAGCTTTATCGTCGACCTGTTCCAGGGTCAATACATGAACCGTATGGAGTGTCTGACGTGCCACAAGGCAAGTAGTTTGGAGGAGGCTGGGCCAGTGAGCTGCAACGTTTACTAACAAAGCGCCACAGACATCAACGGTGTACGACTCGTTCCAGTGGCTTACGCTCGACCTGCCCTCTACCAAGTCTGCCTGTGTCCTGCCCGAGTTGTTCGATCGCTGGACCTCGCCCGAGATCTTGGATGGTGACGAAAAGTGGTGCGTACAACCCCCCCCCCCCACAAGTTGGCTGGACATGGTGCGAGAGGAAGCATGCCTTCGGTGTGCCTGCCCTGAACCTTACATGTCCACCTTGTCAACGGTGCCTAGGCGAAGGCAGAAGACGCCTCCGACTGCGCACCGTTTCCCAGCTTGCGTTTCATCTCCATCATTGGCACATTCTGACGTATATCTTTCCTTCAGGTTCTGCCCTCGCTGCAGAGTCCACCGCCGAGCGTCCAAGACGCTCACGCTCGTGCGCCTGCCGCCAGTGCTCCTTATCCAGCTTAAGCGTTTCTTACCTGTCAACGGCGGTCGGTTCTGGAACAAGTCCGAGACGCCCGTCATTTTCCCTCTCAACGGGCTGGACCTCACCCGCTTCGTTCCCCCCCGTCAGCCCACGGGCGCCGAGGACATGGACGACCCGCGGACCCAGGTCGGGCCGTTCAAGTACGACCTGTACGGTGTCAGTAACCACATGGGCACACTCAGTTCTGGTCACTGTGAGTTTTCCCTAGTGTTTTCAAAGTGTGCAGGATGATGCTGAGACGTGTACAACAGACACTGCATACGTCAGGTCGTCGGACCAGTGGATGTTCTGCGAGGACAGCAGGGTCCAGCCTGCCCGCGAACAGGACGTGGTGGTGAGTACCGAGTGCGGCTTTTGGGCACCCGCACCGCGCTTTCAGAGCGAGCGGAGCCAGATGCCTCAAACCAGAAACGATGCTGACACGTCCTCCTCTTTCACACACACTTTTACGAACACATTTACGAACATTTTTTACGAACACGTAACGGCAACAGTCACGACCAGCCTATATTCTGTGAGTGTTTTGGCGATCCTCAGCGCAGCAACGTTTCTGACAGGTTACCCACAGGTTTTACAAGCGTGTGCAGGCATAGATATGATCGAACGAGGTTGTACGTACGGCGCAAGAGGTGTGCGATGCAGAAAGTTGTGTGCAATTTGGGATTATGGAAGCGGCTCAGTAATTCAGCAATGTGTTGCCGTACGGTGTCGACAGTGGCGGCTGTCGCGTGGTGGCGTCATCGTCCATGTCCTTTTCCAACGAGGCAAAAGGCTCTATGCGGCACGGTACACACATCACCCTCGCTGCACAGCGAGGATGTCATCCGTCAATATCGTATGATCCCGTTCCAGCAAACCGTGCACCTATTATGTACCTGCAGTGACGAATCGTGCCAGATTGCGGGTATCTGACGCGTTGGGCAGCACTTTTGTCCCGTGAGATGGGGGGGGCGGCAAGAGTGCGAGGTTTCCGCGTCGTGCTAATGGATTCCATCCCGATATCCCGATCGATTTCGTACGCCCAAGCCACATGTCACTTGTGCTATGCACTGATGCCTGGTGATCGGTGCATGTGACGGGGGAGTGGGTGGGGTGGGGGGTCGCACAGACTGGGCTAAGCGCCTGGCGCCAGGTGCTCACACTGGCCTCACTGGACCACTGCGTGCGCACGGAGACCCATGGGTGGTATATGTGGAGGAGTGGGCCCTCATATCCCTCATCCTGCGTTTATCAGACAGGGCTACCTGACCCATATCCCGATTACCACACATCGCACTGATCGCACTGATCACTGATTACTGATCTAATCGTCTCAGCTGTTTCCTTTTTATGTGTATCGCAGCAGCACTACTGCCCGTTTCCCTTTTGTCTTGCGCACCTGTTCTGCCAGCCACTCTGATCACTCTGACCACTCTCAAGCCCAAAGCCCGAGCACGAGCCCAAGTCTAAAGCTCCAGCCGCCCGGAGGCCCCGTCCGCCTCCTCGAGCGTCCACCATGCCAGCGGCCAGCGGCGCGATCAAAGTGGGGCGCGTGACAGGCTATACGATTGTACCGCTTCTCGCCAGGGCCTCCCAACACACGCCTAATACAAAGTCCGTGAACGCGCTAGCTGCTAGCTGTATGAGAAGACGCGCGTGTTGGCGGCTGCTTTGGCTGCGGATCTGTGCGGAGATGCAAGGGAGGTTACCGGCATGGGGTTGAACACGTTGGCGGGTGCGTTTTGGACAGACGGTGTCTCGACCTCAGCGTCTGCCGGCCACACGATCGCACGACGGGCGTGACGGCGCGACGGCGCGACGGCCAGATGCTGCCACATGGTCATTTTACGTTTTTACGTTTTGTACGTTTTTGTTCATTTGTTCGCCCCGACACGCCGGGGAACTGGCTAAACTAACTTGGCTTAGCGTCTGCGCCAGATCGCCAGGCCCCAAGGATACATGGACGGCCCAGGAAGGCGACGCAGATATGCCATGTGGTCGCTGGAGAGAGGACGTGTGTCGTGAGCGTGCGTCGGCCTCGCACTTGAGGGTTTTGACTGGCCGTACTGGATGGAGGCGGCGGTGGGACCACACCGTGCAGGCGCCAAGCTCCTGGACGAATTTGCGCACCACAGGACCCCTTCCAAAGCCTCATCATGGTCCTGTCGTCCTGGTCATCCTGGACCCGAGGACGCGTCCTGCAGGCGGGTGGTGGTGGCAATTACGCGATCGCCTCACCCACACCCGCGGTTCGCTGCCGGCACAGGTAATTAGTGAACGAATCTGTCGCGAGGCAAAACGCCAACGACGGTGCATGCAGCGGCTTGTAGCTGCCCCCCAAAGGTGTGAGATGCCACAGCCAAGTGTGTCGCCAGGCGACACAAGTGGTGTTTCCACCACTTGTCACTGAAGCCACAACGACCGACATGCAAACGGAATATCCTGATCATCCTGAGCCCACCGCTGAAATGGCTGTTTTCCGGGCCAAAGAACTTTTTTTGCCACGGTTTACGCGTTCATTGTGCCGAGTTCCTCTCGCCTGTAGCCTGTGGCCTGCAGCCTGTGGGACTTTTGGCAGCTCTTCTTCTCTGGATCTCTGGATCTGCACCTCGCCCATGCCTCATGTCCTGCGAGAAACCTGCTTTGCATTGCTTGGCAACGGCCACCCAGTGTCTCCTCCCTTTGTGGGAGCACAGGGCCGGGCTAGGGCAGTGTACCGTCGTCCTGGGGCCACCTGGGTGTTGTTGCATGTTCCGCTGTACTGCAGTGTCCCGTCGACGACGACGTGCTCCCTTGGCTGCCCCTCTGCTGCCTGTCTGGACAGTGCATGCGCCGCCGTGTCGATCGGAGATCAGAAGGTGTGGGGGTGGGGGGTGGTGGCTGTTGACGCAGACACCGGGGAACAGGAGCAAACGAACGAGCGACCAACCACCATGTCCACCAGCATGTCACAGGATCACAGGCGGGGAGAGAGGTGGTTGTGCATTTCGAACTGGCCCAGACCCCACACGGGCGACGGGAAGCGACGCGTCTCATGGTCCAGCGAATATTTACTCCGACTTGGACAGGTGGACAGGTGGCTGATGCAAGCAAAGCAAAAGCAAGAGACGGGTTCTCTTCGGCTCCTTTTTTGCGGGTACAGCAGCGGGCCAGCGCGCGTCATACCGCACCCTGCGTGCACCTCTGCACATTGTCCTGCATACGTGCGCGCATGCGGTATACGTCGATGGCGGCGAGGGCCCGGTTCTGTTTGCCCTGTTCGCTTGTGTCGGACGGGCAGGCGGGGGGTCGACGGGGCAAAACGTGTTGGCGCCACGGCGGGGTGGCATGGGGGCAGCGACGAGGCGGTATGCAGGAGAGGGGAGGACAGGGGAGACAGAAGAAGCAGCGTCAGAAGAGAAGAATGCATGCAAAGACGATGAGAGCAAGAGAGCAGCTAGAGAGCAGAGAGAGAAAACGCAGCAGGCAGCCAGCAGCCACCACCACCCAGCAGCACCACCACGACGGCCTTACGGCGCGGCACACTGCAGGTTTCCCGCATAGCCCACAGCCGGGCGTCTCCATCCCCATCCATCCGTCTGTGCTTCTCGTTCTTACACCCATCACACACCATCTCATCATCCACGACCACCACCACGACCTCCTCCTCGCGTCCTCTGGTTCGGGTCACCTCCTCCTCCCGCCCGGCGTGCGCGCATCCACTCCATCCATTCTCCCCCCGTCTCGAACTCTCCCCCCGCGCCCCTCCGACCCGACCCACCCACCGTACACCTCGGTGCGCTCTCTCGCCCCATTGCATAGAGAACAATAGACACCAGACGCTCCTCATCGCGTCCTCGTCTCCGTCCTCGTCCTCTGTGTCGCCGTCCCTCGTCTCTGCTGCAGCGTAGCCGCACCCCCACCGTCGCTGCACGCCGTGACCTGGAACCGGAGCATCGGACAGCCCCGACCCAGGACATCCACCACACTGCCTTGCCCAGGTTCACAGGTTCCATATCCTCGACAACACCTGACTGCCCCCTCCTCGTGCTCACGTTTCATTTGTGCGACGCAGCCCAGGCCCACACCGCGCCAACCCTCGACGACGACCGCGTCCGCCGTCATCGCTCCTAGTCCGGCCGCCAGAAGCCCAACTTCGCGTAAGGCTGTCGTCTACCGGCCGGTAAACTCTACTGCCTCTGCCGCGCCGGCTGTGTTGTCCAACCCAGAAGACACAACTTTAACGTCTCCCTCCTCCCCTCTCCCCCCTACGAGGCCCCTCCACCCACGTTACGATACGCGCACTGGCCCGTGCACCAACCGGCCCCCCTCGTTGTTTGAGCGACACTTCTATACTGGGTGAGTTTTGGCGAGCGCGTTACGGAGAAAGGAGGGTCACCCGCTTCCTGTTGCTGCTGCTGTGTTGGTTTGGGAGTGTGTCGCGGGACTGTTGATCCATGCCGGTGCGGCACCGACATGCCTTGCCCATGCTCCCGACTGTGCAGCACAGCACCCACCGACCCACCCACCACCACCACCACCACCACCACCACCACCACGAAGGCACGCCCACGCCTATAAACTGCGATCTAGGCGTCGGTGCACGCTTACGCCACGGGGTGGGGCCGTTCGAATCGGCGGCCCCGGCTTGCGCTATCGCTGGGGGCTCATGGGCAGTGGTGGCGTCGGCTGTCCCAGTGTTGGCGACCGGCGAGCCCTTATGCCTGTCCTGGCTTTTGCAGTGACCCCGTGGGCGTCGCCGTCGACGCGTAACAGGCGAAACACCTGGCAGCAGCAGCGCACCGTCCCCTTTCGCGAAGCAGGCGGCAGACATTGCAACCTGCTGGTGCCTGTGCGCGCACACCCCAGTCGATAGGTCATGGCCTCCGTCGCTCGTTCCTCGTTTAGAGTTCCTTTTGCCTGTCCTCCTTCGTCCTGCTGTCATTCATCCTGGCCTAAAAGGTTGCTGACACGCGCGCAGCCAGTGTATCAACACCGAAACCCCCCCACTCACACTCCCTCACGCGAGCTTGACGTGCGGCTGCCAACACGCACGTCGTCAACTTTTGTTTACGCCAGTCCCCCATCACTCTCCTTCTCCTCCTCTCCCGACTCTCTTTCTCGCTCTCTAAACCCCTCCCTCTTCTCCTTTCACTACCCTCATCACCATGGCCGAGGGAACTCAGCTCACGAGCTGGTTCGAGACCGCAAAAGGCGAGGTGCCTCTGCCTCTGACAGTGAGTTTACTACACTACTACATGGTCACTAAACGTCAACCACAGGGCCCCTCACTCTCCCTCTCCCCCGTTCAACCCAGTACTGTCTTTCTCTTTGGCGGCAAAGTCGTTCCCATTCGCCGGTTAACAGCCGAAATGTGGGCGTTCGACCTGGCCCGGCGAACATGGTCGCGCGTCAACGCTGGCAACGGCCCTGGCGCGCGCTATTTCCACTCGATGGATGTTTGGGAGGACAAGCTCGTGTGCTTTGGCGGTATGAGCGACGCCGACACGCTCCTCGTCCACAACGACGTGTGGATGTTTGACTGCCAGTCACGACGATGGCTGCCACAACCGTCTCCCGAGGCGCCTCTCGGCACACCAACCGGCCTGCCGCCAGCAGTGCAAGACGCCTCCATCGTCCCGCAGGCGCGTTACGCCCATCTCAGCTCGGTATCTAGGGAACAGCTGGTGATCTGCGGCGGCCAGCGTTCCGACAACACCTGGATCTACGAGATGAACATTTACGACCTTGCGCGCGGGGTATGGACGTCCAAGACGGAGCAGCCAGAATCTCATGGCTTGCATTCCAAGGGTGCATACCGCAGCGTTGCCGCGTCGTCGACCCAGCGCGTCGTTATGCCGACTGCCGACGCAGTGACAGGCGCCCCCGCACTGTCCTACTCGGTTGACGAGGAGGGCGGCGGTGGCGACATCTGGTGCTACTCCAACTATGACTTTGCCAAAGTCCGTCGCGAGCTGGAAATTGTGTCACCACTGGATGGCGCGCCAGATACACCCACACTGTCAGACAAGTTTGTGTCCCCACCATTATTCAACATGGCCGACGTGTCGGGCAAGATGACCGGCGCATCCCAACCGCCAGGACTCCGCTTCCCCGCCGGTGGCATCATCGGCAACCATTTCATCCTCTGTGGCCTGTACCTGGCATCGACGTCGGCCGCATTCTCCATCTGGGTTCTGGACATGACAACCCTGGTCTGGAAGCACATTGAGCCACAAGTGCTCTCCAGCGGAAGCTGGAACCGCGCCGTCCTGTGTACCGACACTGCACGCCTGCTCGTGTTTGGCAACTCGCAGTCCGACTTGGCAGCAGACTATGGCAAGCGCGCAGTCAACCTCGACCACATGGCCGTGATCGAGCTCGAGGCCTACGGCATCTACCGCCCGCCAAAGGCCATCCTCTCGGAACGTAACCAGGACATGGGCTTGACGATCCTCGAGGAGAACCTCGTGTGCGACTTTGACATTGTGTGCGAGGACGGTCGCAGGATAAAGTGCTCGCGCAGGCTCCTCATGGAGCGCTGGCCATGGTTTGCCGAACAGCAGGCTGCTTTGATCGCCAGAGCTGCCGCTATTGTCAAAGAGATGCCCGCGCTTGACAGTAACGATGCCTTCCTCGGTTCGCTCAGCCCTGCGCGCTTTACACCCGACTGCCTCCACATTCCCGAGCCCCTCCCCGTCTGTGTGGCTTTGGTCCAGTACTTTTACACCTACAACCTCTCGACTCTGGTCCAGACGCGCGCGCCCGTGCTGTCGGCTCTCCTGTTCTTGGCCAAGCAGTACAACATGGAGCGCCTCAACCAGCTTGTCGTGCACGCCCTCCACAGCCGTTTGGAGGCATCCACCGCAGTCGGCGTGTACGAGGTGGCAACACTGGCCGGCGAGCGAAACCTCGCCGCACGCGCCCTCCAGCTCATCCACATGGCCAAGAATGGCTCCAGCAGCCGTCACCACAACCGCCGCCCGGGGTCCGTCATGACCAACGACGGTAGCCAAGGTTCCGCTACCCAGACTCCTCCACCAGCATCGCATGGGTCCCTCCCGGACGCGTCTACGCAGGCTGCCCCGTCGACTACGAGCCACGACAGCGGCGACACGGCTGGCAATTTTCGTCAAACCCGCGTCCGCTGCGAGTCGTTGACCATCCCTGTTGATGATGTGGTCGCCGGTCTCGAGGCCGAGCTTGCGTCTGCTGGTCGCTCACGACCAGACGTGGACAAGCTTCTCGATGCGCTCGACATGTCCACCGCTCCCCCTCCTTCTCCCATCATTCGGCCTGTCCCGTCCACACTGTCGCCTGGCGCCCACTCCCTTTCGCGTTCCACCTCGCTCTCCTCTGTCGCATCTGCGCGTCTGCGCGCACGGCCACCCCTTTTCCCTCCCCCAGCAAGGCCGATCCCCATCCGCCCCGTGGACGGTCTCTTGACACCACCAGCACTTATCACCCCGCTCACTGCGGAGACACTGCGTGCGGCCAGCCCGACCTACTCGGATGCCACCTCGACGTGCCCGCGCACTCCTTCCGACTCGACGCGCAACTCGCGAGACTCGACGTACCTCGCCGACTCGCCAGTGACCCCCGTGTTGCCAGAGCGCCGCCCATCGTTCACTGGCACTCCCATTAAACAGTGCCTCCCATCGCTCCCCGAGGACGAGCAGCTTGTCGACGACGCGTCGTCGTCGAGCTTCTCCTCGGACATGTCCGATTACGGACGCAACGTCCCCTCTGTCGCTGTCGTTGTCGACGACACGGCCGTCGACGCCCCCGAGATCGGAGGTATCCTCTTGGGCCAGCAGTCGCGGGCTCTCCGGGCACTCCACCCACAGGGCAAGCTCACGCGCACGGCCTCGCTCAACACGCTCGCGCTCCGCCCGCGATCCTCGTTTGACGAGTATCCAGTACAGGCCCGTGTGGGCAAGCGCGACGGCGGCCTGGTGACGAGCACGAGCACGAGCTCAATCGACGTCCTCGCCGTGCCTCCCGAACGCCTGGACTCGCGGTCCGACGACGGCATCACCACCACCACCACCGGCACGTCGTTCAAGGGCTGGGCCAGCTCGACCGTCACGCTCGTGGCCGCCGGCGCCGCCGCGCCCGGGGGCGCGGGCGGCGCGTACAAGCCCCGCCCGACATCCATGATGGTCAAGCCGGCCAACGCGACGACCGAGGCGGACGAGCACGAGCGTCTCGTCAAGTTTCAGCACTTTATGGCCGAGCAGCAGCGCGCGGCGGGGATCCCGTCTGCCGAGGCGCTCGCCGTGGCCAAGCGGGCCACGGGCAAGGCTGGCCAGCAGAAGATGACGCTGAAGCGCCTCGGCCAACGGCTCGTGGGCCGCGATACCTGGGGCAGCATGGACATGGTCTAGTTTAACGTGTTTCTTCTTCTTTTTTTCTTTTTTTGATTTGGTTGGGTTTGATCTTTACCGCAGCTGCTGCTATTTTACTTTTACTACTGTACGAAGAAATCTTGAGAGGAGGGACCATATCTACATGTATACACAATTCCGTTTTTGCGCCTCTTGCTCGACCGTGCATGCTGCTTGCTGCTGATGTTTTCTTTCCAACGCGTTTTCTGCATGGCCACGGTTCTCTGGTACAGGTAGCCAGCCAGACACAGCGTCGACATTACACCTGGCCATGCCTCGGCTGTGAGTTTGGGTCCCAGAACGCTAAACCACACACACACAGACCTCCACCTCGTTGCGCGAGCAGAGGTCGATGCGTGCACGTAAACAGTATCGATTGACATGATACATAGGGAAAGGGAGTAAACAAAACAGCTTATAGGTTTATACAGGTGTATTCATCAATGGGGCAAGCTGTGTGGGCGAAGCGGAGACGAGTGTTGAGCGCCAGTTCGGGATGTAGCCTCGTGATCACCACTGGACGCCGTATGGCACGAAGAGGTCGGCGACGGGGCTGTGAGCGTCCTGCTGCGTGCCTCCGCTACTTGGTGAAGGTTGGGACTCGGCTGTTGGCGGGGTTTGGGGAGTGGCTACCAGGCGTGTCCTGCCGCACGCACCACTGTTCCACAATGTCGCCGCGACCGGTTTAGGATCAAGGTAGACTTCTTGTCCTCTGCTTCGGGGTCGTCTTCAAGGTCGTGATTAACAACGGTAAAGGCACGGTTCGGAAGCGAGTCTGGGTCGGGCATGTAGCTTATGGTGTGAGTGAATGAGTTTGCGGCGGGCACAGGGGATCTTGGACGGCCCACGTACCGGTCTGTAAAGTAGCTCTCGTCGTACGTTCTACGTTGCGACACACCCCACGACCCCCACGAGTCGGTGCCCGGTTGCCACACGCAGTCCATTGCTCCTCGCGCAAAGGAGCGAACAAACGATAGACTCGGAAGCGCCCACTCGGGAAACTGAGCCGATACAGCGCCGCACGCCTGGTGGGGGGTTCAACGGTGGGGTGACAAGGCCGGCCAAACGACGAAGACACGCGGGAGCAAGGGAAACACGTACCATGTTATAGGATCGCAAGATGAGCTCGTCCGTCAGAGTGCACCACGCGTCCGGGGTGGTGAGCTTGCGTTGCAGCCTGAGCATGAGAGCCGGAATCTGGTTCTTGCTGCAGAAGAACGGGCGCGTACGGCGAGAGAGGGTCGGCACGTGTCAGCGCGCGCGCGTGCTCTGAATGTTTAGTTGTTTGGCCTCGGAAAGGGACGTACAGACGGTACGCAACGTCGAATACGGCGACGGCAAAGTCTACGTCGTCGAGGGTGCCCATGTCACCGGTGGCGAACGCGTGACTCCAACGGCGACTGGCCTCACGGCCTGCCCAGCGTGCCTTTGCATTGAGCATGCCCTGGGTTGGAGAAGACGACTCCGGCCCATTCTTTGCGTGGGAATAAGGAGTTGGACGGGTCGGGGTTGAGCGACATTGGATGTGGACGATGGACACGAGTCAATAACATCAATAACATGGGCAATTGGGCAACAAGACAACCACCACAATAACAACAAAGCCCGGAAGGGTCACGTGACATGTCGCGTACACTGGGAGCTGGGAGCTGGGTGGTTTGGTCTGGCTCAGACACGTCAATTGGGCTGCCGGTTGGTCATTCCACGTCCTGCTCATAGCCCATCGCCAGTTGTTGCAGCTGCTCTACCACCCAGTCTAAGGAAGTGAAGCTACATGACAGAAAAACGGCGAGCAGAGGGGGTGGGGGGCGCGGGGTGGAAAATGCTTGGTGCAGTGTTGTCTTGGGGGGTTGTATAAATTCGCTCTACGGGGGGAGACGGGAAGGGGAGGTATCGCGGCAAAAGTACCATGTATGGTGTATGGTGTAGCACAAAAGAGGGGGGTTGTGGGGTGTATGACAAAACATGCTTTGGAGATCGAGATTGTTCGTGAATGCGTGGGTGGGTGGGTGTGTCGGCATCTAGCGTCTAGCATCTCATCGCTCAGATGAAGAGGGATGCGACCACGAGACCGCCGAGGGAGACGGCGGCGGGGGCGTACGTCCTGGGACCCGCGGCCGACGTGCTGCTCGACTTTGAGCTGACCGAAGTGCCGTTGGCGGCGGCAGTGATGTTGCCCGAAGCCTGGACGTCGGTGGCGAGCTGGGCGAACCCGATCGCAGAGGGGTTGTACCTAAACGAGGTGTACACGTTCTTGAGGAAGCTGGCGCCGACGATCCAGTTGATGGGCGACTGCGACGACGTGGACACGGTGAAGAGCGCGCCGACACACATGCTCGATCCCGCGTACGTCTGTCCGAGGTTGAAGTCGTCGTCACTGACCGAGTAGACTTTACCGCCAAACCCGAGGGAAAAGTTGACGACGGTCGAGCAAGGGTACTCGTAGTATCCGCTCATGCCCGAGCTGGCGAGCGACTGCGAGTTGGCAATCTTGGCGTAGACGGCGGCGACGACGGATGACGGAGCGCCAATCAAGGTGGTACCAGTGTCGATGGCGGCGGAAGCCGTGGACGAAGCGTACGACAGCTGGGTGCCCTGGATGGTGATGGACTCTACTGCGATACGCCAGTAGTCTTCGTTGGCGGTCGGGATGGAAATATAGTTCATCGACCCGGTGAACATGGACGAGTTGAGTCCGCCAAAGACAATCTCGCCGCCTTGGCTCTCGACGTCTTGGACAGTCGAGACGCCGCGCCATCGCTGCAAGAAGACGCCAAACTCGGGGTCGGACCAAGTGTTTTCAGCCAGTGTCTGCCACCAAGGCGTCGCGCCCGAGTTTGCAATGGACGCAAACGCCAGGCCCATGAGGCCTGAAAGCGGGGCGTCAATGAGGCTCGAGGACGATGACGAAGAGCCCGACGTGACGGTCTGGTTGACGAGGCCAAACGCCTGCTGGGTGACGGAGAAGCCGCCCATGGACACTGTGTCTTCGGCCAGGAGACCGGCGACGTCTCCCGAGCCGTACGAGACCTCAAAGGGAGAGGTCGAGACGGAAAGTGTAGACGACGAGGTCGTGTCATAGGTAGTGATACCCGTACACTGGCTGCAGTCGTTGTCCATCACCCACAGGTCGGACGAGCCCGTGTCCATGATGACGAGAAAGTACTGGGCCGGGGTTCCGATGCCGACCTTGCCCGCGTACGAAGCGTCGACGTTGACGTCTGTCAGAGTCACTGCGCCAGACGTGTCGCGCTTACGCCGCTGGAGTTCGGCAAGCTCGTCGTGTCGGCGCAGCAGCTCGATTTCGTCGTCGGCGAGGTGCTGTTTGTACTTGCGACGCAGCTCGGCGGCCTGGTCACGCATCCAGGCCATGCGTACTGCAGGGTCCGAATGGTACTGTCGTCCCGCAGGCATGGAGAGGGTGACCGGGTAGGCGCCGCGGGCCTCGGCATACGACCTGGGGGCGGCGGGCGATGGGGCGGCAAGCGCAGCAGAGGCTACGAGGGCCGGAGCCAGGAGAGTGGCGAGGAGCATGATGACACTGGGAAGAAAAGGGGAGGGGGGAAAAGTCGGTGGCGATGGGTGTGGGGGGGGGTGATGAACGCGCGCTGGGTGTTGCTTTAAAGAGCGTGTTGGCAGTGGTGGTGGTGGTGAGAGACGACGAGGCGGCGCGGTCGTCGCTGCGGGCGCGCTGCGCACCCAGATCCAAAAGAAGAACGCTCGGGGCTGTGGTGTCTCTGGATGCGACGAGGACGACGTCGTTTGCAAAATGGCCGGGCTGAAGGGTGATGGGATGGGATATGGGAGTGTGAAGAGGGGGGAAGGGGCAAGTGACTGTGGTGGTGGTGGTGAAGAGAGAGAGAGAGATGGAGAGAGATGAAGAGAGATGAAGAGAGACGGGGGATGGGCCATGTCAAGAGCAACAAAGGGCCGGGCGGCGGGCGGCGGCGGCGGCGGCGGCAAGGGGGTCCGCCAAGCCTTTTGGCCGGGGACAGAGGTCTCACCGCAGTGTCGCGTATGCATGGCCCCCCCGGTTCCATTAGCGTGTGCAATACAATGTAATGATGGCATATGCATGCAATGTGTGTGAGAGAGGGGCCCATCTGCTCGCTTCTAGAGCGGACGCTGTGCCAACGCAGAAGAGACAGACCGCGAGATCCCCGGGCAGTTTGCCCCGCCTCTTTGCCCCTCTGTTTTTTGCACAGCCGGTGACGGGCGACCTGTGCAATGCTCCTCTCTCTGACAGCTTGTACTCGTCATACTGTGCTGCTGTGCTTGTGCTTTTCTCGTTCGTTCTATTCGTGTGCACGCAGTATATCGTCGTAATGTGTTCTTTTTAATCCTTCTGCTGCCCAGTCTAGAGTCTTCTCACATGCGCATTTTGCGGGCGCAGCAGGCTGCAAACGAAAACAAACCGTCCACATCGACTCTCCACGGCCACCGCGCTTCCCGTCTTACACACTGCGGTGCGCATGTCTCGGCTCAAAAAAATAATACACATGATCCTGCTTCCTTGCGCAGCCTCATACACCCGTCTCTGCCTCTGCCTCTGCCTCTGTCTCTCTTCTCGCTCTCTCGCTCTCTCTCTCTCTGTTCGGCCGGAAAATCATGTGGATCCGCGCTGCGGGTGAGCTCGTCGAGGCAGTCGCCTGTGGCGTCCATCCAGGCCTCTGCCTCGTCATCACCCCGCCGGCCGCCGTTCGCTCCTACATGCCGTGCCAGAGGACCCCTACTCGGGTGCTCAGTGCGCAGGCACACAGGTGACACCCGTCGACCTCGTCATGGCAGACTGAACAAAAGCGCAGAAGAACCCCATCCCGAGCACGCGTCGCTGACTTGCAAAAATCATGATGATGAAATATTTCTGTCCACCTCAATGCTGTGCAGTGTCCTGGGGTATGATGAACCCCGTCATCCTCAACGGCCTCAACGGGCCTCTCACGGCATTCCAACGCGTCTCCATTTTTTTGCGCACACCAACACACACGCGCCCGGCTACTTGCAGCACGGCTTGGCGCCCTCTTGGCTGCGCGCTGTGGTGTTCCAGGGCTTGCGGCCGCAGTCGTGTTCGCTAAGACCAGTGGCCGGGTGGGCTGCAGCCGGAGCGGAGTGTCAGTTGGTTGTTGGGGAGAGGCCGATGGATAAACTACCTGCTCGCTGCTTGCTGCTTGGCACAGGGTGTGCATATCGCATCCACCAGCTCTCGGTGCATGACGCGCACCCACGCAATGGTGGACCACAGGGGACATTATGATGGCAGGGATGCTGGTGGTGCCCAGGAACAATGAAATGGCACCAGACACGCCCGTCGTACGCCGCTTCTCTCCGTCAAAGTCATTTCTACCGTCGTGGTCGTGGTGGTCCCTCTCCCCCCCCCCCCCCACGGGGCCACAGATGGACATTGTGTGATTGCTCCGTCGGATCTGGCCCCCAAGGTTGTGGTTTGCTGGCTGATGGCAGGATGTTGGGGGGGAGTAACCTACTTGCTGATGATATCGGTTTAATTTTTCCTGTGGCGCCACTCCACAGCGCGGACCGTGAAATGATACGTCTCGCAAATACTCTCGACGGACCGCTGCTGGCCGCTAGGCCGCCGCCAACGATCAATGCAGAGCCCGGGCACTGGCGGCGCCAAGTTGTACAGTCATACTGGGCAGGGACACGCAGACGTTGGGACAGTCGTTTGTCGTCCACGCATATGGCTCGCGAGCGATCTACTTTGGTCCATTGAACGGCGGGTGAGTTTGTCGGACAATGGCACAGCGCAATACTGCTCCGAGCTGCTGCCCACCAGGCTCGTGCAAACACTACCCAGACGTACAGGCTGGCTTGCTGCTTGCCACACGCTTTGTGTTCATGCATGCTCGCAGCTGACATTCCCATGCCTACTTGCAACAGGCGCGCCACAACGTCTCCCGCCTGTTCAATGCGGGGACCCCACCAACAACAAAAGTGGGTCCTGTCATTTGCTAACATGACCTTGCCGTCAACTTTCATCATCTCCATCGCAAACACCTCACACATATGGCCCTGCTCCTGCTCCCCCAGCGCACATGCGCAGCAAGCAGCTCACGCCTGCTACCATTCACCCATTTGCGACAACGTCAGTTTACGTCCTCGCCCTCGTCACACGGTCGCGCTCCCGACTCGCTCCTCAACATTCCCGCGTTGGACAAGGACGAGGACCACATTGCCGCCCGCGAGTGGCTCGACGAGTTTACGGTCGATGACGTTCCCAAGACGTCATATGTCGCCTCGTACGCGCGGTCAAGTGGTGCGGGGGGTCAGCATGTCAACAAGACAAACTCCAAGGCCGTCGTCCACATGGACATTCACAAGGCCAAGGGCGACTGGCTGCCACGGTTCGTCGTGCCCGCTTTGCTACAGTCGGTGGGTCGAGCAGAGTACTTTGCAAACGGTGTGCCCCCACTGACTCTCTGTTCTCGTTTTAACAGTCCTACTACCACGCGCCCAACCTCCTCTTCACATCCCAGGAGACCCGGTCGGCGCCGCAAAACCTACGCAAGGCGCTGGAGAACATGCACGCCGCCATTGTCAAGTCTGGCCGTGGGTTGATTAGGGGCCAGACGAGCGAGGAACAGAAAGAGCGGGTGCAGATGCTCAAGGCGGGCGAGCTGGTCAAGAAGCGGTTCCACAAGGAGAAGATGAAGAGCAAAAAAGCGAGTAGGCGCGGTGATTATTAGACGCCGGGGCAAATGGTGGTCCGTGCCGGTGGTTCTGGCAGAAGTAGCACCGCCAGCGCCCCAGCGCTTACAGAACATTGTAGAGCGCAGCGGACGTGCGCGTGTGTGTGTATGCATGTATACAGGCCGCGAGGGAGTCGTCGGGTACAGAGAGCCGACTCGAACAAACGAGAAGGGCAGAAGACCCGATTTTGCCACCCTACGAAAAAAAGACCCCGCCTGGCGCCCAAAGTTGTCACACGAGCGTCTATATAAACCTTCATGGCCCATCAATTCTCCTTCCTTTCATCCACTCTCTCATCCCCCATCCCATCCTCCGACCACATCCCCTTCTACCACCCCCCTCCCCCTCCTCGGCCGTCGTCTCAACACAACGGCCGCCCGCATGTCGCGGGGTAGCGCTCAGCACTGGGTGTCGGTGGCGAGACGGACGCCCTCGGGCCACCGAGCTGGTCCGTTTGCCACCCGCATTTCAGCCTGACTCATTCATACACTCTCGGGTGTGTGTGGTCGGGTGCTGGCGCGCTGGGACAGTGTCGTGCCCTTCCCATACCATAGGGGAGGAAGCATGCCCTGGCCCCCAAGACCAAGAGACTTGCCCGGTTCACGCTGGGCGGTGCTCGACCCGGCCGTTGTGCTGGACGATGGCGTCAACCCCTCGATGGGCACGACCATGACTACAAGCATTTTATTTGAAACAGAAACACACACACTCTCTATATCCCATCTACTGCATTATTCAAGGACACTACGTCGTCAAACTCTGCATATCCACACCGCATGGGCACGTTACACATCAAGCTGCACCGTACCACACAGTCCTCCTCACCACCGCGTTCCTATTCACTGTCGACATCACATCATTCGCCACCCTGCGCCCAGCATGATCACGTCCCTTTGGAAGCATCCGTTCCTTTGGCACCATCACGCATCCCCCTTTCTCGCAAGAAACAGCTCAGCCTCGTTGTTCCCAGATTCATGTTCTCCGTCATCCTCACCTTGTCCCCATCGCTGGCCTCGCATTCAATCCCTCCATTCCCACTTCCCCCTTGTTGTTCACATGTTTGTCCGCCTCGCTGTTCTCGCATTCTCGCATTCTTCCCAGACTCTCGCATGCTTCCCATCGGTTCCCATGCTCCCCCTTCGCTTCTGAAGGATCACCCCCCGCGCACAAACCCATCACCACACATACACGCATATACACGCACAGACTCACACAGACGACCTCCCCTCCCCTCGTTCTCCCACGCACAGGCCACATAGCTGTACGACTACCCATCCCCATTCTCCTCTCCTTTCTCCCAAGCATGTGTTCGGCGTGACTCTGTTCCACCAACACCCCACCACCACTGTACACCCTCCACCACGTCTCTAGGCTGTTCCCTTTTACCTTTCAACTCCCGCACTCCTAGACCGGCCGTGGCGACTGGCTCAGCCTTGGTAGCCGAGACGGTGCCCTCACTGGGTCACCGTATCCATATACCCACCCACGCACCCACCCCAACCTCAACCCCCAATCCCAACATGTCCGCGGTGAGGCGGTCTCGAGCGATTGACTTCGGCTCGAGGTAGTTCCAGGCGACTGTGCTCGGTCCTGGAGTCTCCCGTGAGGAAAGCCGTAAACTGTTCCCACAATGTTGTTGTCTACCCCTCAACAAGTCCACCAGGTGGCGGCGTCGGGCGACTGGTCAGCTCGGAGTAGTTTCAGGCGACTGTGTTGGCCTGGAGCGTCGCCCGTTGGAGGAAGGTTCAACCGTTCCTACTTGTTTCCAACCCTTCTTCACAGCTTCCCCCAACCAGCTATCGGCGAGCGCGAGACACTGTCCCCCAACTACACAACTACACGCAAATCTCTGTATACCCACAGCATTAGCACACGCACAACACTGGCGGCGGCGGCTCTCGGGCGACTGTGGTCAGCCCGAGGTGGCCGGGCGACTGCGTTCAGCCTGGTAACTGCTCGCTGCACAGTCACATCACGTTCACATCACGTTTACCACATTTACCCTGTCACCTGCGCCTGCACCTACACCACATTGTTATCCAGACTATTACCAAAGCGGCTGCGGGCGACTGGCTTCAGCCCGTGGTGGGTTCAGGCGACTGTGCTCAGCCTGGACCGCGTTTCTTTACATCATTTTATTGAAGTTGTTACACCCGTGGAAATCTACTGTTGGGGAGCCGCTCGTCACTGTGGACGCCTCACCTTGACCTCGACTGTCGACATCTTGGACACCCTTCGACTCGCCTAAGCTCACCATCAGACCGACTCGCACTTCGCCACTCTGTTCGCCGGGACCCGACCTCGACCATTCGACCACCTCGACCTCTGGACCTCCTCGACCCATTCGACCCATTCGACCAGACTCATTCGACCAACTCGACCTCTCGACCTCTCGACCAACTCCCCTTTCGACCGCCTCGACCCGTGCATTGTTCGACATGGATGGGTGACCGACAACCTTTCGACACTACGACATGTGCGCCACCTCAAGACATGTGGACGTGGACCTCGACAAGTTCGACCAGGACCGACATGTTCGACTGCTTCAAGACTCGCATCTGGTATCGGCCCTCTCGCGCTTGACTTTACAGGACGTCTTCACGCTTGGCAACTGACGATTGGAGTCCTTCCTCTGCACTGGTACGACGGCATTTCTACGCCACTTCGGCACTCTACACCTCGACTCTCGACCCGGCACGGCTTTGGCTCCTGGACACACCACACGGCTGCGTTCGACACTGGACCTCTGGAATCGACTGGACCTTTGGAATCGACTGGACCTTTGGAATCCACTGGACCTTTGGACTCGACTGGACCTTTGGACTCGACTTTTGGACTCGGCCGACACGGCCACCTACTCGACAATATCAACATACACGTGCTCGCCGCTACCGACTTCCTCGCTACTGGATCGCTCCAACATTTGACCCGCGCTCGCCGAAGGACGACACTCGCCACTGGACGACACTCCCCACTGGACGACACTGGACTCACAGTTGGTTGCCATCGACAATCTCGACATGGATGCGGCGCGGTTTTGGACTTCCTGACGACTCGATTTGGTACTCGACACACACACAACTGGACGCGCTCAGCACTGGTACGACCCGACCCCCCACGCACCCCGCGTCCTCCTCCATCATCACTCTGCCCCTGCCTCTCTGTCACTCCCGTTCCCCATCTCACTGGACACTTTAGGGAGGTTCACACTTGTCACAATATCTGTGGCCTGGTTCCCTGAAGCTTCGTGAGGGACGACACGGGACGACACGGCGACGACTTTCGGCAGACAGACACCAGGACGCTCGGCAACCCATTCGTTCGACGCTCGGCACCCTCAACATGGACCCTTTGCGCGACACTCTCGACACTCTCGGCTCGCGATCTCGACCTAGGACAGGCCTGCCCCACCAGCAACGGGCACCACATCACTGCTGCCATGCCCACACCCAGTGACCTCCGGCGCAGCTATGACATACGACTTTTCGCACGATCTTTCGGACTGTATACGCCATGCCATGTAGCCTCCTTTGTACATGTTGTCCGTCATGTCATACCTGCTGCTGTTGTACTCGTGATAAAGCGTCCGCGTTGCATTGATTATAGCTTACCCACTCTGTCACTATCATCCTCTGCTAGCACCTCATCCCTCCATCGCACCTCTGAGTGTCTTGGACCCCCGTCCCCGTTGTTGACGAGGACTACCCGATCATAGTCGCCTCCACGGTCCGAGCCCTCGAGTTCTGGTCCTGGCTCCTCGAGCGCGAGCGCCATGCGGCCGTCCTGTCTGCTGATGGGAAGGTAGTATGGGCCCATGACCTTGTCTGCCCAGCTGATCCGTGCTGTGGGATGCGACGACGTGCCGGTGGGCATCTGGTAGATGAACTCGAGCAGCGCCGCGCGCTGGGCAGCGTAGTCGCCCGGACCTGTGAGGTAGCGGGCGAGCATGGCCAGGAGGAACACTTGGGGCTCGTACGCGATCATGTCGCCCGTACGCGCTCGCTCGGCCCACACGGACACATTGTCCCACTCGGCCGAGGTGTGTTCCAGCCCGCCGTCGTGCGCCGCGTCGTATGTCGACGGCGCCGCGTCGAGCGGCAGCATGTACACGTACATCTGCACGCTGAACCGCCGGGGAGAGGACGGAGGCGTGATCCAGCGCGTAAAGGGGACCAAGCCATCTGCGAGTGTGTGAGCGAGCGCGTACGTCAGAACACGCAAAGCTCGAGTCATCGAGCCATCGCTCGCTCTCACCGAGATCAGGCTCGGCGTCGACAGAGTCGAGCCAGTCTGTAAAGCGGATCTTGTCATTGTGGATGGCCTTGCGTCCTGCCTCCTTTACATCGGGGGCTAGCGCGAGCAGGCTGGAACCAGCCTCGCCCTTCCTGCGCGCAAGGAGGATCCCGCTCTCTTCAAAGGCCTCGCGCACAGCCGCAAGGCGGTACGTCTCGCTGTCTCGATGTCTGTCCGGCGCGTCGACAGGGGGCACACGCTCGTGGTATTCCGAGAGCGCGCCGCCGGGGAAGACGTGCGCCGATGCAAATGCCCTGGATGTGCGTACGCGATGCAGGAGGAGGAGCTGGTTGACCGGTGAGAGGATCATGACGCTGTATGTGGTGAGCACCGAGTGGGACAAAGAGGGCCGTGGACTGGACGGGAGGCGTGCTCACCTTGAGCTGGGGCGGGGTACCTCTGGTGATGTTGGCGCCGACGGCGACGCCTTGTGGGCGGACATTGTAGCGCGGCTGGTGTATGTGCGGGATGGGTGCCAGTTCAAGTGTCTGCCTGCACGGCGAAGACTGGGCATGAACACTGGCAAGAGGGTGGATGGTGGGCAGCAACATTCGTGCTCACTCGTAGGCTACATGGCGTCCAGTGTCGGCTATCTGCGCGCCGCCCATCTGGGCCGCTACACAAATGGTAGCCGAGACACACCAAACGCGCTCTTCCTGATCATTCCTGACCAGCGATAGCGTGATTGTCTCGTCCCCCATGTTGTGATCCTGCAACAGCGAGAACGACCTGGACCTCGTTGCAAAATACAATGTCGTCGACCACAAGTGAATGGCCTTTTGACATTGGATACACCGCACCACTGAAAATGCAGTAATGCCAGTACAGTACAACGTCGGCGGGATACCCAGTCGAGTGACGCTGTTTACCGCCAGAACTGCTTCTTCACTCCCATACAACACAAACACCATGCTCTCAGGCCCCATACATGGCCACGGGGGGCCTCCTGGCGGTAGCAAGCTCGCTCGCCCGCTTGTCCCACGCACGCTCCCACTCCTGCTGGGGGTTGCTGGGCGGACCGCGACGTTCGGCCAAGGCCTCGTCCCGCATCGCCTGCTCTTTCGGCGACTCGATGATTTTGCGGCTGGCAGCGAGCCCCTTCTTCTCCCTTTGGCGGTGTTGCTCCGCTACACGCGCACGGTTGCGTGCGCACTCGGGACATCCAGTGTGGCCGACGTCTTCGTGGCTATCGTGCTGCGCTATTTCGAGAGCAAGCTTGATGTCTACGGGCTGCCCGGCTCGCGAGACTGCCTGCGACAGTGCCGCCCGCGCGGCCTTTGTGGTGTACCCGGCCGCGACGAGCCGCTCGACATCGGCGTCGTTGTAGCTGGACCGCCGGCTGAGGTGGCGAGACAGCCACGACTGTTGTTGTGGTTGGTGCGTGGACGCTGCTGGGTCTGTCAGTGGTTGGTGAGATATGAGTGATGCCGCGTGCCGTGCCGACAAGCCGAGGGGACGCGCGGCGCGTCCAGCGTACCCATGTGATGTCCAACGCCGGGTGTGATCCGGTGTCGAGTGAATCCTATCCCCAGTAGTTGCAGTAATGGGCAAAAGATGGTGTTGGTGACCGACGGGCAGAGAATAGCCCGCGCCAAGAGACGTCTCGAGGCCGCCGGCCGCTCGGCGCGCTCGGCTGGTCAACTGGCAAAGGTGACATCATGAGGACGATAATGTGCCTCCTGGCCGCTGGGCGTGGAGCTGGGAGGGGGGCTCGCTTGGGGGACGACTCTATGAGACAAAATGGTTATAAAGAGCACACTGCAGTGGGTTGCTGAATGTATCCACACACAGGTACGCAAACACTCTCGAGACCACCACAACCAATGCCCATCCCTACCGTTTCTCTCGCTGGCAACCAGGTCGGCCGTGTCGGGTACGTTCCATCGCCACATGCCATCGATCCCCCGCAACTGGCCAACTAACTGTCCCCAGCTTTGGCCTGATGCAGCTCACCTGGGTCCCCAACGGTATCCCTGATGAGACGACCTTTGCATGCTTGAGGGCTGCCGCCGATGCGGGTGCTACAGCTTGGTCCTCTGCCACGTTCTACGGCCACTCTCCCGGAGGTGGCTGGGACAACATTGAGCTCCTGGGCCGTTTCTTCAAAAAGCACCCCGAGTACATTGGCAAGGTTACACTTGTGATCAAGGGAGGTCTTGACGTTGCGACCCGCACACCGTCAAACGAGTGAGTGAGGCGAGGCGCCACTTTCATCGCACACACCGAGGGATGATGAGATTCTCACACTGCAGCCTCGAGGCCAACCGCAAGCTCCTTGCCACAATCAAGGAGAAGATGGGCGCAAACGTCCCCATCGACGTCTACCTTCCGGCTCGTATCGTTCGCGGTGTCGACCCGGCCGAGTACTTTCAGCCGTTGAGCAGCTCCGCAAGGAGGGCCTCTTCACCGCGCTCGGCGCGTCCGAGGTGTCTGCCAAGACCCTCAAGGCCGTCACTGCTGCGGGAATCAAGATTTCCGTCGTTGAGATTGAGGTGTCGCTCTGGTCGTACGACAAGGACATCCAGGACGTCATCCAGTGGAGCACCGAGACCAAGACACCCATCTTTGCGTACTCGCCTCTGGGCCGCGGCTTCCTCACGCGCAAGTTTAAGAGCCCCGATGACATTCCGGCAGGATCCCTCCAGAGCCACTCGCCCCGCTTCCAGGGCCAGGCGTTCTACGACAACTTGAAGCTCGTCGATGTCCTTGACGAGATTGCCGCCAAAAAGGGTATCAACGCTGCCCAGCTCGCCATCGCCTGGGTCCTCTCGCTCTCGCCCGAGGTGAGTAACAAGACGATGCATGTGGAGCGCCTTGGCTGACCATTTGTAGACCATCCCCATCCCAGGCTCGGCCAACCCAGAACGCACCGCGCAGAACAGCGACGCCGGTAACATTGTTCTCACAAAGGAGGAGATTGGAGAGATTGACGCGATTCTCTCCAAGTTTGACCCTTCTGGCGCCCGTTACCCCCCGGCCTTTGCCGACATGTGCATGGTCTAGCCGCTTGGTGGAGAGGGTGGCACAGGACTTGCTCCAGCACAGCAACATGGGCCGGGGCGAACTGGGCCGAGGACTTTGGTAGATGGGGGTGAATTCTGAAGATGCATCAAACGAGTTGTTCTGGACGCTTTCATGGCGATCCCATCTACCTATCTACTCAGAGGTCCTTGTTCTCGTCCGCCAGAACCACAAAGTTCATAAACCACCTGACCTGCTCCACGAAGACGTCGGCATCACACCACTCGTCGACGGTGTGGGCATTGTTCATCGTGCCAGTCAAGTATGCGAAGCGGTAAATGTTGCGGGTGAGGTCCCAGTAGCGCTTCGTGTCGGTGTTTCCCGTGGACATGAGCGGGGCCATGTACAGCTCGGTGCCATCCGCGTCGGGGCGGGTGGCCCACACGGCCTTGGAGGCCTGCGAGAGGACGCGCCAGGCGGCCGACTCGACAGTGAAGGGCGAGATGGGGGCAGGATTCAGAGTCGAGTTGTAGGCAGTGTCGAGGATGAGGGTACCGACCGGGGAGGCCGAGAGGTCGTACTCGAAATGGTTGTCCTCGTCATCATCATCATCGTCGTCGTCGTGGCGGGAGGAGCCCTTGCAGCCGCTCTTGAACTCGGACACGTCGACCTGGTTGCCCCAGGCGACCATGTTGAGGCCATACTTCTTGGCCACGGGGCCGAGGACCTTGATCATACGTGCCTGGAGCTCGCCCACGTTCGAGGCAATGTTGATACGGTGGTTGACGACGGCAGTCACGACCTCGGGGAGGGCATTGATCTTGACGCCGCCGTTGATAATGTCAATGGCCTGAGTAGTGGACACCATGGCGCGACCAAGACCAGGGAGGAAACCATACTGGTCGAGGTTTGTCCACCACTTCTCGATCCACTTGAGCGCCTTCTTGTCCACCTTGCCCTTTTCGAGCGAGCGGGTGACCTTGGCAACGTGCTTCTTGAGGTCCTCGGGGGTTTGAGGGGAGTAACGCGCGGCGCAGGCCGTAAAGTCGACAAGCGGGGACTCGGGGTTGAGATACGGCTTGTGTGGGTGACGTTCGAGCTCGGCAAGAGCGAGCGACATGAGACCAATGCCAGTGTGCTTGGGCGGGACGGAGCTGTGGCCACCTTTGGTCTCGACACGCACCTCGACGTCGAGGTAGCCCTTCTCAGCGACCGCTGGAAGGGCAAACGTCTGGCCAAGAACCTCGCTGACTCCGGAACCCTCGTCGACGAGCATCGCAATAGAATCCTTGCCGTACTTGGCCTCAATCCACTCGTTAAGATGGTACGCGCCCTGTGGGGGACGTTAGAGGGAACTCTGAAGCAGACTCACTACCTTGCCGCCCGTCTCCTCGTCAATACCATACGCCATAATGACAGTACGCGCAGGTTGGAACTTGCCCGACTCGAGGAGCAACTCCACGGCGGCGCTAAAACGTCAGTTTCAGAAACGATCATCTATCAACTCACAGAGAACCAATGGTACCAGTCTTGTCGTCGAGCGAACCGCGGCCCCAGATCTTCTCGCCGTCAAACTCGCCGCCGTAGGGATCGTGAGTCCAGAGGTCCCGGGTCTCAGGGAGAACGGGAACGACGTCCTGGTGGCCAGTGATGAGGAGGGGCTTGAGGGTGGGGTCCGAGCCCTGCCACTCATAGACGAGTGCGTGAGTCATGACGCGCGTGCGCGTGAGGTGCTGGTGAACAAGAGGGAACGACTTCTCGAGGTCTGGAGTGCGTTAGCCAGTTGTTTTGGTATCTCCTGTCTTACGCACAGTCGGCAAACTCGTAAAACACCTCCCAGCGAGGGTCCTCGCCAATCGGTCCCATCACATCAAAGATCTCGGTGGGGATCTTGACGGCGTCCGACAGCCAAGTGACGATCCGGTCCTTGTGGTCGGCGAGCGACGTGACGTTGAACGATTGGGGGAGGCTCTGGTCCTGGACCTGGATACAACCACCGATCTCCTTGTTCTTGGCCCCAAAGTGGCCGTAGCCGTGGCCATGCGAGCCGTTCGACCTGGGGCAGAACGAGTGGGCAGTCTTGACCACTGCCGTTGTCACCAGGACGGCGAGCAGCGCAACAGCGGCCTTCCTCCACTTCCTCGAAGGAGGCGGCGGAGGGGCTGCCTGTTCGCTCACAGGCAGGACGTTCTTCTCTGGCACACCCATAGTTTGGTCGTTTCCTGTTGCAGTGTGTAAACCCAAAGAGAGAGAGAGAGAGAGTGGGGATGAGCAATCGCGCGATATGGCAGGCCGCGCGTTTCTTTAAGCGCCGGGGTGGTAGTTGTCCATGTGGGTTCCATATGACGCACTTCGGCGAAGCCCGAGGCGGCGGCCACCGCATCCCTGGATGGGAAGTGTGTTCGCTCGCAATGGCCTTGATAAGCTTGCTGAGCGCTGACAGTGACAGGACAATGGTAAATGGCTTGTAAAGCACCTCCCTAGACATGCTGCTGCTGGGCAGGCATGCAGTAGTCAAACCGGCAAAAGGTCCTCTGTTGTTGGATGTAGAGAATCGTACAACGAGGGATCCACGCTTCACGGCGCCACGGGTCCGGCGAGATGTCAACACGCAGCCAGTGCGTCGTAATTATGTCGGCCTGTGGGTAACGAACTCGTAGCTTGCACCAGTGTGGATGGATTCACGCCATCGTGTTTTCCACCTGGGAGGCCATCTACGCACGGAGCCACTCGAGATGTCAACGGCGGACATGACCCGCCCTCCACCACAGCGACAATTGTAACCCTACAACCATCTTGGAGGAGACCTCAGAACTGTCATAGAGCTGACATTGCTACGCGGTTTGAACGATACGCTCAACGGCGTGGATTTTGTTGCTGAAAGTGCCAGTTAAGTCATGCGGATAAGTTATGCGGAGGAAAGGGTTTGGGCGAAACAGCCAAGTTGCTGGTTCCCCAATCGATTGCGCATGTACTGTACTTACCCCACAGTCGTTTAACGCGTGAATGGAAATACAGTCCAGTGCGCCAGTGCACAGCTGACATGATGTACATACGACTGACTTCATTCGCGATCGTGCAGCAGAGAGTGGCAGGCACAAGTTGCATCAATCACAGCCATCGGACACTGCATTTCCCCTTGTTTTTCGCGGTTTCCAGCGGGCGACTTCTGTAACCTCCTCTGTCAAAACAAGCAACCCCTGCGTGTGATACGGAGGCAGGCTGTTGACTGTGGCCAGAACCGCTGTATGCTGTCCAGAACTGTGCTTATTTGGCCAGACCAGTCAAAGTGGCAGTGCGTGCCGTGTACAGTATGCGTCTTTGGTGGACACGGTGCATGTCTCGTGAACAAGCCCAGGCAAGAAGGCATATAAGGAAGGGACTGTAGCCTCAGTTGTCAGCATCTTCAACCCAGACCGAGCTTCATCATCTATTTTCACCCTCAACCACATCCCGATACCATGTTTATCAACTTTGCCATTCTCGCCGCCGTAGCCGCCACCTCGGCCATGGCCAGGCCTACCATTCGTGAAAACGTTGGCGCGTCTGGTGTCCAGCCTGTCCAGTGGCAGATCACTGCTCCTGATGGCTCCCTCAAGTGCCTTGACGTCAAGGACGGTGCTCTGGAGAACGGCACGCCGGTTCAGCTGTGAGTTTTGCATCTCAACTGCCGAGTACAGACACTGACTCTAGATAGCTGGGACTGCATCGACGGAAACACCAACCAGATCTGGACCAAGTCGATCACCAGCGGCATTGGCCCTATCGAGCTTAAGGGCACACCCTTCTGTCTGGATGCCGGCGATAACCCAGGCGACCAGAGCCAGCTGCGCATCTGGGACTGCTACTCTGGTCTTCCTCAGCAGCAGTTCAAGGTCCAGGGCGACACCCTTCAGGTCGCCGACAAGAACCTTTGCGTTGACGTTCCCGTCGTTAGCATCTACGAGGACGGCACCAGCATGCAAGTCTTCACTTGCTTTGCGAACAACGACCAGCAGAAGTGGACGCCCAAGGTCGTCGGCCCCACGTACTGGCCTGCCAGGGGCGGCGACTAAGTTTCCTGGGACAACTCCCAAGCTCGGCATTGTACTGTACATACCTCAGGCTTTGTCTCTCATTCACATGCGGTAGCACAATGTATATGGTATCGTACCTTGTCCAAGACATTCCCTGCCACGAATGCTTTCTCTTGCGCAGTGCACTTGAACCACATTATCGCATGTAGGAGCCTATGCTGCAGTACTTCCGTCATAGTGATGGATATGTGAGCGTATCACCGCCACGGGACACTGCGTGTAGATGCGAGCTGCCGTCGGGAAAGAGCCAACACAGGCTGCCTGGCAACGATAAACGACCAGCAGTTACAGGCACCATCTCGGTCGTGCTGCCGCCAACAACGGACTTGGACAGCGGTGCCAACAAGCGCCAGCTGCCTACTGGTACCTTACTCCCGACCTGGTTTCTCACTTCTGCTGTGCATCAGCTGTGACGGCGGTGAAGTCAGTTGACACCGCATTCGCTTTCTCGCGACAGGATGGTCCGCCGGGAAGACCCACTCCAGCGCAATCCTGGCACGACGCTGTCAATCGTAAGGTTATTGCCCTCTTTCTCACAGAGACCACACCGCTCGTGCTTGACGTCCAGTTTGCCGCCGTCCAGATACGGCTGCACAGTGTCACCGACGAGTACGAATTTGATGTTCGGTGCGATGCTCTACGCGTGACAACAACAAGCTCCCATGTCCATTTCGGTGGCTGTCAACTCGATGCTTTAGCACTTGCACACTGCTGTGCGTCCGAGGCAGTGTCTCATTTAGCGGTGTATCCGTCGTTCCCGGCTGCAGTCAGTGGTTCCAGTAGCTAGACAAGTTTCCAGATTGTCATCGAAAAAGCATAAAAGGTGACAGGTATCTGGTTTAAACCACCATCAACACAACAACTCTTCGTCTCACAGCACGACACCTCCTTAAAGTCACTGCACACCAGCGCCAACCCCACAACTACATTGACAATGTTCTCCAAGACCCTTGCTCTTACCGCCGTAGTCGCCTCGCTTTGTGGCGTCGCATCGGCTTCCGGCGCTCTCAACCTCAAGGACCAGCCGGGCAACATCTACTGCATCGACGTCCAGAACAACAACCAGGCCGACGGCACTCCTGTCCAGGTGTAAGTGTCGTATTTACCAGCACTGTTCCTTTCTAACAATCATTCCAGTTACCAGAGCAACAGCTCGCCTGCTCAGCAGTGGCAAGTTCCCGGCGAGAACACGCAGGGGTTTGTGCGCCTTGCCGGCACGGGCTTCTGCCTCGACGCTGGCGAGAACCCTGGTAACAACTCCAAGGTCATGGTTCACACCTGCCAGAACACTGTTCTTCCTCAGCAGTGGTGGACGTACGACCCCAACATGCAGAGGCTCAAGCTTGCCAACAGTGACCTCTGTGTCGACGTCCAGGACGGCAACTTTGGCGACGGCTCTCAGCTCCAGGTTTATCAGTGCCAGGGTGGGAGCTGGGAGAACCAGCAGGTTATCTACAACAACGACAGCGCCTGAGGGTTCCTTGAAACCCTGTAGACAATAGACCGACCTGGCGGTCCTCCAAGAGCTGTGTCCCCGTTTCCACGTTAGAATGAATTGAGTGCCTGTTTACTTTCTTGGTCGTGGCTTTCCTTCTTCTTCCATGGATCCTTGTCATCCCTTGACCACAGAACAGTTGCAAGTGCAAACGGCGAAGCGTATTGGGAGAAGGCTAATCTCGGCGACTAATAAATCAGCCACGAAACCCGACTGACCCGCCTCGCCTGCCCGCTATTAGCCCGCGGGCGTTGTTCAACCACATCCACGTTCCGCGTCGTCCTCTCCACTTCCGGTTTACAGCGCCGCGCGCTTTTGCTCATCCGCCCACTCTCCATCATAGCGTAGCATCATGTGTCCACCACCAAACGAGCTATACCAATTCTCAGTCGTGTCAGCACTCATGGACGGCGTCGCCTCGGACGGCCTCCCCCTCTCGTCGTTGCTTGAAGAGGGCGACCACGGCCTGGGCACCTTTCGAAACATGACGGGCGAGCTCATCGTGGTCGACGGCGAGGCATACCAGATGAGGCATGACGGGACCGTCGTTCCAGCACCGGGACAGCCCGACTCGGAGGGGTACCACAAGACGAGCGTGACGCCGTTTGCCATGGTGACCAAGTTTGCCCCCTCGGTTACGACCACGGCCCCGATCCAGGCCAAGGACGGGGTGGAGCCCGTCCTCGCCCGACTTGTCCCCGACGCTCGCAACACGCACATTGCGTTCCGCCTCGACGGCGCCTTTCGCTCCATCACAGTGCGTACCGCCGCCGGCCAGTGTTTTCCCGGCGAGGGCCTCAGGGACGTCGCCAGCCGCCAGAACGAGCTCGTCATCGGTCCGCTCAGGGGCACCGTCGTGGGGTTCCGATCGCCCCAGTTCCTCCAAGGTGTGGCCGTCGCGGGTGTCCACATGCACTTTATAGACGACGATCGACAGGCCGGTGGGCATGTCCTTGCCCTCGAGACGGATGGCGAGGTCACGGTCCAGGTTGCGGAGCTGTGGCGGACGGTCATGGACTTGCCGCGCGGGGACAAGCAGTTCAACGAGGCTACCTTGGCGTTGAACGCGGAGGGTATCGCCGCTATCGAGGGATAGGTGAAGGGACGGGAAAGGAAGGGATGCTAGACCATACCACGGCAGTGGGGCAGATTAGAGGCTTTGGGAGTGTACTGTCGGTTGCTGGCCACTTAGTCTCACATAAAGCAGTCGACACCATCGCCCCGACGACAGTCCACAAGTGGCACTCGCCACTCCCAGGTCCCCACCTTCGCCTCAACTCTTCCTTACCATTCCAACAACGCCCAGACATAACAGACGCTTCAGACGAGTCACCAACGTAGCACCCAACCTTCCGTGGGCTAATAGTGGACTATGAAATCAAGGTCGAGAAAATACCTTTGTGATTGGCCGCTTAGCTCAGCTGGTTAGAGCATCGTACTAATACCCAGTCTTGGTTACTAGTTCATGCGGAGGTCGGCAGTTCGATCCTGTCAGTGGTCATATCTTTTGCTATCCTGTGCATCCGGGAGTCCTTTTGCAACTGGAGATGAGTAGGAGTGGCTGTAGAAGTTTGTGCAGATGTAGATCGGGGGGTTGGACGATCAGCGGACCATTTTGCTTCCGCACTGCCACACAGTCTGTCGCTCTCGAAGCTGGGGCGCTCTGTGCTATTCGCTGTGCCAATACTGCATGCCAAAATGCTTCGCAGAGTGCGTGAGATGCTCGCCAGGATTGTCTACAATGGCGGTGGGTGGGTATAGATTGTGGGTCCCGGCCCGGGTTAAGAGTCGACACACACACACCAACCAATGTGTCACTCAACCCGGGACGGCGTCGTCATCGTCCTTCTCGTCCTCATCCTCGCTGTCGTCCGCCTTGCCCTGCTCGCTCTCCTGGCTGTACCCAACGGCAGTCAGAAGTGTGGGAGCAGCGCCGCAAGGGGACACGGGAGCGCCCTTGACTGGGGCGCCTTTTAGTCCTGGTCAACGAAGAAGTAGTTTCCAGAGGCCTTCTGCTCAGTGTCCTTGAGCGAGTTAAGCTTGTTGATACGGGGACGGAAGTTGTTGGGGTCACGACGGAAGGTACTGTGAGAGGGTCAGCGTCTATACACGTCGCTACGAGGTCGAAAGATGCCAGAGGGCTGGTTATGGGGGTTGGGAGGAGATCGTTCAAAGGACTGGAAGCGTCCAAACGACTCCAAGACCAGCCCAACCGACACCTTCACATCTGGGTCTTGACTTCATCTTGCGCATGCAGAATACGTACACCTGGAGAGATTTCAGGAACGCGTTCATGCCTGACAGCAGGCCCTCGGGCTTGCCGGCATACGACTCGACGGCGGGGGTACCGGTGAACACGATAACGCGGTCGGCGAGGTAGGTGGCCATGATGCTGTATGATGTCAGCTGGAGTTCTGGTGTGTGGGCACAAGAGGCCGGAGAGGCCGGAGACACTTTTCAAATGGCAGGCCAGTGAAACGTCCCACCATCGCTCGCGATCGGCCCGCTGTTCTCCTTTAAAACTCACAAGTCGTGCTCGACAATGAAGGCAGTGCGCCTGCTGCTCATGATGAAGCGCTTGATGACCTAGTCGTTTGTCAGCAACGGCCCACGAAAGAAAGACGCCAAGTAACACTCACCTTTGAGGCAACAATACGCTGCTCCGAGTCGAGGTACGCGGAAGGCTCGTCGATAAGGAGAACGTCGGCGGGGACACCGAGGACGAGACAGATGGCGACACGCTGGAGCTCACCACCCGAGAGGGTCTGGACGTCCTGGTCAATGATACCGTCGAGGTTCATGGGCTTGATGACGTCGGCGTTGAACTGGGGGTGCATGAACATGGCCTTGATACGCTTGAGGAGGAGCATGCGAACCGAGCCAGGGAACTTGGGGGAGATGGTCTGGGGCTTCATCGAGACACGGAGCGAAATGGCGTCGGCCTGGCCGTCGGGCTTGAGCTTGCCGCCGAGGAGCTGGACGAGGGTGGTCTTGCCCATACCGTTCTCACCGAGGAGGATGATAATCTCCGAGTTGGAGTAGCTACCGGCCTCGACGTGGAGCTTGAAGCCGCCCAGGGTCTTGGTCATGGCAGGGTACGAGTGGCTCTGCGACGACTGGACGGCGGCGTTGTCGTCGACAGTCTCGGCGATGCGGAAAGTGAGAGACTCCTGACGGAAACGGAGGTTCTCGGTGGGGATCATACCGTCTAGAAAATGTCAGCTGGGCTCATTTTATTCTCCCTTGCACCACTCCTTTTGCTCCACTTACCGAGGAAGATGTTGATACCCTCACGAACCGAGTAGGGCATGGTGACGACACCGTAGACACCGGGGACACCGTAGAACACACAGACAAAGTCGGAGAGGTAGTCGAGGGTCGACAGGTCGTGCTCCACAACAACGACGTAGTTGGTGGAGGTGACGAGGCCACGGATGACACGGGCAGCAGCGAGACGCTGACGGATATCCAGGTACGACGAGGGCTCGTCGTACATGTAAATGTCGGCCTTGCGGACCGAGGCAATGGCAATGGCGAAACGCTGGAGCTCACCACCGGAGAGCTGCGAGACCTCACGCTCCTGGAGCTTGGCAAGCTCGAGGTCCTCCTCGAGCTGGGCACGGTTGTCGAGCTCCGACTGGCGGTCGAACATCTTGCCGACGGTCATGTTGGGGACCTTGATGGAGCGGGGGATCTGGTCGACGTACTGGGGCTTGGTGACGGCCTTGATGTCATCCTCAAGCACCTTGGTGAAGAAGTTCTGGAGGTCGGAACCACGGAAGTACTTGATAATGTCGACCCACTCAGGAGGGTTGTCGTACTTGCCAAGGTTGGGCTTGAGCTTGCCCGAGAGGACCTTGAGGGCGGTCGACTTGCCGATACCGTTTGTGCCTACAAGACCGAGAACCTGGCCGGGACGCGGGGTGGGGAGACGGTGGAGCTTGAAGGCGTTGGCGGCGTAACGGTGGGTAACGTGCGACTCGAGGTTGGTGGGCAGGTTAAGAATGTTGATGGCCTCGAAGGGGCACTTCTTGACACAGATACCACAACCAATACAGAGCTCCTCAGAGATGAACGCCTTCTTGTCGGTGGGGTTCACCTCGATACAGAGCTTGCCCATCTTGACGACGGGACACGAGCGCTTGCACTCCTGGCGACTGTAGCGATTGTTAGCAACTGCATGATGTGTGATCTGGGTGGGTGGCCGCACCATTTCTTGGGCTTGCACTGTGCTGCATCAGCAAAACATGGTCCGACGAATCCATCACACGGGCGGCTTGTCGCCACGCGAGCTGCAGACCACCTACCTTTTCGTCCGAGACGATGGCAACACGGGTGAGCTTGTCCGACATGGCGGGCAGGAAGCTGGCGGCTGGGGTAGTGGGTTGAGAGGGAAGGGGGGGAGGAGGAGGCGCCTGTTGCTGCCAAACGAGAGCTGCCGGAGACGAGGTGGGTGTGTGCTTTGGATCGGTTTGTCGCGTCAAGAGGCAAAGATCTTTCTTTAGGTGGCGGACGGCTCGACGGGAGCAAAATTGCGAAATTAGATGTTGCGGAATTCCAGTAGGCGTGCGGTACAAAAGGCGTGCAAACGTCTGGGGGACCAATGGACACGGGGTAGAACCAAAGCATGTGCATTAAAGTACACGGCATGCGCACAAGCGCATGACCCATGGATTTTGATATGGGCTAAACGGCGGGGACGCTCACCTTTGGTGACGACTTGGCCGAGTCTTGTTGTCGCTGTTTGTTGAACACACTGACCCATGCCGATCATTGTTGTTGCCACAGTGCACACACCACGAAAATCTTGCAGATCGCCTCAATAAAGATATTTAAATCGTGCAAAAATGAGACCCCCGCACGGTTGTTGTTCATTGCTTGCCGCCGGTTGAGCCGCAAGCGCGCGCAAGCCCCACAAGCGTGCCGTGATCCACGCGATAAAACGGGAGGAACTACTGATGGCGTGGAACAATGAGGGACGCTACGCTGCAATATTCCCGTTCGTGTGTCCACAGGCACACCAGGCGCATCGACAACAATGACATTTGAACAAAGCTTATTGCACCAAAATGACCACCACATTTAGTACACGCTATATTCGGCGGATATACCTATCAGTGCCGTGGTAGAGCCTGTTGCCGACCTGCTCGCCGTACGGTGCGTCGTGTGGTGTGGTGTGCGCACGTCTGGCTCTCGGACGGCGCGGGCCGAGGGCTACCAGCTCGATATGCAATCACCATTGCACGACGCTCAAGATTCCCGTTCGCGACCACGTTCTTCCCGTTCGCTGTCGGAACATCGCGTACACAGCTATAGTGCTCCCCAACCAAGCTCCAGAGGACATCCGCAACACAAGAGCAGCTATATAAAGTGGCAGCATCCCCCCCCCACGTCGGTGCCAATCCCCCAATTCTCCAAACCCACACCCCCACACAGATCACAGATCTGCACCTGAATCGCCCGCCTAGCCCCCTTTTTCAATTGTCAACAACACACTCCACCCACCCACCCCCACCAGCATCCACAACCATGTCCCGCGACGCCGAGCTCAAGGTGAGCTACCTCTCCTGGCCCCATACCGCATTCCCCACTCAGTGCACATAACTGACATTGCAGCGCATTCTCGTCACCGGTGGCCTCGGCTACATTGGCTCGCACGTCGTGCTCTCGCTCCTCCTTTCGGGCCGCTACCTCCCCGTTGTCATTGACAACTGCCACAATGCCTTCCCCGAGGCCGTCAAGCGCTGCAACGAGATTGCTCGCGACGAGATGGGGTGAGTAGTCTTGATGGCCCTCGCTTGGCTCCTCGTTGTCATGGCTAACCTGCCCCCAGCGCCGACGCTCCCCAGGCCACCTTCCACCGCGCCGACCTCCGTGAGCCCGAGACCATCGAGGCTGTCTTTGCCGAGTACAAGGCCGCCGGCGGCATCTGGGGTGTTGTCCACCTCGCTGCTCTGAAGGCCGTCGGCGAGTCGTCCGAGCTCCCTACCCAGTACTACAAGGTCAACGTTGCGGGCTCGATCTCGCTCCTCGAGGTAAGTAGTATATCCCCCTTGAAACATCCTTCGTTCTCGGCGCCGCTGACATTTACTCCGCAGGCCATGGCCAAGAACGACTGCAACAACTTTGTCTTCTCGTCGTCGGCTACTGTCTACGGCACCCCCGCTGTCATCCCCATCCCCGAGACCTCGCCCCTCCAGCCCGAGTCGGTTTACGGCCGCACCAAGGCCATGGTCGAGTGGATCCTCCAGGACATCTGCCGCTCGGGCACCGACGAGCGCCCCTCGCCCCTCAAGGCCGTCTCGGTCCGCTACTTCAAGTGAGTCTTTGCACCATCCTTTTTGTGAGAACGCTTCAGCTAACTCGCACAACAGCCCCGCTGGTGCCCACCCCTCTGGCAAGCTCGGCGAGGAGCCCCGCGGCAAGCCCGGAAACCTCCTGCCCCTCCTTGCCCAGATGGCTGTTGGCCGCGAAAAGTCGGAGCTCAAGGTGTTTGGCAACGACTACCCCGGCTCGCCCGACGGCACCTGTGTGCGCGACTACCTCCACATCATGGACCTCGCCGAGGGCCACGTCCTGTCTCTTGACGCCATGGCCGTTGCCGAGTCGGAGAAGAACATCTTCTCCAAGTGCGACCCCAAGAAGGACGGCTTCTACCGCGCCTTCAACCTCGGCCGCGGTGCCGGCCAGTCGGTCCTCACCATGATCGCCGCCATGCGCAAGGCCTCGGGCTTTGAGTACAAGTACGAGATTGTCGGCCGCCGCACCGGTGACGTCCCCGACCTCACTGCCAACCCCGCCCTGGCAGAGGCCGAGCTTGGCTTCCTTGCCAAGCGTGACCTCGAGGAGATGTGCCGCGACCTCTGGAACTTCCAGACCAAGAACCCTAACGGCTACGAGCAGACCGCTTAGAGTGGAGACCACTTAGAAGGACTATCTCTCTCTCTGACTCTATTCTCTCGCTCGCTCTTTGCTTAGGACCCCCCGTCTCAACCCCCCAAAAACACCATATAGACAACGCAACCACCCCCTGCCGTTGCCCACAGTCTCGTTCTTGTCGCAACAGCCGGCTAGATCTTAATGCTCTCGTTCCCCCCACCCCCTTACGCAATCCCAGTGAATATGCATCGCACTGTCATCAGAACTGTCTATAGTGTGCAGCTGCACTTGAAAGAGTACCGAACGCGACGATGATGCGCTGGCAGCCACGCCGACAGCCGTAGGGCTGTACCGTACAGTCACCGCCGTGCGTGCCGGGCTCATGTGCGGCGGTTTTCCCGTCGCAGAGCGCCTGGCGGGGCGTGTCACAGAACCAACCAGAGGCCAGAGCAGGGCCCGTCCACGTCTGGAGGCAGAGCGACGTCTCAGGTGGGTGCGAGCTGCGAAGAGCAATAAAAAAAGGTCGTGCGAGAAAGAGCAGTAGAGTGGAGACAGAGAAGGATGCATAACAAACAAGTGTATGGAGAGTCAAGGTTGATGTGGCTACCTTTAGGTGACCCAGAGTCGTCGGCATGCGCCTCAGCCAGGTTGTTTTATAAAGTAGCTGGCCCCCTCAGTAGGGAAGCCCTTTTCCACGCGTCTTGTCTGGCCCTCTCGGCGGTTGTAGCTCACGTCTCCCCACGAAGGGAAGAGGAACACAGCACCAAGAAGGAATTTGAGTCGCGATGGCGTACTCCGAAGAGTACGCTGTGATTAAAGAAGAAGAAACAAGACGCGAGATGTTTGCGAGGTTTTATACACACACGCTGGCCACCGTACACGGGGCGGGCGGGTGCGAGCGAGGATGAGCGAGAGGGAATATATTTGTGTGCATTTATTTTCGCATTAATCCTGTTCCCGTGTCCGTCATTTTGATCCCGTCGCGCGCTGTGGTTGTGCGGCCCGCGGCGAGTGTCTCCGGAGAAGGCAAGAGAGTTCGAGAGATCGAGTGCAAAAGTCAAGAGAGAGGCCACTCACTGGACCACACAGCGAGCACTCGTCGAGACACCGGCGACCAGCGAGTCCACCTCACACACACACACACCACATCACAAACACCACCAGCTACAGCAGCATCGACTAGAGCAACCGAGTGCCAGGCTCTGTTTGGTCACCCCCAGCCTCGTCCCTCTCCTCCCTTTCGACCCGAACCTTTCCTCTCCTCTCTTCTCCGTCATGGCCGCTACCTTCCCCCAGCTCCTCAAGCGCTCTGCGTTTGCGGCGCACGACCCCGTCATCACCCGTGTGTATGCGTCCAACCCCCGCTCGATCAACGCCTACAACGACTGGGGTCTCAAGTTCCCCGTCCACCGCGCAAAGGGCTCGCGCTTCCTCAAGGTTAGGCAGCTGGACGCCGGACCCGGTGTCGATGCTCCCTGGGAGAGCGCAGAGAAGGAGGCGCGCTTCATGGACACCTGGGGCGACGGCTCCGTCCCATGGAAGGCGCCCATAGCCAACAGGATGCCCCAGCGCGCTGGTCTCAGCCTCCACTCGGGTATCAACTCGCAGTTCTACGAGCAGGACCACTCGCATACCACCCAGCATATCCCCAACGTCGAGGCCATGTCCGAGGCCGAGTTTGAGACGTACCTCAAGCACGTCCGTGAACACCGCAAGGAGTTTGCCCAGTCGATCTTTACCGAAGGTGCCCGTGGCGAGTCTGCCCCTGCTCATGAGCGCACTCTGGCCCACGCCGCGACCCACCAGTACCTCCGCGAAGACGACTCTGCCGAGTTCCAGGTCAAGCTCGCCGCCCGTGAGCTTGCTGACCGGGATTCCAAGCGCATCGTCTCGGACCGCCACGCCGTGTCTGGTCTCCGCTACGCTGCGCCCTTGTCCGGCAAGAGCGGCCACAGCATTGCGCCCGCGCACCCCGGTCGTGTCCTCGACCGCGTCACCCGCATTGGCGGCACCCAGGCCGAAGGCACCAACGCCAAGTGGGTCGTTGGTCTTGGTGGTCTCACCACGGTCGCTCCCAGCGGCGTCGCCCGCACCTCGGACAAGGCCACCCTCGGCCAGTTTGACTACACCCGTGCCCGCCCCGACGTTGGCATCTCCGACTTCAACGTCGAGAACGCAGTCCTCACGCATGCGCCTCGCGTTCTCGGCCTGGGATCCAAGTCGGACGGCGGCCAGCGCTGGTTGAAGAAGAAGTACTCGGGCGCTCGCAGGCCAGGCCCCCTCACGTCCATGTCGTTCAACATTGACGTTGTCGAGGACACCGACGTTGAGCTCGGTACCCCAGCGTATGTCGCCCGTGAGGTTAAACGGCCAGGGCCCTTGGTCAGCGAGGCCAGCATGGGTGTCCTCACCGGCATGGGTGGACCCAAGGCCGACCGTGTTCGCAGGACGAAGACGACCAGGGTCGTCCACTCGACAGCCATCAAGACCGTGCTGGCAAAGATTGCCGTTCCGTCGCCCGAGTCAAGCAGTAGTTGAGCATTTTAGACGTGATATGCATTGCATCTCTCCTTCACAGGCGCGTTGCCCTTTTGACAGTTGTTCCATTGCGTCCCAGATGTGGAGGACGGAACGAGACAAACACCGCCGTTTTGCGTGTAAACCGGGGCCCATGGGTGAAAAAGCGATCGACCGCAGAGGAACAGAACGTACGGAATCATTTTATTTCTGTTGTGTCCATTTCAAGATCCCGAACGATTTGTGCATTCTCCACCACCATCTCACCCCACCCAAGCAGCCATGCCGCCCGCAACCCCACAGGCAGGGCCCAGCAAGCCAGAAGGCTCCACCAAGAAGCCCTCTCGCGTGGCCAACTTCTTCTCAGATGACTCGGAGGGCGAGCACGAGCCCGTCCCCGCCGGCGACCATGAGCCCCTCGTCAACGGCGCTCTCCGCAGGAAGCGCAAGTCTCTGCCGAACGGATCTACTGCCAACGGCGACAAGCCTGAGGGTGGCAAAGCCCAGAAGCGCAAGGTCAAGGCCAAGGCGGTCGAGGATCCCGCAGAGGCTAAGCGGAGGGAAAAGATCGCTGCCGAGCTGCTGGTGAAGCGCTACGAGCTGCCGTTCTACCAAGGTGAGAGGGAATTGTTTGCGACTCGGGTATCCGTTCCATCTGACTGACCACCTATAGGACGTAGGAACATTTTGGAAGAGATTGTGTCAAACGACACGGTTGTGGTGGGTCTCTCTATACACCTGTTGTCGTTGCGGCGCGTAGCTTACTTGCCTGCTAGATTGTCGGTGAGACGGGATGCGGCAAGTCGACCCAGCTCGGCCAGCTGTTGCGCCGCCACAAGATCGCCCTCGACCACTTTGGCGCCCGCGGCCCCAGTGTGGCTATCACCCAGCCCCGTCGTCTTCCCACCATCTCGCTTGCTACGCGTGTGGCCGCAGAGATGGGTGTGGCTGTGGGAGCCGAAGTGGGTTACGCCGTCCGTTTCGAGGACGCGTCCAGCTACGACACACGTGTGCGGTTCATGACAGAGGGTGTGCTCATGCGGTGGGTTCAGATCCGGGATGGTATCATGGCCTCTCAGCTGACAAATGTGCCAGTGAACTTGCCAACGCCAGCGGCCAGCCTGAGAAGAAGGACAAGCCAGCGTCGGACGAGTCCGAGTCTGATGACGGCGACGACGAGGAGGAGGAGGAGAAGGAGGAGGACGCCGGCCTCAACCTGCTCACGCGCTACGATATCGTCATTATCGACGAAGCCCACGAACGTACCCTCAACACCGACTTTCTCCTCGGCAGCATGAAGAAGATTCAGCGTATCCGCAAGGCCAAGGCCGCCAAGGGTGACGGCCGTGAGCTCAAGATTGTGATCATGAGTGCAACCCTCGACCCTGTCAAGTTTACCAACTTCTTTGACAACTGCCCAGCTCTCCACGTGCCGGGCCGCATGTTTGATGTCGCTACGTCGCACACTGCGTCCGCCGTGGACGACTTTATCGAGGCGGCGGCAGACGCCGCCATGATGGTCCATAACCGCAAGCCCTCGCCGCCTGGCGAGATGCTTGTTTTCATGCCCGGTTCAGAGGAGATTGAAAACGTCGTCGCCCTCCTCCGCCGTCGTGGGACGGACCTGCCCCAGGGCTCCAAGCACCTCCAGGTGCTGCCCCTGTACGCTTCGCTGCCCCCAACAGCGCAAGCCAAGATCTTCCTCCCCACTCCCGAGAACACGCGCCGCATCGTCGTGGCAACCAACATTGCCGAGACGTCCCTTACTATCCCCGGCATCGCCTTTGTCATCGACTCGGGGTACAAGAAGGAAAAGGAGTACATCTACCGTGCCAGTGGTGCCATCGAGCACCTGCGCAAGATGGAGGTCTCTCAGGCGAGCGCTTGGCAGCGTACCGGTCGTGCCGGCCGTGAGATGCCGGGCGAGTGTCTGCGTCTGTACACCGAGGCTGCGTTCCGCAAAATGCGCGAGTTTGACACTCCCGAGATCCAGAGGTGTAACCTGTCCAACGCCGTGCTCCAGCTCATCGCCATGAAGCAAGACCCCTTCACGTTTGCCTACATTGATCCACCTTCGCGCGACTCGGTCGCCGCCGCGTTCCGTTCGCTCGCCGGCCTGGGTGCGATTTCGTCCCCCACCGAGATCACCACACTGGGCCGCGACATGCTCCGTTACCCTCTGGACCCGGAGCACGCGCGTATCCTTGTCGCCTCGTTCGAGCTCGGATGCGCCTCTGAGATTATCGACATTCTCGCTCTTGTCGTCTCGGGTCCAGTCTTCCTGGACCGCGCACAGGACGCCCGCGAGACTGCCGCTGCCGCGCGTGCCAAGTTTATCCACCGCGACGGCGACCACCTCACGGCCATGAACGTCCTGCGAGCTTACCTCGCACTCAAGGAACAGCGCACCGACGACGACGACGACGACGAGGCCGCCTCTGCCGAAAAGAAGGGCAAAAAGGGCAAGCACGCCAAGGAAGGTGGTGGCCTCTCGCAGTGGTGCCGCGACAACCACGTCCAGGGCAAGACGCTCGTTGCGGCGTGCAAGGTGCGCGCGCAGCTGCGCGAGCTCGCAGAGAGGCACGGTGCCGACTGGCGCTCGTCCTGTGGCAGCGAGTACGCCGCTGTCGGCCGCGCCCTCCTCCAGGGCCTGTTTATGAACACGGCCGTCATCCAGGCCGACGGCACGTACCGCCAAGCCGCGGGCAGCCTGCAGGTCAAGATCCATCCTTCGTCGGTTCTTGTGGGCCGCAAGGTGCCTGCGATTGTCTACGACGAACTGGCCATCACGAGCGCCATCTATGCGCGTAACGTCTCGTCGTTTGAGCAGCACTGGCTCACGGAAGTGCCGTGGTTCCAGCGCGCCGGGTCGAGCACCGCGCAGCCCGTGACGCGCAAGAAGGTCTAGGTCTAGTCGAGTGACTGGTCCCCTTGCTCTCTTTCTGCCGTGTCTGTCTTGTCTCTTGCATTTTGCATCGCACCCATCAGTACTCTTATCCCCACCCGTACACTCATCAATGCATTTCGTCTCTAGCATACAATGCCTCTCCAATGCCAATGCAGTTGCGGATGTCCTACTCAAACAACACTTCCACCCAGTGCCGCCTCCCTCCGCCATTTATCGTGTCCTTGAGGTGTCTCTTGAGTGCGTCCCTCCCTTCTCCAACCACTGTGCCGCGCATGCAGAGGAGGCGGAGGGAAGGCAGGTGCGTGTCGGTGCTGGGCTTATGGGGTGCCTGTGGGAGCGCACCCACGAGGATGAGGATGATGGGGTCGACGGGGATGGGGAGGTAGGATATGTCCAGAGTCTGCACACGCGTGAGCGACTGCGCGGGAGCTGATCACCTACACGAGTGACGTTCAACTCACCTGAAGAACGAGCATTTTGCGTGCCAAGTTGCCCAAACCCAGCACCCAGCTGAGATACCCGTTGGGCATTTCTTTCGGCAGCTGTGCCCCTGCCAGACCCAAAGACCTCAGCCCCGCAGGGAGGACGTTGACGAGCCGGTCCAAGTCGGCCGGTAACGTCGAGAACGCCAGGTTCAGCGTCGTGAGCGTCAGAGCGCTGAACCGGGGCACGTCGCGGAGCAGCGGGACCGGGTTGGGATGACACGTCAAGCTCAACGTGTGCAGCGTCTCGCTGCCACCTTGCTCGGCATCCCAGTCCCAGTCCCAATCTTGGTCTTGTCCAGTGGCCGATGATTTCGGTCGTCGGTCGTAATCCAGCAATGCGCGAACGTGCTTGTCGCCCAGCCGGTTGCTGTCGTCTGGCAGCAGGAGGGCCGAGTCACGCAGGACACGGCCTCGTAGGCGGATATCCAGCTGGCACGCGCCAGCGAGCATGGCGTCGCCCATGGTCACCACTTGCCCGTCTTCTTCGTCTACCACGGTCGAGTCGCGCATCGAGCGGAGGATGACGGATACGCATGCGTCTACCAGCGATGATGCGCCGCGTGAGGACGGAGGCAGCCCCTGGCGTCGTGCAGTGTCAAGCTGCGCCGCTGCTTCTCGTAACAGTTCTGGTGTTACCACCTTGTTGGGTGTCGCAGCAGCCATCTCCTCCTTCTTGTCTGCGGTTGCGGGCCGCCAGGATCGCGGTGGGGCGGGTCCAGCGACAGACCGGGCGGCTTGCGCGTGCGCAACCTGTTCTCGACGGAGGAGCTCTGCTCTGCGCACAATGTCAGCGTGGCTGTGGGTATCAGGAGTACTCCTACCCACGGATGCACGCTTGCTCTATCCAAATCGGCAACACCTTCAGGCGCAGGTGTCCAGGCAACGGTGGTGGCCAAATGGGGAGGGCGGTCACGGGGCACGCTGGGCCCTGCCTGTCGTGACGAGGTCAGGAGGTCATTGACGCTGCGTTCGCGCGTGTCCTCTCTCCTTGCATGTGGTGTTGTGGACGACTCGCCAAGGAGGTGCTTGAACGTGAACGAGTGTTTGGGCATGGAGGGAGTGGCGATAACGAGCAACCTGTTGCGTGTGTTGTTGCGGACCCAAAGAAAGACAGATGGTGTGGAAACGGCGTTTACCCCGCACTTTTACCCCACACGCATCCCCCGCCCACCCGTCGTGTGCGTCACTGCCCCGGCTAATACATGAGAGAAGGCGGGGCACATGGTGGTTGCTCTCGTCTTGCCATTGCCCATTTCATTTGCAGTCTTGGGCACCCCCATCCACACACAACACTCTTGTGCTGCCATCCACCATGCAGTCTCGTAACGAGGCTCACAGCCAGCACGAGTCGTACCCGGTACACAACAAGGACGCCCGTAAGTGCTGGATCTCCAGACAAGACATGGCCACGCGCTCATCAGCCCACCCCTCCCCCGCATCTGACAGGGTACAAGAGCCTGCCTTCCCTCCGCGGCCGTCTCGACCAGTTTGTCGTATGTAGCATGTGCACACACCTTGCCGATTAGAGCGTTCTCTGACCCATCCTCGCAGGGAGGCCACTTTGCCAAGGTCAACCTCTCTGCCCTCCTCTTTGCCCACCGCATCGATGACAAGGAGCACGTCAAGATAGAGGTCTGGTCCGCCCCAGGCCTCACCAAGCCGACGTTTGAGGAGGCCAAGCGCCAAACATACAAGCCAGCCAAGAAGGGCCAGGAGTTTGGCCCCAGCTGGGTAAGTGTTGCGGACGCGTGGAAGGACGAGACGGATGGAGCATGTTGGCTGTTGCGATGCAGTGTCCCTAGGCGTGTTGTAGCACACTGACGTCACACGCAGACCAACCACTGGTTCAAGGTCACGCTGCACTTCCCCAAGGAGCTCGAGCACTATGAGCGCGTTCAACGTGAGCTGACACCCAGTTGCAGGAGCTGACACGTAGTCGAGTTTGACTGCTCGGGAGAGGCCATGGTGTTTGACACAAACGGCAACGTGTACCATGGTAAGCTTTAGAGCCCGGCATCCTGAGATTCGGACGCCACTGACCACATTCTAGGACTCACTGGCGGGTTCAGTATTGATCGCCGTGTCGAGTTTATCATCCCCGAAGCCCACCGCAAGGCTGGCGTAGGCCACTATTATATCGAGGCCAGCTGCAATGCCATGTTTGGTCAGAATGGCGAGAACCCACCCGACGTAGGTGCAGGTCTCAGACCAAACGTTAACCTCGCAGCCAAACAGGTACTATAAGCTTAACAGCTGCGACATTGTTGCTCCCAACATGGAGGCCTGGTTAGTGTAAGGTATGAGACCAAACTGACGTCTTCAGGCGTCTCATGTGGGACCACGACACACTGAAGCAGATCTATCAGCAGCTGCCCCAAGACTCTAGCCTCGGCAACCGCGCCAAGTGGGCGGCCAACGAGATCATGAACGTGTTCCAGGAAGGCGACCTGGACAGTGTTAAAGCAGCTCGCAAGACTGCCGAGAAGGTCCTCGGCGAAGACTGGGAGAAGAAGATCCAGGAGGAGAGCGAGGACGCCGACAAGGAACAGGGCACGCTTTGGGGTGTTGGCCACTGCCACATTGACACGGCTTGGCTGTGGCCCTTCAGCGTCACGCAGCAAAAGTCGGCTCGTTCGTGGAGTACCCAAATCGACCTCATGGACAGGTACCCCGAGCACCGGTTCAGTGCCACCCAGGCCCAGCAGTTCAAGTGGGTCGAACAGCAGTACCCCTCGCTCTTCCAGCGTATCCGCGCCAAGGTCGCCGAGGGCACCTTCCAGCCTCTTGGATGCACCTGGGTCGAGATGGACACCAACATGCCTTCCGGTGAAGCCCTCGTTCGCCAGTTCCTCTACGGCCAGCGCTACTACGAGAGCCGCTTTGGATCGCGCTCCAAGACGTTTGTCCTCCCCGACACTTTTGGCTATGCGAGCCAGCTCCCGCAGATCTCGCGTCTTGCCGGCGCCGGCAATTTCTTCACTCAGAAACTCTCGTGGAACTCCATGTGGGTGAACAGATCGTAATCATGCTGAACCCATCCAGCAACTCGTTCCCGCACAACACGTTCAACTGGGTCGGTTTGGACGGCACCCAGGTGCTGGCCCACATGACGCCCGTGAACAACTACAACAGCCAGTGGGTGCCGAAGTCGGACAATTACCCAGACTAACCCACCAGGTGCAACATTGACGATATTCGTCGCGGTATGACCAATAACAAAAACCTTGAGGTCACTTGTACGTCCATGTGACAGCCTGCACCAGCTAACGGTCAGCCAACGCACTCCTGCTCTTTGGTAACGGTGACGGTGGTGGCGGTCCCACACCTCCCATGCTGGAGAAACTCCGTCGCGCTCGAGCCGCTGGCAAGCGCCACGATGCCGGTGGTCAGCTCCCACTCGTCAAGATGGGTGGTTCCTTTGAACAGTGCTACGACGCTATCCGCAAAGAGACTGACAACGGCCGTCTTCTCCCCATCTGGCGTGGCGAGCTCTACTTTGAGCTTCACCGCGCCACGTACACCTCCCACGGCTCGATCAAGAAGGGTAACCGCAAGGGCGAGATTCTACTCCGTGAAGCCGAGTACGCGACTTCCATGGCCAGCATCCGTGACGCGTCGTACAAGTACCCCAAGGAGAAGATTGACGCGGCATGGGAGGACCTCTTGCTCTGCCAGTTCCACGACGTGCTTCCCGGCAGTTCGATCCACATGGTCTACGACGATGCCGAGGAGAAGTATGCCAAGTTGCACAAGTCGATCTCCAAGGTCATCGAGGACGCCTACTCGGTCCTCTACAAGGGCACCGTGCCCCTTGGCTCCAACGAGAATGTCTCTGGCAAGCCGTTCATTCTCGCTGTCAACACCCTCCCCGGCCAGCCCCGTCACGAGGTGGTCAAGGTTCCCCTCAAGGACCACTCTTGTGTGCGCACACACTCGGCACAGGTCGCCCGCGACGGCAAGCACGGTTACCTCCTGCTGGAAGCCGACGAAGGCGCTTTCGGTGTTCCCAAGGGCTTGTACGCGGATGTTGGTCGTGCCACAGCCACTCAGGTCGGCGACGACGCCTTTGTCCTCGCCAATGAGTCGATCAAGATGAAGATTGAGGGCGGTCGCATCACTAGCCTCGTGGACGTTGCTCTTGGGTGGGTTCAGGTCCTCAATGGACTAAAGCTAACCCCGCAGCAAGGAACTTATCCCCAAGGGCCAGACAGGTGGTATGGTCATCATGGAGGACCACCCGAACTACTGGGAGTGAGTTAGGTGTGTGAGGGCTCCAACTGACCCTTAGCGCTTGGGATGTCGACAACTTCCACCTCGAGAAGCAGACACACCTCAAGTTTGAGTCTGTTGCGATCAAGGAGGCTGGCCCTCTTCGCGGCAGTCTTGCCGTCTCACTCAAGTACAAGAAGAGCACCATTGAGTTTGAGGTCTCGCTCGACGCCGTGGGCGCGTCGCTCAAGCCCGGATCGCGCAGCTTGCTCCGCTGGGACGCCAACATTGACTGGCACGAGAAACACATGTTCCTCAAGTTTGAGCTCCCGCTCGACATTTACAGCGATGTGGCCACGTATGACACGCAGTTTGGTGTGCTCCAGCGCCCCACTCACCGCAACACGAGCTGGGATGCGGCCAAGTTTGAGGTTTGTGCACACAAGTTTGCCGACCTGTCCGAGTACGGATACGGTGTGGCCATTCTCAACGACTGCAAGTATGGCTACGCCACCGAGGGTAACGTCATGCGCCTGTCGCTCCTCCGCGGCCCCACCATGCCCGACCCCGAGACCGACATGGGCCACCACAAGTTTTCGTTTGCCATCTACCCGCACATGGGCACGTTTACGGAGAGCGACGTTGTTGGCGTTGCGTACGCCTTCAACGCCCCCATGCGTCTGCGTCTCGGTTCGGCGACGGCCGCCACGGCTGCGACGGGGACCCCGTTCGCCGTCCACGGTGCGCCCAACGTCATCCTCGAGACGATCAAGCGTGGCGAGGACGATATCCACGCCAAGGGCCACACACAGACGCTCGTTCTGCGTCTGTACGAGCAGTACGGCGGCCACGCCAACGCCACCCTTACGATGTGAGTTAACACGGTTTTCTGGCGCCAATAACTGACAAAACCCTCCCAGTGCCGGTCTCGACGTCATCAAAGCGGAAGAGACCAACATTCTCGAAGACCATGTCAAGGAGCTCGCCCTCACCAACAGCGTCTCGAGCGACACCGAGGTCAAGCTCGGGTTCCACGGCTTTGAGATCAAGACGGTGCGCCTTACGCTTGGCAAGGCCAGCAAGTCGGGCGACGGGTGGATCAAGCTCTGAAGGGGAAAGGCGCAGACATGATGTCGCCCCCAAGTCAGAGCCATGTTCGTTGTAAGAAATCTACAGAAGTTGGCGGTTATGTAGACCGGCCGTTGTTATGCAAAGAATGAATCTTGTCGCGTCTCTGGCACGTTGACTGCGGTTGTGGAGCGCACCTGAGAGCCGCTTGGCAAATTGTGAAGAAACATAGTGCCATGGCGACAGACCGTATGCACAAAAAAATTGACATGCACATGCACAATATGACTCTCTGTCTTCTTAACTCTCTAATTGCAATGCTTGCGGGTTGTACTCCATTGTGTTCTGCGTTCCCTGCTCCTACTCCACATCCTCGTCGCCGTGACGTTCCTCCGCCAGCGGCTGCTCCTCGGGCGTTGCGCGTGGTTTGGGCCTATACAGACCCCCAGCAAGATCACTGACGCGGCGGGGCGCGCCGGCGACACCAGACGCGGCGCCGACGACGCCGCTGGAAAAGCTGCGGCCGACCTGGCCGACCGAGCTGAAGATGCTTGGACGCGGCGCGGTGAGCTTGGGCATGTCGTCGTCGGTATCGTCCTCCACCAACGCGGCGGCGAGAAGCGATGGCTGCGGGGTACTGGTGCGGTTGCCGCCTGGGGCTGGGGAGACGGTGCGGAGGGGAATGTCGATCCATGGCGACTTTTTGCGCGCCTTCTTGGTGCCCGGGGCGGGCGTCTCCTCCTCGGGCTCGTCGAGACCGTGTGCCTCATGGAGCGTCCGCTTGATGAGCGCGAGGTCGTTCTCAATGTCCTCGACACGAGCGTTGAGGCGGGCGAACGGCGTGTCGTCGCCTGAGCGAGCGTCGGCATACGCACGGGCATCGCGCAGGACCGAGCTGGCTTGCACGACACCGTTGGCACCGACACCGAGGAGGGCGGCAAAGCCGTGGAACTGCCTGTCCTCGTCGGCCACGGCAATCTCGGCATCGACGCGAGCGTCTTCGATGACCTCGTGCAAGCCGTCAAGGATGGAAACAAGGTCGTCGTGGGCAGTACGAGCTGGGCGGAGAGCGAGGGCGCGACCGAGAGCTGCACGCTTGGTTCCAGAGGTCGAAGTAGGGGTACTGGTGGAGGTGGCGCCGTTGCTGCTTCCCGGAGCGGCGGGTAGGGATGCGCGAAGCGACTTGAGGGCGTGGGCCTGGTCGTGGAGCGACTTTTGAAGAGGTTTGTAGCGCGACTCGAGGGCCTCGAAGAGGATGGTGAGGTCCTCCATCTCGGGAGGAGGAGGAGGGGAAGTAGGCGGTTCGGGGGCGTCGGCAGTGGTGACCTTGTCCGTGTCGTCGCCCTTGACCTCTGCATCTTCCTTCTTGTCGTCATCCTCGTCCTCGACGTCAAACACGAGACCGCCCAGCTCTCCACTCGCCGCAGGAACACCATCTTCGGCCTCCTTGGCCAACCAGGCAACACGCTGCTGCTCGAGGTCGATACGGCGTTCGGTCTCAATCTGGAGGTCGGTAACCAGATGCTGCACAAGCTCCTCGGCGAGGAAGATACGCGCCAGGCTTTGGTCCTCGGTCGAAGCTGTTGGGGGAGTAGCAGCAGGCTTGCTTACACTCTTACGGCGGAGGAAACGGGCGCGGAATCCTGATCCACCAGGCGCCTTTGCCTGGTCACGCTTCTCAGTCGGTGCAAGAATCCCCTGAGCCTCGTCAACGAGCGCAGGCCAGTCGGGCGCTGGGCCATCGGCCTGCTCTCGTGCGCGCCGCACACGGTCGAGCCAACTCTCGGCACGCTGTGCCCTCGCCTCATCGGCAGCAATCATGCCCAAACGCAGGGCGACCTCGCGTCTGCGTCCAGCCGACTCGCGACCCAGCTCGTCGGCCATCTCCTCGCATGCAGCGCGGAGGCGCGCACTGCGGTCGGCCTCGCTCCTCATGCGGTGGCGGAAGGACGCACCCTCGGCACGGAGGGACGCCTGTGTCGACGCCGCGCGCTGGCGCTGTTGTCCGAGGTGCATGTGGACCGTCTGGTGGGCCTTTTGCGAAAAGGTCATGTAGCGCTCGACGACCTTGGCTGCGGAAGCGTCGTCGCGGAGGGCACGGTCGCGGTCGGCCTGGGCATCGACACGGGCGGTAGTCTCTGCTTCGAGCTGCTCGCGAAGGACACTGAGCGCGTGTTCCAGCTCCTCGCGCTTGGCCTGGAGACTGTGAATCTCCTTGTCCTTGGAACTCAGGGCGGAAGTAAAGTCGCGGAAAAGGCGGTGAACACCACGCTGGCCGATCAAGAGGTTGGAGATGGCTTCAGACGAAGTGGTAATGGAGTCGGGCTCCTTTGAATTTGTGCTCGGAGGCAAGTCGAGGGTTTGGTCCACCTTGGGGGAGATGGGGGAGGACAGCGAGATCTCTTCGAGGGCATCGACTGCGTCGACTGCCTCCTCCTTTGGAGGGACAGCTGGGGCATCGTCGTCAGCGGCCGCCGCCGAGAGCTCGGGCGGCTGTTGAAGAACATTGTCGGTCGCGCGCTTCGGCAGAGCAGGCGGGACCGCACTGGGGTCGAGGCGCTTGACGAGAGCCCCATACTCTTGCAGCGCGAGGTCGACCAGCTTCTTTTGTTCCTCGATGCGTTTCCGTTCCGACCTCTCAAACTGGCACTCTTCCTCGCGGTCTTCTTCAATACGCCGCAGTTCCACAAGAACTGCACGCTCTCCCTCACGCTCGCGCTGGGCGCGCTGAAGCTCCTGCTTGGTCGAGGCGAGCTCGAGGGACACGGATCCGAGCTGCTGTTCGGTAAAGTCGAGTTTGGCCGAGAGGCGGCGGTGAGCGAGGGAGAGCTCGGCAAGTGCGTTGGACGGAGACGCAGCTGCAGGGGGCTCTGGAGTGTTGCTGCAAATGAATTAGTATACCAACATGGAAGAGCGTAACGGTACCGCAGCTAGACAAGCAAGGGTTTGATGGTCCACTTTTGCTTCCCTCCAGCACAGACACCCGTTTTGCTGTGCTCACCGCAGCGTGTCCACCTCTGCCACCAGCGCGGCATTGGTAGTCCTCAAGCCGGATGCCTCCTCTTTCGCCAAATCGAGCTCTAGACGGACACCTTGGACATCGATGGAGGCCTGGTGCGCTGCTTGACGGTACTGGGAGAGTTGTTGGCGAAGGGATACGAGTTCGGCTGCGAGCGGGTGTTCACGAGGGAGGGCGGGTGTGTTGGCCGAGGTAGAGGATATGGACGGGGAGTCCAGTGTCCTCGAGGAAACCACGGGGGCCAAGGCCATGGCCGCGAGATATTTGCGAAGATGTGTGGGAGAGTTGGAGAGCGAAAAGTGCAACAACAATAACGACCACAGTGACGACGACGACCGACCGACCGACAACGAGCGACCACGCTCCGGTTTCAGGCACGGCGACCACGTGGCCCGGGCGGTTGTATATTATGGTGGTGGTGGCAAGTTGGCGCGAGCAACACCACCCCCCAGTCGGACCACTGGATGCAGTTGGTGTACACAATGACGAGGTAGAGCTGTAGGGAGATCCTCAAACATATCGTTGTGCGTTGTTACCTGAGCATTGGAGGACACGACGCCACTCGCCGACGGTAGGGAGTCCGCCAGACGCGCCAGACGTGGGTGTCTGCTGCTGCTGTACATTGCGCTTAGGTGGGATTGTGGGAGGGGGGACGGTACACGCGTCGACTTGGGCAGTATGGGCCATATGCTTTTGTGTCAACTTGTAGTTACTTGGTATAGGGTATATGGGTGGCCGGGGCGGCGGGAGTAGGGGGGTTGGCAACAAGTCTTTGCACAAGAGCGGCGCGAAACGCACATCTGACCGATCAAATGGGGCAAGATGGGTGGTGCCCTAGTCGACGTTGCCACAGTTTCGCCGTTCACTGGCCACTGGCCCCATGCGCCGCGTTCCCCGTGAAGCGAGCCCACGTGCATCGTCAGGTCGGTGGACGGTGGGTCCGGTGGCCTCATGACGGTCGAGCCGTGAACGCCGGTGTCCCAACCGGGATGGCCAACAGCTTCAGTAGGTGAGTTACGGCATATCGGCTCAGACACCTTCCTTCCCCGGGCGCGACAGCGATAATAACTGACCCCCCATTGGCAGCTGCGCCACGATGCTAGCAGACAAAAAGTATGTACTTTGTTTACCGTTGGGGAACAGATGCAATGTTCGGTTGCCATTGATCAGCCATTGGCAAGATGGCCGTCTCTTGTTTGCCTGTCCCAACACCAAACCTCCTCCGATCATGTAGCTTTCCTGTACCTGTACCCAAAATGCGGAAATGAGAACTCTGCTGAGCTGGACCGAAGTACAGAGAGTGCTCTGGCACCCGAGCAAGCCAAACGGTAGGACGATAAAACGCCACTTACTGCATACTTCCCTCGCTAGGCTTTGATGTTGCTCTTGTTACTGGCCAGTACATACATTTCGAGTGAGCACAGTCGTCGCCTCCACCCACGTCGGGGCAAACGTCTGCCTTTTCGGGTCCAGGTTACTTACTGTCTTGGTTACTGTCTTGCGGTACCAAGCCGATGCCAGGCCGAACAACTTTGCATTCATTGTAGGGAATGTTCGCTATAGGTTTATCCGGAACAGCCGCAGGACGAGGCGGGGGGGTGACATTGGGTGCACAGTTCACGTTGGACCTTGACACTTCCAACACCGTGTTTCTCTACCCCAGAACCAGAGACACTGTGCTTGCAAATGCACGTGGTACACGGCACGGAGCAACCCACGCGGCCGTAACACCGTACACCGGCAGATGCGCCAAAGGCGAATGCATAGCTGCAGGACCAGAAGCCCACGCCCCACGCGCGTCCTTTGCAAGCACCCACCCACTGGCTGACGCTGTTCAGTGCGACGCGTCCTGCCACGCAGCAACATCGGCATGTGGGGCCTGCCAAGCAAACCCACAGTCGGCTGAATCGCGCTAAGTGCCGCAGCGTCCTGTTGGCGGCACTTGGAACCTGTGTGATAAACATAACTACGCCTAGACCACAGTGTATTTGTACCTGTCTGGAACGCCTGTCTGGAACGTTGGGGCCCTGCTTGGGGATCCTAATAGGCCCCAAGAATTGCAACTCCTCAAAACAGCAATCTGTGGATGTTGCGAGGTCACATTGAGTGGACGGTCTTTGCACTAGTCTACTGTATCCCCTATCCGCTGTAGATTGTGAGGCACGGTATCCCTTATCTTCATTGTGTGGCTACCGGGTTGGCATTGCAGGGCAGCCGATGATCCATGACTAGAATTGACCCGGTCAAAGCCCCGCGTACCACTTTCCCGCCGGCGCGAGAGTTCAGGTATAAGGTACTCACTTATCAATTATCGGCACAGGGGACTCCAGGAAACAGTGTGGCGGAAGCCACAGTCAGTGGCGATAACGCCACCAGCTCTAACTCCCGCGTTCGTTCACCAGCTCTCATCTCCTCTGGTCCGTAGCTTGCAAATGTCCAGAGAGGTGTGTGTCACTGTGACGCTCAAAGAATGGTATATAAACGACGAAGACACACGTTTCGTATCTTCACTCACAGTTCTCCTCCCCGTTCTACTCGCTCAGAGTTACTGGGTAAGTCGCCCTCTCCTCATCGAAGTTTACAACCATTGACACTTCTTTCAGCCTATTCCCATCGTCACCTTCCTTTTTCTACTCTCCAACTAGTCCGCTCTTTTCTTCACGCCCGCTTTCTTATCGACACTTGCCCTCAGCTTGCCTGCCGCAGTTCACCATGCGTTCAATTTCTTCCACGCCGTCGTCTCTCCTCGTGGCTCTCCTCGGAGCCACGCTCTGCGTTGCGCAGGGCCCAAGCCGTACTGAGGTTTGGGGCAACGTGGCCGCAAAGCGCCAAGTTCAACCCACCAGCTTGCCCAACAACTGCATTTACACCTGCCCCCAGTTCTCCCAGGAGCTCAGTGGCATGTGCGCCATCTCGACTTCGCAGTGCGAGTCCGTCCAAGCGGCCGCGGGCACGACGGATACCGACTACGCCTGTGAGCTTTGGTCCACGACTTGTTATGCCAACGCGGCACTGTATGAGGAGCAGTGCACATCGAGCACCGGCGACTGCGTGACCTGCCCAACCTCTTCACTCCAAGCGTACGACCTTTGCCAGCAGACCCTCACTACCTGCATGGCCGACGCCACTGTGGTCGCCAATTCCGCCGGAGGCATGTACCAGAACCAGTGCCACGTCGCCTACGCTGTCTGCAACTACGAGCTGTCGCTACTCTCTCAAGTTACGCCATGCGGCGCCAACTGCGAAGCACCTTGCTTTGCTCTGACCGCGCTGAGTACAATCACTAGCTGGCTTTATAAGCAGTGCTACGCCGTGACCGGTGCCAGCTCGGCGGCCTGCTACGCCGGTTACCAAGCTATTCGCGCCGACCTCTTGGCGGATGTCAACGCTTGCCCGACCGCTAGCGACGGGGTCGATTGCACCCAAGTCGGTATCTACAGCCGTCCCTGCAGCAGCATTATCGCCGAAATGCAGACTGCCTTTGATGTTGGTCTGGCTGCTTGCCAAAGCGGACAGACCGTCGGTTCGGTCACCTACCAATCATGCGCCGACCACTGGACTTACGACACTGCTTACATCGCCGCATTCGTGTCTTCCTGGGGATGTTAAGCGATGTTAAGCGACATATGTATACGAGGGGGAGACCCCTCGAGGACTGGCGCACCCGCCATAGCACAGCTTTCCTTTAGAAATATCCCTTCGTAGCTCTTTTATTTTCGTTTTTATGAACAATTTGTCAAGTTTGGCTATAAGATCCAGATTGCAGTGTACGGCACTGGTACAAAGGCCCCCAGTAATTCTCTCCTTGGACGGGGTGAGATTTTGGGCTGTAGTTTGGGTAAGTCATGTGGACCGACTCTGATGGCACACGTTTTTTATAATTTTTAGGAACAGTTCTCACAGCAAAACACAACTCGAGTATGATTACAGAATATCAATCTATCAGTGTCCAAAGGAAGTCAGGTGTTTATTGTATATAATCACTTGCGTAATACAGAAGTACACGGGAGTTGATGTTCAGGCCTCGACAACATTGAGGAAGATAGAGTTGTCGACAAGGTGGGTGCCAGAAGAGGAAGACAAACAAGTTGCTAAGAAAGGAAGGTACAGACCAACCACCACCTGAGAGTGTGGGACGGCGACAGAGTAAGCTGACCGATCACATCACACATCCAGCCTCCACCCTTTGAATTCAACCGTCAGTCTCAGTCAGGTTTGTGGGGTTCGTGAGAGGGAGTGGTGCCCCTGCCCCCCCCCCGGGCGCTCAGAACGCTAGCCCACCCGTCGAGTCCACGCAAACGCCGCCCCTCATGGAATTCACGGAATTGATCGCGACTGACTGTAGCTGTACTCTACAAAGACGCTAGACCACTCTGCTGGAATTTGCGTACTCTACTGAGAGCACACACCTTATTTGCAGATAAACACTGCCACAAACCAGAAAACTGCAACAACAACAACATGTTGCGGTCTACGGGAAGTTCATGGCCGCCTTGAATTACGCGACGTGCATTGTGAGTGCCCAGGGCCACTCCCCAATGGCACGGATGGTGGGATTGTCTGTGATGTGACGAGCGCGTCTCAACAGACCCCAACAAGCCCCAGACTTGTGTGCCTTGAAGGTACGTCTGTTGCTGAGTGATTCGCATGATCGACCGAGAGAGTCTGGAATGCGGGAATCCTCTCAGGGACGAGCGGTGCCGTGGTGGACGACAGTCGGCACGAAGGACCGTCAAATGCCGGCGTGGTGGACGACGACGCAGGCCGGAAGTACGAAGACTGTCGCAGGCCGCAGGACTTGTGGCCGGTGATTCGATTGCTGGCGTTGCGAGTTGAGTGTGGCGGCTGGCCTAATCCACCGTCTTTGCGTATGCTGAATGACGGCCGGCGCCTCATCCCTTGTGCAAACGAGGCACAACAGGGAACCCGCAAACATCACCCGCACGGTGAATTTCCACATCTGCGGACGGCGGACGCGAGCAGTGGAGGTCTTACTTGTTTCCCTGCGCCAGATAATACGACGCGGCGAAGCAAAAGGAAGAAAGCAGGCAAGTGCCGCTGCCGAAAAGGAATCCGAACGAAGGTCCTGGAATCCTGGATTATCCTGGGTCTATTCAACGCATCTCATATGCATACGCCGTGGCGCTACAACCGCCACTTTTCATACTAGTCTGTTCTCGGCATTTTGCCCGGCCGCCTGTACCCTGTGTTACTACGGTGGGGTCAGTCTCTGTTTCTTCTCGGCCAATTTCCCAAGAACATCAACCAAGAACGTCAATCACACCACACGCGTCAGCATTTCGACAAGAGCACGCAGCCTAGCACGAGATGTGATCATGTTACACGTTGTTTGCCATGCCATCCAGCGGTGGGAGGGGCTTGCATGTGAACCTCGCATATGGCCCTCTCCTGAAGGGGTTGGTAGTTAGGGGTTACCAAGTGCCCGTTGTTGTGGTGATTGGTTCTTTGATCTGGGCGAGTACTCCCCGCCGGCAGGCGAACAGCCTGGGGCCTGTGCAGCCGGTGTACGGGCGGATGTCTCGGATGGGTGGGTGCCTCCTCCATAGCGCATCATTGATCGTTGAGACACAACCGGGGACCCGATGGCTACCCGAACAGAGCAATAACCTCAACGTGACAAACTCACGTGCAGTCAAGTGCTGCATGCTGGACCGAGAACCCTGCATGGGAACTGTCTGTGACCGGAGGAAGTGCGGGTCCTTCTCGCATGGACGAGGGGTGGATTTCGTCAGTGGGAGAGGTTAGGGCTTTTTAAATAAATAAAAATGAATAAATAAACAACATAAACTCGAGTTGCGTATGTGGTCAGCCAGAGCAAAAGGGCCACGAGGGTCGGAAGGAAAGGGATTTGCAAAAAGGGCCAGAAAAAAAAAGTAAAAAGAAAAAGCAGACACGTCCGGATTGACAGATGTTACGTCAGCGGGGCGGAGGTGGGGGGTCCAAACAAACAAAGGGGTGTTTCTATGTTTCTATATAAGATACTTGTATTGCCATTTGTTAGAGGCTAATCAAACTCAACTGTCCGTTGCTTTTTACTCTGCCCTTTTTGAGAGGGGGCAAGAGTACTTGCAGTACGTACAGCACTGATGTTTGGACGCTGTACGGTGTCAACGTCAACACACTGTACACATATTGCGCTTGTTTGCATGGTTCTTGTTTGAATAGCTGCTCGACGCTTGCGGTGCCGTCTGCATACGCCTTGCCACTTGGGAACATGGGGGAGGCGAATTAAGCGAACGCTGGCCAGATCCACCTCCACCCCCGCCGGTCTGGTCATGAATCGATGGTCATTTTGCTCAACAACGTCATATACCAACCATATCAACCATGGCAGCACCAGAAGCGCAGCAGACGCCCAGTCCCACAGTCATGAGGCGCTATGTCCTCGAGAGCACCGACTCTCTTGACGGGCTGGTCTTGGAGCAGGACGCAAAACTGCCAGACATTACGTCGCCGACGCAGGTGAGCGATGAGCGACCACGAGTCGAGATGCCGTACCAGCAACGACATTTCCTGACACTAGCGTCCAGATCCGTATTAGGATCAAGGCCATCTCGCTCAACGCGCGCGACATTCAGATTGCCACGGGACAGTATCCCCCGCACTCGGTGCCCAAAGGCCTTGTCCCCGTTTCCGGTGCGTACCACTCACTCGTCATCGCTTCTGCCTGTCCCACTGACGTTGTCCAGACGGCTGCGGTGTCGTCGAGTCGGTCGGCGCTCAGGTCACGCATTTCAAGGTCGGCGATCACGTAGCGCCCGTGTTCCCACAGGGCCACCACTGGGTACGTCCAGGTAGTTTAATGGACAGCTTGCTAAATATGCAGGAGGAACACCTCACGCTCAAGTCTCTCCGCCGTGGCCTGGGCGGCGGCATCGATGGTGTCGCTGCAGAGTACTTTGTCTGCGACGAGGTAGGTTCTCACCTTTAAAGAACGTGGAAGCTGTCACTGACATGGCTCGCAGGAAGAGGCCGTCCGCATCCCATCCAACTTTTCATACCTCGAAGGCGCGACTCTCCCCATTGCGTTCGGGACTGCTTGGTCGTCCCTGTATGGCCATCAGCCAAAGCTGCAAGCCGGCGAGACGGTGCTCTGCTTGGGTACAGGCGGCGTGTCCCTCTGCGCCGCCCAGCTCGCGCTCGGCGCTGGGGCACGCGTGATCCTCACGTCCAGCAGCCTGGATAAGCTCGACAAGGCCGAGAGGCTGCTTCGGCCGCTGGCGAGCCCTGGCGCTCCCAAGAATGTCATTCAGACAATCGACTATTCTCTCATCAAGGACTGGGACGAGGAGGTGCGGCGCATGACGCATGGAAAAGGAGTGGACTTCGTTATTGAGATTGGAGGCAGGGGCACGTTGGGGAGGAGTATTAGGAGTACACGCGCAGGAGGGTTGGTGGCTGTTTCCGGTGAGCTAGCTTGCCACAAGTGTGATTTAGCTGACGACGGGCAGGGTACATGAGCGTGTACAAGACCATCCCCCGTGAGATCCTCGAAGAAGGTAGGTTGGAGCTGCTTGTAGCGCCAAGCTTACTTGTTCTTCACAGACATTGCCCAGACAATCCTGTACTCTGCCGCCAACGTCCGCGGAGTGTTCTGTTGTAACCGCGAGATGCTCAAGGCTTGTGTCTCGGCGCTCGAGGTTGGTGGGGCTAAACCTGTCGTTGGCAAGGTGAGTCCCAGGGCACGGGTCACCGTCCTGCCCTAGTTGGCATAGGCCTCGCCCTCAGCTGTTGCTTCACAAACTCGAGCTGACATCCCCGCAGACGTTCAAGTTTGACCAGCTCTGCGAAGCATACAAGTACCTCGAGGCGGGCAAGCACATGGGCAAGGTGTGCATCGAGCTCGAATAAGGAAGACGCACAGTGGACAAACCCATATGTATGCATACATGCCTAGCTCTCATGCATAAGAGGACGACGAGAGCGTGAATGCCAGGCTCTGCGTTTGTTGTAGCGAGCGTCGTTGCCACAGAAGCCAAGACGGTTCCGCCACCAAAAGGCACCCAAATACCACGACCGGGTCCCATCGCCGTCGGCCCATCCGAGGACGTGCCTCCACATTGCTCACTCATCCATCATCCATCTCACCTCCATCCGTCCTTGTTCCCATTACCCCACACCCTCACTCTCAACTCGGCTACATCACACGCATTCTCCGGCGGCACAGAGCTACACCACAGCCAGCATGCCCGCATACCCGCGCCCACACGCCGTGGTGCAGCAGCTGCTCGAAAGGGCCGAAGACGCAATCCTCCAGAGCTATGCGCTTCGTGACGCACCCCTGCGGATCAGGCCGGTGAGTGTTCTTCTTTGTTGACCTGCGTCAATACAGGTGGGCTGCGTGGGATTTATGAGAATCTTGGATTGTGGGGTGATGAGCGAGGTGAAGAGTCTGTCGCACAAAGACGGGGTCCGCGGAGGACCGTAGTGCCAGGTGCCGACGACACGACGTCGTCGGTATGAGCGACGGGCAGACGGGGTACAACGTTCACACGCTCTTACGGCGATGTCCTTGTCCATCTCTCGTTTATCCACTGGGTATGCGGAGCTCGCTACTACCCGGCCCGGTGTCGACACCGTGCAGCTGATCGAAGCCGAGGCAGCAGCTGTCACGTTGGTGTCGACGTCATCACCATCGTGCCATCCTACCACGGGACATTGTCGCCCTGCGCAGTGGTGGTCTACTGGATGCCTCAGCACCACAGGCTTCTAGAGCCCTACCGACGGCAGCCCGTACGCAGTGACCAGTGTACTGACCACCTCCTCCAGCTCATGGTCTTCTTCACCGCCGCGTGGCTCATCCTCCTCGGCGTCCTGGGGTTCGCCCCGCTCCCAACACTGCCTATCAACGACAAGGCCCTCCATTTCTTTGGCCTGGGCTTTGCCACCTTTTTAATCTACTTCATCCTCGAGGTGCCAGAGTGAGTGACCGAATTCCCGCACACTCGTGTGCGGCGATTCCCGAGTCAACACAGCTGCTGACAGTGTCAACAGGGGACCATACACGCGGGTGTGGTACATCCGCCGTGCGCCGCTCATCCTCGCACTCTCCCTCGGCTTCTTCGTCGGCGGTGTGATCAGTGAGATTACACAGTCGCTCCTGCCCGTACGTGCCACCTCTCCGTGCACCGTTGTTTCCCCCCGCCGGCTGACCATTTCCTTTTGCAGTGGAAGACCTTTCAGTGGGGCGACATTCTCGCCAACCTCCTCGGCTCGAGCCTGTTCCTGTACATTGGCGTCCTGCTCCGCCGCCGCGCTCGCCGCAGGTCGGAGATTGCCGAGCTGTACCAGCCGCTCTCGGCCGTGCAAGGCGCCTCGTACCGCGACGCCCAGGGGAGGACGCACGCGTTCGCGCCCGCCGGCGCCGCCGCGGGCGCGGTGGGAGCCATCGCCCTGCCCGAGGGTGAGGACGAGGGCCTGATGAATGCCAGGGAGGACGTGTGGGATGACGAGCTTGACGAGGGCGATCTTGCTGCTGCCACGGCCAACCCTTTTTCACTGGGTGATGGCGATGACGAGAGGGAAGAGAGGGATGCCCGGGACATGGTGTAACGACAAGACCGTAACGGAGAGAGTATCAGGAGCGCAGGCACATCATCATAATTCTGCATGGCATGGAACAACAGTATTGCACTCGTCTTATTATATCTTATCTAACAGGTGTCTCTGGCACTCCCCTACACCTGGCTCCATCGGCCTTGTCGTCGTCGCCGCCGTCCTCCTCATCCGTCATGACCATCAACCCTCCTAAATCGTCGTCGTCGCTGTCTCGCCTGGCCAACGGCGTGCCGCGGACAATGGCCATGCGCGCCGTCACAGGCGTCTCGGCCACCCCGGCAGAACGACGCATGGGCGTCTCCGCCACGAACGACAGCACACTTGCGCTACCGCCACGCTCCGCCGACGACGGCTCCTCGTGGATGGGCGTGGGGTGGCCGTACGGCGCACGAAAGTTAAACTTGGGCTTTGCAGGCGTCTCAAAGATGAGCGTCTCGGCGTCGGCCTGGGCTTGGAGCTGCGATTGCGATTCTTGCTCCTTGCGCCGGAGTGCTTGTTCCGTGTTGCGGCGGCCAAGGAGGCCTGATGACGTCGTGCGCGATAGCGCGCCAGACGATGAAACGGTACGTGAGAGCGCGCCAGACCTCTGTTGCGATCCATCGCTGGTGCCCTTGTCCTTGGTGCCCTTGTCCTTGAGGCTGAGGCTGTTTTGGCGCAGCACGCTGTTGGTGCGGCGGATCAACCCCACTTCGCGGCCCTTGAATATATCCCTACCACTGGGTGCGCGGATGATGGTTTGTTTGCTTACTGGGCGACCAGGATCGCGCATCAGGCTCACGGGATCCATTGAGCTCGAACGCGATCGGCGCAGCCTGTCGCCGTGTTCACTGGCGGCGCGCGAGACAGAGCGCTGGAGGATACGTGCTTGGGTTCCGTTTGGCGGAGGCGAGTTGGCCGACATGCGCGACGTGCGTGATGTGGACCGCTGCATCTTTGCTGCTGGAGGGTCACGCAGCGCAGCGCCGTCGTCGACAGACAGTCGCTTTGTGACCTTTGGTTTACGTGGTTTCTTCTGCGGTACCAGCTCCTCGGGCATGGGCCTGCCAAACACTTTGAGGTGGAACGACGCGAGAAACGTGGCTTCACGAGGCAGGAAGATGGGGACGAGGACCAGCTCCCAGAACCGTTTGAGACGGAATGACACGCTGCGCTCGTCTTCCTTTTCCCTGCCGTTGATGTCGTCTGCGTCCAGGCCGATACCGAGCTCTGCCACGGCGAGCCACAAGCCAATACGGTCGGCAAGGAGCTCAAGTGCGGCGTCGGGGTCTTCAAGAGGGGTGGGGGGTTGGGTGTCGCGGCGCTTGCGCTTCTTCTTCTTGGGCACGGCAGTGGCTTGGTACCGGCTGCGATAGAATAACAACATGACGAGCTGGACAAGCAGCCTGGACAAGGTCAGCGCAGAGCAATCATGACGGGGGCTCACTCTCTCCTCTCAAACTCTTCAGTCACACCCTTGACGGGCAACCCGCGCTCTCCTTCTGCCACCGAGCGGCATTTCACTCTCAGCTCCATAGCCGTGAAAAGCACATCACGCTCAGAGTCACTCAGGCCGGCGGTCATGGCCGGCTCATCAACACCGCTGCCCATGCCGTCCACGGCAGCAATGGCAGCGGCGACGACGGGGGCAAGCGTACGGCGATGACGAGTCTCGATGGCCGACAGACCTAGGATGTGCTTGGCGATGATGGGATCCAGAGACTCATTGTGAGACGCGGCGGTGCGCTCCAGGTCGTTCACAAGGCCGGCGATGGGGAAGAGGAGCTGTTGTTGTGAGTGAGCTGTCGTCGTCGCATATGTTGTTGTTCTGCAACTCACCTCTCCCAGATACAGCGTCTCGTAGTATCGTCGACTGACATACGCGTCAATATCTTCAGCAGGGACACTGCTGGGACCACTTATGCACCGTCAGTACAATGTCCTCCGTCGGTTTTGGCTCATCTACGCACGCGACTGGGAACGGCCACAGAGTAGTGATTGCCGGGGCACCTGCCCTTGTCGGCAGTGGTAACGGGCATGACAAGTCGAGCGTAAACGCCAGCGGCAATGGTGCGAGTAGCAATGGAGGGGCGGACACGGCTGCCGGGAGTTCCGCTGTCGAGCTCGCCATGGCTGCGAGGGCCGATGATAGCGGGTGGTGGTGGATGGAAATGACAACAAATGAGAGTCGCGTCGTCGGTCGTGCGCGTCGCCCCGCCGGAAATCAGTCAATGTCCCGGAATCACGGGAGGACGTGCCATTAGAAATGAACTTCAAATACCATTGTAATAGGAAACCCGTCGGCTAATCACGGTAATCTAATCGCCGACTGCAAGAACCACACGCGTTGCACGTTGCAGCCGCGATTGCGTCAAGCGTCGACGGTCCACATGGCCCACATGCATGGTGCATACTCCCCCTTTTCTTGCCCCAGACACCCCAGATATGCAGCGATAAAGCCACGACCCAGTACTCCCTCGCGTATGGAGAGGACATGAATCCGGTTGCCCACGGAATTGCGGCTCCGGGCGGTGACTCCGACCCCCCTCCAGACAATGACACCTGTGGGCCCCCAGCCGGCAACATGCGCTTAGCACCGTAGACGCGCCGGATCATGGTCGAACGGTACGAATGGGTCGTTGCATCACACGCGCCAGCTCCGTCGACCAGGCATCGAGCAACCACGTCCTCCACTACACCGTTTGGTACAAGACACGGAGTCTCCTTCTGCCCATTCTCTCTTATATCTATCCACCTGTCGCCCAACATGATCGCATCACACTTCAGGCTCCTCTCCCGTCGCATCCACACGAACCCCATCCACTTCAACATGGCCCCCATCGCCACTGCCTCCTCCAGCTCCCCGATCCGCTCGGCCTTTGCCGCCAAGGCCAGCATCTCCACCACCAAGACCCGCATGCTCTCCACCCGTGCTGCCCAGGTCCTCGAGTCGGTCGGCCTCCCCTCGAGCGGCGAGACCATCCCTGGTGTCTTTGACGGCACCTGGGGCGGTTCCGGCGAGATCATCGAGACCACCTGCCCCGCTACCGGCGAGGTGATCGGCCGTGTCCAGACTGTGAGCCGTGCAATCCATTGAAAATGCGTTTGGAAGCTGACCCTTCCAGGCCACCGTCGACGAGGTTCGCATCGCCATCGCAAAGTCGGCCGAGGCTGCTCGTGCCGTCCGCGCCATGCCCGGCCCCAAGCGTGGCGACGTTATTCGCCAGATTCGCGTCGCCCTCGCTGACAAGGTCGGCGAGCTCGGTGACCTCATCTCGCTTGAGATGGGCAAGATCAAGAGCGAGGGCAAGGGCGAGGTTCAGGAGGTGAGTGAAAGGGCGATCATCTTGGGAATGTCGTTGGTCTGACTTGGTCCCTAGTTTATCGACATTTGCGACCACGGTGTCGGCCTCTCGCGCTCGGTTGCTGGCCGTGTCCTCCCATCGGAGCGTCCCGACCACGTCATCTACGAGGTCCCCAACCCTCTCGGTGTGGTCGGTATCCTCTCGGCGTTCAACTTCCCCGTCGCTGTCTACGTGAGTGCTGGTTCCTGAGCGTGGCGCGAGTGTCCGCCGCGTTATCGTTATCTGTCATTCGTTGCTGACACCAAACCTAGGGCTGGAACTTTGCCATCGCTCTTGCCACTGGTAACTCTACCATCTGGAAGCCCTCGCCCACTACCCCCCTGTGTGCCATCGCGGTGACCCAGATTGTCCAGAAGGTCCTCGAGGCCAACGGCCTTCCCGGAGCCGCCGCTGCCCTCGTCACTGGTGACGTCGAGGTTGGCAAGGAGCTTGTCGCGTCCCCAGAGATCCCCCTGGTCTCGTTCACTGGTTCCGAGCGTGTTGGCAAGGAGGTCGGCAAGAACGTCATGGACCGCTTTGGCAAGACCATCCTCGAGCTTGGCGGTAACAACGCCGTCATTGTCGACGCCGACGCCGACCTGTCGCTCGCTCTCCAGGGTGTCCTCTTCGCTGCTGTCGGCACCGCCGGTCAGCGCTGCACCTCCACCCGCCGCCTGCTGCTCCACAAGAGCATCGCCAAGGAGTTCCTCGACCGCCTCCTCCCCTTCTACGACTCGGCCACCAAGGCCCAGACCCTCGCCATGGGCGACCCCCTGAACCCCGCCACCCTCATCGGCCCCCTCCACTCGGAGACTTCGGTGCGCAACTACGAGAAGACTCTCGCGGACGTTACCTCGCGCGGCGGCGAGATCCTCACCAAGCGTTCGGGCCGCATGGCTGCCCCCGAGACCCTCCCCGAGGCCACCGGCGGCCACTGGGTCTGGCCCACCGTCGTCCGCCCCAAGCTCGACGACCCATGCTGGCAGGAGGAGGTGTTTGCGCCCATCCTGTACGTTGCCGAGTTTGAGACTCTCGACGAGGCCATCAAGATCAACAACGCCGTGCCCCAGGGTCTCTCGTCGTCGCTCTTCACCCGCTCGCTGCAGAACATGGGCAAGTGGCTCGGCCCCGAGGGCTCGGACTGCGGTATTGTCAACGTCAACGTCGGCACTTCGGGCGCCGAGATCGGTGCCGCCTTTGGCGGTAACAAGTCGACTGGATGGGGCCGCGAGTCGGGCGGTGATGCCTGGAAGCAGTACGTCCGCTGGAGCGCGGCGACTGTCAACTACGGCAACAAGCTGCCCCTCGCCCAGGGTGTTAGCTTTGGTCCTACCGAGTAAAAAGGACCGAGTAGGACGTATTTGCATGGCGAAGCCTAGTTAGAGAAGAAATCATTGTACTACTTGCAAGATGTAGGATTGAGCACTGGCGCACTGGCGCACTGGACAGGGATCGCACAGGAATTTACATGCCAAATTGTAACAGCTCGAGCTTCCACATATCTCCTGCATTAACTATAACTAACCCCTGTAAACTGCTGCAGCGCCTTCCACCACCTCCGCCATGCATGTCACACCAGGCCATCCGTCTACCATTAGCCATTAGCCATTGCCATTGCCATCGCCCACCCACAGACAACACAACTCACGATAGTCTCAGCCAGTTGGTCCAGAGTGTCCCTAACAAGGCGAAGCTGCACCTCTGACGACGAGCCCTCCCACACCGTCGGGTGAACCACAAGGGACAGCTGTGCGTTGACGGTCACGATAAGCTTGGCATCCAAGCTCCACAAGTTTTCGTAGAGCTGCTTGATGATGTCGTTGGCCGGGGTGTCCTTGCGGAGTGGGGTCATTGTCTGGGACATGAGCGGGAGGCCAAGTGAGATTTCACTCACCGAAAGGAAGCGCGCCAGAAACTTGTTGCCCCCCGGGAGCGGGGCATCTTCTGCACAAGACTGACATGTGGCATCACATCGCGAGGATAGGCCCGAAGGCAAGATGCGCAAATCGGTTGACCCGCCATGTTGCGAGACAGGTACCACCTTCGACGGGGCAAACACCCTGCTGTTAGATGCGTTTAGCGTACGACACTCACCAAGACATGCCACAGCAGTCGGGGTTGCCCTTGTGCGCGTCGGCGCACAAGAAGTTGGGGGAGTAATAGGCTTAAGGAGCTACAGGCAGTCAGCAAATTAATGTAGTTGATACCTACGCAGTCTCTTTGGGTGCTGCCAGATCCGAAATCTCGCACATGTTCTGGTCGGCGAGGCGGGCCATTTCCCTCCTCTGGTCGTCAAGACGCCACTTCATAGACTCCCGGCAGCAGTTGCACAAGACAGGAAAGATTCTGATGTCAGCCATTCAAAAGTTCCATGTAGACCTACCCGACAGTAGTAGGCGTAGGGTGGGCAAGTGGTTGACAATGTGGAATGGTTTTGGGCACGACGTGAATGCCGCAATAACGTTTGCTAGAGTTGCGCAGGCCCGTTTCAAGCTGCCACGGGGATAGAATGGTCCTTGAGGTAGTTGGCCAAGGCAAGGTGTGAGGCCATGTATGCCCTCTTGCCTGCTGGGTCATTCATGATGTAAGCGGCCAGGCTGGCCTAAACGCTGCGACCCATGGCAGGCCAGACAACAAGGTCGTTCGGGCCCTTGTTCGTTGTCTGCGCGACGCCCTTGTCCTTGCGTCGAGGCATGAAGAGCTTGATGCGCTCGCCCGACGTCTCGTACTTGTGCACCGCGGGTGCAAGCCTGTCATAGAGCAGATTGAAATTCATGTAGATGCAGCGGTTGTTGGTGCGACGGGTTTCGAGCGGAATGCTGGTGTCATTGTCGGCGTCTGTCAAAGGATAGCGCTCGAGAACCTCGATGAAGTCGGCATGCATGACGTCCTTGTTGCCGCGGGCGGTCATCGGACATTGCTGGATCTCGTCGTACGTCGCTAGGAGGACTGAGACGGGAGGACACCAGTTGCGACCGAGCATGACGTCCGACAGGTGCGTCCAATGTGAGAAGGGTGGAATGAGAGGACGGTAAAGTGACCCGGAAGCGAGTCGGAGCGCTGGAGAGCTAAACACGATTGTGAGCTCTGAGCGCTCGTAGTGGCAACGGGACTACCCACCATAGCGCCTGCGATGGGTGGATGGTCATGTTGGAGATGGGTTGCGATTGAGATGAGAGACGGATGGTTGAGAGGGATGGAGAGAAGAAGAGAAGAAGAGAAGAAGAGAAGAAGAGAAGAAGAGAAGAAGAGAAGAAGAGAAGGAGGCCTACCATTTCGCCCCTTTGACGCCCCTTGCGCCCCACGGAATCTTATGGCACAGACCAAGGAGAAAAAAAAAAGAAGACAGCATGACATGCGTGTTCACAACTATTAAAACCATCAATGCGCCGCGCGCTCTAACACCATCAAACATACGCCGTCGCGCTCATATGTTATTTTCGTGATACTCAGATATCGCCTGGGACAGTCTTTACATCTTGCTGAGGTTCTGCATCTGGACGAGCTCAAACTGGGTGGGGTCAGCTTGGTTGAAAAAAACAAAATCCCCCGAAAGTCCCGAAAATCATCACAACACTCACGTATGCTCCCTTCCTGGCGATGAGCTCGGCGTGGGTACCCATTTCGGCGACAGCACCTTCGCTTATGTAGTAGATGATATCGGCACGCTGGATTGTGGACAAGCGATGAGCGATAGCAATGACGGTGCGACCCTTGGAAGCGTTGTCAAGAGCGGCCTGGACGACCTTCTCCGATGTCGAGTCAAGAGCGGCGGTCGCCTCGTCGAGAAGGAGAATCTTGGGGTTGCGAACGAGGGCACGGGCAATGGCAATGCGCTGCTTCTGGCCACCAGAGAGCTGCGAGCCCTTGCCGCCGACCTCGGTGTCAAAGCCGTCGGGCAACGACATGATGAACTCGTAAATGTTGGCCTCCTTGCAAGCCTGGACAACCTCCTCCTCGGTGACCTCGTCCATGGGCTTGGCAGCACCCAGAAGGATGTTAAAACGAACAGTACCGGCATAGAGGGTGGGCTCCTGGGAGACGAGCGCCATCTGGGAGCGCAGGCTCTGGACGTTCATCTCACGAATGTCGACACCGTCAATGGTGACAGTACCGGACTGGGGGTCGTAGAAGCGCTCGAGGAGCTGGATAGTGGTCGACTTGCCGCAGCCCGAGGGACCCACAAGGGCAACGTACTTGCCCGCGGGGATGTCGAGGGTCAAGTTCTTAAGAACGCGGACAGCAGGACGCGAGGGGTAGCGGAAGTGAATGTGTTCGAGACGGAGATTGCCGACAGACTTGGCAGGGTCCACAACCTCGCCCTCGTCCGAATCGGCGTCGACTTCGGGGACGTTGTCAAAGAGCGACAGGAGCGAGCGAGCGGCAGAGTTGCACGACGACGCGTCAGGAACAAAGTTGAAGACATTGCCGGCTGAGGAGTTGGTTAGCAGTGTAGACTATAGGGGGTGCCACTGTGGGCGGAATCAAATCGACCAGGAGCGGAACCAAATTGAAACGGCAGCGGTACCTGATTTGGTTCCGGTCCACTTGTGGCACATATTCCGTTCCACCTCTGCCACTCACCTTGGATGGCTGCAAAGAGGGTCGCGGTCAAGCAGGTGAAGAAGGTGGCCGTGTCGTACTTGCCATCGGCAATCCAGATAGCGCCCACGTAGAACACGAGCGCAATAACGAGGAAACTTATGCCTTGTGACGCGGCATAAAGAGCTTGAGAACGAACAGCGACCTTGTTGGAGATGTTGAAGGGGATGTCGAGAGCCCGGGAGTAGTTGTTGTCAACGTCGGCCTCGCGAGTGAGAGCCTGGATGGTGCGAACGGAGCCTGCAGCCTCCGAGGCCATCTGGGTACTGGCCGAGTACCACTTCTTGACCTTTTGGTCCTTGAGGACGACGACACGGAGACGAATGTAACCGGACGACACGACGAGTGGAATACAGGCGATACCGATGAGGGCGAGGAGCGGGCCGTAGGCGAGACCGATGATGCAGCCGCCGAGGAGGGTGGCGCACGACTGGATGATCGAGCCGAGAGTGACACCAAAGAGACCTTGGACCTTTTGCGGGTGGTCGGCGAGGTTGGACGTGACGGCGCCAGTGGCGTGCTCCTCCTCGTCAAACCACTCAATGTCGTGCCTCATCACCGAGTGGAAAGCCATCGAGCGCAGCTTGCCGGTGAGCTGCCATCCAGTCCTGGAGAAGGAGCAGTTCTGCCACCAGATACAGATGGCAGCAAGGATGGCGACGATAAAGTAGTAGAGGGCCTTTTCATTGAGGGCCGTCTTGAGCTCCTCTGGGTCCTGGATCTGGAAGTCGGTGATGGCCTTGCCGAAAATAATGGCGAGAGCGGGGTAGACCATACCGCTGCAGATTGCAGCAACGGTGCCGGCAACGTACCAGCGCCAGTGCTCCTTGTTGAGAGTGAGCAGACGCTTAAAGATGGTGAAGAAGCCAATCTTCTCCTTGGCCTCCTCCTCGGCCTCGCGGCGGGTACGCTGCTGCTCGAGAAGGGCCGAGGCGACGGAGCGTCCGGTGACAGAACGCTTGAGACCAGGGAACTTTTCGTCAAGGGGCGAACCGGGAACGACCTCGTCATCATCAGAGTCGGCCTCGACGTCCGCGGAGGCGTGCTCAGCGGCGGTCTGCGAGAGCTTCTGGTTGGCAACAAGAGTAGCGTAGGCTCCCTCCTCGTTCTCGAGGAGGGAGTTGTGGGTGCCCTGTTCAAGAATCTCGCCGCCGCCCATGACAATAATGTTGGACGCGTCCTTGATAGTAGCCAGACGGTGCGCGACAACGATAGTGGTACGGCCAACGGAAGCCTTGTCGAGGGCGTCCTGGACAACGCGCTCGGAAAGACCATCAAGAGCCGAGGTAGCTTCGTCGAGAAGAAGAATGCGAGGGTCCGAAACAATGGCACGGGCGATGGCGACACGCTGCTTCTGGCCACCGGACAGGAGCATGCCGCGCTCACCAACCACAGTGTCGTACCCCTCGGGAAGCTTGGAGATGAAACCATCGGCGTTGGCGCTGACGCAGGCCTTCTTGACAAGGTCGAAACGAACCTCGTCCGAGGCCTTCTCCCACTGAGAGCCGATAAGACCGTGCTCGACGTTGCCACGAACGGTGGTGGCGAAGAGGGTAGGCTCCTGCGAGACGAGACCGATTTGCTGACGGAGCCACTTGAGGTTGAGCGAGCGAATGTCGTGGCCGTCCAGCTTGACAACACCATTGATAGGGTCGTAGAAGCGCTCGATAAGCTGGATGACGGTCGACTTGCCCGAGCCAGATGCGCCAACAAGGGCACAAGTGTGGCCGGCTGGGAAGTCGACGTTCAGACCCTTGAGAATAGGGACGTTGGGGCGCGAAGGGTAGTGGAACACGACGTTCTCAAAGGTGAGGCGGCCCTCGACGTTGTCGAGCTTGAGACCGTTGGGGTCGTCCGAGTCAATGGGGGGGACGCGGTCAATCGTCTCCCAAAGCTTGGCGGCAGCGGCACGGGCCTTGGTGATAGTCTGGATCTCGGGCGCGAGCATGGCGAGAGAGAACGAACCGATGAGGATGGACATGAACACGTTCATGACAATGCCGGCCGTGGCGCGGCCCTGGGTGACAAGGATACCGCCGTAGACAAAGGCAAGAGCGTACGCCGCGTAAATAGCAAAGAACATGACCGAAAGGCCGGAACCCTCGACCATGGCTCCCTTCATGCCGTTGCTCTGGGACTTGCGAATGTCCTTGTCAAACTTCTCGCCCAGGACCGGTGCAGTGCCAAACGCGTGGACCGTGCGAATAGAGGAGATGACCTCCTCGGCCAAGTTGCCGGCCTTGGACACGTACTGGAGCGACACGGTGGTAAACTTGGTCATGGCCCAGCCCATGATCGAACCGGCGATGAAAATGACGGGGAGAATGGAGGTGAGAGCGCCAGCAAGGCGTGGCGAACGGGCATATGCCAGGGCGAAACCGGTGATGAAGGTGGCGAGGAACTGGCAACATAGCGGTACCTTCTCGCCAAGACCTTGCTGGACAAGGTGGCAGTCGGACTGAATACGGGTGGCGACCTCACCGGCGCCGAGGTCATCAAAGTAGGCAATCTGAAGAACAGCGGTCAGCCACCGCAACACTGACACAACAAACAACTCACGTCCTGGCGAAGCACGGCGTGCAGGTACTTTTCACGAATGCGTTTGCTCTGCGTCTCGCAGGTGTAGTTCCACATCCACATGTAGGCGTATGTGCAAAAAAAGATGCCGAGGCCAATGCTGTTTGCTTGTCAGTAACAAGGTGGTGGTCCACACAAGACGGGTCAGGACTCACATCATAAGCCAGATGGCGTCGAGGCCGGCCTGGTGCTTGAGGTCGGCCCTGGCCGCCTCGAGCGTGGCAACGTTCTCCGGAGTGTTGCCGCCGGAGGCAACAGTGGTGGAGATGATTCCGAATTGGGTAAAGGCGTCGGTGAGACGACCGAAGATGAGGGTCATGAGGGGCTGGGCCGCGCCGGACGCGGCGGCAAGAATGGCGCCCACCACGTCCATGAAAATCTCGAGCTTGGTCGCAAAACGGAACATGTGGGCAAGCGAGACTGGCTTGATCAATTCGGCAAGGTCCTCCTTGTCGCCGCCCTCGTCCTTCTTCTTCCTGCCAAAGAGGCCCTTCTTCCTTTTCACAGGAGGCGGAGTGGCTTTCCGTTGAGGAGGGAGCTTGGTGTCAAGCTCGCTGCTGGCAAGCGACGTCTTGGAGGCGGACGCCGGGGCGCCGCTGGTGCCAGGCTTGAGGAGGAGCGATCCGGGCGAAGCAGGACGGCTGCTGTGCATGGCGGCCTTTTCGTCCACGGCGGGGAGGTCATGGTTGGCAGTGGCAGCGGAGGTGGGGGAGCCCTTCTCGTGGTCGGACGACAAGGTGTCGGGTGGGGACTCGACTGGAGCCGTGACGGCGAGCTGAGGTGCCTGGGCGGCGGAGTTGGTGGTGGTGGTGGTGGCCGACTCTGAAGCGGCGGTCGGCGCAGCCGTCACCGGCGCAGGCTGCGCGGGGTCGGGAGCGGACATGGTGAAGGAGAATGAGTGTGGGCAGAGGTGTAAATGGGGGTGGGGTGGAAAAAGGGTGGCGGGTGGTGTTTGAGAATGGACGAAAAAGAGGTGTGAGATGTGTTGTTGGACAAAGTGTTGGAAGATGAGAAAGGTCGTTGAGTGGATGGTGCAAACAAACGGATCCGACGAGAGAAATGCTCCAGGCAACACGTCACGGTCGGGCGACTGCCGCCGACGCGCGGTTGACTCACTCGGCACGATGGGTATGCAGCGCAGGCAGCGCATGCGCACTGTGTGCTTGCTGTGTCGGTTCGGACGTCGGTACAAATCTCCTCGCCCCGCACGCCCCACCAGCAAGCAAGCAACAGCATCACACACGCCCCAGGCCGACACGCGACGACGGGCAGCGCTCGCGCGCTCGACCGCTCGACCGCTCGGCACGCTTGCCGGGGCAACAATGCGGGGCACAGACGTGCGGCGGAGAAAACAATAAGGGACAAAAGGAAAATGGCCGTCTCCGTCTCTTCGGCGCCCGCCCGGACAGACGGCTCCGAGCGTCTTGGCACCACCACGAGCAATACACACCTGGCGAGCTGGCGAGCACACGCGACACGCAGTGCATGCGCGCTGGCTGTGAGCAAAGATAGCAAAATAGCAACAAAAAAGTGCTAAATAGCGACGACGCGTGGCCACTCACTGGGATCATGGGATCATGGATCACTGCCGTCGTGCCATCGCCCCCCCCCCATCGTCTGTCGGGAGCAAGGCAGATCGTGCACCCCATGTTCCGGCGTTCCCAGACTGCGAGCCCACATGCTTCAAGTGCCATTTGTGACGTACGACGACGCGCGGCACAGCCGGCAGGCTGGAACAGAACGGCACACAGGCCCCCAAAGCTCCACGGCCACGAGAGAAAAATGGCAACACACTTGCACCTTTCTCGGTAAACCCGCTCATGTTGCGGATATTCCGCACCTGACGCTCGGAGATACTACGGGAGAATAGGGACAGCATATGCTGCATGCTGCGGCGGGTCTGCCCTACGGGCCACGGGAGGCGCAACCTTGTCTTGGCATGAACGCACAGAGACATGCAAGCGCAGTTCAGTGATCAGTGTCTGTTTATGGGCTTGCCATATCCGTAGTTCCAACACACAAACTCGCAGTGCGAGACGGTCGCCGATCGGCCAGCCATGTTCACACAATCGCCGTCAGGCCAGATCGACCAGATCACAGGGGGTCTCGCTCTGCAGATTCAAATCAGCAGCAGCTCATACACCAGTTCCACACATGAATTCTAATGAGTTCTCGAGTCTCGGGGGGGGGGCGGCGCCGTACGGGCGGCATTGATGTCACTGTCCCACCCCATATATCATGGCCGTCGGCCTCGGACTGTTCGGTACAAAGGGGCCCGCCGCCAACTGCTGCCAACGACAACGCCACTCGCAGCAACGAGCAGCTCGCACCCGCTGAATATACCCATGTGGGCGTCTGGGCCCCCGCGGCGGTACCGCTCACGTTAACAGGGACGCGCTCGCAATAGAAGCTGTAGAGTGACATCCCTGGTGGATAGCAGTGCTGCAAAGGGTCCGATAATGCGATCCATGGTACCGCCCTGGCACCTGTGCGACATCGAGATGGTGGGGAAGGGGCATGCCGGCGGCCGGCGGCCGCCGAGATAGCGATTGGGAGCAAGCAGCAGCAGTATTGTCCGAGGCTTGGGGGGGTGGCAAAATGTGTTCGGCATATAGAGCAGACAACGGGGGCCGACATGGCAACCAGATCCCATGTGCCGGCCAAGTGGCCGCGCGTTCACGGCCATCACTTTCGTCACATAACGGCCACAATGCCACATTGGCCGAAACGTCGCAGGACCTGATCGCCCCCCCCCCCCCCCCCCCCCCCCATGTTACCGTACACGGACACACTCTCCATAAGAGGTCAAACGCGCGCTACATGCATGAACATGGATATTCTCATTAGGACGCGCCGCGAAGACACATGTCCATCGCGGGCAGGTGGGGGCCCGAAACGGTAGCGGTCAAGGAAGCAAGGTTCATCAGGCGGAGTCGAGTTGGAGCCGCTCGGATTGTCGGGCACTTTAGGTGCTGCTGCTGGTGCTGGTTGAGTAGCTGTCCTGTTTCTTGGAGTCCTGCCTCTCAGGTTCAGGCTTCTTGCTTCTTGGCCTTGGGGATCTGGAATCTGCACTGTCAGTGCCGTGCCGCCAACGTGTTGCCAGACTTCTCCCGTCTGGTCCTGTTGGGGATTGGTGCTGAGTGATGGGGGTAACGTCAAGAAGGGAGATGTTGCTTGTGTGCATTATGGTGCCCCAGGACCAACAGTGCGAGGTGTGTGATCAATACATGTGCATGCGTTTACCCACTTGTTCCTCGTCCTCGCAACTGACTCTCACATGGACCTAGAGGCGGAGGAGCGGCACCCTGCAGGCGTCACTAAGGCTGGAGTCCCACCTGTGCGCTCTTGACCAAGTTGACAACAAGTGTGACTTGGGAAGTGCTTGAGCTGCTGACAGCGGAGCGGCACAAGAAGCAATAATAAGGTGGCAGCTTGGCAGGTTTGATAGGTGAGAACTGGGGGCTACATTATGGTGAGGTTGTCGCCACCCATCATACATCCTGTCCAGCGCGCGTTCTTTTCGTCCACCTCGACACTCCGGGCATTTCCGTCACAACACCATTGTCCACCGCCACCGTCTTCACCATCATCCACACGATGGGTGTTCGCCACGGCCCTCAGGATGGACATGTAGCCATCCTGGCGGGTATCCTAGGCGCTGCATGCGTCAGCGCAGCACCAACTCTCCCTGCCAACTTGCCCCCGCCAACGCCCGTGTTCGTCTTTCTCCGGAGCGTAGAAGAGACTGCCAGTTCAACAAGCTCGACAGCAGCAGCAGCGACGACATCCGCAAAGCAAGGCAGCGAGGATGATACTGACAGTACAATGAGCAGGGTGCGAATGTTCGTCCAAGTCATGATCCCGGTCGTCATCGTTGTCACTATCTGCGTGAGTTTGCGCATGGCTGCTAGACTTGTAACCCCCAGCAGCCCCATGGCTACATGTAACACTGACACGCTCAGTGGTTTCTGCCCCCCATGAGACGCCATAGGAGGAGGATACAGGGCCCAAGACACCCCAGCGCGGTGCCCAACAACACCGGCGACTCGTTCCCAACCCACTTGGCATACAGCGCTCGACCAGGCGGCTTCCAGCCCAATCCACCCGCGCCCAGCGGCCAACAGGTTCAGCAGGCTGGCGTCCATCGCACACCCTCGACACGCTCGCTTCCAGTCTACCAACCTGCCGCGGGTCGCGATGAGGTCGTGCTCGAGCGGACTGGACTCGTGGCCGGCGCGGCTGGCCTCGGTATGACCGCGTCGCAGTCAACGCTCGCAGCGTCCACACCTCCCTCGCCCGTACTGGGTACCTCCGTCACTGCGGCATCGTCCGATGAAATGCATCACCCATTGGAGGTGCAGCAGCACCCTCTGTCGGACGCAACGCCAGAGTCACCACCTCTGCCTCCACCCGGTTTCGCAGACGGCGCCTCGCAGTCATCAGTGGATGGCCTCCCGTCTGCTGCTGTGCCGACGGACCAGCCACCACCGTACGAGGTTACCGCACTGCCCAGTAGATAGCAGTTGGTCTCTGAGTAGATGTACAGTACAGTGTGAGCGCACGAGGGAGTGTGCTTGTATAGACCTATAGATCAGGCGCTTTTAATGGCATTTGGTAGCCACATAGGCCCCAGTACAGCGGCATTGATATGGTATCCACCGTCTCAGTTTTGTTAACAGCTCAGCTCATGACTAACAAACAGGTCTGCCCCACAGTGGCGCGAGGAAGCGGTCATACCCCTGTTTATTGCCTGGGCCTGCGTTCGATGTGTCAGAGCTACGACCTTGTCATTTCAGTGAGACCTTGTCGTCCATTGCACTCGCCCTCTCAGTGGACATACAGATACCATCTCTCCGTCATAAACAGTATCACTCTAGCATCCACCCCTAGCACTCTAGCATCCGTGTCGAGTAAAGTCGTTGTTGGGGCCGTTGTTGGGCGGTGTGCGCGACATGTCCTCGTCGCTATGGAGAGGCTGGTCGGGGACGAACGGCAAGTCTTCGCCATGGACGTGGATCTTGACCTCGCGCGCCTCCTTGCGAGCGGCGGTAATGGCGTCGCGCACGCGGATCTCAATGGCGTGCGAGTCACGCACCGACATGTTGGCGGGCACGACAATGGTGAGGTCGAGCTGGATGAGGCCGCCCGACTTGACGCCGCGGACGTTGCGGCACGCCAGGAGCTGCTTGCCGTCGACGAGGGCGCTAGCGACCTCCTCGATCGAGCGCTGGGTCTTGGCGTCGATGCCGACGTCCAGCAGTTCCATGGTCGCCTGCTTGGTGAGGTTCAGTCCCTGCTGCAGGATGAAGAAGGACACGGCGATGCCTCCCACAGGGTCCAGCCAGGCCACGCCGCCGAGCGACGAGCCGACAATGGACCCCAAGGCGACAAGCGACGTGAGCGCGTCGGCGCGGTGGTGCAGCGCGTTGGCCTTGAGCACCGGGCTGTGTTCCTCCTTGGCCACCTTGTTGGTGATCTGATACAGCCACTCCTTGATACCGACGGAGGCCAGCGCAAACCATGCCGCATGAGGGTTGAGGACGGCAGCGGCGCCGTGGTCGTGGCCATGGTGGTCCCCGCTGAGGGCATGCACATGCTCGTGGCCCGAAACGCCGTGCGAGTGGAATAGCTCCAGGAGGGGAGACGGGACCGAACTTGGGAGCCACGCTTGCAGGCCGGCAAGGATGTGGTCAGACGGCAGGGCCTCGAGCCAAGGGATGAGGGTTTGGAGAAGGAGGTGGTACGAGTGAAGGCCAATGCCAAGGGCACCGCCGATGAGGATGACGCTGATGGCCATGGACCCGATGGTCTCAAACTGGAGCTGTTAGCTCAGAGCCGGCTTGATAGCTCACTTTGGAGTATCCCCATGGGAAGCGGTCGCTTGGGGGCCGTCTCGATATCCTCCAGGTGGCAAGCGTAACAAAGTCCTGCACGCAATGTTAGCGTCCACTCTGCGCGCGCAAAGGGTTTGACTCACTCCCAGTAGATCGGACAACGAATGTCCGGCCTCTGCCAACAGCGACGCCGAGTTCATCAGCAGGCCCGCCACACCCTTGGTGATCGTGAGCGCAATGTTACTTCCCAAGCCTGAGAGTTAGCTGTCGCTCACACCCAGCGCTAGCTCACCAAGCAGCGTAATCTTCGTGCCGCGGTCGAGCTTGCCACTCCGCAGCGCTTCCATGATCTGCTCTGCACCCTCCGAATGGCCGTGGTCGTGGCTATGCGAGTGGAACAGCCCGTGATGTTCGTGGTCATGGTCGTGGTCGTGGTCATGTTGGGCGACCTTGCTGCCTGAAGCGGATCCCGCGGCCGACGCTGACGCGGTCGATGGACCAGGCTCTCCGGGCTTTGTGGTGTGTCGGCGCACACGGACGAGCGACGCTGCAGAGCCGGCGGCCAGCATGCGCGGTCGTATCCTCGTCGACAGGTGGCGTGAACATTGCGAGGCGGGGTGACGTGCGGGGTGGAGGGTACGGAGAGGAAGGGGGAGGGACGATCGACGCGAGGCCGACGCCGATGCCGACAACGCGGCTGCACACCGTGCGCGAGCGTGTCCGGCCCGCAGGATGCTGGGTTGCAGCGACATGGACTTGGCAGCGAGGGGGAGGGCGCGTGGGGTCCGGGAGTGGTAAAAAAGGGTGCGTGCGAGATGAACAACACCAAGATTACAGACCGCCAGGATTCGGCCGGCACGAACGCAAACGACGCAACACAAAGAGTCAGGAACTGGGATCGAACTGGGACCCGATCGGGGGCCACGGGGGCCAGCGGTGTCGTTTCGGCCGGTTCAGATTGCGGGCCGTCGGCGACGCCAGTGACGATGATGGCGGGGGCCTGGAGGACGACGGACGCGGCGGTCTTCGTCAAGAAGCTGTCGAGCGTTTAGCGAGTGACAATGAAGCTATATCGGCGTTGTGGGATGTGTCAAGGGGACTCGGATCATTTGGCTCGGAACGTATCGCAAATGACCCGCGAGGCGCGTTTCTAATCAGCACCTCTTTGTGCCGCCGTGGGATCTTGGCATCTGGGGTTAGAAGCTTCTGAGCTTCTGTCTGCGAGATCTGCTGCGTACGGCGGACTGGCTGTGACGCTAGGGGAGGTCTGAGGATTGTACAGAAGAGGATGAGAAGCGAGAGCTGGACTCAAAAACGCACGTTTCTAATGCCATTCACTGGTTCCATTTATTTGTGGCCGCCACAGCACAGTGGCCGCAAACATCGTAACATGCAGCTCGTGTCCATGCAATATATAGATATACAAATTCAACCCCGTCTATTAAATCTATCTACGCACCACCATGCACGCTCGCACCAGACAGGCTGACTGTGCGCTCGAGCAAATTGTCGACCGTTGGCAGCGTACTCGAACTGCCCTGGCGCGACTTTTTGCGGCCCAGCCTGCCGCCCTGGTTTGTGCGGGTCGACTTGCGGTTGAGGTTGGAGAATCCGGGGAGGTGAGACGGCTCACCGTGCTCTCCCTCTCCATGGTCGTGGGACGCGGCGGATGAGCGACGGGCCTTCTCCTCTTCCACTTGGACTGCCACATCCTCCTCCGTCTCGCCACCTGCCGTACGGCCACCGTCCACCGCCTCCTCGGCCTTGTCCTCAGCGGTCTCGTGGCTCTTGTTGACGCTTTGGCGCCACTTTTCGCCATACACCATGGTGATGAAAATGGCAGCGAAGCCGATCCACTGGGCCGCAGCGGCCACGGTCATTGTCCAGCCAAGGCCAATGGCGTCAATCATGGGCAGGACAAAGGCTGATGAAGCCGCAGCAAACAGGTATCGCCAAAAGTTGTTGACCGAGATGGCCATTGCGCTCTTCTTCTGGTTGGAGTCGACGAGATACGTGTTGACCGGGGTGAGGGTGAGCTGACTGCCGATACCGTTGATGGCGAGCATGACGAGTGGTGGCCAAAGGCCGCCCTTGTTCGCCTGGAGGAGCCAGCCGTATACCAAACACGACACGGGTCCGATGACGCCTGCACCGAACAGAGCGGCACGCAGACGGTCCTCGGGACGACGGTAGCCGCGCTTCTCGATCCACTTGCGCACAACACGGTCGGCGTATGGACCAACGAAACGACTACCAATGAGCGTACCCAGTCCCGGGGCGATATACAGGCATCCCGAGAGGGCCACGTTGTGAATGTTGTAGCGGTCCTTGAAGATGACGGCGAGGGGGACCATGACGCAGTAGAGCTGGAGCATGACAAACGAAGAGGCGATGGTCGTGGTGACCACGTTCGGGTAGCGCATGAGCTTGAGGGAGATGAGTGGGTTAAAAAAGTATGGCACAAAGCGCTTGCCCGTCTCCTTTTGTGCCACCTCGTGAGGAGTAGGCGGGTGACTTGTCTCTGGCAGGAACATGGCCGTGAGGAAGACGGCGAGGGCAGAGGCGCCACAGAGAAAGTATTGGGTCGCCTTCCACGTCTCGGGCGTGTATTGTGTAAACACACCTGCGAGAACGGGCGACAAGGCGGGGCCGAGGAGGACACCCGAGTAGAACCATGCCATTGCGTTGGCCCTCTCGGTCGGCCTGTAAATGTCACCAACGGTGCCGGCGCCGACGGAGAGGACGGCAGACGAGCCAATGGCTTGCAGAATTCGTGTGCCGATAATGGCGCCGATGGTCTTGGACTGTGCCACACCGATCGACGCCACAGTCATGATGGGCATCGAGGCCAAGTAGACCGGCTTGCGACCATAGAATCCAGAGAGTGGCGACCAGATAAGGGGTGCGACACCGACGGTCGCAGTGAAGATGGCGACGGTGTAGTTGATCATCGACTCGGAGGTGTGCAGGTCTTCGGACATGACCGAAATCGATGGCAGGAATGCAGACGAGGCAATAGCTGGGAGACGTTAGTAGTCTGTTGAACCGCAGTGGCAGACAAGACGCCACTACGACAAGTGCGCGTGACCATTCCCATCGCTAGAGACAGCTGCTGTCTTTGCCGACGGCCTGCTCCGAAAAGCCACACTCACGTCCAATGAATGCAGAATATGCGACAATGGCAACGATCCAGTTCTTGCGGGCAGGGCTGAACCGGTCGTAGATGTCCTTTGGCCTGTTGGCCTCAATGTCCTCTGGGCAGACGGACTGCACAGTCACATGCTTCTCGTCGTCGCCACCGGTGTCCCGGTCGCTGGAGGATGCATTGGTGGCCTCGCGTCTGTGGTCTTTTGTAGGCAGATCGACGGCGGGATCGCCGTCAGCCACCGCGTCAGATTTTGGCGGGGTGGAGGAGGTTTTCGCCATGTTGTTGGTGGCGGCAAGAGCGTGGTCTTGCTCGGCGAGCGTGCGCTCCGACGACGGGCGCGACATGGTTATTGGGGCATGCAGTAGACTCTGATGAGTGTACGATGAGGATGAGATGGGGAGCAAAGGCAAGAGGAGACTGGCCGTCTTTTCTTGGATGCCGACACACACCTTTTGCAGCGCACACGCCGTGTCGCAGATGGCCGACAACTGCGCTCCAGAGGCGGTTTTTTGTTTTGGGAATTAAGGGACACGGGGGGGTGGGCAGACGATACTGCCGTCGGAGCAGGCCGACGATGCGTTGTTAACATCGAGTCACAGCACGCTCGCTGCTGTGCATGTAGGCATGCATGGCACACAACCTATGCGTTTGGTCAACAGGCATACCATCCACTCACATGCACAACAGTTTGTGAATTTGTGGCCACCAGACGTTGGAGGGAGGCCCATGTTCTGGAGGCCCCTCGTCCCAAGTGCCTTTGCTTCCGAACTCCGAAATGCGATAACCGGAGCGTGTGCGCGAGTGACTAACTTGCCCCTCCATAATCCCTGGTGATTTCAGCAGGCCAACAGGAAGCCCAGAAATACACATGTGTAAGGGAGACATGTAAGCATGTAAGTATGTAGATAACCAGCTCATCCAAACAAAAGGCCCAAAGGGCTTTTGCCCGGGCGCTGATCGGCTGTGGTCGATCGCCTCTGTTGTCCCTCCCGCTCGTTCAACCACACTCCTCCTGCAAACAGGCTTTTGAGACGACAAATGCATCGACTCGTCCAACTTGGAAATAAACTGTAGATGATAAGATGACGAGGACTCTGTCTGTGGCCCGGTAGGTGGGCCACAATCCTATAGAATCCCAATCCCAACGACCAGAGGAGGGATGATCTATGTCCGCCACCGGCCGTTTTCTTTGATTTTATGGGGGGCTTTTTGCTGTCTCCCTCCTTACCTCTTCTGCCACTTGAGGAAGCGAGCAGCAATGAGAAGGACGATGATGTTAAAGACACAGTAACACAAAAACACACTTTTTTACGTCAGCAATGGAAGGCATATCAAAGGCTGAGTGAGACTTACCCAAAGTCACGCCAGCGGGTGGAGTAGTCGAGGGAAAGACCCTGGAAGAAGGTCTGGCCGGTCGAGTACTGGCAGTACTGGCAGCTGTCGGTGGCGTTGGGGTTGTTGATGTACGCTCCCATGGCGGTAGCGAACTTGCCAGCCCATTCCTGACACGTCTGGCCGGAAGGAGGCGAGAAGATGTGGAACTCGCTCTCCTTGCAGACGACCTCGAGGTCCTGGAGACCGGTGGTGACGAGACCAGAGATGAGGTAGGTGAAGGGGTCGAGGTGGTACATCCACGAACGCCAGAAGTAAGGCAGAGTAGCGGGGGGACTTGGGGGAGGTCAGCATTGAACGCCTTGACAGTGGCAATCCCGGGGGGACAAGGTCCACAACTTGCTGTACTCACGCAGTAACACCACAGAACACCGAGAAGAGCACCAGCAGGAAGGGGTTGAAGAGGGCTGCAATCATGATCGAGGGCGAGAGCGCGGCGACGGCCTGGCCGAGGGTGACGGCGTAGACCTCGGTGAGGAGGATCATCAGGAAGAAGTAGCCGGCGCGGGTCGCGGCGGTGGGGAAGCCAACACCGTAGTACAGGAGGAGGAAGAAGGCCGTGGAGCAGAGCACCGAGTAGGGCATCTCGGCAACGAGCTGGGTGAGCGCAAAGACCGTCGACGAGTACATCTTGGACGAGGCCTCGCGGTTGAAGGTCATACGCGACATGATGTACTGGGGCTGAATCTGGGCGAGGACCAGGGCGGGGAGGACGGTAGCGAAGAAGATGGCAAAGACCTTGTACTGGAGCGACTGGAGCGAGTTGTCGAGACGGAGGAAAGTGAGGGTCACGACGAGACCAATGGCAATGTGCGCAAACAGACGGGTCCACTGGTAGTCGGCGTTGCGCCAGAGACCAACGTTGGTGCGCTGGAGGACAGTCTTGAGTTGGAAGAGGAAGCTAGTAGCGTACTCGCCAGAGCCACGGTCCTCGTCGATGGGCTGAGCGAGGGCGTTGGCCTTGAGCTCGGTGATCTCGCGCTTGACCTCGGCAAACTCGGGCGAGTTGAGCCACTTCTGGTGCCAGTCACCGCCGATACGCTTGCGCGAGCCGGCACCGATAGCCTCAAGCATAAACTCGGCAGGGTTGGCGTCACCGGGGACCTTGGCACCGTTCTTCTCGAGGTAGTTGATGAGGACCTTGGAGTCCTCGCCAATGTCACCAAAGTAGACACACTCGCCACCACGCTGGAGGAGGAGGAGGCGGTCAAACGACTGGAAGAGCAGGGCGTTCGGCTGGTGGATGGTGCAGAGGATCTTCTGCCCGGCGGCAGTGAGCTTCTTGAGGAAGCGGACAATGTTGTAGGCAGACTGGCCGTCGAGACCCGAGGTAGGCTCGTCGAGGAAGAGAAGAAGGTCGGGCTTGGCAGCAAGCTCAACACCGATGGTGACACGCTTGCGCGCCTCAACCGACAGACCGTAGCCGGGGAAACCAATCATGCCGTCGGCAATGTCCTGGAGCTCGAGAAGCTCGATAATGTCCTCGACGTAGGCGTCCTTCTCCTCCTTGGGGACGCTCTCGGCCTGACGAAGGTAGGCAGAGAAGCGGAGGGCCTCACGGACAGTGGTGGTCCACTCGTGAACATCGAGCTGCTCGGCGTACGCACAGCCACGGGCAAAGGAGACGTCAATGGGGCGACCGTTCATGAGAACGTCGCCGCCGATAACACCAATGTTCTTGCGCGCGGCAAGAACGTCGAGAAGAGTAGTCTTACCGGCACCCGAAGCACCCATGAGGGCAGTGAGGGTACCAGGCTTGACGTAGCCGAAGACATCGTTCAGGAGCTGCTTCTGACCGCCGGGGACGGGCACGGTGTAGGTGAGGTTCTCCCAGGTGAAGGGCTGGGGCTTCATCGAAAGAGCGCTGAGGTCCGGGTCGAGCTTGCCGGCACGGAAGGCGTCGCGACGCTCAGCGAGACGCTCGTTGCGCTTCTTGATGTCCTTGTCCTCCTTCTTGAAGACGACAATAGACAGGTGCGAAGCGCCCATCTGGAGGGTCTCCATGAAGAGGGCCTGGAGGAAGAGGAAGAAGAGGAAGAAGCCAATGAGGATACCAAAGTTGCGCCAGATGTGGCCCTTGGAGTACTGGAACGCAGCGGCCATGTACTCCTTACCAGTGACGACGGCGTTACCGGCGGTGGAGCCGGAAAGCGCACACATCTGGTTGGGTCCGACACCGCTGGGGTAGCCAGTGATACCGGCAGAAGGGATGTTGGTGGGGATAATGTACGACGAGTCGCAGGTGAGGGTAATCCTGGAGAATTCGTTGGCAAAGATACCCTCGTATCCGTAGGACAGGGGGTTGAGGTAGAAGATCCAGAACAGCCAACGCTTCATGGCAAAGACGGGGATCATGTAGCCAGTGTAGGTCACCATGAGCGAAATCAAGACCGAGGCGAGTCGAGCGGCAACGTTGTAGTCCTTGGTAGCGACACCAAGGGTACGGAAGAAGCCGGCCATCACCATAAAGGTCGTGAAGACGAACAGGTAGAACGTGAAGAAAGCACCACCACTGCTGTACAGGCCACCCATAAAGTAGAGGATGAGACTGAACACGAAGATGACGGTGGCGTTCTGGGGGATATCGGCCAGAACGGCGGCGATGGCGTACGAGGCGGGGCGGTAGAAGCGGTACGAGATTTGACGATACAGAATGGGACGACCCATCATCTGGCCGGGAAGCTCAGAGAACGAAGTAAGAGCGTTGAAGAGAAGACCCAAGAAGAGCAGACCACCGCGAGTGAACGCGCCAGAAGCAGACGTGGGGAGACGGAAGTAGACGGAACCGACAATGAGAGCGATGACAATGGAAGTGGCGAAAGCCGCGTAGAGGTCGAAACGGTTCTGGAGCTTGAGGATGGTCTGACGCTTGGTAATGGCCCAGACCTGAGCAAAGAAGGAGACAGTGTAGGGAGACTTCTTGTTGACACCGCGGTGCTTCTGGTCCAAAACGGCCTGGCGGAAAGCGTTACGGTCGGCCTCGTCGGTCTCCATCTGCTGCTTGTACTCGTCCTTTTCGCGCATCATGCGGGCGTGAATCTCAGAGTCCTTGAATGCCTGGCCCATGGCCTCGGGGGTGCTGGGGGTGTTGCTCTCGTCACGGCCCTCCTGGAAGCGACGCTCGTTGACGTCACACACACCGGTGAGGTAGTCGGCAGACGTCTGACGGGGCAGGTCGGCGTAACCAAGCGAGATCATGTACGGGCGAGCCTCCTTGGCAGGACCAAAGTAGGCGACGTGGCCGTCGTTGAGAACGAGGACCTTGTCGAACTGGTCGTAGATACCCTCACCAGCCTGGTAGAGCGAGACGAAAGTGGTCTGGTTCATAATGTCGGTGAGGAGACGAAGGGACTTGGCGTAGTCGAGGGCAGTGGAAGCGTCAAGACCACGGGTCGAGTTGTCCCACGACGAAAGACAGGCTCCGGAGCAGAACTGCTCGGCAATAGAGACACGCTTACGCTCACCACCCGAGACACCACGGATGAAAGCGTTACCAACAACGGTGTTGGCAGTGTGCTTGATGCCGAGCATCGAGATGAGGAGCTGGAGGAGGTCCTCGCGGTACTCGTCGGCGCTGACGCCGGGGATGAGCTTCTTGGGGCTCTTGAGCTCAAGAGCGAAGCGGAGAGTCTGGGCGACGGTGAGGGTGGGGAGGTGGTCACTGCGTTGGTTAGAAATTGCGCAAAATCAGGTAGCACATGTTATACTCACTCGTCTTCCTGGTTGTAGAGAACCTCGCCGGCGTAGAGCTTGTACATCTCCTTCCAGCCGACACCGGCGTACTCGACGTTGCCGTTGACAGCCATGAAGCCGTCACGCTGGTTGGCAATGGTCTTGAGGAAGGTGGAGCAACCGGCACCGGGGCGACCGAGAACAAGACACATCTCTCCGGGCTTGAGAACACCCGAGTTGGAGGCAAGAATGGTCTTGGGCTTGGGGGCGAAGGGCTTGTAGCCAACGACACCGAGAGCCGAGACAACGGGCATCATAAACTGCTCAATAACGGCGTTGGTGAAGTTGCGAATGTGCATCTTCATGCCGCCGGCACCAATGACCTCGAGGTCCTCCCAGATGACACCAACACGCTTGTGCTTGATGTCGGCAGCGTCCTGGGCGCTGCGGCCGTAGCGGAGCTCATCGGCAAGGTTAAACTCGACCTCGTCGCCAGCGGCAGCAGTCGCCTCGCCCTTCTCGGCGTCAACAACACCAGCAGCGCTGGCCTGAGTGGCAACAGTCTGGCGGGTGGTGGTGCGCTCAGGCTTGCCACCGAAACGCGAGGTGACCTGACGGAGGGAAAGGCCAGTGGTGGTGCGGTGCAGGTCGTTCGAGTTCTGCGACATGGCAGAGTAGCGACGCTCGAGAGCGGCAAACTCTTCCTTGGCGCGAGCAACGTGTACATGGTCGTCGTTCAAGTCGGCGATGAAAGAAGAGTTGCTACTGGAACGCGTTTGCTCGTCACCCGAGCCACCAACAGCGAGGCGGGGGTCGACGGCAGTGCCACCCGAGGAAGATTCAGCATCGTGATACTGGTCGGCAGTCGACGCCACAGAGGACAGGGGCCTGCCATCTTCGCCGGTGACACCCGTGTGTGCGGGGTCGGCCATGGCGGGATGAAAAAAAGAAGGAAAAAGGGGGTTAAAAGAGAGTGGGGGGGTGGTGGGAATGAGTGGAATGAGAAGAAGAAGGGGAGGAGGGGGGATAGAGAGGGGACGATAAGAGCAATATAAAGAAACGTGACAGCGGAGAACCCGTCTGGTCTACCCATGCTGTTGGAGTGCATACATCCGGCGGTGGGGCGAGTCACCTCTTGCGGGTTGTTTGCGTGAGACCGCCGGCCACACCCAGCCAAAAAGGCCCAAATCTTTTCAGGACCGCCCGCCGAGACCACCATACCCATATCTGATGCTTTCCGGAGCAATATCCCTGAGACCATCTCAGCAGCACCGGAGCGTTCCACCGACGATATGCCCATCGATGCCGGGCATATCAGGGACACTTAGCCTGTCTAGTGGCCGCCGCCTGCCTCGGACACCGGGGGAGAGGGCCAGGAGCGCACCAACAGCGCAGCGTTCACGAGAATGACCAAGCAGGGACCGCGCAACACCACCTTGGCAGGCAAATCCTTCTCGGATCCGGGGGGCTGCGCCGTCGACGCATTTAATCCGGATCCGAACTAGGCAGGGCAACGTAACTACATGTGGAGGGCAGCAACACGACGGCTCGGCGGAGCATGTGGAGCGGTCAAAGACACATTCCAGCTGGGGTTCTTTTTTTTGCGTGAGAGAAGTGGCATCGTGCATCGTGGTTTGCAGGCATACGCAAGCACATCAACACAGGCAATGTGAATTTAAGATCGGCGATTGGCGTATATACAGTATACGCTATGAGGGGCTCGAAACATTGAGTAATTGAGTCATGAAGAGAGGGCCAGCAAGCCAACCCGTCGTGCCACACGTGGGGACGGCTAAACACGTAAAACAGCCGCCGCCGGCGCCAGACATCCAGTAACCTGACTAATAGCCCGTGCTCAAAGTGTCCATCTCCGTGTCTGTCTCCGTGACAGTCGCTCTTCCCGGAAGAGCGGCTGCTTCCATCGCGGACATTGGTGAGAGGTCCGTCGTCACGGTCTTGTTCATAGCAACACCGGGTGCCTATCCAGCAGGTTCGGACGAACTGTCTGACGAGTTTACGCGATGTGGGACGATCCACGCCAGGCCTGCAAATAAACAAACAAAAATCTGTTAAAAGACATGACTGTCTTCAGAGATCAGAGAGACACCAGAGGCTTGTATACAGATTAGCCGTGGGACGTCGTACCAATCGAGACTCGGCGCCACCAACGCCGCCATCAATCAGATGGTCTCGGTCTCTTGACCCCGCAGAACCACAGGAAGCTCGTGTCAGCCGAAGAACTGGACAGCGGCAAATTGTCGTAAAATCCACGGGTTATTCGAGGATTATTCCAACAATGACATTTATTATCAGTGTATATTTGCCACGTGTGGACCTACTTCTTATCAATTGCTCAGCAGGATCTGCAGGTGGAGGTTGGATTGTTTCCAACCACCGGACGAAGAAATCTTACAAAGTCAACAAATATCAAGCAATGTCGCACGAGGAGCAAGACGACGACCTCGTTCTCACCAAAGACGACGTTGAGGAGGTTATCGAAGACGATGGCGAGCCAGGAGAGCCCATGGAGGACGACGACGACGTTCCTGCCGATGCGGAGCCGATGATCAAGGACGACCCCGATGAGCCTCGCGACCGTCCAGACAATGCCTGGGCCGGTTCCTGTACGTGATATCGAGTGGCAGTGGGCTGACCTCATAGTCCTTCACAAGCCTGAATCATCCATCTTTGCACTCGCGCTCCACCCTTCGTTCCCCAACCCGCCCCTGGCCGTCACCGGTGGCCAGGACGACTTGGGATACTTGTTCTGTCCTCTTCCCCAGAAGGCCACTGGTGGCTTTACTCGTCACGACTTTGCTCCTATCCCTCTGACCGGGCACACTGATTCGGTTGCCGCAGCCGCTTTTAGCGCGGATGGCGAGTACATTGCCACTGGTGGCATGGACGGGCGCGTGCGCGTGTGGCGTCGCGTGACTAAGAGGAGAGGACCGGAGCCGGCACCCGAGTCCGCAGAGGCTTGGAAGTACTGGGAGTTTATCACCAGCCTCGAGGCCGGTGGTGAGGTGCAGTGGCTTCAGTGGCACCCCAAGGGCCCTGTGCTCACTGCTGGCTGTGAGGACGCAAGCGTGTGGATGTGGCAATGTAAGTAACGCTTTGCCACCAGAGCTGACCAAAACAGTGCCAACTGGCAGGACCATGACCGTCCTTTCGTCGCACACCATGCTGTGCACGGCGGGCATCTTCCCCCCTCCCAGCGCCAAGCAGCTCATCACTGCCTCGCTGGACAGCAGCTTTGTCGTTTGGAACCCGTCGACTTCGTCGCCCGAGCTCAAGATGCACGTCTTCTGCTCGCCCCACGCTCCCAACCTCGACCCGCAGATTCACGGCATCACGTCGCTTGCGGCTCATCCGTACGGCGGCCTGGTCGCGGTTGGCGGTGCAGGTGGTCGCGTGCGTCTCATTGCCCTGCCCCGTGGCGAGATTGTCAGCACCCTCGAGGACCACCAGCGCGGCGAGAGCATTGAGCAGCTCCAGTTCATCGATCTCTTGCAAGGCGCCGACGGTGGCAAGGGTGTCATCCTCGTCAGTGCTGGCACCGACGGCAGGTGCTTTGTGTGGGACGCGACCACCTACCGCGTGCGTGCCACTCTGCCGCACCCCGAGTCGGTCACTGCCTTTGCCGCACACCCGGCCCCATGCCAATACCTCGTCACCACCGCCTGTCTCGACCGTACCTTGAGGACATGGGACGTGCGTACCGGCCGCCTGCTTGCCGAGCACGTTGGTCACGTCGGCGTGGTCAACTGCGTGGCTGTCGGCAACGCGCCTGAGGGCGGCGAGAGCCCCCTCGGACTGCCCCAGGCCCAGGTGGTGATCAGCGGAGGAGACGAGGGTGCCAGCGTTATTTGGAGGGTATAGACATCTGTATAGGAACACATGTGTAGACTATCTGCAATGCATGGATGAGCGTCATGACCAAGTGCTGCACCAAGGTTATTTTGTTTTTGTGACCAAATGGGGAAGTTCTTTTACTAATAAAACGGAAATTTATTTTCTAATCATGCCAAAAGCTCGTGGGTGGCAAAACATAGTATCACGTGACTGGGACCTAGATTTCTGCAGATCTAACATTTCCATGGCGCGTGAGCAATCTGTGACATCTTCTTCTCGTCCTTCACTTTCATCAACACCACCAGCAACAATGGCGTTTGTCGAGGGTCAGGCGTCGTCCTCCAAGGGCCCCGCCAAGTCCTTCTCCAAGGGCAACGCAAAGGGCAAGGGCGGAAACAAGCCCAAGCAGCCTCTTGTAAAGACCAACCAGGCCAAGCGTAACCGTCAGAACGACGAGCTGCGCGAGCTCCAGGAGCGCATCGACAGCTATGTAAGTTAAATGCACCGCAGTAGACATAGCTTACAGTACCAGGACGCGCCGAGCGAACTCACTCTGTTCTCGCAGCTCCCGCTGTCGAGCCGCACTCTGAGAGGTGAGTTTGCCAACCGCTTCGTGGTCGTACCTAACGTCCAGGCCTCAAGCACAGCCACTTCCTCAACCCCACCCCTATCCAAGCTCTGTCTATCCCCCCCGCTCTCCGTGGACAGGACATTCTCGGCTCGGCGCGTACCGGTTCGGGCAAGACGCTCGCCTTCCTCATTCCCATGCTGGAGCGCCTGTACCTCCAAAAGTGGGGCCCTATGGACGGCCTTGGTGCTGTTGTCATCTCGCCCACTCGTGAGCTGGCTGTGCAGACTTTCAACGCGCTGCGTGACATTGGTCGCTTCCACACCTTCTCGGCTGGTCTTGTCATTGGTGGCAAGCCGCTCAAGGAGGAGCGCGACCGTCTTGGCCGCATGAACATTCTCATTGCTACCCCCGGTCGTCTCCTGCAGCACCTCGACTCTACTGTTGGCTTTGACAGTATGAGTGTCAAGGTGCTCGTGCTTGACGAGGCGGACCGTCTCCTTGACCTGGGTTTCCTTCCCGCTCTGCGTGCCATTGTCCAGCACTTTTCGCCGTCCGAGACTGCGCGTGCCGACCGCCAGACGCTGCTCTTCTCGGCCACCCAGTCCAACGACCTCACCAGCCTTGCCAAGCTGTCGCTCCACGACCCCTTGTACATCAACTGCAACAAGCCCGGAGAGGAAGGTGTCATGCCCAGCAACCTCGAGCAGTTTTACGCCGTGGTCCCTCTGGACCGCAAGCTGGACGCTCTGTGGGGTTTCATCAAGAGCCACCTGAAGATGAAGGGTGTCGTGTTTGTCACCAGTGGCAAGCAGGTGCGCTTCATCTTTGAGACTTTCCGTCGTCTCCACCCGGGTCTCCCCCTCATGCACCTGCACGGCAAGCAGAAGCAGCCTACGCGTATGAGCATCTTCCAAAAGTTCTCGAGCTCCAACTCGGCGCTTTTGATCTGTACCGATGTTGCCGCCCGTGGTCTCGACTTCCCCGCTGTCGACTGGGTCGTCCAGCTCGACTGCCCCGACGACGTCGACACGTACATTCACCGTGTCGGCCGTACCGCGCGTTACCAGAGCGAGGGCAAGGGTCTGTGTATCCTCTGCCCGTCCGAGGAAGAGGGCATGAAGACCCGCTGGACCGACAAGGGCATCGACGTCAAGAGGATCAAGATCAAGGAGAGCAAGATGGGCAAGCTCGACCAACAGATGCAGAGCTTTGCGTTCAAGGAGCCCGAGATCAAGTATCTCGCTCAGAGGGTGAGTCACAGGACTTGTGTGTGTGAGCCTTTCTCTAACTCGTTCTCCAGGCATTCATCTCGTACATGCGTTCGATCCACATTCAAAAGGACAAGTCTACGTTCAAGCTCAGCGAGTACCCCGCCGAAAAGTATGCCGCCAGCATGGGTCTTCCCGGTGCTCCCCAGATCAAGCTGCTCGAAAAGTCGGGCAAGAACCAGGAGCGCGGTGCGCAGAAGAATGACGAGGACACCGGCCCCACTGTTATCCACCAGAGGCTAGCGGAGACGGACAGCGAGGACGAGGACGACGAGGACAGCGAAGACGACGAGGGCGACGACAGCGAGAGTGGAGAGGAGAGCGATGCTTCTGGCTCTGGTTCTGGCTCTGGTTCGGATGCCCCTGCACCCAAGCAGGCTCCCGCCGTCCGGACAAAGTACGATCGCATGTTCGAGCGCAAGAACCAGTCGATCCTCACCCCGCACTACTCCAAGCTCGTGGCCCACGACGACGACCTGGCCGGTGCCGAGGACGACGACGACGACGTGTTCACCCTCGCCCGTCGCGACCATGACCTGGACGGTGCCGACAGCGACGAGGACTTTGAGGGCGTCAAGAAGCCCCTCATCTCGTCCGAGGACCTGTCCAAGCGCAAGCTCAAGGAGGGCACGACCCGCAAGGGCCAGCTCAAGAACCGCGGCATGCCCACCAAGGTTGTGTTCGGCGAGGACGGCGAGGCGCGCGACTTTTACGAGCACGGCGACGACGTCGAGGCTGGCGCTGGTGCCGAGGAGGTCCGCCGCGCGTTCGTCGAAGCTGAGAGCGCGCGCATGCGCGAGGCCGACATTGTCGATCGCGAGGTGGCGCGCGAGAAGCGTCGTGAGAAGAAGCGCAAGAGAAAGGAGCGCGAGCGTGAGGTGAGTGAAACGACTGTCCCAGAGGTTTCGGGTTGTTACAGGTGGTGTCGTGTGTTTGGGTCGTGGCTACGCTTGGCTGTGGTGACTCTTGTATCCCACACGTCCGCAGCTGGGCAGGTGTTACCGGTGGTGTCACTCCTTCGTTGTGCGGTGTACCAGGGCGCGACGCTCCATGCGTCACGCGCCAAGAGAAAAGACACACACGACGAGGCAGTACGGGTGGGACTCGGAAGGTCCGTCCGGCCAGCTGTCAGCTGGGCAGCGGGACACAATTTAATTTGGACCTGTGACACCCAGTTTGCTCCGGATCTGCGGAGCTTTTACACAGAAGCCAAGAACCATGACGACGGGGAAATCCAGCCTCGGGTGGCGCGGGATCCGAAGACGAGCGAGGACGCGACTGACATTCCACAGGTGATGGCGTCCATGATGGGCGGCGACGAGGGCGGTGTCGCCTACCTCGGCGGCTCGGGCGACGAGAGCGGCGGCAGCGACGCTGGCCCCGGGTTCGACTATGACAGCGACGCCGCCGGATCGGCCGCTTCGCGCTCGGCTAGCCCCGAGCCTGCGGCGCGTCCTTCCAAGAAGCGCCGTGCTGCCGAGGCAGAGCTCGAGGATGACGAGGAGCTGGCTCTCCGCCTGCTCCGCGGCAACTGAGGCAGGCGTGTGTAATGTTTTCATTTTTTTTTGATTAGGAGACTAGATGCATCATGGATTGCAATTGTTCTGTGACAGAGAAAAGAGAGGCTACAGGGAGGGGAGGGGTCATTGAAATGTGGTATGGTATGGTGTGGGTTTGCGGACGGCGGACGTCCCAATTAGTGTATGCGTGTGTTGCTTGTTCGTTCGAGGCGTTTGTGTTGGGTGTCACCACGTGTTGGTCGTCAAGAGGCGCAGAGGCGTTCATGAGCGGCATGCGAGACTCATGGGAAGGAGGCTTCTCGTCATGACCATTGCGAGAGAGAGAGAGAGAGGGTATGCCATGCGTGTATGCTGAAGACAACAGGGGGGAGGCATGGTCGGGTCGTAGAAGGTCAAGAAAAAGAGGGGGCGCGCCGACAGCCGCGCCGGCCGGCTCAGCTGCTTGCGGTTTACTTTGCGGCTTTGGCCATGGCGGGCGTGCCGGTGCCGTCTGGGTGCCATGGGAGTGCGCGCAGGGGCGTGCCGTTCTTGCCAACACGTAGACTGCGCGTCGAGGCTACGACCAGCGCGGCCCCACAGGACAAGTGGGGTGGGGGCGCCGACACACCACGGGAACGTCTGGCAGGGCGCGGGGTGGTGACAATCTGAAAATGGGTGGTGGTGTGAGCTGCTTGTCCTAAAGTTTGAAGGCTTCCGTCACAGAAGCGCCCGACTCACCTCGTGAGATGCGACTGGGAATGCACGCGGCGTGGTGCGTCGGCGCGCAGAGCTGAGCTCGTGCTCCAACCGTGACAGCTGGGTCGCAACGGCGGCTGGCGTGACAGGCGACGGGGTGTTTTGACAGTCTCGCGGTGGCGTGGTTGCCGGGGTGGGTGGTGCACGTCGACGAAACGGGTTGCTGTCAGTGCCCATGCTTGCTGGGCAGCGCTGCATGGCCACACCGCCGAGGACGGGGCTGCGGATCCTCTCCATGGCGGGTGGTGCGACGAATGGAGTGGGTGTGACGGGCTCGGAACCGGGAGATGGTGGGGAAGTCTGTTGTTGGGCCATGTCGATGGCTGCCAAGCTCCTGCGCATGGGGACGGCTGCGACACGTCTGCTTGGGCAGAGGGCTGTTGCGTCTGGTGCGGAGCAAGTGACCTGTGGAAACAGGGGCTGGCGGCGTGGGAGTGGGTGGTGTGATATGGAGGAGATGGTGAAGGGAGGAGCAGGTGGTTGGGAGTGGAGGGATGCTGATGTAGATGCCGGGTAGGGAGCCGAGTGACGGCGGTCGTCTTGGCGCTGGACGAGGGCGGGCATTGTGCTTGTGTGGGGGAGTGTGTGTGTGTTATGTATGTATATGTGCCCAGAGAGATCACAGACACAAGAGATGCAATGCAAGAAGCATAAGAAGGAAGAAGGAAGAGAGAGAGAGAGCGTGTGGTGGCCGCAGTATATATCGCGCGTGCCGGGTGGTGGCGACGACGACGGAACGCGAGGGGAGGGAAGGCAATCGCACGACGCGGAATGTCTCTCTCTCTCTCCATGTAACGCCCGCCCACCCGCCGTCAGCCCATCTCTTTCATGTCGGCCCGCTTCGGGTGCAGAGCAATGCTTTGCTCTGCATGCTGCTTCTGCTTCTGCTTCTGCTGCTGCTGCTGCCGCTGTCGATGCCGGGCAACCCGCTAGCCGACAGTTATCTCGCTGCCCCCATCAGCCCCACGACGGGCCCCCCACCGAGCCGCGGCGCCACCACCACCACCGCAACCCCCCACGCGCCGCCACCACCGCGGGACCCTTGCATGCCCCGGGCCAGCAAACACGGGGACAGCAAGGTATGCATCGCTGTGTATGTGTCTTGGACACCTGACTGTTTTATGTGCTCTTTGCCAGCTGCTAGCGGGGGTATGGGAAACAGCAAGGAGGCCATGTTGCAACCCCATTGTCTGCCTCATGTGTCACATTACAGGCCACAGGCCACAGGGCCCGCAGGAATGCCGGGTCACACAGCACAGCTGGGCCAGCTGGCCACCAAAGACAGCAGCCGACAGCAGCCGTCTGAGACAGCCTGGGCCGTCGTGGTCGGCACATTTTTCCCCCGCAGCGCAGTCATTGCATTCACGTACTGAAAGGCGTCGACGGCAGAAGCAGCACAAATGGTGTGGACAAAGGACATGGCGTGCCGCGGCGGTACGGCTGTGCAAGTCTAGCCCCACACACCCATTCTGTGGAGCGTCGAGCCGCGCTACAGCGGGTCACGGTATCACGGTACTGAGGGCCGACATGCAACGATGATGCTGCGTGCCAAGATGGCCATTCTGGGAGGTGTGAAGCTTCGTGCGGGTGTGCAGCACCTGGAGGACCATGCTCCCGCAACACCTGTCTCGCGCACCCGTTCCACAGTTGCACTTCTGTGGGCGGGTCGCTCGTGTCGGTCCTTGGCTCGCCCAGTAAATGACATTAACATGAACACTCTGACCCATCTGCACCTCTTGCAAGAACATATGATGAACGTGCCGCCAAGATTAGGGGAACGGGCCGATGGAACCACGGCGACACGAACAACAGAGTGCGGACAGTTGATCGGCAACCGCCGTCGCCATCTTTCGGGACCAGGTGTGGCAGGCAGCCCGGGACACCCTATACCGTCCTTCACATCGTCTACATCGTACTCCCCCCGCACTGCGCGTATGCCTCGTTTCCCAAGCTCCACTTTCTCCAGAACCCATTGCTGGAGACGAGATCAAACACAGTAGGTACGCAGACACCACACCGCACCGAGATCGGAAAATCCCGCCCTGCCCGAGAAATCGGTTCGCTTCCGAACCACGGCGAGACGCCCGGTCCATGTGTTCTGCATGTTCTGTGGGCCACGGAACGCACCCCGAGACCCCAACACGGCAAAGGAAACGAAGTGAGCGAGCACCCGATGATGACATATTAGAAACAAGGCCAAGAACTCGAGGGAGCGGCTCCTATGGTAGCCGGCCTGCACATCAATGTCTGGCCTGCTAATGTCTCATTCTCGCACATACCCCACCACCAGGGGTACTGTGTACTGTGGTGGGGTCAAGGATGAAGTGTTCTGTCTCCGCAGCTTTTGCCTTTGGTTTGTGGCCCATTGAGTGCGTCGGTCCAAAGGTAACCCGAACCACCGAGCATGCCATACCACTCTGACACACAACCCTCAACAACTGACACCAGGACACACACCGACACACCCAACACACGGCCCAGCGCCGACATCACATCCCCCGACCGGGCCGGCGCCTCTTTGAACGCCTCGCCGACACCCCCACCCCCTCCCTCGCCGCTGCGGCCTCCACCGCCTAGCCAATGGTGCCCATGACCGCTCTACATCGCCGCATACCGCACTGCAAAGCCGCCCAGTTCCTGGGATCTAGTGGTGTTTTATTAACTGGTGAGTGGACGTTCTGCCAGATCTAGTTGTGGCCGCTGTCCAGTGGCCAGTGGCAGTGGAGTAGACGGCCCGGTTGATGTGATGGGATCTGACAAAGAAGCGGGGTCAGCCATCCGGATCTCAGATCTCGAGAGGTGTGTGTACATTCCATACACAATTCGATGCAGGGACATGTGTCCATGTTGGCAAAATGAGGTGGTTGGTTAGCAGGGGATGGACGATTCGTGGGGGCACACCAACACGACGAAGCCAAGAGATCTGGCTAGCCGGCCATGCCGGCGGTATGTGGCCTCACGGCATGTCGACCTGCAAGCAAAGCCAGTAGCGTAAAGCCATGGAAGTGCATTGTGGGGATATGGGACGGGCGCCACTGCGGTGATGCGGGCAGGAGGAGGATGCGCACTCTTTCGAGCAACGGACACTGCGGAGCGCGGCAGATGTGACTTCCGGCAACCCACAAACCCACAAAGCGGGTCACCGAGGACACCTTGCTTTTCAGACGTATCCACACACTGTGAGTTATGACATGTGCATTTCGCTTCCCCGCAACATCCCATACATGTTGCAAGGTTGTTTCGCAAGTCGGGTGCCGAACAAGACGTGCCAAGATCCATGCAGGAGGGAAAAGGAGAAAATATCGCATCAATCAGGTCCACAAAATGGGTCATATGGGTCATATGGTCAAACGCCCATCGTCGTATGCGCGTACCTGGCGCGGCGAGGAGCGCCATTTGAGTGTGCAACAGGCACGACAGGTACTCTCATTGCAGATCTTGGTTTGGCAGGTGGGTGCAGTTCGTGGCACAGGTAGCAAACCAGGCTTTGATACCTCTGCGCAGGCTGCAAAAGCCTGCCAAACGACGACGCACTCGCTGTCGAACCCTCATCATACCTGGTAGCACCCTTTGTGGACAGCGACGGTTGAGGAACAGCCGCTTGGTTCGGGACTTCCCAGCACGAGCAGGCCTAGGACACCCGATTGCTGCGCATACATTACCGCCCTCGCCTTGCGCTCCCACCCAGCTCGACCCCCAGGGGGAACCCCGCGCTGCTCGATGTTGATCGCTTGCACAATCGACATCAACTCTGTCACCAGAGTTCCGCTGTACGTCAACGTCTGCGTGTGACACTGATGATGACGTCCGCTGGCTGCCGTACAAGGGAGACGGACGCGGATGACACACTTCGTCAGTGGTGAGGTTTGGTAACGGTCACCCCGTCTTATGGAGTGTGGCACGGTTCGTCACACCGTGGTGCATCGTCACAGCAATGTTAATCACAGCCTAACGAAAACACACAAAACATCGCTTGCGGGGTTTGCTCGCAATGGTCCCCGCACGCCATGGCGTTTCCTGTACCGCATGCTCCCACCCCCGCACCCGGCCACCACTCCGCTGGCCGCCGGACGCTGGCAAGGTGGACGCACCGGGGACTGGTTGCCCGATACGACTGCACCGGGGTATCATTATCAGCTTATCAGGGCGGGTGGGCCCACGCGGACGACTTGCATGGCGTCGGGCAGCTGGCCGGCCAAGCGCTGGGGTCTCCTAGATAAGTGGATAAGTGTGAGTGGGGTGCGGAGGGTGCAGTAGCGAGTCATGCGAAGCTGTTGCGTGCGTGCTGGGTATGTGAAATGCGGTGATGATGGTTCATACAGGTGGGATATCAATGCGACTTGTGTGTGAATTTGTGTAAAAGGATGGTGTCAAGAGAGGTGGCCAAGAGGAGACTGTTGGCGTGTGCAGTATCCGTTACCTGCGGCGGTGGAGACGGAGGAGGTTGATTCCTTCGCGAGTGTACACTTCGCGCGCGCCTGGTTCATCGTCCATGACGACTTCCCAGTCAAAGTGTTTCTTGAGCATTGCCCAGAATCGCTTGTCCGCCTAGAGTCAGCGTCACTGTCGTGTTTGGTATCACACCTTTCTACGCTTCTTCCACGCAAACAGGATTTCCGTGTCTTTTCCGACTGGTGCGAGGTCGCATAGAGTCTGTACCAAGAGGGGGAATGCGGGCTACGAGTGTCAGCCAGTTGGCAAGCGAACGAAGAGAAGGAGTCAACTGCGACGTACTTCAAAGTAGACACAGTCCGCAGCCAGAACAACGTCGGCCGCTGCGGGCACATGCGTTATGGGTTCGCCCCAGCTGAGCTCGCCGATATGCAAGTTGGATCCCACAGGGAGGAGGTTGAGGTCGGCGTTGGCCTGCATGAGGTCGACCAGGCAACTGAATGGCATCAGATCGGCTGTCATGGGGTGCACGTCCACATGATCGCTTCCAACTCACTCTTGGTCGGTCGCCCACACCTCGGCTGTAGGTTCCAGCATGGCGGTTGCGATGCCTACCAGGCCAGTTCCTGAACCGAGCTCTACGATCGTCTTGCCGACCAGATGATGGGGTTCTAAGCGGTGGCGGTAGGCGAGGTAGCGCGACATGACCTGGGGGGGATGTTGTCAGCGGACCACGAGAGCGGAGGACGAGATGTAGGGTACTGGCCCCTCATCTCCTCTCCTTGGAACTCTTGAGACCATGCTCACCTCTCCTGAAAGCCACGCGATACCACCACACCCAGGCCCAGCATCGACCTTGAGCCGCACGTCGGGAATGCCCTTGACGACAACACGGTTTTCCGCGGTCAACGGGGTTGTTGTAAACTCGCGCGTTGGGGCCAGAGCTTCAAAGGATGGAAACGCGGCATTGCTGTCGTCTGAAGAGCCCGAGTTTGAGCGTGAGCGAGGCTGTATGGTCATGGCCGAGAGGACTGTGGATGAGATATGGAGTGAGCGAGATGTTATATCATTCCCCAAAGATATCAAGTCAACAAGGAACTTGTGCCTGGGCCCTCTTTTCGATCATTTCTGTTTATGGCCACGTGGCCGCAATGTAACTGTCCAAGCATTCTCAATTAGCATTTGATTTGTATTGCTTGGATCTTGCAGCAAAGCATTTCCGGCCGTGTTTGGATTGCGGTATGCATCGTGCTACATATGCTACATGCCAGATTGAAGAACATGCCCACAGAAAGTCGATGACGAGAGGAGGCGTACAGGTAATACACAGGAGTGGGACAATTAGGCAACGGACTGGAAAGGGAACTGGCGGGGTCTTTGAGAGTGTTTTGGTCTAGGTCATGGGGAGGAGACGGGCCTGTACGAGACAATCGTGAAATCGTCCTAGGCCATTGTCGTCCGGGTGTTCTCCGTGATGGTGACGGTGACGAAGCCGACTGCCTGTTTCAAACGAAGGCGGGCCTGCTCAAGAGTAACACCACCCGGAGCGTCGATACCGAGATAGTTGAGTTCAGCGTCAATCGACACACGCTTCGCCTTGTCAATGTCGGCAAGGGTAATCTAGGAGGTGTCAGTGACAAGTTACAACATCACACATACCAGTCGCTTAGGTGGCGGCACGCGGTCAACTACCCCTTCGATATGGGGAACGGTGAGGGGTACGAGCTCCTTTTTTGTTGCCGCACGAACTAAATTCCACGCTCTACGCCCGTCAGAATTATAGCCTAGGCATGGCACTAACCTCTGTTCCTCCAGCGACCTTGGGATGACTGCGGTGGTTGACTGCGCGTTGAGCGCGGCAACGCCTACCTTGAGCGCATTGATGTCGGTCTTCATCCCGGCCACGTCCCGCTTGATCTCGGCGAGATCGCTTTTCATGGCCTTCTGGTCCTCACCGCCAGACGCGACCGAGGTCTTGATTGTCTGAATGTCTGTTTGAATAGCAGTAAGGATCTGCTCCAAGGCTTGGGATGGATGACCGGTGGTGGTGACACTGCCGCCATGGTGCTCCGGAGGCTGAGGCGTGAGGCGAGGAGTGGGCAACGCGTCTAATAGTCGTCAGCAAACAACAAGCAATGTTGCACCAACGCACGGTGCAGGTGATGGTGTTGAACGGTCTGTGCCCAAACCACGACACTCTCATCCTCTTGGAGAGGAGACGCGTCGATGAGGCGGAGGAGCCGACCGATGTCGCCAAAGACACCCTCGCTGAGGGGCACGGTGATGTCAGTGGAAGGGAGGGCACAGACAGCCGCAAGGGCTGGCAGCCTCGCAGCATGCGATGCGATGAACACCATGGCTGACTCTGGGACTGCGATAGTCGAGTATGTCGTGGGGGGACCTGGAGAGGGAGGCATTGTGTTGGTAGCGAGAGAGACAAACGGAGAATGCGACAGGTAATTGTTTTGGACCAAATGATTGTTATTGACGATCGCATTCGCGGAATCAAACTCGTCAACACCGCGCGTCATCCTCGACCTCCACATAATGGAACCGCTGGTGTGCGTGTGTCACGGGCAGTGCAATACCCCAACGGGTCACAACAACAACCTCTCGCACACCGTTCCAGTGGTCTCGCCTCGAGCACCATGAGCTACAACTGGAACCACGTTATCGACTCGCTCGCGCCAAGCAGCAGCTCGGCCGCACCCCGCCGCCCATCCCAGGAGCGCTCCCCACACCCTCCCCACTCACCCACCCCGGGCCAATCGACCTCGCCCTCGCGATGCGTGTGTGAATCCCACCCGGTCCTCTTACAGCCTCTGCCACCTTCCTTGACGCTGGAAAAGGAATCACGGGCCCAGTCGGAACTCGAGCTCGACCGCCAGGCAACCCAGCGCCGGCGGGAACGCGAGCTGGCCGAAGCGCTGCAAGACGCACACCACGAAGTCGAGCGGATCCAGGCGCGCGAAGAGGTGGGAACGTGGGCCCGGCTGAGGCAACGCGTGCAGCGCGGGAGCGTCAGCGAGGCGTCCAAGGCTGGCATGCCGTTTGTCCACCCACCACAGGCGTACGAACTGTACGCGGCCATTGACAACCACAACCTCGACTACATTGCGCGTGTGCGCGACCAGGCCTTCAACCTGTTACTCCAGAAACACGGCGGCGAGTTTCCGATCGTGTATGCGAGCCGAATTGGGCCCACGCACAGGGACGTGGTGATTCTTCTCGTGGGCGCGTTCTCGCGCTATGTCAACAACCTCGACGAAGACGACTTTAAGAAGAAGGAGACGCTCAACACGCTCAAGGCGTTGCGCGCGAATGTGGGTTTGTCCTCTAGTGACTGTGCTAACCCGCGCCACCAGCTCAAACTCGCCATTGACAACGCCCTCGCCACGGCCACAGGCACGTCCCAGTCCAACCTCCTCTCGTCGTACATGCAGGTTCTGATCATGTCCGAGGGCGACTCGTGGATCCACCGCTCGACCCACGACCTCGGTCTCGTCCTGCGGTCGCCCGATTCGAGCCCTCTGGCCGAAGCAGAATCAATGGTACGCAAGTTTGCGACCAAGGAACTGCGCGGCGTGACGGGCGGCGTGTCAGATGTCGAAGACTATATTGCCAACGCGACGCTCGACCTCGTCATCATGGCCGCGTGGAGCGTGGCGGCAACCCAGATGGATGTAGAGCCTCTCCCGGTGAGCCCTCAGCTCGGGAACCCCTGTGGAACGACTTTCAGCTGACCTTCATGCTCCAGACGTACACATTCGCCCGTGACCTGCGTACATGGCAGATGCTCAACGAGGCCATGGATGAGAACAAGGACAAGCTCAGCAAGGTCACCAGGCGCGTGCGGCACGTGCTCGAGGCTGTAATCGAGTATGGGGGGGACACGAGGCAGGGTGTGCGTGGGAGGTTGCGCGACGTCAAGGAACATGTGGACAGGCAATGAGCCGAGCTGGCTGCTGGCTGCTAACCAGGCAAGGGGAAGAAAGCGGTCGACGAGGGTGAGAGCAGCGCATTGGGGTATCTTTCTGGCGTCCATAGCTTTTGACGGGGACTCGCAACGTTTCTCGCGAGAGGTTTCGCCGATTTTAGTGCACATGTAATTACAGCTGTACAACCTCACATGACAAATGTACATCGGCCAACTCACTGCTCCGCAACGATACATACCCTCGTGCACTTCCTCTGACTGACATTGTCTCACTCGTACGACATGCGACCTACGTTTTCAACTCCTCGTAGCTTTGCTCTGTAGCCAAACACATGCCTCCCAAGCGCCACCTGCCACTTCACTTTGAAACAGGCGAAAGCCATGCCTGGGGACCAAATGCGTCGACACAGAATGAGGATATGAGGACCATGAGCGGCGATGCTCCATGTCCTGTGTCTTTTGTACGCGTCAGTCCACACCACTGCCTGCTTCGCATCGTTGAGTTGGGCGACATCGGTATGCCTTTGCAACTGGTCCCCTTATGAGCCCCCCAGGCCCTGATGTCCTTACGCCAACTCTTACCCACCGCACCCGAGGCTTATGGCAGCTCACCCTGTGGTTCTTACGTTGCACGATGTTCCGCTACATCTCTATGCCCAATATGAAAAGAATTTCTCTACTTGCTACTTCTTCGGAAACCTCGGAAACCTCTGTCTGCCTGCCTCGCTCACCACCTGTCCCATCCCATCCCATCCCATTCCTGATCTCTCTCATCCCCCCTCTCCCTCTCTCTCTCTGTCACACTCCCTTCACTCCCTTCACTCCCTCCGTCCCTATCTCCCCCCGTTACCGCTTGCGCGCAGCAGCGACGCGGGCCTCGACCTTTTCGCGATGCTGGCGGTTCTTGAGGTGTACCTCAAAGTTGTTGAACGTCTCCTCGGGACCAGGGTTGTACAAGCGTCCGGGGCAGTCGTGGCATTTGACGCGCCACTCGTCCGGGGACGCCTGCGTCGACTCGGGCGGGCGCGCCTTGAGCACAATGCTGAACCGGTGGTCTGGGTATTTCGTCTGCAGGGCGGCGTGGGCGCGCGACGTCCACTCGGGCGGCACGGGGGCGGGCGGGAGCGCAGGCATGGGCGTGGCGGCTGCGCGTTTCGGAGTAGGCGGTGCGCCGCTCGACGACGAGGTGCGCGCCTTGGCGGCCGCAGCTGCTGCCTTTGCCTTTTTACGCTTGCGCGCCGAGTCGTCGTCATCGTCGTCGTCGTCATAGTCGTCCGACGACGAGTCGGACTCGGACTCGGACTCTTCAAACCGGTTCGACGACCTGCGGTTGCGGCTGGGAGAGCCAGTGGCCGGCACGACGGGCAGCTCAAACGCAGGCGGCTTGGGGCTGTCCGAGTCTGTGCGTGTGCGGTGGTGCTCTTCGTCCTCGTTGTACTCGACAGGGCGACGTGATCCAGTGCGCTGGAGGTATTTCGTGCATTTGGCGCACAGGTCAATCTCGCTGCGGCCGCCAGAGAGGTGCTCGGGGACGCCACAGTTCTTGCAGTGCCAAATCTTGATGGGCTCGGGTTCAGGAATAATCACCTTGACCAGCGGCGAGGGAGCGGGGGCCTGCTCCTCGGTCTTGACCTCCTCAGGTACCTCGGGGGAGTCGGCAATGCGACCGTTGTGACGCTTGCGAGGGGGCAGAGGTGACGAAACTTCTGGTTCCGAGTCCTCGCGCAGCGAGCGCTTGAGGCCGAGCAACGGTGTTCCATGATCGCCATTGACCACCGATCCCTCGCGGGTAGACGGCGGTGAGGTGCGTGACGCGCCGCGCGAAAGACGCGGGTGCGGCTGGCGCCTGTGGCTGCGGTGCGACACGGGGGCCGAAGGAGGCGAGGGAGGTTGAGGAATCGGCAAGTCCTGCAGTGCGAGGTTGATGTTGGCCTGCGCGGCAATGGCGGCGGCACGACGGGTGCTGGAAACGGGAGGTGGGGCTGGGTCAGCAGCAGCAATGACTGCAGGGTCGATGGCCGGGTGCAAGAGAGTGCGGAAGGTCTTGAGCGGCTCGCGGTCCGGGAGAACAATACCACGGCGACCACGGGTGGCACGCTTTTTGCGCTTGCTCTCGCGCTCGCGCTCCTTTTCAATCGCAATGACGTCCGCCTCGGTAAAGTTGGCAAGGACAGGGGTAAAGTTGGCCATGGCCACGTCCTCTTTACGGAGCGCCGTGGTGACGGGCGGGAGGAAGGCGGCGCGCACATCGTCGTTGACAATGTATCCCGAGCCCTGGGTGTGGCCCACAAGGAAAAGGGAACGCTGGTGGGTGACAATCTGCTCGTGAATGTCGTGTGTGATGGCCGTCACAAACTCGCCACTCAGGCCAAGGTCTGTGCAGTACGACTGGGCAAACTCCTCGGGGCTCACACTCGAGTTGAGGTCCCACTCAAACGTGTCTACCAGGTTTTGTGTGCCCACGATAATGTCGACCTTGATCAAGATACGCAGCTCATTCTCTTCGCTGGGAGGAGGGAGACACGCCATGGCCTCGTCGACAGTCATGACCTTGTCATCCACTTCGTCGTCAAACGCCACAATGCGAATGTGCGAGTCGTCCTGGTCGGCTCCTTCGTCCGTCTTGATCTCCTCTTCGTTCTCAAGGTGCGCGTGGCGGAACACTTCCAGCATCGAGTGGCCCTCGGGGTCGTCGTCGTCGACGGTACCGCGGCCGGCGGGTCCGGCAGGGCGTCGCGGCTGGATGGGGATAACCTGGTCCTGGTACTCGCGAACGCGCTCCTTGATGGCGGCAATGATCTTGGGCAAAAACTGGCCCGCAGGGAGTTTAAAGTCATCACAGATGGTCTGCGCAAAGAGCTCGGGAGTGACCACCGTGTCTGAACAGTTCCACATGAAGGTGTCGTTGAGTCGGTGCTGGTCGTGCTCGAGATCCAGGCGGACGGGAACGACGTGGTCTTCCACTTCCGCCATGGCCTTGAGCTGCTCGGGTGTGAAGCGAACCTCCTTGCGACGACGGAGCTTGAGACGGGCCGCAGCCTTTTCGTGAGGGTAGACGATCGAGAGCTGTGTGGTAGGACGAGAACGAGGCTCGCCCTTGTGAAGCTGCCACCAGGGAGTCTGCTGGTCCTCGCGCTCGGCCCAGCGCTGCATCTTGCTGCCCATCTTCTTGCGGTGGTCCACAATCCCGGTCGCAAACTGCTTGTCGCGTCCAAGCCACGTCTTTACATCCTCTTTTTCGCGGTCCGTCATGGCAGGCAGCTTGCCACCAAACGTCGGGTCATCGTACTCGTCAAACTCGTCGATCGGCAGCGTGTTGATACCCGTTGTGGGAATGTCGAGGCGCAGCGCATTCTCCCACTCCCTGACTGGCAGGCCATGCTGGGACCCAGGCGCAGGACCGGGCTGCTCGGCAGCTGGTGGGCGAGCGCCGTGGGTGGGGATGAAGGTAGGCGGGGGCATTCCAGCATCACGTGTCTTGTCCTTTTGCGATACACGGCGTGCGAGCAGGTTGGGCGTGGGCGAGTCGGGCGTACCACCAGCAGACGGCGCAAGGTGAGGCGGGGGCGGGCGAACAGCGGTTGGCGTCGCAGGAGAGCCTTGCTGCTGCTGTTGCTGCTGCTGTTGCTGCTGCTGCTGTTGCTGTTGCTGTAGCTGTTGCTGCTGCTGCTGCTGTTGTTGCTGTTGTTGAGCGGCGGCCCACATCCGTTGCTGCTGCTGCTGTGCGAGGGCCGAAGCTGGAGGCTGTTCCTGCTGGTGCGCACCGGGTGGTGGTGGCTGGGGAGGCTGCATGCCTGGAGGACCACCGGGGAACTGGATGCCCTGTGCTGCGAGCTGCTGCTGAAGCTGTGGCGGGATGGGACCTCCTTGCTGGGGAGGAAGGCCCGGAGGACCACCGGGAACCTGGCCGCGTTGCTGCTGCTGGAAGCGCTGAACGTGCATGAGGAACTGCTGCATCCGCTGCAGCATCTCGGGGCGAATCTGGCCCGTTTGAATGCGCTGGGAGATGTTCTGGACCTCGGCGAGAATGTTCGGGTTGCGACGGCCCATCTCATCACGCCACGCCGGGTTGTTGACGTGCGGGAGGTAGGCCATGAGACGGGCATCGAAAGGAAACTCGGCGGGGTTGATTCCTGGGGGCATGGGAGGCATCTGCATGCCTGGCGGGCGAATAGCTGTGCCGGGAGGAGGCATGCCTGGACGAATGGGCGACTGGCCAGGTTGGCCAGGCTGGCCTTGGCCTTGCGCCGCCTGCGCCTGCGCCTGCGAAAAGTAGTTCATGGCCTGCGCCATCTGCTGCTGATGCTGAGGCGACATGTTCTGGAGCGCTCCGGGAGGAATACCAGGCGGCATAGCACCAGGAGGGAAGCCTTGCTGGGGAGGTGTCGGGGCGCTTGGGCTACCCTGCATGGTGTTTTGCACACTCTGTGCGTGCTGCTGCAACGCCTGGATCGCCTGGACTGCCTGTGGTGATTGACCAGGCATCTGGCCAAACTGAGGCTGACCAGGTGGTGGTCCGTTGACTCGTAATGGGTCCTGCATGGGCGATGGCACATTCGCCTGCTGGGGTGTGGGCGGAACAAGCGAGTGGTGCGACACGTTTGACAGCGCAGGCGAGGGAGCACCACCGCCCGCCTGAGGTGTACCGGCAAAGGGTGGAGCACTGCCTGGTGGTGTTCCCGTTTGCTGGCGCATCGCGGGCGACCCAGGTGGCATGGACCCATGTGGCGAAGGAGCACGTTGCGAAGCCGACGACGCCGGGCGGTTGGGAACCATGTACTGCGGCAAGCTGGACGCAGGCACGGGGCTCTGATGCATCTGCGATCCAGGAGTCTGCGGTTGCTGGGTCGGTGTTGGAGGCTGCTGTTGCTGGGCCTGCTGTTGAGCTTGCTGTTGTTGAGCCTGTTGCAGAGCCTGTTGAGCCTGTTGCTGCTGTTGTTGCTGCTGCTGCTGTTGGTTCGCCTGCTGAGCTTGAGCCTGGGCCTGGGCTTGCTGCTGAGCAAACACGCGCAAAAAGTTCTGCTGCAAGCTCGCAAGCTGCTGCTGTTGTTGCTGCGGTGTAAGGTTCTTAAAGTTGGGATTTTGCAGCAGCTGCTGACGCTGGGTAGCGAGGATATGTTGCTGCTGGGGAGAAATCGAAAACGTTGGCGGACGGACCTGGCCCTGCGTGGGTGCAGCCATGTTGGGTGGTCTTGGCGACGCTCCTGGTGGCAGAGCTGGTGGTGGCATGCTTCCCGGTTGAGAGGCATTGGGACGGACAGGCGATCCAACTGCAGGCGACCCGCGACCTTGCATCTGGAGACGCGCCATCTCTGGGGTCATGACACCGGGTCCTGTTGGCGTGGGAGGCTGCTGTTGTTGCTGCTGCTGCTGCTGCTGCTGTTGAAGTAGCTGTTGCTGAGCCTGTTGTTGTTGAACCTGCTGCTGCTGTTGCGCCTGCTGCTGGACCTGCTGGAGCGCTTGCTGTTGCTGCATGAGCTGTTGAAGACGCTGCTGTTGGAGAGCCTGTAACTGCTGTTGCGGGATGCCACCAGGTGCGCCCTGCTGACCCTGCTGGCCCTGCTGCTGTTGGCCAAGCTGACCGGCGGCAAGCTGTTGCAAAAGCTGCTGCTGCTGCTGAGGATTCAACTGTCCCATCAACTGGGCGGGCGGGCCTCCTCGCATCATGGCGGCGAGCATCTGGGGGTTGACCTGTCCCTGGTTTTGTTGCGCTTGCAGACCAGCCATGGCCATCTGCAACTGCTGGGGGTTGAGCTGGGCGCCCGGGTTGCCTTGCGCCATTCGTTGGAGCATGGCAATCTGTTGAGGCTGGAGGTTTGCAGGGTTGAAAGGAAGACGGTTCCCAGCTTGCTGCTGCTGTTGCTGCTGCTGCTGTTGCTGTTGCTGTTGCTGGGCCGCCATCAACTGCTGCTGGAGTTGCTGTTGGAGCTGCTGGTTCAACTGTTGTTGATTCAACTGCTGCTGGGCCATCGAGGAAGGGCCGGGGTCGCCTCTTCCTCCTGCTGCTCCGGGGATGGGGGAAGACTGAGAGCCGAGGGCAAACTGGCCCTGCTGCTGTTGTTGGAACAGCCGGGGGTCCATGGCTGTGCCGGGAGCCTGCTGGAACTGGTTAAAGGGGAACCCAGGTGCGCCGTTGGCCTGTACGGGGGAAGGAGAAGGCTGAGGGGGCTGGGGTGTTGTCATGTCGGCAGCTGGAAGTCAGCCACGGATGGATGCGACAAGACTGCAGTCCAACCTACCGAGAGTCGCGCGCGCGAAGGCCGGCCTCGAGGCCGGCCGTCGAAAGGTCTGGTCTCACCTAGGCCGCGCCGGCAAAGGACCCGGTGCGGTGGCTAGGACAAGTCTAGAGATGCTGCCTGTGGATGGCGGGAGGAAACGGGGAGGGAGGGAGAGAGAGAAGACGAGGTCAGAGGGGACAAAAGGTCAGCATCAGACACGAGGAGCAAGGACACAAGGGGGTGGATGCAGTGCGACTCACGTTGGACACGCGGGCACGAATGAACCTATGCAGTGTGTAGGATGGTGTGTAAAAGGAGTGCACTGTGGAGACGTTGACGCCGGGGTGGATGTGCGAGGGTGACCCGTGCACAAGGACGCGTTCCGGGGAAGGCAGAGGCGCGGCTTTGATGTTGTTGGGAGCCAACGGTGGGTTTTGGTGCGGGGGGGAAGGCGACGGAAAGGGTCTCTTGATGAGAGACTGTGTGTGGGAGGGGGGGTGGGTGGGTGTCTCGCGCTCTGGGAGTATGCCTGGCGGGGTGAGGGTGAGGGTGGTGGGGGTGGTCGCAGGTGTTGATGGAAGATTAGATAATGTATGCGCGTGCGCGTGTTGTAGCCGACGAGACGAGACGACGAGTAGGTGGGTGGAGATGCACAGAGGATTGGGAGATTCAACCCTCCCCTTGTCCAGACCCAAACAGGCGTGCAGGTGGGGGGGGGGCCGTACGGTGGGACGGTGGCTACGGTGGGTGCTGGCTGGACCCGGAAGCAAAATATCAGCCACCGCTCCTCTGGGTGTGGCGATTAGTGGTGGTAGTTGGTGATTAGGACGATCCGAGGTTGAGCCTTGACCTAATCGCTGTAGACTGTTATTGAATATCCCTCCACCCTGCGCGGTCTCTTCATGTCCTTGTTCTTCTTCTCATCTATCTCTGATCTCTCTCTTGGCATTACGCGTCGGCCCGCCTCTTTTTGTTTCGTTTGCGTGTGCGCGTGTGCAAATAATAGAGCGTCACCCACACGATGAGAGCGTCGGATGATCGGATTCCCCCGCGCGGCGGCTGGCGGCTGGCCGCGGCTGGCCGGCTGCGAGGACGCGTCACATGACTCCCTGCAGGGGGACGTGTGAGGGGCGGGGGAGAGGGAGGGCCAAACAAGGTGCCACATGTATCCATAACGCCGGTGCATGTTTATAATCCCCGGGCAGGTGGCGCCCCCCACCCGTCTCTATGACGTCCCCCCTTGTTAAACCCTTTTGGCGGGTACCAATTTGCTCCCGCTCCCCTCAGCCTCTGCATGCGGTGTGTGTGCGTTCTATTGATTGATACGGCCACACCCCCTCTGCCGCGCGCGTAACAAACCCTTTTGCTTTGATCTCATCACCTCAATACCCCCCCTCCCCATCCCATATCTCTTTCTCCCTCCAGAGAAAGGTCTCTTCTCCACCCCGTGCGTATCCCCCCTTCCTCGCCCTTCCCACACACACACATGTCGGCCAGCCACACGCGATGGCCTCGGCCCCCTCGCCAGGCAAACCCGTCTCTTCTTCCACACGTTTCCATCATCATCAGACAACATCCGGCTTACGCGTCGCGCCTCGCGTCTTAGACACCCACTCCAACTATATCATCCACAAAAATGGCGCCCGAGGACACCGAGGAGCTCGTCGACTACGATGAGGCCGAGGACACCTACGCCCCGCCCCCGACGGCGGTGGCCACCACCGGCGCCGAGGGTGCGGACGGTGAGAAGAAGGGCAGCTACGTCGGCATCCACTCGACTGGCTTCCGGTAAGCATCCTGGCCTGCCCATCCCGCCACACGCCTGCAGCAGCTTGCTGACGCTTGTGCTCTCAGTGACTTCCTCCTGAAGCCTGAGATTCTCCGTGCCATCTCGGACCTTGGTTTCGAGCACCCTTCGGAGGGTAAGGATTGATCCATGTTTCTGCACCAGGCAAAAGCACACCTTTCAACTCACACAAAAACAGTCCAGCAGGAGTGTATCCCCCAGGCCATCCTCGGCACCGATGTTCTCTGCCAGGCCAAGTCGGGTATGGGTAAGACGGCCGTGTTCGTCCTTGCCTCCCTGCAGCAGATGTGAGTAAACATTGCCCCTGGACACGCGTGTGCGCAACGCGTGCACGCACGGCCCCGAGTGGCGCTCATGTTTCCCAGCGAGCCTGTCGACGGCGAGGTCTCGATTATCATCATGTGCCACACCCGCGAGCTGGCGTACCAGATCCGCAACGAGTTCACCCGTTTCTCAAAGTACATGACCAACGTCCGTACATCGGTCTTCTACGGTGGTACCCCCATCTCGGCCGACCAGGAGATCCTCGCCGACAAGGAGAAGTGCCCCCACATCGTCGTCGGCACCCCCGGCCGTATGATGGCCCTCGTCCGCGACAAGAAGCTCAACGCCTCCAAGGTCAAGCACTTTGTTCTCGACGAGTGCGACAAGATGCTCGAGCAGCTCGGTTAGTCTTTCAAATCCTTCCCCCCGGTCCCGCTAGTGTTCCATTTTTTTCATTGTTACCTCGCCCACACCGACCGCCGAGGGAAATACACCGAGCACTACCCTCTACCGAGTGCGAACCTGTACGCGGGGTTCTGCATCTCAGCCAAGAGCAGCATCGACGACGCGAAAAGAGAGAGAGAGAGAGAGAGAAGCCGTCGAAAGCAAACCCCCCTCTGCGTGCGGAGGCGAGGCGCGAAGAGTGTGCGAGAGCTACAAGCCGCAGTGGCGACACTCGCCCTCGCCCAAGAGCCCATCAAATCGCCAGTGACCCGATTCTCGGAGAGGCAAATGGATGGTGCAGCGAGCCACTGCTGGTGCTCAATCGGTCCTCCCCTTGGCGGTTCGGGCGGCAACACCCCCTACACCTCCCCCCTACGGCTTTTGTTTTTGGTTTTTGTTTTCAAGGTGGAATAGTTAGCTCACGGTTTTCCCTCTTCCCAACTTGTCAACCCTGCCGCTTTCGACTTTTTGTTCCCCTTGTGCCTCTCCAATGTTCCTGTCGACGTCCTGCCCCGGTCGCCACCGATCTTGAACCTAACATTTGACACCCACAGACATGCGTCGCGACGTCCAGGAGGTCTTCCGGGCTACCCCCCACCACAAGCAGGTTATGATGTTCTCGGCCACCCTTTCCAAGGACATTCGTGCCACCTGCAAGAAGTTCATGCAGAGCGTGAGTTGAAACCAAGCACCTCGTTGTGGCCTCGACTGACCACATTCCCAGCCCCTTGAGATCTACGTCGACGACGAGACCAAGTTGACCCTGCACGGTCTCCAGCAGTACTACCTCAAGCTCGAGGAGCGTGAGAAGAACCGCAAGCTCAACGACCTGCTCGACAACCTCGAGTTCAACCAGGTGTGCATCTTTGTCAAGTCGGTCGCCCGCGCCACGCAGCTCGACAACCTCCTGCAGGACTGCAACTTCCCCTCGATCTGCATCCACTCGGCTCTGCCCCAGCCGGAGCGTATCAGCCGTTTCCAGCAGTTCAAGGCCTTTGAGAAGCGTATCCTCGTCGCCACTGACATTTTCGGCCGTGGTATCGACGTCGAGCGTGTCAACGTCGTCATCAACTATGACGCCCCCGCCGACGCCGACTCGTACCTCCACCGTGTTGGTCGTGCCGGCCGTTTCGGCACCAAGGGTCTCGCCATCTCGTTTGTCTCGTCCGAGCCCGACCAGGAGGTCCTCCAGAAGATCCAGGAGCGCTTCACCGTCGCCATCCCCACTCTCCCCGAGACCATCGACCCCGCCACCTACATGACCTCGTAAACGGGTTGTGCGAGGCGAGTCAGTCAGTCTATAGGCGAAAGAGTACGGTACGGTACCGGCTGAGAGAGTGGCGAATTCTGTATTTCCGTGAGAGAGAGAGCGAGAGAGAGATTATGCGACCGAGATGAATGGCAGGTAGATCTATGGAAAAGACGAGAACGAGAACGAGAACGAGAATGGCCGGGGGAACGAGCAACAGGACGCACGGAGTGTCTGCATATGTGGAGAAGCGAGGACGGGACGACAGGGGCGAAGGACAGTCGCGTGCCGTGGCCAAGGACGCTGGGCACGCTGCCCGTGGTAGCGCGGTGCCGTGGCGGCCAAGTGAGACACAGGACAAGGACACGAGGTACACACACGCAGTCTTGCTCATGTACGAACCTGACGTTTGTTGTTGTGGTTGTTTGGTTGTTTGTTTGGTTCCCAGGACAGTGACGACTTTGGCCTGTCGGCTTGCGGGTTTACACAGCTCATGAGCAGGGTATGTTGCAGCGTATGTTGCATAGAGACGCGCCCGACGACGTGGTGGGGTATATGACGGTGGGTGGGTACATGGTGTTTATTGTCCCGAGCTACTACACTGGCTGGTACAACAGGATGCGCGCGAGAGGAGAAAAAAAGAGTCCCGGGAGGTGCGACGGAATGGGAGATGGGGAGATGAGGACGAGTCGAGTCAGAGAGGCAGACGGGGGAGAACCGGGGGAGAGCTGCGCGACGACTGCCTAGTACGACCCATAGGCCTGGTACTGCTGCTGGCCGTACGGCGCGGCCATCATGCCGCCGCCGTTCATGGCCATGCCGTTCATCTGCATGCCCATGCCGCCGCCGCTGTTCATCTGTACCGCGTTCATGCCGTTCATGCCGTTCATGCCCATGCCCATGCCCTGTTGCTGCATGTACCCCGTTGGCTGCTGCATGTAGCCCATGGGCTGCTGGAGGAACGCGCCCTGCGCCTGGGCCTGCGCTTGCATCTGCATGGGCATCTGCATCTGCATGCCCATCTGCGGCGCGCCGGGCGACGTGCCGTACTGCTGCTGCTGCTGCTGGAAGGCAAAGGCACTCGGCTGGGGTGAGACCGAGCCCGAGAAGAAGGCCTGCTGGCCGAGAGCGAGCGGCGACGTGATGGGCATGGGGGAGGTGGCGGCGTGGAAGTTTGGTGTGGCGGCAGGTGGTTGTTGCTGCGGGTTCCAGGCCGGGACAGTTGGGAAGTTGGACAGCTGGAGCGGGCGGGTGGACGAGGACGAGCCCGCGACGTCGACGAGGAGGTTGGGGCGTGCCGGGGCAGCAGCAGCAGCAGCGTTGGTGGTGGGGGCGACGGCACGAGCAGGTGCCGAGAGCGAAGTCGCGGCCGGGGTGACGCTGAACGTGGGCGCAGTCATGGAGCGGGTGGGAGCAGAGAAAGTCGCGCGGCCGCCGGCTGATCCAGACGAGCTGGCACTGGCAGCGCTCGCGCCGGTGTTCTGCGATGAGAGGTTGTTCCAAACAGGTCCAGTCGATGCGGTTGACCTGCGGCCGGGGCTAATGGGGAGTGCTGGCAGTTGCTTGATGGCACCGTCAAAGCTGGGCGTGTCCAGTGACGACTGGCCGGAACGGGCGTCACGGGCAAGGGCACGCGACGTAATCGCATTGCTCGATGCCAGGCCACGAGAAGCGCCGCGCTTGAACGCACCCAGCTCATACTTGCGGCGAATGTACTTTGAGATCTCAGAGTCGCGCTCGTCGGCACCAGTGGTCACGGGAGGCGGGTACAGCCTCTCGTCGGGGTTGTAGATCGAGTTGGACTTTGTGTTACCCATGTCCCTCATTGTCGTCACCTGCTCGCGCGTCCACTCGTCCAGAGTGAGCGACTTGCTGTCGCGGTTGTCAGCTCTCTAGGTCACAGTGCCACCACAACTCGGAAACGCGCCGACGTCCGGACCGTAGCGTTATGGGCCGGACAGTGTGGCCCAGATCGCTTCCATGGCCCCGGGCCAGGCGGCGCCGCTCGACGCCACCCGCATTCGGCCTAGAATGGTTCATAACCGCTTGGCGCGCGCGCGTGTGAGCACGGCCGCTGCCCGCTGCCCGCTGCCCGCCTTTTCCATTCTCAACAACAGCTGTTGGGTTTCGCGGACAACAACGTATGCGACTGGCTGGTGCTGTCACGAGGACAGTGTTGCGACACTCACACTCGACTCTTGTGCGTGCCCATTTTGCGGTGGACACTTGCGCATGTGACGCAGAGGAAGATGCCTAGGTTGACGCTCGCCCAGCGGGGATGCAGCGCATGGCAGTCGGCGCACTTGTCTGTGAAACACAGCGTCAGCTCTGCTCCATGCTGCGCCCGTTGACCGCCCCGCCCCCGAGTTTTGACTGGTGCGGAATGGGGTCAAGGAGGATGGGAGTTGACACCGCTTTGTAAAGGCGGTGAAACCGTGATGCGCACCATTTCCGGGGCTCTTGAGGACCTCGTCGAGCTGGCGCTGGATACGCTGTGCCGCGTTCATAGTGGTGGCGATGGTGGTGGTGGTGGTGGAGAAGGAGGGTGGGACGATGGTGGTGGTGGTGGCGATGTGACGGACAGAGGGGCCCGAGCGTTTTCTTTACGGCGGCGGCGGCGGGGACAGCTGGTCGTGCGATCGGCGGAAGACGAAGGGAGGGAGATGGGACGGGATTCGTCGCGGTCGACGTGGGTGGGATGATGATGCAGCAGGTGGTAGACGACGGCGTGCCCTAGGCGACGTGGACGTGGGAGGTTTTGGTTTGTGAAGAGAGAGTGACGGTGGGGTATGACCAGGCGTGGATGACAAAGGGAGCGTATGAAGGTGAGTCTGTGGTGATGGAGGTGGAAGGTGTGAGAATGTGGGTGTTGAAGCGACAACAAAGATGGGCGATGCGGGGTAAACGACCCAAAAAAGGAACCAGGAGAGGCGTGGGCAGGATGGTGGGGGGTGCCGTGTGGTGTGCCCGTGACATTTATGCTCGGCCCCCCCGTAGTTGTCGGCCCTTGATCTGTGTCTTTCTGTGCCGTCTCTCTGGATCTCTGGCGAGCTCTCTCGCATGTGTGTTCTGCGCACACGGCGCGTCTCTCCCGTCGACGCCAATGTGCAGAACGTGGACACCGGGAAAGGGTTCAGACGCGTGTCTGGGCCCTCATATCCCCGTCTCATCTCTTTCCTATGTCTCACCTGTTGGTGGCCACACGGCGCGCGCGCGTCGCTCTCTCACCTCACACGCGCGCAGTCAGGCATCTGCGCATCTGCAGCAATTAGTAACCGCCCCCACACGACGGGTAAACTTTTTCCCCCCCTGTGCTCTGCAAGAGAGAGAGGGAGACGAGAAAAGAGGCTCTCTGGATCTCTGGAACTCTGGATCTCTGGCACACGGTCTCAAGATGCATATGTGCCGCACCTTGAAAAGCTCATGTACCTGCCCCTCCTCCCCCCAGGCTGTGAACGCAGTCATGTGCGGTGCAGGGTGTAGTAGAACTGAGGGGGGACGCAGGAGATCGAGAACACCTCTAGGGTGAACCGGTATTTTTTGGTTTTTGGTTATGGTGGCAAGTGGAGACAGTGGAGACATGCTTTTGTGTGTCCGTCCTGTCCATGATACCGACAGGTCCTGTCTGATACTGAGATATATATCGTGGAGCGTGTGCAGACAACTGCCGTTACCAGCTGCTGCTACCTGTGCATGTGCACGACCACACGCCACACGGTACGATGACGGCTGCGGGCCGCTGTGTAACTGAGAGCCACCCACCAGTGACGCAACCTGCCCCTTTTATCCTTTATACCCCGCAGTTCACAAATAGACCCCATCATATCCCATCCATCCACATCCACTGCGCAACCAACCGAGAGCTGGCTCATCCATCGCTCGCAGTCGGGCTGCTGTCGACGCTCTCTCGCTCAAAACCACACATCCATTCTCCATCGCATCGCTTCATCTCCTCCCATCTTGTCTCCTTGGCGTGCACGTCATTCTACAACACACCACACACACACAACAGCTCCCATCGCACCCCTTTCGGCTCATCGACACACCCACACCCTGCTTCCCCGCGCATCGCACTCCCTGTCCACTATAATGACCCCGGCCTAGACAATGGCTCCATCTTGGACAATGGCTCCATCTTGGCTCTCGACATTGTGGCCGCACGCTTCAGACGCGGGTTCGTCGTCGTCGTCGTCGTCGTCCTCATCGGTAGCAGAATACATCGGCCTCCCCGTCAAACTTCCCAACGCTCCGTGGCCCGCACCACCCGCCGACCCGGAAAAGGGCCTAGAGCCAGCAGCAACAACAACAACAACAACATCGGCAACACCACACGGCTGCTCCTTCCCCCGCATCCGCACAAGACGGTTCTTCGTCTTCCTCGTCACATATGTGCTGCTAGTCATCGCAGCGCTCTATGTCCTCCGTGACCTCGGATACATCCAGCGCTGGCGCTCTGGTGAGTTTTGCTTTTCTCTCACACTTGGGATGTGCTGCGCGGCTGCTGCGAGAGGAAACTGCGCAACCCCTTCCAACACGACCCAACCCCCCTTGGTGCGGTGTGCGCGGACACTGCCGCGGCGGCGGCGGCGCCTCCGTCCTCACTGCGGTGTTACTGCAGTGTTGCCAGACCCCAGGCCACAGTACTGACTCTCTTTTTTTTCCCCAGTGGAGCCAGCAACAGGGCAGCCGGACGCAACAGCCGCATTCGATGACCCACACTCTGCCGTGGCCGACCTGCAGCCGTTCCCGACAGACGATGTGCCAGCAGAAGTCGAGGACGAGAAACCCCCTCCACACGAATCCATTGACAAGCTGCCGTCCGACCCCGTGCAGGCATGGGGCATTGTAAAGCCCGAGCCGGGGAACTTCAACGGCGGCCTCATCCCATGGGCACCCAAGCCACAGTCCAAGCCCAAGGACCAGGCATACAGCAGCCTGGGCCTCGAGGCTGACGAAGTGTACAACTACGCATACCCGGACATGGAGCGGTATGACGAGCAGCTGCGAGACGTCGCAGCCTTTGCATTCCCGACAAGCCTCAAACAGCAGCTGCTCGACGGCCTCAGGCGCTACAACCACAAGGCGAGCGCACCACAGGACTGGGATGCCGTCAAGGAGATTTGGCAGACGGACAGGAACCCCGACATGAAGAAATCGGGCAGCGTCAAGACGTGGATCGACGACCGCACGAAAAAGGAAGGGTGGCACCACCAGCTCTACGACGACAAGGAAGCCCAAGAGTGGATGGACAAGACCTTTTCTGAGAAGCACGGCGAAAACAATGTCCATTATCTGTGGAACAACCTGCCCGCAGGCATCTTGGTGAGCTCCCCGACGCTTGTAATGGGTTGAGCTGACGCAACAGCGCGCGGACCTGTTTCGCTATCTCATGCTCCTCGTCAATGGTGGCATCTACACGGACACGGACACGCGTTTGGTCCGTCCACCATCTCAGTGGGGCCACGGCCAACGTCTCTGGAAGGGCGGCGAGGGCTGGATGGACGCCACGCAGCGCTCGCGCGTCTCGAACGGCGAGAGCATCGACGACGTGCTGGGCCGGCCCTCCATCGTCGTCGGCATCGAGGCCGACGTCGGCGTGCGGGACGACTGGCACAAGTGGTACCCGCGCCCACTCCAGTTTTGCCAGTGGACCATGGCGGCCGCGCCCAACCACCCCATCACGCTCTCTGCCGTCCTCCGCGTTCTGCACGCGTCGGCAACAGCCAACGAATGGGCGCGCGTGCGCTGGTCGTGGATCAAGGGTCTGCGGTCCACGGGAGAGTGGGACAAGGCCAACGATTTCTTCAAGAGCAACGTCCTCTCCACCCCGTCAGACGGCGGCCCCGTCGGCGTCATGGACTGGACAGGGCCGGGAGTGTGGACCGACTCGGTGCTGAGCTACCTGTCCGTCAACTATGGTGTGAAGTGGACCGACCTGCGGGAAATCCGCCACCCACTGCGTATTGGCGACGTGGTCATCTTGCCAGTGACCGGGTTCTCACCTGGTGTGGGCCAGTTTGGCGCAGGAGAGCCTGAAGGTGGGTGGTTTTTGAAACGACTCTCGGCTGGTTGCTGCTCTCCAACTGACACTGTTTCCCAGACAACCAAGCCATGGTGTATCACCTGTTCCGTGGGAGCTGGAAGCACCAGGGCAAAGAAGGCAGTCTAGGCGCGATGGGAAGTATTTGGGATTGATCATGTAGGCGGGACAACTCGCGCTCGCACACCGCCGCTGCTGGCCATAGAAGCTGCGGCAGGTAACCCCCCATTATTTCATAGACAGGCGACAAGTGTATGTTAGAAAGGTGCCATTCAGTCACGGCTGGTGGTGCATCGTGGAGAGTGTGCCTGCGAACGTGTATAGTGTGGGCAGCGGAAACGCCGGGAGAATGAATTGTTGAATGGACAGGGCAATTGTGGGTGAGACTTGGAGGGGTCCCGGATCCAATGTTGTGACAATGACACACGTCACGCCCCGCACACCCACAAGCGACACACCGTGCCCATGTCTGTCACAACCCACACCTTTGCATTGCACTACACCCCCCTACAACAATGAGCTACGGGCACAACTACGGCCTCGACGAGGCCGCACGTGAGTCATCCCTCCCCCTTGCACTGTGCTACTGTGCTGCTGTGCTGCACTGACACCCCCCGCTCAGTGCTCAAAGCGTACAACATCTCCACCGTCCACCCGGAGGCATGGGAGGAAGTGGACCATGCGCACGAGGGCCCGCTGGCCGGCACACTCAGTGCCGAGGGCGGCGGCGTGGCCGACGAGATGGATCCGTTGGGGCTGCGGGGCAGGCTGAGTACGTGAGTACCGCGCGCGGGTTGGTTAGGTGCTGCGCCCAGCATGTGCAGCATGTCAGCTGGGTGTCCCCCGACGTGTGAGCAGCTGGCAGAGGCAGGTGCTGGGCGTGCAGTCGTGTGCTTCAAGCAGAAGAGTTGGTGGTTGGGGACAGTGCTGACTTGCAGTTCGGGAGAGAGGGACCTCCAGACGCGTGAGTGCCATGGGACGCAGTGACGACGACGAGGACAACGACGACAACGACGACCGTCACCAGGTGATCCATCACTGGCACCCGCCGTCCACACCACCCCCGTGACCCCATTCTGACCCTGTGCAGGCGCTGCGACGCTCCTCTCGTCCAAGGCGTTTGACCCAAAGATCTTTCTCAGTATCCAGCACCCAGACGCGAGCTACCAGGACCTCCAGACGGGTATCGACCACCTGGTCCACGCGATCGAGAGCAGGAGCGAGCAGGTCCGTATTCTAGTCGAGGAGAACTTTGACCGCTTTGTGGCTGTCAAGGCTACGAGCGATGGTGAGTGCAGCGGGGCGATGGTGGAAGCCAGGTGCTCGTCGGTTGAGGCTACTACCTAAAGTCGGGCCATATGTCCCCCAACTCGGCTGACCAGCAGTTGTCTACCGTGACATGGTGGAGAGCTTCCTCGCAAAGGACACGGACCACGGTACGCGCGAGCTGCGCGAGATCTTCAAGGGTGAGTACAGCTGTTTGACCTGTGTAGCTCAGCTGACGCCGTCCAGTCGCCGGCCACCGCGCCGACCAAGTCTTCCTCCCTGTCCTCGAGAACGTCGTCAAGGCCGCCAAGCTGCGCTCGACACTGGGCGTGTTTGAGAAATCCAAGTTTCTGTTCAACCTTCCCGGCCAGCTGCTGGACAGCATCAATGCGGGAAAGTACGATCAGGCGCTGCGCGACTACAAAAAGGGCCTGTTCCTCCACGCCGCGCGCTCGCAGCCTGGCGCGTTCATGCCCGGCGTCCCCGCCACCACCCCAGACCAGATTGCCCGCCAGCGCCGCGTGTTTGATAAAGTCTGGGACTCGGTCGAGAGCGTGATGCGCGACATGCGGCACCGGCTAGACACCATGCTCAAGGACCCCAGCAAGAGCGTGGATGAGCACGAGAGGACGCTAGAGTATGTGTCGATGAGTGCCCTTTTTGGAGAACGCTACTGACATGTCTCAAGGATCCTTATTGAGCTGGAGGGATCGGATGAGCCGGCGTGGGGATACCTCGATTACCAGCACCAACATATCCTCGACAGCATGCGGCAAATGTACAACCGAGCGCAGGAGAGCATTCGAGGTGGGTGATCCGCGCCTGGACCTCTTTCTGACCCAGCAGAAGCCCAACAGGTGGCTGCGTCCGAGCCATCGTCGTCGTCGCACCTCACAGACCTGCTCCGTCGCCAGCTCGCAAGTCCGCACTACGAGCCCAACCTCCTCACTCGTGAGCTTCCGTGTCCCTGTTGCGCCCAGCTAACATTCCAGCCTCTGCTGCCGAGCATGTGTGGGCGGCCGTCCGCGCCATGGTCCGCCAGCAGTCTGAGTACGTCGTGCGGTCGCTGCCGGGCTTTTGGCGCATTGCCAAGGCGTGTATGGACGGTCGGTACCGCAAGCGCGACTCGTCGGGCACGCTGCGCGCATCGCACCGCCCGGCAGCCTCGTGCCGCCAGATGGCCTCGGACATTGTCAAGCTCTACATTGCTACGCTGTCGCAGTACTTTACGCTGTCGGACATGACGCTTGTCAACTCGAACGCTATGGGTCGCGACCCCAACTCCAAGGCTGCTGCCGACACCAAGGTCCCCAGCTTTGTCCCTGCGGGCACCACGGTGCTTGCTGCTGGTTACTTTGCCGAGCGTATTCTCGACGAGGTGTCCGAGTGCGCCAACGAGCTGTTTGCGATCGATGTCGGCAAGGAGGCCTCGCAGGGTGCCAGGGCGATGCTCGAGTCGCTGCGCTGGCGCATGCTCGAGGTCGTGGCCTCGACGTGGGCGCGGGATGTGCGCAACTTGCACCTGCTCGAGGACTGGAAGCCGTCCGTCAACGGCGCGCGTGGCGAGACGCGCTACTTGGACCTTTCGACCGAGTTCCAGACCCGCGTGCTCGTGTCTGCTCGCCGTGTGTCTGCTGGGCCGCCCGTGGGACCCAAGGACAAGGAGGCGCTTCCGCCTCTCACTGCGACGTTCAAGCGCAAGCTGCGCGAGACGGTGCTCGAGACGGAAGAGCTCTTGTTCAAGGGTATCCTCGCCCTCGGCACAGCGTCCAACGAGGACATCAAGGTCGCCCGGCCGTCTCGCGCACGCTCCAACGCGCCCACCGACCCCGAGAAGCGGCTCCTGTACACGCTTGCGACGTTTGACCGGCTCAAGGAGACTGTCATTCCGGAGTTTGCCCGCAAGGTCGGCGAACAGCTCGGCAGCGACGCCGCGGCGGTCGACAGTGCGTCATGGGAGGAAATGGTGGAGGACCTCGACATGGTGGTGTTTGACCAGTTTGTCACCCGCCGCTCGGACCAGCTCGAGCACCTCGTCCGCGACGGCGTGCTCACGGGCGGGATGGACTGGATCAACACGCCCCGCCCCACCGAGGTGCGCGCGTACATGCACCGCGTGGTGCTGTTGCTCGTCGAGGCGCACGCGCGCGTCGGCGACGCTGCGCCGGCGCTCGTGTCGCGCGCACTCGAGACCCTCATCGAGCGCGTGTGCGTCACGGCCCTCGAGGCGTTCCAGCGCGTGGGCCGCTTCGGCACGGGCGGCATGTTGACGGCCACGCTCGAGATTGAGTTTTTCAACCAGTCCGTCGCCGCCTACCTCACCCCGCAGGGCAAGGAGAGCCTGCAGCAGGTGTACAATGTCGTCTCGCAGGGCTATCGCAAGCAGCAGGCGCCCGAAGCCATGGACCGCGACTTGGACGCCATGCGCCGGATCCTCGATGTCAGCAGGCGGAGCACCGGCGTCGAGACGCTGTGCTTTAGGAGCCAGGCCGGGCAGTGAGGAGCAGTAAGGAAGAGGAGCACCGGGAATCCCGAGAGCACGCACCGCACGCACGCGCGCGTGCGTCCGGCGCCGCCGGCATCACGGTCCGACTCCCCGCCAAAGCCCGAACTCGCATACGTCCGAACCCGAAAAGCCAAGGTTGGGTGGCGTACTGTACGGCCTTGTCCTTTTTTTTCGCTCGCGCTCTCGCTCTGCTCTCGCTTGCGGCGTGCGGTGTGCGGCGGCGGACGTGGTGGCGGTGGCGTGACTGCGCGGTCGGGGACCGGGGTGGTTGGGGAGGAGACTGCGCTCGGCGGCCGGGCGTGGAGGACGTGCGCGAACGTGCGTGTGGGCCTGCAGCAGTAGGGAGTTGGGGCGTGGCGAATTGTGTAGATTAGTAGAGAGATGGCGATGCGACTGGGACGTGCCGATGCCGATGACGTTGGCTGGGGGCCGACGAGACGAGGGGATGAGGACACTCGGCCTTTCACACGAGGGACAAAGCTCACACGCGGCTAGTTGAGCTGCTAGATGTATGCCCCAGGTATCGCAGCGTCATTCAGAAGGAGGGCGGTTATTTCACCAGTGGCCGGTGGCGCGGGTGGTGGACTATGATCCGCCACGCAAACAGGCTCAGTCAGGCATGCTGTCCATGCACGCATGGACCTCGTACACCCGTACCCCGTACCACCCACCACCTTGCTGACAAGCCGTCTCTGTTTCTTTCGCTGCCCACCCCCCTCGCCAAGCCCAGGCCGACGCGCCAAGATGGATAGCGTCCCCGCGTCAGGATCGAAAATACAGAGCAACCCAAGCACGTCTGGGATCTGGACAGGAGGAGTAAACACTGCCGGCGGCTTCGGTTCAAATGAGGGGGCTAAATCTACGGCAATAGGTTTTGTCGTGCGGCGACCGCACCACCGTACCACTGCACTGCACTGTACCACTCCACTCCGCCGCGCCCTGGTGCGCGTCTCCGCCGAACGCGGCCATGTCGACTGGTGGGATTGCCCGATTCCACAGCCCCCCACCGCCTCTCGGCTGGGGTGTGCCTGTGGGTGAGTCCGTCCGGCCCGGGACGCGCGCTGTGCCACAATGTCCGCGTCGGAGACCGCGGACGAGAGTGGTGTGGGGTGGCAGAGCGGAAGCCGCACGGCGCGGTGTGCCGCGGCCATGCAATGCACTGGGGATACAGATGCGGGGGGTGTCAAGTTGGTGGTGCTCGTTATTTGGATCGTCGCGGTGGAGAGAGACGACAATGTGCCGGCGGGAAAGAACACCAGGGTGACTGCCACTCATGATCGCTCGGGCCTCGAAAAAGTGGGTTCTGAGGGCAAAGCAAGCAAGCAAGCAAGCCGTTGCTGGTGACAGCAGTCAACAGAACCTCGTCGTTCAGAAGGAGTAGGCTCATGCACGCAACCATCAGAGCAGAGGTTCGCTCAAGACGCGCATCTCGGCTTTGAACGTAGATTGCCGAGCGTGGAGTGGGCTGCGCGTGTGGTCGTTGCTGTTCGCGTCAGAGGACCAGGCGAGCCCATGTGCCGAGCCGCGGGCCGCGATCGGGTCGACTACTGTGCAGAGCAGCCAGATGCCCAAGCTGGCTGGCCTTGAACGCGTCCCGCGCTCGCTGCCTCGTCGCTTGTTGAGCGGGGTGGGTGGATCTTCCGCCCCGGATAACGGGGGGGGGGGGGGGTGAGAGCGACTGTGAGACTGTGAGAGATCCGGCTCGGAGACGCTGGTTGTGCTTTGTAGGTTTGTAACAGAGTGAGCGACGAGCATGTGAGCCATGTTGTTTGTTTCTTGCAAGTAGCGGTGGGAGAGACTTGCAAGAGAATGTTGCATGGTTTTGCTTTTGCCGGTGCAAGCGACCCGACGGTGAGGACGACGACGACGACGACGACGACGTCATTTGGCCAGGGACGAGCGGCCGAGTGCCCGCCGCGGCCGCCCAATGGGCTCAGTAATGGCCCAATGGTGCGCGTGAAGCTTGAAGCGGCAGTCAGTCAGTGGCCGTCACTGGGTGGAGACTGGCGGAGCAACATGTGGGCCACCCACACCGTACACGCGCAGGCTGGGCTGGCGCTGGCTGGCTGGCTGGCTGCATCCCACCCAAATGGTGCACCTTCCCTCCGTTGCTTCCTCCTTTACATCCCTTCCTCCTCCACCCACTCCACCAACACTCACCCCACAACCACCAACACACCCACCACCACAACACCCACCCGTCACACCATCCTCCCCCCTCCTCTCCCGTGCGGCATCGCCCACCGCATCCCCTCCCCCTTCCTCCCCCCCTCACCCCCCTCCCCCTCCCCGTCATCGCGCTCCACACTGCTCCGGCCGTACATCCCGCACATCTTCCCTCTCACATCGCAAACCCTATTGTGACTACCCACCCCTACCCATTTCCCCCCATCTTTTTCTTCCCAACCTGTTCACATCTCACTTCGACTCGGCATAGTGGACATATACACGGCAGCACACACACACACACCCGCGTGCATACCCATCCCGCGCGCTCTGTCCATAATCGACACCCGCCCCCAACGCAGCTTGCACTGTTCCCAGCCAAAGCCTCCTGGAAACCAAACCATACACCAGAGAGCGTCCGTCTCCTTGCCCCGGATCGACGCGTTGTGCTTGCTGCTCCAGTGTACCACCTAGCATCGTCCTAGCTGCTGCTCTCCGGACTCTGCCCACCCACAGGCCTTCCCTAACTACCCTTTGTTCTCACCCGCCCGCGCGCCCCCGCAACCGCCGTCCGCCCGCACCATGCTGTCATCCACCCCGGCAATCCCACTGAGCGCGATCGAGTTTGCCCACGAGTCCAACGGCCGTCGGCTGTCGCTCACCACGGCACAGGGCCGCCAGTTCTTCACCCACCGTGACGGCCTGCCCAGCCCCGACACGCTCACCCCGATCGGAGGCACCCCCACAACCAGCGGAGCGGCTACTCCGGCTGAATCGTCCGACTCGGCGCCGGGCTCGAGGTCTGCGTCAGGCCAGAACCTCAACGAGCACTATGACGACGGAAACAGCCTCTTCAAGGCCAACTCTCGCGGTGGCCTCTGGCACGACCAGGTGGTAAGTCCGTCGTGGTTGTCAATCTGGCACCCCTCCCCTCCCACCACCCCACCCTTTTCCCATCGGTCCGTTTTCGCTACCATCGTTCCTTGGCAATTCTCCTGGGGCTCTCTGTCGCCTCCGTGACATCCCGCCAGTTGGCGCTCCGAGTTGAGGCTGTGGATGTGGCCTCAATGGTTGTGGATGGTTGAGAACAGAGGACAGAGTTGGACCGCCGGGCATGCTGTGCCTGTACATGTGTTCCAGCGTACGCGTGTTATAGCGCGCACACTGCGGTCTGCGCAATGCGTGTTGGTTGTGCGGTGCCGAGAGACACCAGCCCCCCCGGTCCCGAGGCCTCGGGGCAAATCACCGAGTTGGCCCTCACTGCCTGCGTCATTCCTCCGCTCTCGTATGGTGTGCTTTATCATCCCCCCTTCGTGTCCTGTTGTCGTCGGCGAGCGCCCAGAGAACCCATCATTGCAGAGTTCTCCGTCCCGGGCCCCGTGTATAGGATCGCATGGCCCCACACCCCCCATCGGCTTCTCGGCACGCTCGCATCATTGCAGTGAATCGCTGTGTGGTGGGCGTGCCAAGACGAGAATGATATAGAGACGCACACGCAGTCACTCTTACCCCATCCCGCTTCCCATCACCATCCACTCCCCTCTGTCCACTCTATTCTACTCTTGCCCACCCAGACCGCGCCTCCATCTAGGCAACGGTCTCGTCTGCTGCGTTGGAGTTGTCAGAAACCACTGGCCGGCTCCCGCCGGCGCCTCTCGGTGTTCACACGCACACACCCAAACCAGACGTGGATCGTAGTCGGTCATGTTCCAACTACGGGTTGGCCGCGACACGCGCGCTGGTGGCGGGGGCGTAAACCCCCATCACCATGCCCACCCCCAAAAGTCGTCTCCGACTCCGACGGTTGCTCGCGCAATGCGGCTGCTTCTGTGGTCTAAGCGCCAGCCGCGCGATTCTTTAGACTCCCTGCACTCGGTGCGCATTTCAGGTTTCGCTTGGCACTTGTCACCACCCCCTTTCACCTCTTATCCCAATGTGATCTCCCCTCCGCATCGCACACCCACACCCACACACACACACACCCCCATGCTCAGGCCATGTTGGCTGACTCTTCACAGAACGGCAGTCGTCTTGGTGAAGACATCTCGCCTGGGTCCCACTCGCCACAGACGCCTGGCACGCCGAGCTCGGCCCGGGGCGGTGGTCTCCACGTCCCCTCGGCCCTGTCGTTCACTGCGGCAGATTCGCCAGACCGTTCCAACGCTCCTCCTCCGCGCCGTGCCAACACCATGGCGGGCTCTACGCCGTCGCCTCCGACGACCCGCCAGGCCAAGCACGCCGGCCCCCTCCACGACCTGCGCAGGTTCCTCAACCACCACATTGGTGGCCACCATGACCACCACAAGGAGCGCAGCACCAGTGGCAGCGGTCACCCGCAGTCGGCGTTCCGCGAGGCCCACCTCCAGCCAGACACACCAGGTTCGGCGACCCCGATAACCCCCTCGGGCGTCGCCACTCCTGGCTCGCAGCTCCGTGGATCAGGCTTTTTCCAGACGGGCGGCAGCAACTCTGGTTCGGGATCGACGACTCCAGGCGGCACCACCAGCGCTGCCCCGTCCGAGTCTGGCAACGGCAGCGTCAAGGACACCAAGGACAAGGACCACCTTGGCCACCACTCGTCGCACCTGGTTGGCTTTATGCGCCACCACCACCGTGACAAGGAGGGTGAAAAGTCGCACTCGTCGCTTGCATCGTTCTTTGGCCACCACTCGGACAAGAAGAAGAAGAGCAGCAAGGACGAGCACCACTTTGCGGCCGAAAAGTCGTCGCAGCCGTCGTCGCGTCCTGGCTCGACAGCGCCATCGCGCACCTCGACGCTCATGATGTCCGAGGCCGCCCCGCCTTCATCGCACCCGTCGTCGTCGCACCTTGTCCACGACATTTCGCCCGCGCACACGTCGCACACTCTGCACACACCGTCGCACTCTGGCCACGCCACGCCCAAGAACCTCGGCGACTACCCCGGTGTCCCTGGGCCCGTCATTGCCCTCACCCACCCTGCGACCATTGAGGCCACGCACGCTCACCTGGCCAAAAAGTACGGCAAGTGGGGTCGCGTGCTGGGTTCGGGTGCCGGTGGTACTGTCCGTCTCATCAAGCCGAGCCAGAAGACTGGTGGCACCACCTACGCCGCCAAGGAGTTCCGTCCCCGCAGGCAGGGCGAGTCGGAGAAGGAGTACCTCCGCAAGGTGACTGCCGAGTTTTGCGTCGGTGTCACCCTCCACCACACCAACGTCATTGAGACTGTCGACATTGTCAACGACCACGGCCACTATTACGAGATTATGGAGTATGCCCCTTACGACCTGTTCTCGGTCGTCATGTCGGGCAAGATGAACCGACCCGAAATCTACTGTGTGTTCCGCCAGATCATCGACGGTGTCAACTACCTCCACAGCATGGGTCTCGCCCACCGCGACCTCAAGCTGGACAACTGCGTCATGACCGCGGACAACATTGTCAAGCTCATCGACTTTGGCACTGCCACCGTCTTCCACTACCCGGGCAAGCACCAGATCCAGGCCTCGGGCGTGGTTGGCTCGGACCCGTACCTCGCTCCCGAAGTGCTCACGCGCGACCAGTACGACCCGCGCTTGACGGACGTGTGGTCTGTTGCCATCATCTTCATGTGCATGATCCTCCGCCGCTTCCCCTGGAAGATCCCCGACTACAAGACCGACATGTCGTTCAAGCTCTACGTCAACACCCACCCCGAGTTGTGCAAGAAGCAGCCCACCAAGACCCCGGCTCCTTCGCTCGCCAACGGTCAGGAGGGTCCCGGCAACAAGACTGGCGGCAAGAACACGCTCCACGCCGACGGTTCGTCGCCCTTGCCCTTCCGCACTCCCTCGGCGTCGACACAGGCGACTGCTGTCCCGAACAAGGAGTCGTCCGAGGACAATGACGAGGCCATTTCGTCGTCACCTTCATCCTCAGAGGACACCCCCCGCGTCGACCGTCTCCACCTCAACGACTCGCCCAAGCAGGACCCTTCAGACGAGCTCTTCCCCCGCCGCCACGACACGACTGCGTCTCTCCCGGCCGCAACCATCCCTATTCCCGCCTCGGGTCCGTTTGGCCGTACCATCCGCCACCAGCCCAGCACGCTCACAACGTCGCCCATGGCAACGTCGCCCATTGACACGACCGACGGTGGTGTCGCGGCCACCAAGCCCGTCCCCGTCAGCCGCGCCCGCTCCGGTACTCTTCCTTCCAACCCTTCACAGATGATCGGTTCGTCGCCCGAGCGCCAGGTGTCGAGGCAAGAGAAGCAGATGCGCCGCGAGCGCGCGGCCTCTATCTCGTCGACGCGCACATACACGTCTGGTGGCGCCGAGTCCATCTTCCGCCTGCTCCCGCGCGAGTCGCGTTCGGCGATTATGCGCATGCTGGCTGTCGAGCCCAGTATCCGCTGCACGCTGTCTGACCTGCTGTTCGGGCACGGGCGCGACGACCAGATGTGTCCCTGCGGCTCGCCCGAGTGTGGCGGTGCCGTGAGCGCGCCCCCATCGTCCATGACGGGCGTGGACGAAAAGGACGACGACGGGGACCACTGGATCCAGAGCATAGAGTGCTGCTCGCACAACCCGGGCGCACCCGTCAACCACAAGCACATCAAGGTCGTGCAGGAGGAGAAGCCCAAGAAGAAGCTCTTTAGCTAAACAAAACGTGTATCTATCCTCCCGACGACGACGACGATGGCGGTGGTGGAAGAGATGATCTTGAGAGGGGGAGAGAGGGGGAGAGAGAGAGACTGGTGGACGCGCGTTTGCGTTGCGTGCGTCGTTTTTTTAGAGTGGCCAAGGAGCATTAGTTGTGCCCAGAGCCCCGCGTGTATGGAGTGTGTCCGCGATCTGCAAGGAAACAAAAAATGTATGACTCTTGTCCTGATTTGCGACCACGCACGACTGAAGCGAGCAGCAGAGGATAAGTGTGAAAGGGTGGAATGAAATGCCCTGGGTGGTGCAAAGGGACGCGCCACGTCTTGCCGCCGGTGGCCAGTGGCCAGTGGCCAGTGGGCGTGGATGGTGGTGGTGGTGGCCATAAGACTGGTCGCGTATACAAGCATGCAACGCCCTTTTTCAAGCAAGAATGTGTGTCAATACAAAGGTGCAAAGGCGCCCGCGACGAAGCGATGGAGGAGGAGGCCTGGACGCGTCGCGTAGAAAGCCACACATCCTGGGTGTGGAGTGCGTGGGGACGCGGGGGAGCAGGAGATTGAATTGAACGGCCACCAGCGACGCAACAAGGCAGATGCGGGAAGCCGTTCGAGACAGCCTCAGAAACAGTGGCCACGTCGTGTGGATTCTATATGCTATAGAGAGCGAACTGTACAGTCCACTCACCGTCGTCCAACGCATCGACACTCGACACCAAACGACACCTCTTGCACATTGCCTCCCCCGACGATTGATTGTAGGCGCCAAAACGCAGCCCGTCGCCCAGGGACTCCACCCAACCCAACCTTTTGGCGTCACGCCCCTCACCCCTCTCCCGGTCCTCATTCTCGGTCTCTCCCCGTTTTGACACCTCGTCTCTCTACCGCTTTGCATTCATCCCACTCTCGTTCTTTCTCTCTCGACCCACACATCCCATATCCCTCCCAGCTACACAACCCGCGCTGGGATAAAACCTACTCTGCCTACGTCGCGCAGGCACGCACCGACTCCCCGACTCACACCGACTCCGCGCCGACCGCCTCTCTCTGGCTGCACGCGCCGCGCCGCTGGACCGTCTCGTCGCGACTCGTCCTCATCCCCACCCACATCCACCTCCCCTCCTCCCCCCCTCCTCCCCCTCCCACCCACCTCTCCACGCTGTCGTCCAACATGCTGCGCCCGCGCGGCGGCCTCGCGCCCGCGTCGCCGACCGCCGAGCCCGACACCCCCGTCACGCACTACACGGCGGAATTTGCAGACGAGAAGAGCGCGCAGGCGGCACACGCGCACGCGCACATCCACGAGCACGCGCGCCTGTCCGGCGACGAGTCGCCAGGTCTGCCTGATACCCCGCCGCGCAGGACGGGCGGGTGGAGGAGGAAAGGCGGACGCTTTGGTGAGTGGAGTGGAGTGCACAGAGGTCGTTGCGGCGCGCGCGCGCGCGCGCGGTGCGCGTATATGGTTGGGAGACATTGGAGTGCGAAAGTGGGGGCAGGGCTGAGGGAGAGATCTGGTTTCTCTTTATCTCCTGCACCGCTACACGCGAGTGCAGGGGGGGGGGGACGTTCGTCGCGGGGCAATGTCGATGTCGTCGGCGTGAGCTGTGAAGGGCTGTGCTGGATGAGACACGGGATCTGCAGACCACAGCGCCGAAGACATGCTTCCACGTCTCCGACACCGCGTCCCTCAACGTTCCTCCACCCCCCTCCTTTCCCTCCCTTGCTCCATCCCTCAATTGACCTCATGTGAACGCCCGACAACATGATGCTGACATGTCCAGGCCTGAGCCAGCGCGCATGGCTTGCCCTCACGGTCGTTGTGGGCTTTATCTTGCTCACAAAGCTTGTCCTTCGTGAGTGTGCACCGAGAAGACGAAGAAAGTTGGGACGTGTAGGTCCCCTCCCTTGGAAAGGGAAGCGAGCAAGACACCGATGCTGCGGCGCCGCGTATCAATGGCGTCTACCGTCGTGGCGCGGCTGCAACTTGCTGGCTGCGATCGCCTGGAGCCCGTTTGGGTCGCACCGTGACGTCTTCGACCGTTGCTGACACTGTTGCAGCCTCGGACTCGCCCAAGGCCCCCTCCACCCATCACTTCACCGACGACCCGTCAGACCTCATCCCGCACGACTACCTGAACGCATCGACGACCGACCAGGCGCCGTTCGAGTTCTGCCCCGTCTTTGGCCCCGGCGACGCCATCGCTGCGCGCCGCGGCCAGTTTGAGCTGCTCCGCTCGCGCCTGTACACTGGCACTGGCGCGCGCGTGCAGCGCGTCCTGCGCAAGGCCATGAGCGGCATGCCCGTGACGATTTCGGTGCTGGGCGGCAGCGTGAGCGCGTGCCAGGGCGCCGGCGACGACCCCATCGCGCCAGAGTGCTACCCGGCGCGCTTCTTCCAGTGGTGGCAGAGCGTGTTCCCGCACCCAAGCAACGAGCTCACCAACGGCGCCAACAAGAGGACCGACTCGGCGTACTATGCCTACTGCGCCAGCCACCACCTCCCGGACAAGACCGACCTGGTCATTCTCGAGTTTGACGCTGCCGACCCAAAGTGAGTACAAGTAACTGCAAACGGTGACACGCCCGCTGACGACCCAGTGACCCGGACTGGCTCTCGTACTTTGAGCTGCTCGTGCGCTCGATTCTCGTCCGCCCCGACCAGCCGGCCGTGATTATCCTTGGCCACTTTAGCCCGCAGGTCCAGGCGCAGAACGGTTTCGCTGGTCCCGAGCTGCTGCACAACGTTGTCGCTCAGTTTTACGATGTCCCGCACATTTCGGCCAAGGGCGTCATGTACGACGAGTACCTCGAGCACCCGCACCGCGCGCTGCAGGAGCTGTACACCGACTCGCAGCTGGCCAACAAGGAGGGCCACGACCTCATTGCCGACGTGCTCGTCTCGTACATTATGGGCCAGATCTGTGCCGGCTGGTCGGCCCTTCTGGGCCACTCGTTCAACGTCCCCTCGGTCAACATCAAGGGCGACTCTGTGGCGGGCACCCCCTTGCTGCTTGGCGGTGTGGGTCTGCGTCCTGGATCCGACGCCGACCAGCAGCCCGAGGACGGCGCCACTGACAAGAGCGACCTGATCTCGCACTCTGCCAACCTGGGTCTCGAGGCGCCCAAGATGCGTCTGGCCGACCGGCCCAACGAGCTCAAGAACTTTCGCGAGATTGAGCCCTACTGCGTCTCGGCCTCGGACCTGGTCTCGCCGCTTCCCCCCTCGATCTTTTACGGCTCGGGATGGGCGACGTACCACCCGCCCAAGAACGCCGTCGCCGAGGACAGGCACTACTGGTACGCCGACCAGCCGACGTCGCGTCTGCGTATCCCGCTGCGCATCGGTGCCGGCGACGTGGGCATCTATTTCCTCCAGTCGCCGCCCGACAAGCCGGCGGGCACGGTCCGCTGCTGGATCGACGACAACCACGCCGGCGCCAAGCGCCTCGTGGGCACGGCCGAGGTCGAGGAGCCCATCGCCACCCTCGTCATGATCGACCAAGGTGTCTCGCGCGGCTCGCATTTCGCAGAGTGTGTCCTGGAGGGCGAGCTCGGTGGGGCCTCGGCGCCATTCAAGATTCTTGGCATGTGAGTTGTGGCGAAGGGAATGTCTTGGATGTTGTGTTGTGCTGACGCCGTGTGCCAGTTTCACGACTTAGAAAAGGGAAAAACGAGGTGCTGGCGGGAGAGGGGAGGGGAGCGAGCTGCTCGACGCTTTCTTTCTGTTTACTTCTTTTTTTTTCTCGTTTACTCGTTCTTGTTGCCCCCCTGTTCCTTGCTGGGGCGACAAGGACACAGACAGACACACACACAGAGACACACATATGGCCCCTACGCTTCTTTTGGTGGGGGTTTTGCAGAACTAGATGGATATGGATTTCATGGACAACTGCGGCGGGTGCGGGGGAGTTTGATGCCATTGTGTGTGGGGTAGACGCGACCCTCGACGCTCGATGGATGCTCGCGCGGACATCCGTGGCATCCGTGGGAGGCCTTGGGTGCCGTGTGGTGTATCGGGATTAAATCGGCGCGCGGCGGGCAACGGGTGGACCGGGGGCTGCAACGGGCGACCGACTGGGACGGAGGCAGAATTCGCCTGCCTGGCTGGGCTGGCTGGCTGGCTGGGACGGATGGCCCGTCAGTCCTGCCAGCGCGAGCAGACGGAGGGAGTGCAGGTGTGCGTCCCCCCCATACAAACCGGCCACCTCGTCCTTTACTGTCTCATCCTCCCTCTCTCCTCTCACCACCACCCACCTCTCTCACCACCATGTTCCGCGCAGCCTTCCGCCCAGCCCGCATCGCCGTCCAGGTAGGTACACCCACAGCTCGACAAGGCAACATAGCAATGGCACACACCTGCAGCCTGCCTTGCCCCGGGGAAATCTCGACACCCGTCGGCCCGCGCCCTGCCGACGCCTATGAGCTGCTCCCAACCGCATCTCCTATCAATCTCATGATGGCTGCTGCTCGGGGCGGTGACAGCCTGCTATGACGCACACACACACACATCACACACATCACACATGTCTTTTGGAACCAACAGCTGACGTCTCTCCCAGCGCTCCACCGCTGTCCAGCAGCAGGTCCGCAACCTCTCGATCCACGAGTACCAGTCGGTCCAGCTCCTCAACTCGGTAAGTGGTACGAAGCGAGGGTGTGAAGTGAAGCAGCCAACCAGCTGGCGTGAGAGATGGGCGGGGGTGGCTAGCTACCCCCGGCAAACAGTCGCGCTGGGCCTTGGCTCCGCGTTCTCTCTCGGAACACCCGGGGCCGGGACCCGGCAATGCGAGGTGGATGGTTGGGCACACCTCTTCCAGTGTTGCCCCTCTCTCACGCGTGGGGACGGCCTGGAGGCAGTGTGCAGGAGCCCACGAGACCACGAGAGACCACCGCCCGGCGCCGGGACGTCGCTGTACACCCTCGGCCGGAAATGCAAAATCGCTAACGGCGGCAGTACGGCGTGCCTACCCCCAAGGCCAAGCCTGCGTTCACCCCCGAGGAGGCCGAGACCGTCGCCAAGTCGTTTGGCGGCGAGCAGCTCGTCATCAAGGCCCAGGTCCTTGCTGGCGGTCGTGGTAAGGGCCACTTTGACAATGGCTACCAGGGTGGTGTGCACATGATCGACACGTGAGTTTTTGGCACGGACAAGGAGTGTGGAACTGGTTCTGGGGGAGGTTTGGTTCTTGCGATGCGAGTTGCGAGCGGTGCGTCCTGGTGCTGGTCGCAGGGGCAAGCTGTAACCCCAAGAGACTCGGGCGACAGCTTGTCTTGGATCTTCGCCGACTCGACGCACCTGCTGGGAGCTTGGTTACCCGTCTAGAAGACTGGAATTATCAGCTACTGAGTGATCGCTGTCGCTCTCCAGCTGGTTAACCTGGCCTTCTGACGGAGTGCTTGCTCTACCCAGCTACTGTCGTTCTCGCCGGGCTAGCTGGCGCAGCGGCACCTCGCCTGTATGCCCTGCACCTCCTTCAGAGCCACCTTTGCCACCTTTTGCGCCTTGATCGCCCCATACTGACTCCCTCCAGCCCTGCCGAGGCCAAGGACATTGCCGCCAAGATGATCGGCCACAGCCTCATCACCAAGCAGACTGGTGCCGCTGGCCGCATGTGCAACGCTGTCATGCTCGCCGAGCGCATGCCCCCCGCCAAGGAGTACTACGCCGCTGTCCTTCTCGACCGCGCACGTGGCTGCCCCGTTCTTGTCGCCTCGAACCAGGGCGGTATGAACATTGAGGACGTTGCCCACGACACCCCCGAGGCCATCATCACCACCAACCTCGACTTTGACAACGGCATCTCGCACGCCGACGGTGTCAAGCTTGCCGAGCAGCTCGGCTTTGCCCCCAACGCCCGCGACAACGCCGCCGACGTCTTCAACAAGCTGTACACCATCTTCAAGGAGAAGGACTCGACCCAGATTGAGATCAACCCCCTTGGCGAGCTCCAGGACGGCACTGTCCTCTGCATGGACGCCAAGTTTGGCTTTGACGACAACGCCGACTTCCGCCAGAAGGACGTCTTCAGCCTCCGTGACAAGTCGCAGGAGGACCCCCAGGAGGTCGAGGCTGCCGAGTACGGCCTCAACTTTATCAAGCTTGACGGTGACATTGGCTGTCTCGTCAACGGTGCCGGTCTCGCCATGGCCACCATGGACGTCCTCGCCCTCCACGGCGGTTCGCCCGCCAACTTCCTCGACGTTGGCGGTGGCGCCACCGCCGACGCCGTCAAGGCCGCGTTCAAGCTCATCCTCTCGTCGCCCAACGTCAAGTCGATCTTTGTCAACATCTTCGGCGGCATCATGCGCTGCGACGTCATCGCCGAGGGCATCATCAAGGCCACCACCGAGCTTGACCTCACCATCCCCCTCGTCGTCCGTCTCCAGGGCACCAAGGAGGTCGAGGCCAAGAAGATGATCAAGGAGTCCGGACTCAAGATCTACCCCTTCGACATTCTCGACGAGGCCGCCGCCAAGGCCGTCGAGCTTGCCAAGTAGACTTCATACTTAATGAGTGTACGCGTACGATGCAGCAGACCATGATACATTAAAATGAAAAACCAAAACGGTTTTATCCATCACACATGAAAACACAACTATCTCTTGGCAGTGGCACAGCAGTGGCACAGAAGCAAGCAGGCTCCTTCTCAGTCGCGTCTTGTTCGTGCCCTGCTCACATTTCCGGATTGCCGGTGCTTACACCGGCGTCGCCGGTATACCCCTTGGGACTGGGGGATGTGGCCGGGGAACGACAGGTGCTCTGTGGGGGCGACCTGGTATCTTCCACTCGGTCCCTCGGTTGTAAGGTCAGGTCCGCCGGCCGCCGACCGTGCTCCATAACCGAGTAGATAACATAACATGGTGTATAAACAAGTCTCTCTACTTTTGGCCCTGTTGCGGGATTTTGGTGGCTGTCCAGAACGCGCACTGGCGGGTGTTAGCTCCGACAATGACTCTTCACCCACGTTGTAGACGTGCTGCAGCATGTTGTCCGGGACGCCCGTGTACGTCGACGAGACCATCCTCTCCTGCTTGATCTCAAACCCGACGGTGCGTGCCAGTTCTTTCACTTCGTCGAGACTGAGCTCGATGCTCATCTCGCCCTTGGCGCTCGCGGGCGCGTTCTCAAAGTGCCACAGCAAGGGGCCGAGGTTGATCCACACGCCGCCGTCGTCGAGCAGGCCGTGGATGATACGCAGGTAGTTGAGGATGCTGCGTGCCGTGTCGATGAAGAAGCACGTCACGACCGCGCCCCACCGCCCGCGCTGGTTGACGCGGCCGCCTTCTTCGTCGTCGTCGTCGGACGCGGACGCCGTGTTGGGTGTGTCGAGCCATTGGCTGGGGCCGTACACCTCCTCAAAGTCACCGGCGACGAGGCTGAACCCGCCGGGCTGGACGGGCCCAGCGAGGATCGAGGACGGGACAACGTCGGGCACCTGTACGGAACGGAGGAGGTGGGACCCAGTCGTCTGGTGGTTGGAGAACGAATGGAGCCACGGAAAGATGGTGTGTTCCCGCTCGTGTGTAGACCTAGAGTGTCAAAGTCAGCTCGTCGAGATAAAGGTCACAAAGCTGAGATGACCCACTGGTTCAACGCAAAGTGGCTTCCAATGAGCATGTACGTGCTAAACTCGTTGCCCTGCGCCCAGAACCCGCGCGCAGCAATCTCCATCGCAAGTCGGCCAAGACCACAGCCGGGGACGAGGACCTTGACCTTGCCGCGAGCCGAGACGTCGGGGTAGTGCTCCTCGAGCGCGGCGACGATGGGGTCGTAGCATGCCTGGCGCTCGGCGGCACCCTCGACAGCCCAGTCACGCACAAACGACCGCAGCGTAGAGCGCACCTTGTCCTGCTGCAGGTCGCGGTCGCGCTGCGACGGGCCAGAGGCCTTGGTCCCGCTGCCGGACGCTGACGCAGGAGCAGACGCAGAAGCAGAGGCCGCACTGGAACCCGAGTTGGAGCTTGGGGCTGCGTCATGGCTGTGGCCGTGACTGTGCGCGTCGTGGCTGTGGCCATGGCCATGGGCATGGGCGTCGTGAGAGTGCCCGCCGTCGTGCGCGCCATGGTCATGCGAATGGGGGTGGGCCGGCGCGTCGCTCTCGAGCATGTCCGCAAACACTGGGTCGGCGATCATGAGGTCGATAAACTCGGCGTTTCTTGCGCCGTCAGCAACGAGCCCGCGCGGACGTACGCGGTCACGCCTCTGGCGCGTCCGACTCACCGCCTGATCCCCTCGTCCACCGCCTCGAGCTTGTCGCGAAACCCAATCTGTTCATACAGCTCACGCTGGTCCTTGGGTAGCGAAAGGAACGCCATGCGTCGCGCGTGGTTTGCCGAGAGCTGCATGTTAGGATCAAACGTAACAGCATGTGATGTGATGGCAGATTCCGTCCGCCAGCATTGTCATTGCCAGCAGCCATTTACAGCCCTACGCAACGATGTGGACGACTACTTACATGGTACTGCATGTACCCATCGAACGCGCGGAGGACGTCGCGCCAGTGAGCGCGCTCCTCTGCCGAGTTTGCCATGGTGTTTTGTGGTGGTGAGTGGTGTAGGATGATCAATGGACAACCTCCACCTCCCAGCTGTTATCATTGTCCGACAGCCGTGGCAGAGAAGGCGGCCATGGGCTTTTCCGCCAGCCGCGCTTCCCCGGCCCAACTGAACCTGAGAGAGCACATGCATGTCACACATACCATCACCCTTCTATGCACAACAACCACAAAACCCATAGCATGCATAGGGCTCTCCCAGCGTGCCCCCCAAGACCACCCAACGCGTCTAATGCCGAAACCCCGGCTCAAGCTGTGGCATCCTCTCTCGGGTGGTGCGGGCGGGAGCAAATTCCGGCGCGCGCCTACACGCGCGTTGGAGCGTGGCCGCCGCGCCGTGTGTGGCTGGGGTGACGCGGGTTTGGATGGGCGAGCAAGCGGGGTGTGTCTATGGTCGACGCGGTCGTCTGCGTTCAGGCATCCTCCGCTCTTGCAACAACACACCCCTTCACCACAACCATGGCCACACCCTCCACCATGGTCTCGGCACCCGCAGGCGCGTCGCCTGCAGACGACATCTCCCCAGCGCTCCTGCCCGTCGTCGCCCTCCTGTCCTCGACGTTGACCTACCTCACCAACTGGTTCAACTCGATCCCCGGATCCCCCATTCTCCTCCGCTACATCAGGAGCTCGTACCAGAACGACCCATGGCGCTCGCTCCTCGAGGTGCTGCTGGTCGCGTTCGCCCTGCGTACCCTCCTTGCACGCCGTACCCGTGGTGAGGGCGAGGGCAAGGGTCTTCGTCTGTCCGAAAAGGTGAGTGGTGGTGTGGAGCAGCAAGGGGGGGGGGCTGTCTGTGTAAGCGTGAACGGGCCGCGCTGACCCGTTGTGCAGGAGATTGACGAGCTCGTCGATGACTGGCAGCCCGTGCCGCTCGTGGGTCCCATGTCGGACCTCGAGAAGAGGACGCTCGAGTCAGTTCCCGTTATCTATGGCCAGAACGGCGCACATGCCCGCGTCGCTCCCGGCGGCAAGCCCGTGCTCAACCTTGCCGTCTACGACTGGCTTGGCTTTGTGGAGAATGACGAGATCAAGAACGTGGCCATTGACACCCTGCACGAGTACGGTGTGGGCTCGTGTGGCCCCATGGGCTTTTACGGTACCATTGACGTGCACACGACCTTTGAGCAGGACGTGGCCGAGTTTCTCAACGTCGAGTCGGCCATCATTTACGCCCAGGGCTTTTCGGCTGTCTCTTCTGCTATCCCGGCCTTTGCCAAGCGCGGTGACATTATCGTCGCGGACCGCGGTGTCAACTTTGCCATCCACAAGGGTCTCCAGCTGGCCCGCTGCACTGTCCGCTGGTACGCGCACGGCGACATGAAGGACCTCGAGCGCGTTCTTGCGTCGGTCGACCGCGAGATTCGTCGCAAGGGCGGCAGGCTCACGCGCCGCTTCATTGTCACCGAGGGTATCTTTGAGAATGACGGCATGATGTCGGACCTGCCCAAGATTTGCGAGCTCAAGAAAAAGTACAAGTACCGCCTTGTCCTCGACGAGTCCATGTCGTTTGGCATGGTTGGCGCCCACGGTCGCGGTCTGACCGAGCACTATGGTGTCCCGGCCGAAGAGGTCGAGATCCTTATCGGTTCCATGGCCAACGCCCTGGGTGCCGGTGGTGGTTTCTGCGCCGGCTCGCAGCACGTTACCGCCCACCAGCGTATCAACTCTGGTGCCTCGGTCTTTTCGGCTGCCATCCCCGCCATGCACGCTACCGTCTCGTCTGCCGCCGTCAAGATGATGCAGTCGCAGCCATACCTCCTCACCAACCTCCGTGCCAACGTCCTCACTTTCCGCCAGCAGCTCGTCAAGCTTGAGCCTTCGCCCAACCTGATCGCCCCTTCGTCCCCCAACGGCGGTGCCGAAACCCCCTTCACAAACAACAAGGACGCCCTCATCTCCATTCCATCCCACCCAGACTCGGGTCTCATTCACATCTTCCTCGTCAACCCTCCCGACACGCTCGAGGAGGAGGAGAATGTGCTCCAGGAGATTGTCGACGAGTGCCTGGCCAACGGCGTCATCATTACCCGTGCCCGCCGTCTCCGCGGCCAAGAGTCGGTCGAGCCCGAGCCCAGCCTCAAGGTCTGCGTCAGCGCAATGTTCAGCCGCAAGGAGACTGAAAAGGCCGGCAAGACGCTGCGCGACGCCATCGTCAAGGTCTGCAGCAAGCGGCGATAGAGAATGGCAGGCGCACTTTTTAGCGCACGAGCGTGACGACTACGTGCGCGGCCCACGCGCGCGTGCAACCACAACCACATCTTATAATTCCTCTTTAAACTACCCTCTATGCAGTGCATGATTGATTACCCGAAAGGTTCTTTTTAAAAAACGAAGAAGAAGAAGAAGAAAACAAAGACAACAATGTCCCCCCCAAAGCTGGAGACACGACCTAGAGCTCCATGTGGGTGCGGCGCACGGGCTGGCCGTCCTTCTCCAGGGCCTCCTTGACGTCGTCGATGCCGACCTCGTTGCGGTGGAAGATACCGGCAGCGAGGGCGGCCTCGGTGCCGGTCTTTGTGAAGACCTCGTCAAAGTCGGCGGGCGAGCCGGCACCCGACGAGGCGACGACGGGGATGGACACGGCGTCACGGACAAGCCTGATCAGGTCGAGGTCAAAGCCCTTGCCGGAACCGTCGCGGTCGACGCTGTTGAGAAGAATTTCACCGGCACCGAGACGCTCGACGCCCTGCGCGAGCTGGATGACGTCCATGTCGCGGACGTCGCGGCCGCCCGAGATGGTGCACTGGTACCACCAGGCCTTGCCCTGCTCGTCGGCCTTGGTGCGGGTGGTCGAGGTCTCGCCGGTGATGAGGCACGGGCGGTGGAGGAGGGGAACCTCGTCGATCCAGTTGGGCTTGGTGGTGTCGTAGTAGACGCGCTTGGGGTCAATGGACACGACGACAGCCTGCGAGCCGTACGCGGCAGAGATGGTCTCGATACCAGTCTTGCCGGTGAGGGCGGGCTCGCCACGGGCCTCGCGTGCCATCATCTCCTCGACGTTGATGACGGCCTCGGAACCGATCGACACCTTGTCGGCTCCCGAGCGGAAGTAGGCGCCGGCCACCTCGAGCGCAGAGTGCGGCGTTCCGTCCGGGTCCACAGTGTCCTTGATACCGCCGCCAACAGTGAGGGGCACAAAGACCGTCTCGGCCGATCCGCGCACAACGTCCAGCATGGGCTGGTCGGCGAGCGCAGACGAACGGAACGACGTAATGTTCAAGAAACAAATCTCGTCGGCGCCTTCCTGGTAGTACCTCCTGGACAGCTCGACGGGCCTGCCGAGGTTACGCACGTTGCCGCCTTCCTCCTTTTCGCGCACGTCGTACTGGTCGCCCTTGGTGACGACGAGGTCGCCCTGGTCGTTGGAGCGCACGTCGAGGCAGGCAACAATACGAGAGGTGAGACCGGTGCCCTTGGCGCGGTCGGCGCGGGGGTCCGCAGTCACAATGGTGCGCTCGGCGACCGCAGGGAGCGGGTGCGGGGCAGACGAGAGCGACTCGGGGGAAGCCTCGAGCCAGCGACGGAGGGCGTCAAGACCCGCAGGGCCCGACTTCTCCGGGTGGAACTGGGTAGCGTAGACGTTGCCGCGACGGAGCGACGAGACAAATGTCTCGCTGCCGTAGCGCGAAAGGGTGTAGGAAAAGTCCTTGAGCTGGGCCTCCTGCTCGGCGTTGCCACGGCCAACAATGGCGGCGTACGAGTGGACAAAGTAATAGTCCTCGCCGGTGAGCACGAGGGGCTGGGCGTCTTCGCCAGCGTGGGCGTTCCAGGCGCCGTTCCAGCCCATGTGCGGGACGCTCTTCTTGCCGCCGTCGGTCGAGTCAAACTTGGTGATTGGGTATGGGACAATGTTCAGGCCCTCGGAGCCTTCAGCCTCGGTCGAGCTGGCGAACAGCACCTGCATGCCGATACAGATGCCAAAGTAGGGCTTGCCGCTGCGAATGTACTTGAGCAAGGGCTCAAAACGGCCCTCGGCACGCAGGCCGTCGGCGGCCTTGGCGAACGCGCCCACGCCGGGGAAGAGGAGCTTGTCGGCCTTGTCAAAGTCGGCGTCCTCCTTGATCCACTCAAAGTCGTAGCCCAGGCGGGTAATCGAGTTGGCCAGCGAGCGCACGTTGCCCGCTCCATAGTCGAGAATGTACAGACGGGGCTTGGTGCCCGAGGTCGAGGATTCGCCGGACATGGTGTATGTGTTTCTAAGTTGTGTCTATCGTGTTTGAAGAAAGAAGAAGCAAGCAGCTGTGGTCCATATTCATAACCAGCGGCCGGTAGTGGTTGGAAGTGGACTTGTGGAGTCGACTTTCGAGAGCGGGAGCAAAACGAGAACGTCCGGCAAATGAGGCACCTGAGCTTTATCGTGATCGTTTATCCGGGGGGCCGGCAAGTCCGCCGTCGAGTCGTGAAAGCCTGTTTACGCATGGAAGGGAGATGTGTAGCATGTGTTGTGACTCCATTGGCGTGCATAGGTATCTAGTGGGTGGGCATGAGTCTCAGCCACAAGTCGCTGGTGTGCGAGATTGGACGTGGCACCGGCACGATCTGGCGAATAGCTGGTGGCAGGGGCGTGTCACGTCATCCATCGATTTCAACCATCGCTACACATCTTCTTCCAAAATACCATAAAACAAGGACGCGAGAGGCACAGAACAACAGTCCTCGGTATCCTGGCATAATCTGCAATGCATCCCAGGCAGTGTGATCCAAAACAAGCTCATGCTCCCCACCTCCCACCCGTCAATCTCCTCCTTCTTCCCCCCCGCCTTCCCTCTCGCTCCTGGACCCTTTCGGCATGCCAAAAGAACACTCCTACACCTCCCCAGACTCCTCAGGAGGCCCAGAGGGCAAAAGAATGACCACTGACAGGATCGAACTGCCGACCTCCGCATGAACTAGTAACCAAGGGGTGTTCTGGGTATTAGTACGATGCTCTAACCAGCTGAGCTAAGCGGCCAATTACCTAAGCAAACATGGATGCTAGGAGTTGATCGTTGCGTGCTGAAGCGAAGGGCTGCATTGCTGCGCTGCATTGCCGGGGAGAGACGATGCCTGGGCGGGTGGAAGTGATGAAGCTGGAGTGAATGTCATAATGTGGCTACGGCAGAAGGCGTGGACAATTTCCCGGTCGAAAGCTGCCTCGACACCCGGATTCAGTCTGTTGGAAGAGCATACGAATATGCCTCCCAAGTATCAGCTCCCTTCCAGTGCCATATGAGACCATTTTGATGGTCAGGTGCGGGGAGGGGCCTGGCATACCAAAGCGAATGTTTTCGGGTGGGGACAATGGCCGCGTACATTTTAAAAGCGAGTTAAAAGCGAGTCTGGCGGTCCCCAGCCATTGAAGAAGGGCTTACCAGTAGCAGCAGTATTAAACCGACGGAGCCAATAGAGTGAGCTGTCGCCTAAGGATATACAGCAACAGATAATTTAACGTCGTCCACGGACCAGCAGCGACAGGCCCAGTTGAGCCACCCATTTTAAGTCTCGTCCAAAAGGCGATCGTTTATCCTCTGCCATTTCTTCTGTGGTGGACTGTACAGGATAGGCCACAGGAGCCAGGGCTGAAACACACCTTCCATGTCGTCCTCGCTCTATGACCTAGGATTCCATTATTGTCGCTACGGCCGTCGTCGTGTTCGTGACAAGAACATCCATAAATCAATGAAAATACTAAAATTAAATCGATGGCAGCGATCGGTGGAACGATGTGAACGGCAGGCTAGAAATGGGCTCCCGATAAGCATTGAGGTCATTAGAGGGTGGTAGGTATACCTTGGGCACTGGGGCCGCCTTGGGTTCTGTTGTGCAAACCTGGATAGGTAGGTAGACACGGTATATATGTTCAACCCAGAGGAGTGGCGCAGGTCAGCCCGCGGGTTGTTGCCTCTCCCATCAAACCCATTATTCACACGAGATCCACAAAACATCGTTGCTCAAAGATCTCCCACCATGACCCCTTCCACTGCACACACCAGAAGGACGTCTGTAACATCTGCCAACTTGGACAGATTAACGACCTCGTGGTTCACGATTGTCGGACGTCAGGGACGGACCACAGAATCGCCCAAAAATCATGAAAACTCCCGCCGCCACTCAATTTGATCCCGCTCTACATCTTCCACGTCGTCCAACCGCCGCCGACTCTTTTCCACCTTGCTTTCTTGCTCTTCTGCATCGCTTGTTGACCTGTGCATCTCCAAAAAGACTCATCAGGGGATCGAACCCTGGACCGCTGCCAAACAGACGTGAATCGGAAAGCAGAACGCTACCACTGCGCCAAAGAGTCGATGAAAATTTGCCTTTTGAGTAAGAAAGCGTTGCGGGGGGACATAGTAATTCGCATAATAACAACTCTTTTCGTCTTGTAGCCGTCTTTAGTTTGTATCGAGAGTGTAGCCCTCCTTCAGCTGAGTTTATTGGTACAGGAATATCATTGTATCGTGCAGCAGACTGCTGAGTAATTTTGGTTTGCGACCCGGAGGTCGGAACTTATGGGACCAGCGGCTGCCGCCTCCCCACTTCCTTGCGTCAAGGTGTATCCTTCCGCTCAACGTGAGTAGCAACTGCCATGGATATATAGCCAGGATACAAGAGAAGCTGTATAGGCTAGACCGGAGAGGTGGACTGCCCAGTATGCCTCTTCCCTGCCCACGGCATAACCCACCTCCGCTGGCGAGCCACAAAGGTGGCACTGCCTCCCGCCTGTCAACCCGCGGTGGTTCACCTCCCAACCAGGTATCCATTGTCCATACCCTATGTCATTGCGTCCACCGGGGCGCTCTCCGGGATTTCGGGGTTGCAGTTAAATGTCGTGAGGAAGGTTCTCAATAGGATGTAGCTGTTGGGCGCATAGCCGGAAGCGGCGGTGGCTGTTGCGAGCGACGCCGATCTCTACCCACTTTGCAATGTGCGACAGACAACACACAGAGCGGCATGCACTCAAAGTGCCCCGCCACATGCAACAGCACAGCTGAACCCAGAGTCGTAGCCACACCACCATACCACACTCTCCACCGAAATGCCACATTCCACCCGTGTGGCCCGCGACCGGAAGCAATCGGCACTAACATTTAAGCGCAGGCTATATTATCTTCCAACGCTCTGCTGTTTTCTAATAATGGCGACGCACAGTCGTGTAATGGTGGAGGGGACAGGGAGCATGGTGACCAACGATGTTTGAGCGATCAGTGATAGGGGCCCTTGCACACCCTGCACAAGGCCCATGGGGGTCCGACAACAGCTTCTCCCTAAAGGGACACACACCACTGACTGCTCATGACCCCCGCGACGGCCACTTTGTGACGCGTTCCACGGCCGGCAACATGCAACAAGCGGTGCCCAGTCGTTGTCTAATCACGCCACCCCCTTGAGAGCAGTCCTTTTGTATGGTGTGTCGCCGGCGGCTATCGCCTAGCTGTGAGTGGGTGCCGTATGTGTGGAGAGGTCGAGGCCCAAGTTAAGAAGAAGCCCCTTTGCAGTTTGGCATTCAAAGAAGCCTGGAGAGGTGCGGTTAAGACGCAGAATGAGCATACATGGTTATCGGAGACCCTGCCTGGCCCCCCGGGCCAAAAGGAAGCGTGACGGTCATGCTTCTGTGTGAGAATACATGATGGCTGCGCGGTGCAATGGGCCGATGGATCAGCTGTCCCCGTCGCCGCGCGTCATCGACCATGCACACAGTGTCTGTCTCCAGCTTACGAGTGAGCGCTTGCCGGCGGCGGCCGCAGAGACAGAGACAAGAGACAGAGAGAGAAACAGACTGTAAAAGAGTGACGCCACGGGCTCACGGACCCGCATCGAGCAGTCGCAGACTCACCCGGCCGCCGCTGCCGCCGCCGCCGCTGCCGTGGAGGGAACACGCGCGCGGCAGCAGCACGATGGGTCACACTTTATTCTCTCTGTTTCGTACAAAACTCTTTCTCCCAGACCCATATTCCCATCCACCACCCCCACCCCCCACCATCGAACACCCATCCCAGTCCCCCATGGCCACTGCTGCTGCCATCTCCGTCCGTGCTCCGTCCCCCTCCCTCCGCGCAGGCTCCCCAACCCCGTCAAGACGCGCCTCCGCAACTCCGCCCGTCCATCTCAGCCCCCGCGCGTCTCGCCGCCTGTCCCTCGACAAGGAAAACGTCAGCCTACACGCCGCCATGGAGCCCAACGGCAAGGCCACTGCAGAGAACGGCCATGACGCCGCCGCTGTCGCCGCCGTCCCCGTCGCCAACGGACGGCCCCGCGACGGAAGTGTGAGCGAGGACGACGTCGACAACGTGCTGCGCCGCCGCGGCGCCGTGCCCCGTTCACCACGTACGGTCCCGCGTTCCCCTCCCCCCGGCGTCCACACTCTCCCCACCATCGTCGCCCACGTCGAGATGGACAGCTCAGCGCTGTCCGACTCGGAAGCCCATGCACCCCCTCCCGCTCCCTCGGCCGTCTTTGGAACTGCCGCCCCCGGCACAGAAGTTCGTCGCCGTCGTCGTACGAGCTCCATCCACGTCAAGCCGCCTCCTGGTGTCAAACCAACAAAGGCCGTCGACTGGGAGATCCCCCGCAAGGCCTTCCACTCGTCCATTGGTGAGTTGATCGCATCGCACATTGCGCGTAGTGCTGTTGTGGACACGCCGTGTGGACACGCTATGTGGGTCGTGTGATCGGCCTCGGAACCATCTCACGCCATCGTCACATATACCCAAACTTCTCTCTCTCTCTCGCGGAGGCGTTCCATGTCTCACCGACCATGCGCCGAGCACCCTTAGACGCACTAGACTGACGGTACACAGGCTTCTTGACGCTCGCGCTCAAGTACACGGACCCACCCTCGCTGCGTCCGCTTATCACGGTGCTGTGCATCATGTGTGTTACCATCTTCACAATCGACGTTATCCGGCTGCGTTTCCCCGCGTTTGCCGAGCTCTGGGAAATGTTCGTCGGCTTCCTTATGCGCGAAGAGGAGCGTAACAGGATCAACGGCGTCGTGTGGTACCTCGTTGGCGTCATCTTTGTGCTCTCGTTCTACCCTCGCGATGTCGCCGTCGTCGCCATCCTCACGCTCTCGTGGTCGGACACCACCGCGTCCACCCTCGGTCGCCTTTGGGGCCGCCACACCCCTCCTCTGCCCGCTCACGTCCCGGGCCTCAAGTTCCTCCCCTTCGCGCCCCGCAAGTCGCTCGCCGGTTTCCTCGCCGCGACCGTGACCGGTATCCTTATCGGCCTCGGCTACTGGGCTCACCAGGCGTCCGACTGGGCGGTCCTCAACACGCCTGGCCCCTTCGGCCTCATTGCCACCTCTCTCGTGGTCGGCTTTGGCGGTGCCGTCGTCGAGGCTCTCGACCTTGGTGTCGATGACAACCTTACCCTGCCCATCCTGTCGGGTGCTATTGTCTGGGCGTGGTTTGCGGCCACCAACGTCCTCCTGGGCCACTAAACGACAGGCTCTGTGAAGACTTGCCCCCCCCCCCCCCCCCCCCCCTCTCTATCCCGACGCAGTGTCGTCCTAATGTCCTGTGGCGAGAATACATCTTTGTCTCGCTCCTATCGCATCTCTCTCCCCCTCTCTCTCTCCCTCGAGTCGCAAGCGTCAACCGCGGACTCATATATCTATGCCGCGCAATCTGTTCAACCCCGCCGCTTGCCACTCTGTACAGCTAGAATTATCACGACCATGTTTCTTTTAGGGTACGATGACGTGTCATGCAACTAGAGTGGCCTGATGCTGTGTGCATGTGTGTGTGTTGTGGTACATGTCTGCTCACGCCTGGGTTGCATTTGTTTGGCCATGAAGAGATCCACAGAGGGTTGCTTGAGACCTGCGTGGTTCCCCAGCAATGGCGCCAAATGACACGTCCGGTGGTGCCTGACACATGACGAACGGACACGATCCACCAGCACATTCAACAAGTTGGCTTTCCATCCACCCCATTCTCTCCATCCTTTTCATTCCTTCAACCCCACTCGCGACACCACAATGTCCGAGCCCACCCCGCCGCGCGACGACGACCGCGCAGAGCGCGGCGAGGCAGCCGCCCCTCCCCCTACCACCGCCGCCGCCGCCGCCGCGCCGGACCCGCGGTCACCGCGCCCCGTCAACGTCACCCTTGGCGGCACGACACCGACAGTACCCCCGCCATTCCCGCCAGTGTTCGTCGACCGTGTGCCGCAGCAGAGGTCGAGCATGAGCTCGATGATGATGATGATGATGATGTTCTTCTTCATGAGCGGCGGGAATGCCCCGCAACAACACATCATCATTGGCGAGGACGGAGAGATCCGGCCACGCGTCTCCGAGCTGGATGTCATGAGGAAGACTGTGGACGAGTACCGGGGTTACTTGAACGGTACGGGCACCAACTGGACAGAAGTGAGTTGAGCGCTGTTTGCGAGGTGGCAGCCTGACTGACTCGTCAGCCCGCAGTGCCGGACCTGCTCGCATCGGCCATTGTGCCGACACGGTACGACCACAGCCTGTCTGCGGCTCTCGGCGCACCATTCTTCCCCAACATCACCGGCTGGTACCGGCGCGCACACGTATCAATGGTCGACCTGAACGCGACCACGCCCACGTCGTCCTTTTTCACTGGCGTAGATATTCCGTCAGTCAACACGCCAGAGTGGAACGAGACGTACGCTGCCGAGTTGCGGGGCGACTACAACTGGTCGTCCGTCACTGTGCTTGACATGAACCTCCGCGAACGCTGGATCACGCCGTTGACAAACGAGACAAAGGAAGCCATCGACGCTGGAGACGACCCGCTCGCGTCCCCTATCACGCCAGACGCATGGGCGTGGGTCACTGGCGCAGTGACACTGGGTGGCGAGCGGGAGATCAACTATGACATTGTCGGCCTCCACCACATTCCCAACGGCACGTACGAACTGTTTGGCATGCCGGAAGGTGTGCGTATAGACCTGCGCAACATTCCACGACTGTACCCGACCCACCACAACGAGACACACTCCATCATCCTCGCCGAGCTCGAGCACAAGTTGCGGCTGGAGGAAAACAGCTTCTTATTCACCGACGCCAAGATTGATGGTGAGCTGCCAATGTCCGTCTTTTAGCTAACAAGCAGACCCTGTGGTGACCCATTGTCCACTGCTCATGCACTTTGCCCTCCCGCCTCTGCCAGCTGGTGTGAGTCTCGAGGACGTGATGGCCTACGACGCCGAACTCGCCAACCCCACGGGCATCCTGACCTCTCTCACCCGCCCACCGCGGTACTGGGACCATGCGTTTGGCGGCATCATCGTCGCTGACCAGTGTGGATGGGCCATGGGCGTTGAGGGCGGCAAGGGCGTGCGCCGGGACGACTACTGGAGGCAGTCTATCAACTGTGAGTCTGACTGGCCGCCTGTGGAACTGACCATCCCCCAGACGCGGCATACGCCACCCTCTCCCAGTTCATCGTTCTCATTCTTCTTGTCCGTCAAATGGAAGCGACACGCACGCCTTCCACCCTCGCCAAGGTATCGCTCTGGATGGTGGTCCTCCTCGGCGTCTCGGACGCGTGGATCTTTAGCGCCCACCTCGCCGTCGGCGTCATGAGCAACAACAAGACGTCCTTGCCCATGATTGTGCCCGGGTTCTGTGCATTGTGCACAGCTATAGTGTTTGCACCCGTGAGTCCAGCTGTGCCTTCCGTCGAGATTCAAGCTGACAACGCCAGCGCTACGCTGTCCTGTTGCACCGTATCCAGGCGCCAGAGCGTGCGGGTATATCCGACCCCGAGACCGAGGACGGCGCCCAGCTGCCCTTCACGGACCGCGTGGCCAACGTTCTCTCGGCATACCCGGTCTCAAGTGTAAGTGCAGCTGCACCTCTCCGACTGTGTTAGCTGACAGATCGCAGGGCTCGGCGGTGTCTTTTTCCTGTTTGTCTTCTTCCAGGTCCTCACGCCCACGCTGGTCCCGTTCATCTTCTTTGGGATGCACTCGATCTGGGCCCCGCAGATCTGGCGCAACGCACGCCGGGGCTCGGCCAACGGGCTCAGCCACACGTTTATTCTGGGTATCAGCATGGCGCGACTCGCGCTCCCACTGTGTGAGTGTCCAGCTAGCCAACCTCTCAGGTAGCTGACCACCCTCTTTAGACGGCCTCGCATGTCCCGAGAACGTCTTCTTCTTCGAGGCCGCAGACTGGGTGTGGGGTCTGGTCGTTTGGGAAGGTATCCAGGTCTCGATCCTGTTCGCGCAGGACCGGTTCGGCCCCGGATTCTTCCTTCCCAAGCGGTTCGCCCCCTCGGAGGGATACGACTACCACCCAGTCCTGCAGGCGCCGTCGGACCCCGAAGCTGGCGGCCACGGGTTCGAGGGCGGCACTACATGCTCGATCTGCATGGAGGACGTCCACGTCTTCCGCGAGCCGGCCGATGCGGACCCCGCGGGGCCCAGTGCGCTCCTGGCCATGAACGCGCGGAGGGCGTATGCGGTCGCGCCGTGCCACCACTTGTTCCACACAAAGTGTCTCCAGCAGTGGATCACCATCAAGGTGAGTTGAGCCGGTGCACTTTTGGACCTTTTCGCTGACATGCCAGACCATTTGTCCCCTCTGCAAGCGCCCTCTGCCGCCCCTCTAACGCGTCACCGTTGTACTCGTCGTTATACCCCGCATCATCGCTCTTTTTTGCAGCGAATACCACCGCGCTCTCTCTTTTGTTTTGTTTTGCTTTGCTTTGCTTTGCTTTTCCAGACGGGCATGTTTGGGAAGATTCCATGTAACTTTCTCTTTAGTCGGAGTGTCCCAGAACTAACACGATACTAATAAATAAATGAGGCGTAGCAATCAATGACAAAAGAAGGAAACAAGTGTGGGTCTGTATGTGGCAAAAGTTGGTGTATGCAAAAGTCGTGCAGACGCGCGTGCAGTTTGGGGTTGAGGGGCTCAATGCTTTTGATTGGGAGGGAAAAGAGGGAGAGAGGAGAACTCAGACCTCCATGCTTTCCGAATAGACAAAGTTTGCCATGGAGCGCGTCGGCGACTGGAGGCGCGCCCACTCGAGGTAGAGGCGGAACGTGTACGCCGTCATGTCCTGGTTGCGGTAAAACTGCTTTGACCATTTCCGTCCTGCCATGGCAATCTCCTGCGCGAGGTCGTCTTCGCCCGGGTTGCCCTCTGTGTCGCCGTTGAAGAATGCCACGGCGTCGTACAGGTCCGAATAGTCGACCTTGATGGGCACGTAGTGGACCCAGGGCTGGATACGGTCCGTCCACCATTCGGGGATGATGGTCGACTTGAATACGAGCGAGCCCGACATCATGAGACGCTGGAAGCGCGCAGACCACGCGTTGCCGTCAATGTCGACGACGTACTTGTACCGGTCCGAGTCCTCTGACTGGACGTATTCGACAGACGGGTAGGTGTTGGCAATCTCCTCGCAGGTGCCGTCGTCCTCGTCGCACTGGAGGGGAATGTTGACAAAGCCCATGTCCATGTAGCGTGCTGTGAGGTCGCTGCTGGCCGTGGCCGTGGCCGCGTCGCGGACATTCTTGCCCTGCATGGCATCGGGAGGCGCGAGGACCGTGGTGACACCGGTATAGTTGGCGCCCATGCCAACGAGGCGGATGCGGTGGGTGCCCTTCCACGGCGTGCTGGTGCTGTGGTACGCGCCCGTGTTCCTGCCGCGCCAGAAGAGTCGCTCCGTCGTCTTGTCTTCCCATGGGATCAACGCGACGTCTTCAATGACGCGCTCGGGTGGGACACCGAGGACGTCGGCATGGAGACGGGTCTTGGACAGCGCAAACGTGGCGCCGAGGTCTGTCACATAATCGTCCTTGCCGGCCAGCATGCCGTGCAGCGGGATGAGGTCGGGGTTCTCGCACACGTCCATGTTGGCCCAGTGGTTTGCGATGAACGACTTGGCACCGATCTTGCTGTCCACCGGTTGGATATGCTGTTTGCTGGGCTGGTTGATGGCCGACTTGAACGAACAGGCCGACGCCCAGCCGTGGTGCGTTGCCTCGACCTTGTCGTTGTCGTCCAGGACTGGAGACGGATCCGTCAGTTATTACAGTTTATAACGTCACTCCAGGAACAGTCCCACGAGGCGGCTGTGCGACAGTCGTAGCAGCAGTACTCACACTCTCCGTCTGCAATGTGCTCCCAAATGTCTTGGCGGTGCTCCCATGAGATGAGTGTCTGGGGTGTGTCGTGGACCGTGTAGACGGCAACCATGTCAGGGAGGTACTTTGCAATCGGGGCGATGAGGTCCACCTGGCCGTCACGACGGCCCTCGTAAAGTGGTGAAGGGTTGTAGGTCTGAAAAGTGCGCAACAAGCCACGCTTGATGCGAAGCGTGTACGAGTCGGACGCAACGCTCGCTTGGCTGATGCGGTCGCGGAGGTCCGTTGGACGAAGGGCCCAAAACGGTGCGAGGTCGTTGTTGATCTGGTCGTATTCGTCTGGCATCGGTACATTGTTCTCACTGTGACAAGAAACGTATCAGCGTCGTAGGCAAGGCACCGGGCAGTTGCGTCTTCGCAACCATGGTTGATGGTGGCGTGGGTGGCAACGGCACGGCCAAGGATCTTGGGGGGGGGGACACTCACACCACATATCGCCACCACTTGTCGAATCCAACTGGGGGGGCCCGCTTGTAGCGTCGACGGTACTCGGCGTCGGCGGCCTTGAGTGTCGTGCTCTGCTTTGCGAGCTTTCTGTCCCATTCGTCGCGGGCGTCGTGGATGAGCTGGTGGATGGGGTGGACGGTCAGGTCGGGATCCACCTCGAGGCGGCCGTTGACGATGGGGTGTCGGGGCAACTGGGCAGCGAGAGGGTCATCGGGGTGTCCACGGTGGACGACACCCGGTGCGTTGGGTGAAGGGAAGGCCGTCTTGGCCTTTGGACTAGCTCCTGCCGCCCCGAGGGAAGACGCGTCTGACTGGTGAAAGATGGTCGGGATAATGTAAACATACAGGGCGGCTAGCATGACACAAGCGTAGAGAATGCGGACGCGAGTGGACGGGAACGCGAGCATGCGGAAGATACGACGGCGTTGGCGCAGGCGCTCGTGTTTCTCATCGTCCTCCTCGAGCCCGGCTTCCTCGACGAGGGCGAGGGAACGCCCAGCCAGACTGTGGGCGGCGCCATACTTGTGAATTCGCCGGTAGTGTTCGGCCATGTCTGAACCAGTGTGGTCGCGGTGGAGGGCCTGGCGTTTTGGGCGGCCAGAGGGGGGTGCGTTATGAAGGTACAGAGGGGATGGAGAAGAAGAAGAAGAAGAAGAAGAAGAAGAAGATGATGTTGTTGATGAAGAGGATGCAGCGTAAGATGTGCGGGCTGTGGCCCGGGTGTGAATCATGTTGGGCAGGAAACGAGGGTGTGTGTGGCCTTTGGCCTGTGACCTGCCGGGGCAAAGTGGCCAGTGGGAATGGCAGGTACACTCTGTTGTGTGGAGGGTGTGCCGACGGAGTGTGCTGGCCGTGCTGGTGCTGTGGGATCTGTGGGCGGGGACAGCGCGGCGCAGCAGACAGCGACGGTGGTGCGGAAGTGATCAAAACAAGGTTGACCCAACGACGAGCTATATGCGAGAGGGGGAGTCGGATAGCTTTGGTGGTGGTGTCGTACCTGCTCGAAATAGATCTCGTGAAACGACCAAACGTAGAGAGGGGTGGGCACCGACAACAACAAAACAAACAAACAATCGTACGCGCCCTCCACAACCTTTTTGTAGCGTCTGCGTCTGTGGGTCTGTGGTCGACGTCGCCTTGTATAGCACCGCCGCCGTCGGTCCACTGCGGTCGTACCGTTACAGAGGCCACAGGGAGGGCGGCGTCGAGATTGTCACGGAACGAACGCACAGACAAGGGTGTTCCCGTGTTCGGGCAGGTCGACGGAATGGAGAGAGAGAACAGCCTGATGCGGAAGAGGTAGAAGAGGGAGCTTTGCCTTGCGGTTGTGGTGGGGAGCAGCGTGCATGCCATGTCGAACGGTAGCTATGTATTGCCCACCTACGACCACCAGCTGGCGGCAGACACGTATACGATTTGTCTTGTCTCGATCCAGCACCGAGAGTCACATCCCACGCTCTAACTGCAGAGATCCAGAGATCCTTTCCACAGTCTCACGGGCCGGCAACATTTACGTCGTGCGTTTAGGTGGTGGCGTCGTGTGCCGCGGGCCAGCCGGTTTGCGTCCTGAACCCACCTGGCCACCTGAGCAGCATCTCCTGACCCCCCGCCCCGGCTGCGAGCTCTGAGGCTGAGTCTGGGTCTTGGTCTCTCTTGTTCTGTCTCTCGTCTGCATTTCGCACTCTCCCTTTGATCCCTTGCGGCCAGGTCCGCGTGGTCATCGTGCCTCCTCACCCAGTTTATGGCACAGAAGTCAACCACTCCTGCCGAGATATTCACACTCCTTCAGACCGATCAGAGCCCCCCTCGGCCACATTCACCGACCCACTGCACTGTTCACTGATCACTGAGCTCGGGGGAGGATCTCATTTCGGCGAGAGTCTTTTGACCAGTACCTCAACGACCAAATGCCGACAGCTTATAGCCTATAGCATATAGCCTAGCAATGAAACACTGGGCCAAGGCCCATGACCCATGGCACGACGCCTGCGGTTTTGCTGCGACGGTGGGCTGCAGCACAGTTAACCGTTGCGTGGCGGCTGTTGAGGTGTGTGCTCCACAAGGCGGTGCCGCCTCCCCCCTTTATCAATCAGGCGGCATGGCGGGAGGCGAAGGGAGCAGGTCTGCTTGATCCTTTTGCTGATGCCGGTTGGGCAAAGTTTGGGAAGGGTACGTACGTACGCTGGCTGGGTATTTTTGGTAGGCGAGAGCGAGCTAGCGATCACATGTGGATGGCCAGCTGCACGCGGCTGTAGGCTTTAGCTGTTAGCCAGCCAGCTAGGTTAATGCACAAGTGCTAGCATGGTGCCCAACGCAGGCTTCCAGGTCTCGTTCGTGGGCGCCCTTTTAGTGTGGCTTGCCCGTAGACGGGACGGTTGGCTTGAAAGCTGCAATTCAACTTGCAGAACATCCAGAACGTCCAGAACTTCCAGGATTCCTGGACCCGAGGGCTATTCCGGTGTATCCAAATAGTAAGCCACAGGCCAGAAGCCAGAGGCCAGAGATCCAGAGATCCAGAGAGCTGCTCCAGTGAACAGATGGAGAGAGTGGCAACGCGTGGCAACGCGTGGCTCGTCGCGTCTCGTCCTGTCCATGTCTTTCAATTCAAAGGCCAACATCTGCTGTTGCTTCCCGGGGGCCGACAGTCGTTTGACGGACCGAGCGTCCACTCTGTGGGACCTGTGCTTGGAATGCCCCCGACCATGCCCCTCTCGTCCCTCGTATCTGGGTTGCATGCGATGGAGCGAGTGACGGAATCGCCTTGATCCCGGTAATGACACGCCCTGGACACATGTGTGCGGTGAGCCGGCGGGGAGAGATCGGAATGTGGAGCAGCTGGTTGGTGAGCACGCAGTGTCCAAGGCAAAGGGCCCACACCGGGTGCAGGAAAGAGACACATTGACACAAACCGATCGAGACAGACAGACGTAACCGAATTGACTCAAGAAGGGGTGTGTACGGTGTGTCCTGTTGTTATGACAAGAATTAAGGATTGGGACGCAATTGAATCCCGAGTGATAACCGTCAAAGGGCAGCAGCACAAAATGTAATAATAACCCCCGCTATACCAGCTAATGCAGCTAAGGAAATGCGTCCGAGGATACTCCGACACACGGGGGCTTTTTACGGACACTCCCTCCCCATCTCCGCACACACACGCCCTATTACCTAATCAGCAGCCGACGCGCTACGCGTGAAATGGTCGGCCCCCCCATGTCAATCACGTGATCGCGGCGCGGGCCGTCTCTGTCTCTGCGCCATGGCTCTCGGATCGCTCGGCGCGTGCCGTTGCGGCCACACGCCGGCGCGCGGCGGGGGACACACATCCAACGATCAATGCGTGTTCCCAACGACTAATACACCTACATTTCACCTCCTTCTTCACCTCAGTCCAGTTGCGTGGGACGACGGCCATCACCTCGAGGGTCGCCACCACGCGTCTAGACATCTGTTCTTATTTTCTCCTGCTTCATCCGGCCCACTTGAGCTTCGGCTCTCCACAAAGCCACGTTCCACCCGCAGAGCTCGGACACCTAAGTTATAGCGTCCGGAGCGCTTCCCCACTCTCTTTACCCACACCTATATTTCGTCCCTCATGACCGCTGCTCGAGGCAACGGTATCGCGGCTTCATCGCCCAAGGCGACTACCAACGCTATCGTTCACCATGTCGACGACCTGTTCTCGCCCAACGCCTCGGTCACGAGCTCGGACACCCTGACAGCGACGGGCTTGGCACCATCTCCAGCGTTTGTCACTCCAAAGCCAGTGATGAAGCGACGGGCCTCGCGCGCGGCTCCTCCCCCGCCCATCCTCGTACAGACCTCGTCGCCGCCCAGGCCACAGCTCCCGTCCTTGCCCAGCTCTGCCAGCAGCCTGCAGACGCTGCTGGTCGACAATGAAGCCGGAGAGGAGAACGATAATGTTGGTGAGCTGGTCACGACTCCCAGCCGTCGTGGCTTCACAATGAACATTGAGCGGCCTACAACTCCACGAAGCGCAGAGGCCGTCGACGAACGTCCCGTGTCGCCCATGTCCCCATGGAGGAGCATGGACGCACCGGCAAGCGAGTCTACCTACGCGCCATACGTTCCTCCGACTCGCAAGCCAGGACAGCGTCCGCCATCGTGGCATCGTAACAGTCTCGAAGTGCCGAGCTTCAAGCTCCCGCCTCCTTCTCCTTCATCGCCCATGCACGACTCCAGCTTTGAGCCGACGCCATACCACGGCCTTCACGCGCGCAACCTGTCGGCCTATTTCCCCCAGCCTGGCGCTCCGCGAGCCCCTACCAGCCCCTCGTCCGAAGTGGCCGGCGAGAGCACGATTCCTGATGCCGACCGCAAGATCTACGGTGGCCCCCAGGACTGGCAGTTTGGGTCGCAGCCGCCTCCCGGTGCTGCCCAGTCGCTCGAGTCGACCCCAGGTCCCCGTGGCAAGCGACGTGGTCACCACGTAAGTGTGGAGGCGAATGCAGTTGGCGGGTGGTCTCTGTCTCTAACAACCGTCGCAGCACAAGCACTCTCTTTCCCACAACTTCTTCTCCTTCCTCGACCCCACCCAGACCGTCCCCAAGCCCGAGGACCCGGCCTCGCCAGTGGCAGTGTCGCCGGCCGACGCCACGCCCCAGCCTGTGCCCATGAACATTACCCAGTCGACAACCACCTTGTCACCGCTTCCGCCGAGCAAGCACGACCCGCAAGTCCAGCTTTTAATCTCGTTTGCCGTGGTCGAGGCTGTTCTGGGCGCGGGCCTGTGGGTCGAGGGCCAGATCAGTGGATGGCACTGTCTCGCCGGTGTTGGATACCTGGTCGTGTTCGACGCGATGGGCGTGGGAGTCAACCTTCTGGCCAGGTCGGACAACATGGGCTGGCGTAGTCTGCAAAAGCCTTTTGGGTGAGTAGCGCGCAGGAAACCTCGTTCTGTTTGGCTCAGATGCGCTGACACTGTGAATTTCAGATCCTCACGCATGACGTCGCTGTGGTGTTTTACCCAGTCGCTCTTCCTCATGTTCGCGGCAGTGTATATTGCCAAGGAGGCGCTCGAGCAGGTCGTGCTTGGCGCCGGCGCACACGAGCACGGCGTCGGGACGCACAGCCACGGCGAGGTCGTCCCCGGCGAGGAGAGGTGAGTCACAGCTTTTGAGTGGCCTGGGTGAAAGCTGACATCCAGACCGTTCCCGCGCCTGTTTCTCGCGCTCGCGTCGGCCGCCACATTCTTCTCCGGTGCCCTGTTGGCCAACCATAGCCGACTCGTTGATGGTGAGAGGAAGGTACAGCGCAACATCCGCTAACCCACAGCCACGGGCCCCATCTTCCTTCCTCCGTGGTGGACCTCGAGGTCGTTTGTCCAGGCGAACAAGTTCCTTGCCAACCCGTACACCATCACTGTTGCGGGAACTTGTGCTGTCCTGCTCGTCGCTGGCCTCATTGTGCCAAGGTACGTGCCTGCTGGCAAGTGCATCATTGTACTGACAGCCGCCACAGTTCCTCTCTGCAGAGCCTCGACTCTGTCGTCTCGCTCCTGCTCACCCTTCTGACCTCTGCGCTCGCGTGGCCGCCCACCGCTGCGTTTGCCCAGATCCTTCTCCAGACTGCGCCACCTGCAGCGTCGGCGCAGATGAAGGATCTGCGCCGTGCGCTTCGCGATGTCGCAGACGACCGCCGCGTGCTGGGGCTCGGGACGTTCCGCTGCTGGGCCGTCAACGCCGGCAAGCCCGCTCCCGACAGCGTGCGCGTCCCGTCGGCACCCAACTCGCGCCGCGGGTCGGTCAGCACCACGTCCCCCTCCGTCTCGGCGTTTATGCAGAACGGCGCGTCCAGCGCCGACCTCAACGCCTTGGGTCTGGCGTTTGAACGCCTGAACGGCGGAGGCGGAGGCGGGGCCAAGCCCCTGTCCAAGGCCAACGGCAGCTCCAATGGCAGCGCGGCGGCGCCGGCGTTTCTGGCCCAGGTGCCACTTGTGGTGACGCTCGTCGTGCATGTGCACCCGGAAACGACTGACCGGGACGTCATGGACGTGACCCGTCTGTCGTGGTCCAAGTTGACGCATGCCGTCAACGGGCGCGCGGGCACTGCCGGCGGCGAGGGCGAGGTGAGCGTGCAGGTGCGTCGTGGGTGGGACGGCGCAGACTGAGCGGGGAGAGGGAGAGAGAGACAGAGAGAGAGAGAGAGAGAGAGATGGTGATTTATAGAAGAGGCGGACTGCCGGCCGTCCAGAGGCCGGTCAGCAATCTTGATAGTTTTTATATGCGAGACAGTTACATGGAGCGTCTCCAACTGGCCTCTGGCCTCTGGACAACACGAGATCAGCGATCAGCGATCAGAATATCAGAATGCTCAGAGATCAGAGAGCAGAGATAATGGGTACATGGGGTGTTGTTATTCCGGAACGATCTACGGTTTGCCGGGTTTTGTATACGGGGGATTTGGCGCCACTGATGTCAGCGGGGGGTGTGAGTACGGGAGCAAAAATGAGGGGGAGGGAGACACAATGGGAGGGCCTGGGCTGTGTGGGCGGGCGATACAGTGGCTTGGCTGTACGGTGCGGTCTGCATCTGGGCCGTGCTCTCTGTCTCGCTCGCTTTCGGCTCCACACTCTCTCTGTCATCCATCAATCTCTCGCCAGTCACATCGGACCACACCTCAACCTCCAACCTCCAACACCCCCTTCGCTCGCTCCCTCGCTCTCTCACTCCGCTCCATCACTCCCCATCGCTGTATCTTTCTCCCTCTGTCTCTACCGCCTTCACAACTCGCCCCTGCATACACCTTCTCCCACCACCACCACTCCCACTCTTCCCACCCCCTCGCGTGACTAAGTAACACCATCAAACCATGGTACGTCTTGAGCCAGCTGCAGAGCCTTCTTCCCTCCTTCCTCCCTCCTCCTTGTTCCTTTGACCCACGCACAATGGACACGGCGTCGTCACGTCCATGCCCACGTACCAACCAACCTAACTTCTGCGGCACGCCACCCATCGCACTGCGCGCAATACTGACGCGCCCTCACAGTCGACAGCAGCCAAAAGGAGACTGATTCGCGACTTTAAGCGTCTCGCGACAGAGGCGCCCGAGGGCATCTCGGGTTCACCTTGCCAGGACAACATCATGGTGTGGAACGCTGTCATCTTTGGTCCTCGTGAGTCCTTTTGTGGTTCGGACGCGCCCCCGCCCCCGCCCCCGCCCCGTGTGACGCTGGGGGGAAGGGGCATTGAATGGGTGGCCGGACACTAGGTGCCACTCAGATGCCAAGCGGTACGCAGCGGTCATTGCTTTGCTTCGCCGGCGCCGCGCCACCTTCTCGCGCATCTCACAACTGATTGCTGAATGCTGACCTCGTTGTGCAGCCGACACACCGTTCGAGGACGGCTCGTTCCGCCTCACCCTCACCTTTACCGACGCGTACCCGAACAAGCCCCCTACAGTGCGCTTTGTGTCGCGCATGTTCCATCCCAACATCTACAACAACGGTGAACTGTGTCTCGACATTCTCCAGAACCGCTGGTCGCCTACATACGACGTGGCCGCCATCCTCACGTCTGTCCAGAGTCTCCTGAACGATCCAAACCCCAGCAGGTGAGCCTTTACCCCGCGTGTGTCGGTCGGTGTAACGGCCAACCCCGTTGCACCGCCGGTCCCCTCCCCTCCCCTCCTGGCCCCGGACCCCTCGACACAACGCACCGCCCTTGTTGTGCGCGGCCGCTGACGTCGCACCCCAGTCCCGCAAACGTCGAAGCTGCTACGCTGTTCAAGGACAACAAGCAGGAGTACGAGCGCCGTGTCAAGGTAAGCTGGTAATCGCGTCCACTGCAGCTGACAACGTCAGGTTACAGTCGAGCAGTCGTGGGTCGACGACGAGGACCTCCAGCGCGAGGCCAACTCATCACCCGCCGACGGCGACGGCTCCCTCGCACGGCCCGCCGCGCCCGCCCCGGCCTAAGTTCAGTTAGCACACCCCGGTGTCCTACTCTGCATCTAGGCGTCTAGGCATCGACATTACCCCCTCCCTCCCACCCACCCACCCTCCCTCCCTCCCTCCCTGCATATTGTCACTTGCTGTACCAGTACTGGCCAATCGAGCACTGCATTGAGCCCTTATCCCCAGTCATGCATCGCTATAGCTCTGTATATAACCAAGAGGAGGGGACCAGACTGACGGACCGACGTCTGAGACCAAGCAACCACACGGTGCATCGGCATGGACCACGTGTCTGTCTATACAGGGTGTTTGTTTACAGTATGGCTACAACAGTCACAGGAGACACTCACGCCACCATCAAGACCTCGCTGCGATGAGAGACGAGCGCGAGGCGGACGCGCTTGAAGGGCTGGTACTCCACCTTGGGTCTTGCATCGTTGCCGCCCGCATCCTCATCCTCACTGCCCGTCCGCCGAGGCGCTGCAACGACCTCGCCCGCACCGTCCAGCCTCACCTGCCACCAATGCAACCACCACCTGACCTTGAGCGCCTTACTCGCCTCGCAGTAGATGCGCACGTGGTCACCACACTCGACAATGGCCGGTACGCTGCCACTCGTCCCGGGCGGGAGACACTGGTGTCCCCGCAAGGCTGGCGGCGGCGGCAGGCCCGTGAGGAACGGGCTCGGCCACGGCCCACACGTCCGCAAAGACAGCTGGCCGTACCGGTGGTGCGGGTCGTTGTATGTCGGCTCAAAGTGGTCGTGGACGAAGGCGCGGAGCAGCGCCGGAGTCCAGCGCAGCGGGGCGGGGCGGGTGTCGGTGCCCGTGTCGATGGGCATGTTGGTGGCGGTAAAGATGCCGCGTGAGGCCCACGAGGAGGCTGTGGGGTCGACGACGATGTCTTCCAGGCCCGGAACGACGACGGGCCCATGGACGGGGATGATCCAGTACACAAACGAGCCCGAGTGCTTCATGTAGTATGCCGGGTCTGGGTGGAACGGGTGCTGGATGGTGGAGAGAATGTCGGAGAGGTTGCGTGGCAGCTGGTATTCGGACGGTGCGGGCCGACGCCGGTCGGGTTTGGGTCTGCGGCTGTCCAGCCGGTAAGGGAGGTGGGAGGTGTGGTAGCCGTACCCGTCGCCGTTGCTGATCTCGGCTCGCCACCAGGACCACCGAGCCGGGTAGTCGAGTGTGGGACGTTGAGTGGTGTCCAGTGCGTGTCTTGGTGTTGCTGGTGTTGCTGCTGCTGCTGGTGCTGCTGCGACAGGCCGAGGCAGAGGAGACGGGCCGGCACGCCGCTTGCCTTTGGCTCTCGAGTTCGCCTTCTCCTTTGCCCCACCCTCGACCTCGGGCCACGACCCAGCCTCTTGCCACGCGCACTCAAAGTTCTCCACAAAGTCCATCGCCGAGTCGAGATCGACCTCCTCCATCGCCTCAGGCGACCAGGGAAGCATCTCATCCCCAATCATCGGTGTCTGGTGAGGGTCCGGATGAGGGGGTAGTGGCGAGAGCTCGTGGATTCTTGGAGGTCGCTGGGGGGGCAAGTACTTGTAAGGGTGCCGTGGGAGGTGGCCTGGGTCGTCAGCTAATGCCGGGGTCGTAAGGTAGCTTACAGAGGCAAGGGTGTGCCAAACCCACAGCACGCCACATCGCGTCGCGACTGCTCTCTCCCGCTCCATGTCTATCGCCTGCGCCAATTTGTTTGCCATTGTTCTTGTCCGTGCCACTGGGACAGCCCACCATGCCTCGGATGCGGCTCTTGCGAATGGGTAGACGGGCAACAGGCCCTCGCGCGGCCGCGTCCGAGATCATCTCCGACCCGCCGAGGTACGCATTGGAATATTGCTGTGGGGTTGGGTCATGTCCAAGTGGGAGGGCCAGCGAGACGTCAAACCGCGAGGGTAGCGGGGCAGTGGATAATGTGGACGGGGCATCGAGCGACGCGGCGCCGGCGGCGTCTCTGTCGCTGGTGGTCGCGTGCCAGTGTGGATCGAGCGCGGGGGCGAGCAAGGTGGCGGGCTGACGCGGTCCAGCGCGAGACGAGTGTGCTGGTGCGCGCACACCGAGACGCGTCCCACCAGGCATCGGCGCGACGTGGTGGCGATGGTGAGATGGGTCGGTGGGGTCTTGATGGGCCCAGGACGCGAAATGTTGTGACAACAAGATTCGAGATCCAGGGGTGAAATCCAGTTACGTCACGGTACTAAATCGCCGCTGCTGCTGGTAATGCACAATAACGTCTCCGGCGCTCAGTGGTACTTACACTGCTCGTCCGTCTATGACACAGAGCAAGGGAACAAGAGGTTCCTAGTGGAGCGCACCTTCTCGAGATATAGTCCGTGGCAAATGTGTTCTTTGCATGCGGCCCCGGACCGTGTGCTATTGCACGGCAGTGGCTGCCGTTTTGTTGGTGCCTTCGCACCAAGCAAGCCACAACAACAAACCTGTGTGCGAGCCGTCCAAAGCCTATATCGCTATATCCCTCTGCGTCCTGACCGTTGAGCCACACTTCCCGTCAAATTGTATCTTGCGGTGAATGGCGCTTGTCACCCATTTGTGTTGGGACTGTGCTATGCTTTGTTACAGCAGTGCCGCAAGACGACAAGGCCACAAACCAGGCCATCTCGCGCGCCACACACAAACAAAACATGTTTACGTAACAGCATATCGCGTCAGCTGCACGCGTCAACCGGGGCGGGAGTATTTTCCACTCGCAAGGGTCCAACCTTCCCTCTGTTGCTGCCTTCCCTCTCCCTCCCCATTCCTCCCGCGTGTGGTCGATTTGTTATTGACATCGGCCCCCCTCCCACCACATCTCTTCCTTCCACCCCATCCACCATGTCCTTGCCAACAACCCCACCAAGGGAGAACAGGAGAGGAACACGCACGCGCAAGCGTGTGGAGCGATACGAACCAACACAAGGTATGGCGTTGCCGGTGGCAACCACGCAAACAACTACTGACGCGCTCGGCAACAGGCAAGACGCGCTCGGAGGACAACAGCGACGCAGTGCGTGTACCCCTCCTCCATCTACAGTCTAGAGTCGCGCATACTAACGCTCAGTCTGGCACCGAGACCGATGATGACCCTACGCCGCGTAAGAGCAAGCAAGCCGCGTCACGCAAGGCCGCCGGCACTGCCGCTACCACCAGGCGAAAGAAACAAGTGTCCAAGCCTGCTCCTCCAGCAACCGTTCCCGAGCCTGTTGAAGGGTTCAAGACTGACTCACCATTCTTCAGTAAGCTAAAGTCCTAGCAGCTTCAGCTGACGAGCCAGATGCACTCCTCCAGCCGGATGTCGCACTCCAGCCTCTTGCCGAGGACTGGGTTCACACCTACCAGGGATCCGCCGGTGATGCGGACGCGGAGAAGGCGGCTGTCCATGAGCTTGTGCTCTTCTTCGTGCGCGCCTCCGGTTTGAACGCCGACGTCGACGAAGACGAGGCCATGGACCAGGACGGCGTCAACGACACTGTGGAGCGTATCCAGGACGAGAGCGTCAAGGTAGGTGATGGCCGCGGGCGCACCATGTCGCTGACAGAGACAGACCAATGCCGCAACGTATCCACTCACTTCGCGAACAAAGAACCTGCGCGTGTTCAAGGCCAACCTTACAACAATCGTGTCCCAGCTCGTCGCGACGCTCTACCTCACCCCGCACCTCTTTGACGACGCGACCACCACCAAGCACTCGCTCCCCCTCATGCCCCTCCTCCTCGCCTGGCTCCTCCAGATGAGCGTGTCCCCCCTGCGCCCCATCCGTCACACCGGCACCTTTATCACCCTCAAGATGACCACGGCGCTCTGCGAGGCGGCCGCTACAGCTAGCAACGAGCTCAGCATCAAGCAACGTCAGAAGGAGGCAGAGGTCAAGAAGGGCGGCTCGGGCGCGGCTGCCAAGAAGCGCGTCAAGGAGGCAGAGGCAAAGGTCAAGGAGGCCCATGCTCGCAAGACTGTCCTCGAAGAGTACATGCAAGAGGTCTTTGACACGTAGGTGAATCCTTCATTGCATCGTCTAACCCACACAGCATGTTTGTCCACCGTGTACGCGACGCCGACTCGGCGATCCGCAGTGACTGCATCCGCGAACTCGGCGTTTGGGTCAAAAAGTACCCAGAAATGTACCTCCAAAGCCAGTTCTTCAGCTACTTTGTCCGCGGCACCAACGACCCCGACCACAGTGCCCGTCTCGAGACCGTCAAGGCTCTCTCAGGCATCTTCTCCAACGCCGCCTCGGCCACCAACGCCAGCTCGTTCAGTTTGCGTCTCGCTCCGCGCCTGATCCAAATGGCCGCCCTCGACGTCGAGACTTCGATCCGCACCAACGCCATCACTGTCATCACCCAGATTGACAAGACTGGCGCCCTTGAGGACGACGAGGACGAGGAGCAGCGCTCTACCGTGTCGCGCCTCATCTTTGACGAGGAGCCACGCATCCGCAAGGCCACTGCACCATTTGTCAAGGGACTGTGGGAGGAGCGCGCCGACAAGCTCAAGAGCGAGTTTGGTGCCCTCCGTGACGGAAAGAAGAAGCGCGCCGCCAAGGTCAAGGACGCCGACCTCGACCAGCGCTTTGAGTGGAAGGCCCTTGCCCAGCTTCTTGTCGAGACTGCCGAGTCGCTCGAGAAGGAGAAGGCGTCCGACGAGGCTAGCTCGTCCAAGCAGCCCGATGCCGTCACGACCGATACTAGCTCGAGCATTACTACCCGTGCCGCTGCTGCTGCCGACGCACTCTACCAGCACATGGAGTTGCTTCAGGACTGGCACGCGCTTGTCGACTACCTCCTCCTCGACCACTCGACCTCCGAGACTGACTCCTGGCTCCTCACTGAGCAGGAAGAGGACTTTATGCTTGAGATGCTCATCACCTGCATCAAGCGCGAGGACGATGACGAAGAGGAGGAGAAGAGCAAGGCGCTCATGAAGGTTATCCCCCGTCTGTTCGCGAAGCACCATGCCGAGGTCAGCCGCATTGTCGGCGTCCTCTCGATCCCCGAACACATGAACTTGGGACTGTACCTCGACATGCGCAAGACCTCTGCGTACGAGTCACTGTGGGACGACGTCACCAAACAGTTCCTTCAGCACACCGAACCTGCAGTTCTCTCGGCTGCCATCCAAGCTATCAACACGTTGAATAGCACCGAGTCCATGGCGGCTACAAACTCTCAAAAGCTCGCCGAGCTTGAGGACGCCCTCTTTGCTACACTGCGTGACGCTGTCAATGGCGAGGACGTTCCCGCCATGGTCATTTCCGAGGACCAGATTGGCAGCATTGAGGCTATCCTTCTCCGTATCACCCTTCTCGCTCGCAGCCGTGACATTGTTGCTGCTATGGAGGACGTCGAGGGCGGCCAAAGCAGTGGCTGGACCATCGTCGCGGCCTTTGCGGGCCGAGGTGGTCTGGGCTATAAGGAGGAGGCAAAGGTGAGTGTACTATTTTCTTGTCCTTGTTACTGACCCCGTCAGCTCGTCGAGCACGCGCTGCAGATTGTCTTCCTCCATGTCGCATGGCTGTTCAGGCGCTTCACCGAGGCCGACATTGAGGATGAGGCCAAGGTCGCCGAGCTCAAGGCGCGCCGTGACGAGGCACGCGACATTTTTGAGACATTTGGCCTGCCTGACCGTAGCAACGCGGCCGAGACCGTCCGCCGGCAGGTGAGTTTACATGTACCTATGGAACCCAAACTGACATTCCAGGCATTCATCGCGTTCATCAACCTCCACGTTCTCTTCTCCAACCGAGGCGAAAAGGCCCAGCCGGCCGCCAAGGCTGCTGGTCTGGAAATGGCCACTGACAAGCAGCACAAGCTTGGCGGTGCCTTCCAGGCAGCTGTTGAGCGCTACGCGTCCGACATCGAGGAAGACTCGAATGAAGACCAGGGGCAGGAGATGAGCCTTGCCGCTACCCAGCGCGAGGTTGTCTTCCTTCAACTCGTGTCCGTCTTTGTCGGTGCCATCCGCTGCGGTGTTCTCGACGTCGAGCAAGCCCGCGAGCCTCTGGCTCATTACGGCCGCTTTGAGCTTACCTACGACATTGTCGTCAAAAAGCTGGTGGACGTTCTCCGCGACGAGGGTATTTACAACCGCGACGCCACTACTGTCCAGCACGTCATTGGCCAGGCTCTCCAGAACTCGTTCACCATGTTCCTCGAGAAGGACGAAAAGGACGAGTCAGACGCCCCCGTTGCCCTCGCCCGTTTGGCAGCGAGTGCGTTTGTCGTGCACGGCACGCACTTTACTGTGCTCAAGCAAATCCACCCCGACGATGTTTACGACCTCCACGTTGGTGCGATTGACTGGTTGTTCAAGCAGGTGCGCGTGTTGGTCAAGCAGCAGCTTGCCAAGGACAATGCGACTGCCAAGCAGCAGGTAGCCAAGAAGCGCGGCCAGCTGTTCCACTTTTTCCGTCCCCTCGCTCTCCTGCTTGGCCCCATCACCGGTCGCGATGCCCTGCGTATCCGCTCGCACCTCGAGAAGACTATCGACGACAGCGGCGTTGCAGAGACCCAGGCTCGCAACTCGTCTGCGTACAAGGCATACGAGAAGCGCCTCGTGGCCGTCGCCGGCAAGGACTCGGAGCTAAAGGTCGCTGCTCGCAAGTCGCCACCTGCCAAGGCTAGCAAGGCCGCCAAGAGCGCCGAGGTTATCGAGGACAGCGACGGGGAGGATGCCCAAGAGGAGCAAGCCCACGACGAGGGTGCACAAGAAGAGGACGCCCAAGAAGAGGACGCCGAGGTCGACGAGATCCAGGACCCCGATGATGAGGAGGACGGCGACAGGACGGTTGTTCTGGAGAACGGAGCCGAGGCGAACGGAGACGACGCAGACGATATCGAGGAGGAGAATGGCCACACCGAGGCCGAAGAGATCGAATCAGCAGCAGCAGACAGCGACGAGCCTATGACCAACGCCGACGACGATGAGCCTGTGGCGGTGACCAACGGAAACAAGAGGACACTTCCCGAAGACGACGACGACGAGTTGCCAGACGTCAACCTCGGATCCCAGGTGGACATGGACGTCGAGATTGACCTCGCGTTCAACTCGTCACCCGGACGTGAGCGCAGCGAGTCGCTCGAACCCAACGCCAAGCGCCGAAAGACGGTCACAAAGTACTAGGCGGTTGCGAGGCTGCGTTTGGCGTTTTGCGTTTTATCATATTTTTTTTCGGGAATCGTTGTGCGTTTGTGCTCTCTCATGTAGTTGCGGCCGCTGTTGCGCCGCCCCCCATCCTCCCATCCCCCCATGTATGAAACATCCGAGTCTGAATCGCTTGCTTGCAGTCAGTCCATTGGAGTTGAGCGTTACAGCGCGGGACAGAGACGTGACAAGCAGTGGTTCAAAGGTATTCGGCCGAGAAGGGAGGGAGGGAGGGTGACTGGTTTCTTTTTGGTGGCATGCCGCAACCGTCGTTCCAGGCACACAATATGGTAAACAAAACTCTAGGGCTGGAGTCACAAAGAGGTCGTGCCATCTTGTGTCTCTGACCGGTGGGTTGTATGGGAAGGTGGTGCCCGGCAACCTGCACCTCCAGTTCGGCGATGACCGACACGGATAAGGAGCAGTTGGTCCTCCCGCTAGCTGCTAGCCTGTTAAGAGATGCGCCCAGCCCGCTGCGTCGTCTGTGCCTTTTGCCTCGTCGCCCGCAAACGTGCACACACATTCATGCGTAAAAGTACACGCAGACCATCGCCCCATGCTCGACGCTGTCGACCTTCTGGCGCGCGTTTCAGCCCCAAACAACTGCAGCAAGTGTGTCGTTCGAAAGTCGGGGGTGGGCCTCCTGAAGGCCTGAAACGTGCTCTGGCGCAGGCAGAACGGGCAACACGATGCTGGCTGGTGGTTTTCGTGGCCGGTGGGTGGGTGGCCGTGCAGTGGCGCGGCCTGCATTGGGCTGGGGCCGCCGCCACTTTCGACTCGACACACCTTCTAGCACGTCGCTCAGACAAGCTAGGACGGTGATCAGATCTGGCCCCCGTGTGGGTGTGGGCGCTCGATGGGATCGATGGATCAAGGCTGGTGCAGTGCTGCGCGGGGTAAGAGGTGGACCACATGTACACTGTGTTTCTGTATTTCGCTCCCCCCCCCTCCTCCAGATCTCTGGATCTCTGGATCTCTTGGCGCTCGGTACACAGTACAAAACTGGCATTCATTGAACTGGAGCGGAAAAGCGCAGGCGTGCATGCCTGGGGCGGGTGTGGCCGACAGCAAGTGACGACTATGGCTCTGACTCATGTAAATGGCGGAACAACAGCGGTCGCTATTCATGACAGAGTGACAACATGTCATGTGCTTCATGTGCATGCAAGCTGCAAGGGGGTCTGTACGGGTGTGTCTCAGTTTTGAGTATGTGGTGAAGCGAAGGCTGGAGTGCGTGACATGGACGACTGAGCTCTGCGCATGGTGGTGATGGGTGCATGTCGTCGAGAGCATCGAGTCTGCCCTCGAGCTCGACGTGGCCGGCCATTCCGTAGCCGATGCTCTGGGCACTTGAAGTATTGTGCGACCCTTAGTCGATTACCCACCCACATGAAAAGCACTTTCCTTAGCACACACTCTCGGGCCCCGGCATGTCAATGTGGCCGCTCGCTGGAGTCGCTAGAGTTGCTTTGGAGTTGCTGGCTGTGTGCGTTCTGTTGTGCCATAACGGAAGTGCGTGCCTGCTGGTGTCTCGAATGTCTCGTCAGATGGCCACATGGATCCATGTTAAGCGCGCCATATCAGCCCCGGCATTCAGGTTCCCCACTGGGCCACTGTCTCCCCTTGTGCGCTGTCCCCGGCGCGGCGGCTGGCAAGCCGAGACCTCACAGGGCGAGGGCAGGGGTGTGCATATGAAGATACGCGGGCAGGGAGAGAGAGCATTGCAATTGAGGAAAAACGGCGAGAGCAAGCGTAGTCGTAAGGGAGAGACGGAGGGGGAGAGACAACAAACAAACCAAAACCAAAACCCAAAACCGCCTGGCCTGCCTGGGTGTGAGCGGTGCGTCTGTGCGACCTTTGTCAGTTCTTTTGGTGTGGATCCCACAGTCACCGTATCTCAATCACAGCACAAACCACATACACACATCCACTCCTCGCTTTGCTCAAGTCGTCCACTCCTCTCCTCTCGTTCACCTTTGACAAACACCACTCCTTCACCGCCTGCTCTCGGTAGCCCCCCATGGCCTAAACCCCTCGCTCTCCCTCAATGAGGGAGATGCACCCATGTTATCCCTCCGTCCACCACCGCCGCCGATATCCACCAACACCTGACCCTTGTCGCCTGTCCTTGACCACACCCAACGACACATCTCTCGTCCCAACAAAGATCACCCGTCTTCTCGCCGGCCGCACTTGTCTCCAAGAGCCAACGATCTCTTCCCTCTGCCCTCCTTATTCCACTCCTCTGCGCCTCCGAAACACTACCCACTCTCTTTCTGTTTAACCCACCGACCCATCCCCTCCTCTCCATCCACACCCTCCTCACTTGATACCCACGCAACATGCCCGTGGGTTACATCAAGTCACCGCCGGGCACACCACGCATGTCGTTGGACGGCGTTGGCCATGAAATCTTCGCCGAGCCACCGTCAGCCTGGAACCAAGCGGGCCCGTCTCGCAGTCGCTCAAACTCTGTCATCTCCAGAAGAGCCTCGCTTTCTCGAGTGTCTATCGATGGGACAGTCGCCAACGCCTATGAGCCACCTTCCGCTTGGACAGGCCCGTCTCGCAGTCGCCCGGTCTCACAAGCCTCACATCGAGCTGCCTCACGGGCGTCTGTCGGCGCCTCCATGAGCACACACGATACACACAGCACAAGCGCCACCGGTTCCTCGTCTATTGGCATGGGTCGCCCCGGAAGCGTCTCGTCGCCGCGCAAGTCTATGGGCAGCAATCCCCGGCGCCGAAGTTCAATCATTTATGGGCCAGCTCGTGCACCCAGTCGAACTGACAGCGTCAAGACGACGTCGACCACGGCGGCCTTGGCCTCTGCAACTGGGCTGCATTTCAACCCAGGCATCACGGGAGTCGGCATGGGTCGCCGACCACTGACCCCGAGCAGCGCCGACAATGTGACGCCGTACAACTTTCTGTACAACCACTCGCGCGAGTTTGCCCACTTGCACGCCGACGGAGACGAGGACAAGAGCGCCGAGGAGCTTCTACGCTCTCAGCGCAACGTCATCGAGGAAGTACGTCTGGGGCGCTTGGCACACTATGTCTCGACGAGCCACAAGATCCGCGCCCTCGAGAAGCAGCGCCGTACAGAGTCGCGCGCCTCCTCGAGGTTGTCGACGGGCTCCCTTGCCTTGTCACGAACGTCTACGGTCGAGTCTGGCTTGCGCCGTCTGAGTCTGTCGCCACCCTCGCGAGACGGCACCCCTGACGTCCGGTAAGTTCCAAGCTACATGTCAGATTGCAAACCGCTGACCCAGACTGCAGGCCGTTATCGCTGTCCATGTCGCCCACACGGACAGGACATGCAACCTTGCGGCGCATGTCCGACCCACCCGCTCATCTGGCAAGTCCACAATCTCTTGACGTCGAGTCTCTGCCTCGCTCGTCGCTCTCTGTCGACACCATTGCGACCGAAGAGATTGAACTGGGAATTAACCAGCGCCTCGGCATCCCGTTCCAACCTTCCGCACCTCCATCTCTCGAACTCGCGCCCTCTACGCCGGGCCGTTCCACCCCCACATTCGGTGCGAGCCCTTCATCCTCGCAGCACTCTCTCCCCCTCTCGCCAGCTGCGGGCACGACAATCCCGCATTCGGACAGCCTCGATGTTGCCATTCGTCCCGTCTCGTCTTCGTCGTTCACCTCTCCGCCTTCGACATACAGCATTTCGTCAACCTTCTCGGGCGATTCATACGACCTTGCCCAGTCTCGGTACTATGACGCCAAGTTTAAGCGCGAGGAAGAGAGCTCCAGTGACAGTGAGCGTCGCAAGACTCGTCACCGCCGTGTCCTTGTTCTGGCCGAGACTATGCGTCTGCTCGACGGCAGCTCGTCTCGTGCCAGCCAGTACATTGAGGACGACACGGCCCACCTTGGCTTCCTTGCTGCGCTCGGCGGCAACGTCAGCATTGGTGGCAGTCGCAGTGACGACACCCGTGGCCACCGCCGTCGCCGTACCCTCCTGGCTGATGGCCCTAATCCCATTACCGAGGGGCCCGAGACGCCGGAACGCCGCCAGGCATCGTCACTGGACATGTCGCCCCAGCGCCACAAGCTCATCCGCAAGGACATGTTCCGCGTCATGGCTACCGAGCAGCCAAACGTGATCCGTCACTCGGACAGCTCGATGGAGTCTGTGGACTCTACCCTCATTGCTGCCGGCGCCGCACTCATGGACAACAAACCCTGGTTGACAAAGTATCCCAAGGCTGCTCGACGCGATGGCAGTTCCGCCCAGTCGGATGCCGCGTCGCAGCGCACCTCTGTTGGCCGTCGCTCCGTCACCACCGACTTTGATGGCCAGTTTGTGGCCACGTCGGCATGGCACAACGGCGCTACCGACGGTGTGGACCTGCCTACTCGGGACTGGCCGGGTTTTGGCTTTGGGGAGGAGGAGGGCCTCGAGAGCGACCCAGCTCCCAGGCAGAAGACGACCTCGAGGGTCTCATTCGAGCACGTCGGCACGGTAGTGATTCAGCCACCGCCGGCCAAGGACTCGAAGAAGACTCGCAGGACAACGTACAGCGTCCGCCTCTGGTCGCGTACTTCTCAGTCGACCCGCTCGACTCCATCCTCCCAGACCCCGGGTACTCACCCGGGCAGGGACAGGGGCTTTTGGAAGTCCTTGGGAGTTTCTTCTGCCCACTGGAGACAGAGTAGCAGAGCGACGACACATGCCTCCTCCTCCCCGTATGCCGCCCCGCCGGCCGACTTGCCAGACCTCTCGTTCGAGTCGTCGCCGTCCAACTTTTCACAAGGCATGCCAGTGTCCCCGGCCACGAACAATGGCGCCTACCTCGAAGACGTTACAGAGCTCGAGGCCCCCCTCCCGGTACCCGACTTCGTCATGGACCTCGACACGACTTCCCCTCTCTCCACCCCAAACCACTCGCCACCTGCTTCCCCGTCTCCTCAGCAAAAGTTTATGCCACCCTTGATGGAGGAGCCCGACCAAGACTTTATCGCTGGCATCGACACTGCGTTTGAGGCTGCGTTTGCGCAGCACGTGGCGGCCCATGTCGCCGCGAACGGCGGGCGCCCCACGACCCCGTTTGACGCCTACGGCGGCGCCACCAAGCCAGCGACAACGCCGCTGCGCGCCGCGTCGCGTCTGTCGTACCGTGCCACATCGCGCATGTCCCACCGTCTCAGCCGTCTCAGCAAGTCGGGTGGCACCAAGCTCGACAAGTCAAAGGCCAAGGTCAAGAAGGGCCTGGCTTGGTGCGCGCGTCTCCTCAAAGTGGAGTAAACGCAGAGAATCAGAGCCACACACCCCGGACAATCAAACACGCTCATTTAACGACCAACCTACTACTACCTACTACACACGCTTAATCCATCCAAACCTGTTCTTCATCGCGATACCAGGCCGAGACCCCATCACGGGGCGTGCAGGCCATGGGGCCGCAAGTGCTGCCCACCCACGCGCGCCTTCACTTCCCCCCCCCCCCCTTCCCGGGACCTGCATATTGAATCGCCCTTTTACACGTTTTCTTGAGGGAGCTGCTCCTGCTCCTGCCTGTTCACTGTTCACTTTTACGCTTGCTCGTTGATGCCTTTTTCTTCGCCGTTTAGTTTTATAAACACTTTTCTATCTCATCTCCTTTTCTTTTGTACGCCAGCGGCACTAGGATTAGCCAGCATGTATTTTGCGTATTTGGCCAAGGAAGCGATGTGGGCGGGTGGAGCTGCACGCGTCGACTTTGGATGAAGGACGGATGGTCAGGAGGCACGAGGATTGGTGCACCCCACGTTCCCCAAGCTACGTCCAACAGTCCTAGACAAGCACATGGCGGTATACAGTCCTCAGCAGTGGAGATTGATTGAATAGATCAAAGGATGCAAGGAAATGTAGTCGGCTGACGACCCACTGGCCACTGGACTACTGTTGCCCGCTGAATCATACCAAGATGGTGCGCTGGTGCTGGAGCGAGCAAAGCACCAAAGGCTTGTTGTCAACAACAACACGGTTGCCTGCCGTTTCGCAATCGCAATGCGCGGCGTTAAGAACCAAATCCGTGTCAGGGTCACATACTTCCGCATATGCCAGGCTCATTCCCACTGAGCCAACCGCCGGGAATGCCACACGGAGATAACGCCGCTGGCGGTTTCGCCAGGTCGCCGCCCTGGGTGTCCGTTCTGGATGTCTTGACGGCTGGGTGCCCATTCAACCGTCAAGCTAACCGTCAAGTGAGTAGGCCGACGACCCCCTGCCTGCACCCCCGCACCAGCCTGTACCGCGACCGACGACGACGACGACGACGACCGCCAGCACACACGCACCGACGACGACGACGACCGAGCGAAGGAACGGAGGGGGAGGATGGAGAGGGGCGGTGGTGGTGTCAACTTTCAACATTTGAAGGTTTTGACAGGGCCGCCCAACCACCTGGAGAGAGCGCGGCGAGGAGAGAGTGCGCAGCGAGGGGAGACGGTGTGGTCGTGGTCGTGCTCTGCGTGCTGTGTCGGTCGTGCGGTCGTCCTTCAAGATTTCGCGGTTCCAGGTTTTGGCTGGTCCTGGGTGGTCACAAAATGCAGCGCAGGGCGGAGCGAACTTTCGACATTGCACCCAACCCACCATTGCTAACCCCTCCAGAATGGCCCAGCGTGTCACTCTCCGCAAGCGCCAGCCCTACAACACCTCCTCCAACCGCAGGAGGGTCGTGAAGACCCCCGGTGGCAAGCTCGTGGTCCACCACATCAAGAAGCTTGCTGTGCGTAGATTCTCTCTTGGAGCATGAGGATTCCTCCTCCTCGCCCGCTCGCGAGACATTCTTTGCTGACGTCCTCTCCAGTCGGCCCCCAAGTGCGGTGACTGCGGTGAGGCCCTCGCCGGTGTCCCCACCCTCCGCCCCCGCCAGTACGCCACCCTCTCGAAGCGCCAGAAGTCGGTCTCGCGCGCCTACGGCGGCTCGGTCTGCGCCGGCTGCGTTCGCCAGCGCATCACCCGCGCTTTCCTTATCGAGGAGGCCACCATCGTCAAGCGCGTCCTCAAGGCCAAGGCCGCCGCCTCGAAGAAGTAAATTGCCCTTCTTCGTTCATTTGAAGGAGCGTAGTTGAGGTCACTTTGGGCGACCGGATTCGCATCGGGCGATGTATTGATTCCCTCACGCGTATAACATGCAAACAGGAGAGTCGCACCCATACCCACCCATGGCTCGTGTTCCAGATGTGTTGGGTGCACCCGCGAGATCACTGACCCCCGCCGTCTCTTCCTCTCCTCTCTCCCTCTCTCCATCTCCTCTCTCCATCTCCTCTCTCCATCTCCTTCTTCCCGCTCTTGTCTCTCCCTCTCTCGTCTCTCCCTCCTCCCTCCCTCCCCTCCCAAACACACACACACACACACCGCTACCCAAATAGACAGTGCCACCTTTTCCTTCAATGAAAAGTTAGGCGATCCGGTCAGCGAATATCATACCTTTTCCATACACCACATTTAGAACTTGCTTGCCCTTCCCTTCAATGCTGCCAGCTACGGCTGGGAGGCGCTATTAGCTCACTGCTGCCTCCTTTTGAGGGGCGGTGGGCAGCGTGGGTCGTGGGCTAGGAGGTGTCATATTGGTGTAACATTCCAATCCCTTCTCGCGTAGTGTTTTGCCTTGTCTTTTTTGGTTTCGTACACGCGATGAAGCTTGCACATGTCCTGGATCCAACCACCTGTTGCATTGCCAGCAGATACACACTCTTACAAACGTCAACTGTGCGGGTATTCGGTGCGAGTATACGAGATGGAGATGCATGCGCAGGGTATAGGCACCCGTGCGGGCGAGGAAGAGGAGCCTGCGCACAGGCGGACAAGTGTGGCACTTTCAGGCGAACATTCTGCGCCCCTCTGCTCTTGTGCTGTCACACATACCGAGGAAGGCTGGACAGAACGAGGACGGATCAGCGCTCCTCTCTATCTCCAGTCGGTGCACGGCCAGAGACCCCAGGCCATCCCAGTAGCGGTGATGTGTGTGGACGCACACAGATCGGGTGATGGAGAAATGTTTTCTTTTTTTCGATCAATTCCGCCCGTCAGTCACCCCCCTCTTGGCCTCTTGCCTTCTGCCTCTGCCATCCCTCCTTGCTCTTCCGGTGTTTGTAGCAGTGATCGTCGCTGTGTAGATGCACACGTCACCGTTTCAGCGCTGTCCCCCAGGCAGGGCCAGCAGAGCCAGCAGCATTCCGGCCACCGCGACTGCCTTCATCAACCCATCGCTTTTCCCCGTCACCCCACCATCTTCCCTTTTCATCTGTCTTCCTCCGTTGCCTTCCCTCTCTGCCTGCATACAGTCATCTCACTGCATCAGTGACCATCTTCCCTCGTCTGTCTTCCCTCCGTTGTCTTCCTCCATCTCCTTCTCCATCTCTCATTACACCAACTAGAATCACCACCAGCAGTTTCTGCCCGCTCTCCCTCCTCCTTCCGCAAGCGTCAACAAACAAACCCCCCGGCTGCAAGATCCGCACCCAAGGGCCTCCTCCCCCAATGAACATTGACCATCCCTTCCCCGCAAACTCACTCGAGGACCCGTTCATCGTCTACAACACAGACGGTGACACTGATCACCTCTTGCCCTCTTCCCACCCCACCTCCCACCAACCTTTTACCCCCGACAGCGAGCAATCCTTCTCCCAATCCTTCTCCCACTCTAGCGGCTCGAGCACCGTCAGCTCGGATAGCTCGTACAGCCCGCCTTACTCGGCCTTCTCCCAGCTCGCCATCGCATCGTACTCTCTCCCTCGCCACCCTAGGTCCCCCTCGCCACTGCCTCCTCGACGCTACAGCGTGCAGACCGAGCTTCGGCCACATCACGAGGTCGACGAGCACTGGCTTCCACACCTTGCATACCTCCCAGCCTTCTCATCAAACCCACCTTCGGCTCAGATCTCTCCTCCCCATCAGACGCCAATCAGCAACACGTGGTGGGACCCAAACACACCTCGGCTGAGTTTCGACCAAGTGACCCACTCGACTGCATCGTTGCTCGAGGCCGCTGTTGCCACTGCGCCCGAGTACGCTCCGTCCGACACCGTCTCGCGCGCTCCCTCCACTCCCCAGCGTGTCCCATACGCTCTTGACGCTCTGGAGATTCCTACTCCTCCGTACTCTTCGAGCTACATCGTCCCCAGGCGCATCAGTCACAAGTTCCGTGACGAGCTCGCCTTTTCGTGCCCTCCCACGCCCGACAACAACGAGCAGCCCACCCTTCCCTGGTCGCTGCAAGAGCACCTCGAGCACGCCCCGGGTACTCGTGTTCCATACACAGCGTCCACCGACGACGACGATCCGTTTGACGGCTCGATCCCTTCCTCGCCAGTTGCCACCGTCTACCCTTTTGCGGTTGACGAGTACACTATTCCGTACCCTGAGCGCCACCGCAACACGTTGGCCGTGCAGGACGCGTACTCGGACGACAGCGACAGCAGTGACGAAGAGAACGAGATCGCAATCCCCCATCTGCCCGAATCACCCCAGACACTCCGCGCCCGGGCCTTGTCACCGCCCATGGACGCCCCCTCGCCCCACCGTTCCCAGTGTGCGACCTCGCCGCACGGATCCGCCACTTATGCCCGGCCTCGCGGATGGCCACTTTCAACCTCCACTTTCCCCGCATCGACCCGCCCGTCTTCGCCACAGGTTGACCCCGCGCTCATCAACTCACAACAGCCGCCTTCCCTCCAAGTCACCGTCGCGCACATGTCGCATGCCGACGACCCAGAAGACGACGGCGAGACCGTCCACTCGCCCGGTGCCGGATCCTCGACATCTGGCGCGCACAAGCGCAACTTCAAGACAGCCCTGTGGGAGTGAGTCGAGTTGACTGGACTGCTGGGTTGTTTACCACGCCTTCCCTCCCCGTCCACCCTTCCGGGTGATTCATGCTCACATCACTAGGGCCATCAACAACCCAGACTTTGAAAAGCTCATCCGCTGGGACAAGGATGGACTCGCCGGCGTCATCCCAGACAAGAAGAAGGTGAGCCATGCTAGCAGAGTGCGCTGACGACCCAGTTTGAGAGCAGTAGGGGTGGGTTTGAGACGGATGCGGGCGGGGAAGGTTCCCAGCAACCGTGCTAATCATTCATCAGCGATGAGGGCCATCACCGACGCCCGCGACTTTGGTGGTTTTGCGCGCCAGCTCAACATGTGAGTGCTAACCCCATGGTGCATGGCTAACCCATCAGGTGGAACTTCACGCGCGGCAGGCACCCCGACCTGGGTATCAAGTGAGGTCCTTCACCAGAGTTGCTGCTAACCTCCATCCAGCTCCGTCCGCTTCACCCATGACGATTTCCAGCGCGGCAGGGAGGACCTTCTCGACGACATGGTCCGCAAGGGCGAGAACAAGATGTCGCGTCCTTCTAAAGGGGTGAGTTGGCTGGGCCCGTGTTGATCGATAGCTGACACCAGACCCAGAAGACGAACCAGAAGCCAGTCAAGAAGGTCAAGGAAGTCAACAAGGTTCACAAGCCCAAGAATCCCAATGCTCGTCACTCAACGCGTCTCAACGTCCGCCCCAACTACGAGGAGACGGATGACGACAACGTCGATGTGAGTGACATGCGCTGGCCTGTTTCCTAACCCCCTAAAGGACCCCTCGTCGGATGATTCGACCCCCGTCGCGTCGCCAGCGCGTGCCCGCCCCAGCGCTAGCGCGGGACCATCAAGGCCTGCCGCCAAGAAGATGAAGCTGACCACGGGTGCGCGTGCCATCACCGTCCTCAAGTCCCTCAAGACCCAAAACGACGCGCTCGAGCAGGAGAACGCCTTGCTCCGCTCGCATGTTGTCGAGAAGAACGCTCTGCAGCACGAGGTCTCCGAGTTACGCGAGCGCATGCGTGGTATGTACTTTCAACGCATGGGTGGAGAAAGTGGGTACTTGCCGGACTGTAGCCAACGCTAACCCACCAGGCTCTACTTCTGCACCCACTGGTATCCGCGGTCTCTCCCCTCCTCCCATGGTCGTCGCTGTGCCCGGCCGCTTCAAGCGCGTGTACGAGTTCACCCCGGAGCCGCCCACGGGCGAGATTATCGGTCTCGGCCAGTGGCCCGAGTCGGAGATGCGTTCCACCTCGATCAAGGCAGGCGCTTCCTCCAAGTCTGCCAAGGGCAAGGCGCCTGCCACGGCCTCGCCTAGTAACAAGCCTCCACGCAGCAAGCGACCTCGTGTCTGAACTGTGTGTGTGCTCCCAAGATCTTTGTATATTTCCGGTACTGCCGGCACCCCCCCATCTCAAATGCGCGTTTTGTTCTTCGCTCGACAGCGTTCCCCCAAACATCATTTGTCGTCATCTCCCTACGACCATAACGACCAAAGTACGAGAGACCCCGTCACTTTCGAGAGGTGTAGCATAGCAGGTAGAGACGGGTCCCCCATATGTCATGTAGTTGAGAGAGAACAGTCACCCCCGTCCCCGTCCCCCCCTCTCCCTCGAGAAACATTCCCCTTTCCCCTCGTAACGGGCACCTCGTAACGGGCCATCTGAAAGAAGAAATCCATGCAAACGTGTGACTGTTATTACGCGTCTATACAAAGTCATACAACGGGCCATCGATGCCAAAGTCGGACTCGGGGAGTGCAGCGACGGGGCCCATGATCTTCTCGGTGGGGAACACGCCGAGGCAAGTGGCGCCGCACCTGTCCTTCTCATCGGGGTCGGGACGCTGGTCCTCGGTCTCGACGAGCGTCCAGCGCGGGAACGGGGTGGGTTCGCCGTTCTCGTCCGTGGTGCCCGGCGGCGCTGGGCGCTGGTGCACCGAGAGGATGATACCGTCGGCAGCGAGGCCGCCGACCTGCGCGGGCTCGTCACACGCAAAGAACGAAACGACGGTGCCAGTCGCTGTGCCGGGGACGAGGGCCACTTCGGGGAGCTCGTCGCCGCTCAGGCGGGTGAGGAGGAGGAAACGCGTAAAGTTGTCTGTTGTGCTGGGTCAGCCGGGGGGCTAGGTTCAGAAACACCCACCCTTGACTCCCTGCGTGCCGGCGTGCAGGAGGTCGAGCTTGTCGCGGTTCTGCTCGTACGCGGCCTTGGAGCAGATGGCGGCTCCCTTGGCCCCGTCCTCGTCCTCGAGGATACTCTGCACCGCGCCCGCCGTGCTGGGCCACGACACACGCTTGGCATGGGGCAGGAACTCGTCCAAAAAGGCCTTGCTCTGTCCCAGCGCCTGCTCGTGGCTCCGCACAAACTCGACTTGGGCGAGCGTTGTGCCCCGCCGAGCGACGAGCTGGTGCTCGATGCGCAAGGCCGTGTCGGCAACGGCGCGCGGGTGGGTTTTGGTACCGGGAGTGAGAGGTGTGAGGAGGCTGTCCACCGTGTCGAGGACGGCGCCGTGGAGAGTGTTCTCGAGCGGGAGGACGAGGAAGTCGGCCGGGTGGGTGTAGATGGCTGTCCATGTTAGTGTGTTGCGGCGGATGGCGGTGCGCTCGAGGCAGCGGCCGAGCTGAGCTTTGCAGGTAGAAGACACTCACAAGGGATGGTCGGAACAGGAACTAGGTTGAGGTCGCCGCCAAGACGAATGTTGAAGCGACTGGCCGCCTGTCGGTCAGCTTGGCTCACCTCTGGCTGGGCTTGGGCTCCAGCAGGAGAGGATAGCGGTCACTCACCTGCTCGCCATATGTACCCGCTGGGCCTAGATATGCAATGGACCTTGTGGCGCGCTTGGTCGCGCTCTGGACCGTTGCTGCCGCCATGCTCGCGATCCTGGATGTGGTGTGCATGAACACGAGTTTGTGGATATTGACATGGCATGTAATCACGCCTCTCACTCCTTTCAGACTCGGCAAGCTCGCCCGCCCGGCCCGCCCAGCGAACCAGGACGCGGGGCCCACCTAATCCCACGTGGTGCGGAGTTACAACTCCGTGCGTGTCCCACCAAGTGCCACAATGCGGCCTGACCCCGTCGAAAACGCCGCGCCAAACGCCGGCTGGAGCCGTGGCTGCTGGGGTGTGGGTGTGGGCGACGGATGGCTGAGAGCAAAGCTGTCTCGCCGTCGCCTCCTCCTCATCCAACAACTAGGTGAGCACCCACCCCTACGTCCCCAGCACCGTCAACTGACTCGTTACCAGCAAAATGGGTAAGGTCCACGGCTCTCTCGCGCGCGCCGGTAAGGTCAAGTCGCAGGTAAATATCAAGTTCTCCGAGAATCTCGCACGGGCGCGTCAAAAGGAATGGAGGAGGAGGAAGGACAGGAGGGGAAGATCTGGGCCGGATGGACGGGCGACGGGCGTGGTCTTGATGGCCTCGAGCGTGCGTGCGGCGTGCTGTTCTGCAGTGCGCGCGCCTGCAAGCTCGGTGTCCCGTTTCCCAGAAATCAGGTGGCGACAAGTCTTGGAGGGATGGAGATGGACGATGGACGACGACGTGCCCCTGCGAGCTTTGGCATCCTGGTGGCGACACACGCTTACGCCTCCTCTAGTGCCCCAAGGTCGAGAAGCAGGAGAAGAAGAAGACCCCCAAGGGCCGTGCCAGTGAGTAGAGCGCGCGCAATGCGGACGGCACACCACAGCGCTGGTCTGACAATGTCTCCAGAGAAGCGTGCTCAGTACACCCGCCGCTTCGTCAACGTCACCCTCACCCCCGGCGGCAAGCGTTCGATGTGAGTATTCCTTCCGTTTCCTCTCCCCCCCACCATTCGACATCCTCTATCTCTTTCGCCATGGCACAATTCGCGTGCGCACACTTTCCGAGTGCTTGCACATTTCTCCATCGCCCTCCCATCCATTGTGATGATACCATGAAATCAAGCATAGTTCAATCAGAATTATCATGATCGATACAATTCCATCAACGTCTTTCGCTCCTATCTGAATTCCCACACCTCGTCTACCCCTTCCATTTCGCAATCCATCTCTCTCACGTTTTTGCTTGTCGTGAGAAAACGAAACCATGGGCTGACCATTTTCCTACAGGAACCAGCAGCCTGCCGGCAAGTCGGGATAAACATCCCACTCCAACCACCACGACATATTTTGGACGCGATGGACGGACGCCCGTAGACGGCTTGTACGCATCAGATGGAGCCTCTAACTGCATCAATGGTTGCATAGTGTTTTCCCTTGCCAGAGAGAGCATTTGTGCAGGAGATTGCAGGGAAGGTTGTTGGTTGGCGATGGAGTCCTCCACTTCTTTAGCTACGACCACGATCCTTTGTGTGCTCGTTCTGCAACTGTTCGCTCCTCTCGTGTCTCGTTCAGTTTTCGTTTTTCGTTATCGTTTCTACTTTCTGCACAGTTTGATTGTCTCGACCGTATCTGCAGATGTGTAGCGCTTAACTGAGGCCGTGCAATGAATGTTCGGGTGGGTTAGGCGGGCGGAAGATTAAGCAGAGGGCGACTAGACTTTCGAGTCAGGACTAGTCAAATTGCGGCGGCATGTGGCATTGTGGCTATTGGTCGTACAAGCACGTTATGGAGGCAGGCCGTGCTGCCATCCATGTCCATGAACCCATAAACGCAACCAACGCTATGCACTGCACCCCATAGTCCATGCACAGCAATGCCGCATTACTTCATTACCAGAACTCTACATGCGATGTTATGGGGGTAGTGGTGGGTAGCATTAAGAAAATGGGTTCTTTGTTGGTGTGATAAAACGTCTTCCTTGTCTGATCCTCTTTCCGTAGATAAAAATTAATGCGCAAGGAAAAGTCCAGTCCCAAACAACTAGTACAACAAAGGGAGGCCAAGTGGCGAGTCGAGGTCGAGAGTTTTCTTCTTTCTTGTCTTTCTTCGGGGGAACATTCTGGGTCGTGGTCGTGGGAGGGGGTGGGCATAAAAATAAAATGTCTCGAGCGGTGCGCGCGCGGCCGGAGCTAGCTTTGCTGCGTGCGTCTTATCGCCATTGAACGGCCATGTTGACGGGGGGAAGCGACCGGGCCCGCGCGCGCAACGTGCCCGCTTCGGCATGTTCGTACTGGTTGATCACCTCTTTGCCGTCCGGCACACAGCTTGGGCGGACGGTGCCCAGAGGCTCAGTGACGAGCTCAAAGGAGTCGTCGTCGACGTATCCGTCATCCACGTCGTCCAGGTCGACCGCCCCGGGCACACGGGAAATAGTGTTGACATTGACGCGGACGCGCAGGGGGGCTTCCCAGTCGGCGTACTGGCCAGTGACTTCGGTATCGGAGACAGGCTCCTCGGACGAGGTGTACTTGTGGCGATTGTCGGACGACGAGGCAGAGACCGTGGCGGACAGCGTCAAGCCTTCGGACGAGAGGCTGCCCGCAGATGTGGTGACGGTCAGTCCCGGGCAGGACCGGTCCATCATTGGTACAGGAATAGGGGTGGTAGTGGAGGCTGGGGAGACGGGTTCAGACGCAGCCGGGGAGCAGAAGGACCATCCCCTAAAGGCCAAGTCTTTACGGATCTTGAGCACGTCGGCGCCGTGCATGGCGTCACCGAGCAACGGGTCGCGCAAGTCGAGGGTGCTGTTGGCTGGGGCCAGCGGCTCGTCTGGGATATCTTCGTCAAAGTGGCGGGTGTCATCCGCCGCCACGAGGTTGGGCTGGTATGGCGGTGGGACGTGGTGGATGTTGTCCCAGTCCACGCCGTCAAACCACGGGTGGGCCATGAGCTGCTCGACACCGTCGGGCCCGAGCGGACCCTCGTCCGGCGCCGCCCGCCACCTGGATGGGACGTATCCCAGTCTCTCTTCGGGCTCGCACAGCAGGCGCTTCATGAAATCGACAGCGAGCGGCGAGATGCGGCTGGTCTTGGCGAACACGAGCGAGTTCTTCCAGTCAAGAATCTTTTGCCTGGCAGCCTGCCTCGACGACCCCACAAACGGGACGGTACCATACAGCGCCTCATAGACGATGATGCCCAGCCCCCACCAGTCGGCACTGAACCCGTATCCTTGGCCACGAATGACTTCGGGGGCCATGTACGAGTTTGTTCCGCAGATCGTGTACGCCATCTTGCGCCTGCTCTTGCTGCTGTTGCGCCACGAGAGGGAAAACTTGCGCGACATAGAGTCGCCGCTGGACCCGCCCAGCCCGCCACCGACCCCACCGCCGGGAACATTCTCGATCCGTCGACGGCGGTTGCCGAACGCTGGGCGCGACAGAGCCACACCGTGGCGCTTGAGGACGGCCCGGCGCTGGTGTTCGTAGTATGCCGAGTCGTGGCCCCAGTGCAAGTCTGTGGCGAGACCAAAGTCTGCGACGCGGATATGGCCCTCGCCCGAAAAGAGGAAATTGTCGGGCTTGACGTCGCGGTGAATATAGCCCAGCTGGTGGGTTTGGTGCAAGGCGAGGACCATTTCGGCAGCATAGAAACGGACCGCACCCTCGGGCAGCGATCCTTGGCTCATGAGCAACGTGAGGAGGTCGCCGCCGCCCATGTACTCGAGAGCCAGGTAGAGGTAGTCCTGGTCCTGGAACGAATAGTAGAGACGCGGGATCCATGTGGGTCCGTCGCTGACGCAGGCTGCTGAAAGCAGGTCCTTTTCAGCACGGACGTGACCTTCCTGGCCCATGCGGAGGAGGCTGGAATCTGTCAGCACGTGTGCTTTTGAAGCGTAGCAGCGAGAGGTACACTGTCGATTTTGCGCGGGTGGTCGCTTTCACGCGCCGGAGCCGTTCTGTGGTCTGTGGCACACTCAAATGACTCACTCAGTCTTCCTCAGCTGCTTGATGGCGCAGATCCGGCCACTCTTCCGCTCCGTTGCAATGTGGACGACACCAAACGCGCCCTGCCCAATGACGCGGCCAAACTCGAACGCGGACGACGTCACGCGCCCCCTCCTCTCCCTCCTCGAGGCGCGCAGGTTCAGACTTGGGCCTGCGCCGCCGTTGCTGGCACCGTTACGTGCAAGAGCGTCATAGTATTGCTCAAAGTAAAGGGCATTGGACGCCGCCTTCTCCATGGTGGTCAAGGTAGGGTTGACGGCTCGTCCCGTGCCGATGCAGCCAAAGGGGGGCTCATAGTCGTCGACTGTGCTTGGGCTGCTGGCTCCGCCTCCACCCAGAGGACCGAGGGGCAGCTTGTTGAGGACCTTTGGCCGCCGCACCGTGCCGCTCAAAGTCAACCTGTGCCCTGAGGCCACTGGGGCCGACTTTGTATTGTTGGTGCCGGCGGCGGCGGTCGCACTCTCGCCCGTAACGACGGCCGGATGTGAGGGTAGCGGTGAGGGTGTTGCCGGTGCCCTGGCTGGCGGCGGCGGGTTGGAGCGGCCTGTCGACGTGGTAGCAGCGTCGCTCGCCGGCGTGACGAGGTGGTCGGACGGGACCTGCGGTTGGATACCGTATGCCTTGAGGATCTTGACCTCTGCTTCAGTTGGGTTGACGGGGTCGACGAACATGAGCTGCGGAGAGCCGACACAGAGCGAGTCGCTCAGTCTGCTCGGCAGCACGAGGCCGAGCAGCCAGCGAGACCATGGCGGGCGCTGGTCCATCTGGAGAGGGGTATGAGCGCTGCTGCTCGCTGCTCTCAAGTGGTGAGGGTGGAGACCAAGCGGGTGTGGGTGGGTGGTGTCGTGGTGGCAAGGGGATACAGCACAGAGTTCCGGAGAGTGCCAGCGTTTCCGACCTTGTCCTTGTCACGTTGTCACCGGTAACCGACACGCGCCGAGCAGAGTGGGACTGGGAAGGACTGGAGATGGTGTACGCACACTATAGTGGAGAACAGATGGAGCGTCACAGAACCGTCGTGCGATCTCGCATCATAAACACACACACGCTCGCCGGGTTGGACGCGCGCACACCGCCGTGGCCAGCACACGCCCCGGCCGCGCCGGCCGTTCCCTTTCGCCCTCGCAGCTGGGGGAGGGGTTGCCTTTGCTGTTCTGGGCTCTCTTGTGCGTCTCCCCCCCTTGGCGCATGCCGCACAGAAGCGGTCCATGCGCGCGCGTGTCAAGGTTTTGTACAGTGTTGTTGCTTCATGCGTTGGGCTCTCGGTTGGCCCGTCCGCCACAGGTTGTCGGGGCCACCCGGCGGCGCCACCGGCGATGACTGTCCTGGGACCCAAAGAGGGCGACGGGACACACCGCCTGGCAGAGCCTGTTCAGGCGCAGAACAGGCAGTGAGCAATGAGTAGAGTGCATCGGTGCATGGGTGTACCGCATAAGACTGCTGGACGGCGCTGCCTATGCTGCGACGTCTTGCCTACAGATCGGTGTGATCGGGCTGCACCGTGCACAGTTGGGACACTCCCTACACATCGCCAAAGGCAATCACCAGGCCGTCAATCTGTCCGATCAGTGGCAAAAAGCCCATGTCACACTCGCGATCTGAAAGCTTCCTTTGCATACCTCGGTTGGGCTGAATGACAAGCGGTACAGACGGACAAGGACATGGGTACATGGAGTCGGTCTCGGAGCATCGGCAGAATCAGAACCAAAAGACTGTGAAAGAAGCATGTTTTTCGACTGGGACATTGCATCATCCTCGCCACTCCATTCAGCCCCGTACACGCCCGCATGCTCCGCCACGGGCGAAGGGTCAGAGGTCAGAGACAGGACACTTCTCGTGTCCATTCCGCCGTCATCACATGCACGTTGCAGCAGTACTAGTATAGTGTGCTGCGAGTGCAAGCGTACTCTGGAAACTGCTGCATTGTCCAAGGGAAACACTCTGGCCCTACCATCGACAACTCTATCTAAACCCCCCCCCCCCCACCCCACAGCCCGTCAACCCTCGATCCGACCCCCGTTTTCCCTCGACGCCTCCGCCCGTCCCCCCCCCCCCACGCCATCGGCCCTCGGCGCGGTGGAGAGCAACCATGCATGCCCCGCGGTGCATGGTCCAGAGGCCAGAGGTCGGGAGATCGGGAGCAAGGCCGCGGATGTCGCCGTCCCAGTCTACTTGGCATTCACTGGGCAACGAGAGACCCACAGCGTTGGCGGTCGGGGCGGTAGCGACTGTGGACTGCGAGCGACGAACACGTGTGCGCCGCGCTCTCTCTATGTTTTATTTTACCGTACTGTCGTTTCTTATTATGTCTTATGTATTTTCGGTGCTGTCGTCGTCGTCGTCGTCGTCGTCGTCGTCGTCGTCGTCGACGTCGGCCGGCATCTACATGCGCAGGATGTCACGCGCCGTCTTGCCCTGCGTCCGCGGTGGGACCGGTCCATTGCGGTGCGAGTGGTGGCTGTTCGAGTAGCTGCTGTGCTTGTAGTTTGCCACGCCGCCGTCGAGCGTAAACTCCTCCGACTCGAGGGTGAGCCGCCGCTCCCTGCCTTGGCTCTGCGAGACCGAGACCGGCATCGAGAGGGCAGACATGAGCGGTGTGGAGCCCGTCTTGGCTGGACGCAGGGTGTCGGGCGACGAAAAGGCCAGCAAAAGGTTGGCAGCCTCCTCGGGGGCCAGGTCGGCCCTGTCGCGCGAGTGGTGAGGAGCCGGCATGGTCAGGTCGGGTGGACTGGGGTGTTGCTTTGTCGGGCCGTCGAGCGGCGTGTCGAGCGCACCGCCAAACAACGAAAAGTTCTGCAACGGAGCCATGAACGGGCTGGGCTCGGGTGGACCGGTCGCAGACGAGGCGGTGGAGGCTGCGCTGCCGCCTTGGTAGGTGAGAAAGGGCGAGGTCGGAGATGGTGTCGGGAACGGGAGGTAAATGTTCGGGTTGGGCGCACTGCGAGGTGCCGCAGGCATGGTCCTGGGCGCTTGCGGCTGAGTCGTCGAGGCGAGCAAGGACGCAATGGACGGAGGGTGTGGTGACGCAGTGTGTGTCGAGCTGTCGGTGGTGGTGTTGTCCGAGTTGCTGTGGTTGGGATGACGGCTGGCCAAGGTCAGAGGTGGCGGAAGGTCGGCCTCAGCCTCCGTCTCGTTGGGGTCGGGCGACATGATCATGGTCGCGTGACGCGCCGACGGAGGGGTCATGGAAGGCGACGGCGGGGTCGACGTTGTGCTCGGCTTGTGGCTCGCCGGGCTCTGGTGGCGATGGCTGTGGCGGGACACTTGCTCATACTCTGGCTTGTCGATGTCCATGTCCTCTGTCATTGACTCGCTGTCGTGTCGTCTCCTGGACCCTCCTCTTGAGTGACTAACACGCGACTCGAGGTCCACTATTTGCTGCTTCAGTTCCCGCATGTGCTCGACCGTGCGCTCAAGCACCTAACCTCGGTTAGTATCCCTCCGCGGCATGCACTGTAAAACAAACGTACCTCGAGCTTGAACTCTCCGCCCTTTCCACTGTCGTCACAAAGGCCGGGGACCATGGCGCGCAACTCGGCAAGCGCAGAGTTGATCTTCTCACGACGCCGACGCTCGATGAGCGAGTGGTTTGCTTTACGCAGCTGTTCCCGTGACATGGGCCTGCCTGTGGGACCGACTTTGGTCGCAGCTGTCGGGGTTGCTGATGCAGAGGGAGGACCACCGCTCGAAGGCTTGGACTGGATGGCGCGCTTGCCACGAGACCCACTGCCCGGGATGCCACGCGAGCTGCTCCCCGCACCGCGTGTAGGGTCGTATTCGCTGTCACCTGCGTCGTGGCTGCTAGGTGAAGCCGAGCTCTCGGGTACAGGCGAACGGGAGCCCACATCGCGGTCCTGGTCGTCGCGGTAGTGCTTGCGTTTGCGCGAGATCGAGGGGAGAGGCGGGGGTGGCATGGCTGCGTATGGTAATGGCGGCGGGTAAGGTCGCGGCGTTGATGGTAGGAGTGGTGGAGGGAGGTGTCCGTTGAGAACTGGCGGGACAGCGAGGGATAAAGAGTGCAGACGAAAGTACGCGTCGGAGGGGGATGTCGCTGTGGAGGAGGGAGGGGGTCGAGAGGGGAGGGGGAGGGGATGTTCTACCCAGGCCATGATGAAGGCAGACGAGTGTATATTCGCTCGTGTGATGCTCTTTGCTTGCTATGCCGTCGGCGGCGGCACGGGTGTGGGTGTGTGTGGGGGTGTGTCTCTCCTCCACCCGGTGCGCCGGTGCAACGGACTGATGTCGGGTTGTGTATTGGAACGTGCGTTCGTGTAAAACAAGCCTACTCACGCACGAGGGGCCGGCACCAACGAGTCAAGTCGTGTGAGTGGCACCCAAATTGGAATTGGGGGAGCTAGAGCGCTGCTTAGCGTGCCGGGAGAGGGTTGCAGTGCAGTTGGAGAAGAGTAAAGGAGAGGAGTCCAATGCGAAGAGAGGCGGGGTAGCGAGCACACGGGGCGGCAACGACTAGAGCACTGCTAATCTTAGAGCGTGTTGAAATACGGCCGTGTCGATAACAGACCCACTTTTGCACTGCCGGCGTGTGTGATGGTACACGCTTGGCATGCTCGCGTGCACATGTGCGCAGCCTATCGCCATGCAGCTGCATGTGGGCCAGGCCCCCAAGATCACCCACAGAAACGACCATGGGTGCATTTGCTGCTCACACGCTGTCTCTCACTCTGCACGCACGTTCGTCTTTGCCATGTCGTTTGACTCTTTTGGTCGGTCGATCTCATGGAGCCCCATGTATACCGGGTGCCTGGACCCGCATACGTGGGGCATATGGTGCGCCAGGCGCCGGGGGGCCATATGTGTGCATGTCGCGTGACGTCGTCGTCGTCGTCGTCCAGTTGCAGCGCACAGCAGCGCATGTGTGCAGAGGCATGCTCACCGCAGCTGAATTAGCTAATTGACGAGTGGACGGTGAGACTGAGACAGTGGGGCACAGTGGACGATGGTTTTTCGTAAACGTGCGCGACCATTTGGTCCAAGCAATCGGCCCTCTCTTGGCCATCTGCCCCAGGCACTGAATGACGCAACCCCCCCGCCCCCCCCCAGCTCGTGGTGGACAAGAAAGACACAACAACAATCGTCCATCTGTTTGGCAGTCATGTCGGAGTTGTGGCTGGCCGAGTGCGGTCCTTGATATACATGTGCCATGGTCTTTATCAACGTCGTGTGACTCTTATTTCTTGCCGGGTAGCCCACGGCATCGTTATCGGAGAAGACGACGACACGCCGTGTCGGCTTCGACCGATTATCCGACCGCGTGCTACCTTGCCCACACCGCTGACACCCTTCTCAATACCGTTCTTTCCACTCACACGTCTACTCTCACATCCACCATTAAGGATGCTACTAACACGGCTTGCACTTCTCTCGGCCTCGGTCTCGCTCAGCCTTGCTGCAGTTGTGCCCAAGGACACCCAACGGGACGTGGTCCGCCTGGGCGGCGACGACGATGATCCAGCTCAGGGAGCCCGATACCGGCCCCTCCCTCCTTTACGCGAGCAAGATGCCCTCGAGCGCCAATGGGTCAAGAAGAGGTGGGACCACGTCCCATCCATCCTCAAGAAACACGGGTACGACGCGTGGCTCCTCTCCATGCGCGAGTATGCCGAGGACACGGCGTTCCGCGCGCTGGTGCCCACCACGACCGTGTTCTCGGCTCGTCGCCGCAGCGTGTTCCTGTTCCACACCCACCCGACCATCGAGTCGCCACTGTACCTCATCGACAACACGGAGGGTATCTGGGACACGCTCAACGCGGCGCTGTCCGAGATTGACCCGCAGAAAATAGCCATTGACGTCGATGCGCACGTCGCCTTTGCAGACGGCCTGCACGCCGGCGAGACACACGCACTCATGCTGGGTCTGGACCCCGAGTATCTGTTCCGGACAAGCCCGTGCCGTGCCATACCCGTTGAAGTCATCGCCGCGCGCGTCGGTGGCGAAGCCCAGCTGGAGCAGTACCAGCACATGATGGAGACGGTGTGGGCCATGGTCTCTGACGGGTTTTCGGAAAAGGTCATCACGGCAGGGGTGACCACGCCGCAGGACCTCGAGTGGTGGTTCCGCGACACGATGCGCTGGCGCCTGGGCACCGGCACCTGGTTCCCGCCCAGCGTCGACATTAGTCGCCACCCAGACGAGCCGAGCGTCGAAGACCACCCGCAGTTCCGGCCCGGCGACATGATCCACGTCGATATCGGCATCACCGCCATGGGGATGAACACGGACACGCAGCACCTGGGCTACATTCTGCGGCACAACGAGACGGCCCCGCCGGCGGGCCTGGTCGAGGGCATGCGCAACGCCAACAAGCTCCAGGACTTTGTGCGCGAGGAAATGGTCCCCGGGCGGACGGGCAACGAGGTCCTCTTTGCCGTCTTTGACCGCATGAACGCGTCCGGCCTCGACGGCGACATTTACTCCCACCCCATCGGCGACTATGGCCACAGCGCAGGCGCAGTCATTGGGTTCACCAACATCCAGGGCTTTGTGCCGCACCTGGGCGAGAATAAAGTCCTGGAGGATTACTGGACCAGTGTCGAGCTGGCCGGTAGGACGTATGTGCCCGAGTGGGGTCGGGTCGTCAGGGTGAGTCATAAACTGTCCAGACCGGCTTTTACTGACCCGTGGCACAGTTTGAGCTCGAAGAGGACGTGTTCTGGAGCAACGACTCGAAGAGCTTTGAGTGGGTGTTTGGCCAGCAAAGGCAGTTCCACCTCGTGCGTCCCTTTGACAATGCGCGCGTCACTGCTGGCGGCGTGGGTGAGAACGTCGGTGCACGCGCCCTCGGTTGGCTCGCCGCCAAGCTTGGGTGGCAGATGGCCTTTGGGAGGTAAGGGGATTGGATATTGATCATGCGGTTACATGCCATGATACAAAGGTGCGGTGCTACAGCCCATGACCGAACGCTACGTACTTGTACAAATGATTATTACTGTGGGGGAGAGAACCACTGCGTTTGCGTCTGCGCCTGCGCCTGGGCCCGCTCCTGCTGCTGCTGCCACTTGAGTCTCAATTCTTCCTGTGCAGCCAGCTCTTCAGCCTCGTGCGGAGCCTGCTGTTGTGCAAGAGCAAGTTGCTGCGGAGTGAGAAGGGTTTGATTCCCCGGCGTGGTTGACCCAGGAGTCCCCGAGCCGCCAACCATCTGGTCCCAGGAGGTAACATTGGTATTGGGCAAGCTCATCTGGTTCTGCTGAAATGTCGCCTGGGGTTGCTGCGGCTGCTGTTGTCGTTTCTGTTGACTGTACTGGTGGAGGTTGTCCAACGTCAGTTTCTGCTTGACTGGATCCATGTCGTGCAAATTCCGCTTGGCATTGTCGTTGAGACCGTTGTAGGTCTGCAGCTGTTCAGACGAGAGGCTTGAGGCGAACAACTGCTGAGCATACGTCGGGACAAAGGGAGCGTCGGGGCTGTTGATGGAAGGGCTACTGGTGCTGCTGCCCGGGGTGCGTTGGGCACTGGCACTGGCACTGGCGGTGATGGCCGCGATAACGTCTTGACGGAGCTTGGGTCGTTCGTGTTCCAGAAGCTGGTTCACCGAGGCGTGTACGGCATTGAGCATCGAGGTACGCTCCTTATCCAACAGCTGCCTAACCTGTTTGCCGATAGTGTCCCCGAGTGCGGTGAACATTTCCTTCTTCATGACCTCCAGCTGGCCTGTGAAATGGCCACTGATGCGCGCTTCAAAGTCGTCATGGGTGGCAGCGGGTGGAGCCCCATTGGAGGCCGTGACGAGGGCGGAGCTGTTGTGTGCAAGCCCATTCCTGATTTCCTGGACGTCCTCCTGAAGCTTGGAAACGTTGGACTTGAGCTCATTGATCGTGTTGATCGCACGCTGCGCGAGAGAGCCTGTACCGGGCGTGCTCGGCGACATGGTGCTACCGTCGGCAACAGTAGACTGAACCGGGGAAGCGGTTCCAGGTGGAGCAGCCGATGCGGCGGTGTCAGTCGTCAAGCCCAACGCGCTGGCTGCACCGGACGACGACTCGGGCCGGACGACGAGCTCGCCGGCGTTACGGCAGTAGCGCGCTTCCCGCTTGGCAAGAATCGACTTGTACTGCTTGGCAACGGCCGTTGCTTCGGTGGCCATCTCCTCGTACCTCTCCACCATCTCGGCCGTCTCAATGTCTCGATCCGCAACCATGTTCTCAAAGTCGTCGACCTGGTTGATGACGTTTGCGACTTGGTCCTCGACGGCCTCCAGTCGATCCAGGACACTTTCGAGGAGCGCGCGCGCACGTCCTCGCTTCGAGCCCGGCGACTTGCTTTCCGGTGCAGGAGTGTCGTCGTCTTCGACAGCTACCGCCATCTCGACATCATTGTTCACCTCAACTTCAAGTGGGGGGCTGGGAGGGGGTGGTGGGGCGGGTTGGGACGGTGGTGGCGGGGTCGGGGAATCGATCTGCTCGGCCTTGCCCTTGCCCTTGCTGTCGACGGTCTGTGCCGCGCGGACGTTAACATATCCGTCTTCAATCTTGGCAATACGGTCGCGTAAAGCCTCGAGCTGGAGGGCATCCACATTGCCTTCGCGAGCGCCTGGACGTGACAGGGCACGCTGGATGAGTTCGACAAACGTGTCCTGTAGCGCAGTCGTCTCGGCGTGAAGGCCTCGCTCTGCAATGTCGACTTTGCGCAGTGCGTCTGCGAGGGCCGCATCGTTGGCGTTGAAGCCTTCTAGGCGGTAAAGTGCACGAGTCGCCAGCTCGCGCTTCGAGGTGCCAATCAATACGGACTGCAGTGTTCTGAAATGTCAGCAGGTGTGGCCATACACGACACGGAGATGCCATAGACCTCACCTGGTAAACGCGTCCAAGGTCTTGAACACGCCAGTGTCATGGTTGGGACGCGGCGACCCAGATCGAGAACGCGGCCAGGGCCCCCCACTGCTGTCCGAGTAGTTGGGTCTGAGGTCGTGATCGCGCGAGTCATAACCCGAGTCTCGTCGGTCGTATGGGTATCGTACAGGCGGGGGCGAGCTGCGCCGTGTTTGGAGAGCAGGACGGCGGTCATACGATGGTCCTCCGCGATCACGGTCCGGCGGTGAGCGCGAGCGCCCCGCTCCACGACCATACCGCCCTCCAGGTCCATCGGCGACGGAGGTTGAGCCGTTGGAGGAGGGTCGGGGCGGTAAGGTATTGCTCATCCGGTCGCTCGAGTTGAAGCCCGCGTGTGGCCGCCAGTCGGACATTGGAATATTATATCGTCCTCGCGCAGAACATTTACCGGGAGTGCGCGCAGCTGGCCACCCATGTGTGATGGCGGTAGAGATGTTGTAAACAGAAGATGCGGATGATGTGCGAGGGACGCAAGAGTCGCTTTGGCGTGGGATAAATATACTTCCGCTCTCGGTGGCAACTCGCACCAATACACTGCAGATTATGGTCGCCCTCGGAAGGCAACCTACCTTGCAAGTGCATTCTCCCAGCTGTGTAGACGGGTCTGAAAGATAAATACACACACACATGTCCCTTGCCGTGGCTTGCCACTCCAGGTCAGAGATGCATTAGGCGATCAACGAGTCGCCAGTTGTGGTCTGTGGCAGGTGCTATTTTCCTGTTTTCTGTCCATTTCTGAGGTACAGTCCGTCGCAGGCATTCCTTGACTCCCACATATATCTATTTCTTACTGTGTGACCTTTACTGAGAGCCCACACACGCCTCAGCTCCCGGCAGAAGCAGACAAGCCTGTGTGGGACGTCTGGTGATCTTGAGGCCAACAGACAAATATCATCGGCGAGATGGCCGAGCGGTCTAAGGCGCTGTGTTAAGGTTTTCTTCTGTTTCTTTCAGAAGTTCATCCGCAGTCTTCGGACGTGGGTTCGAATCCCACTCTCGTCAGCAGAGTATTCAGTTACTCCCAAGCCAACTTTTTTGAGGTTCGTAGAACGATTGGGGGAGGTGTGGACGAAGATCGGAGGTGTTGATGTCGTGTGGCACCAATCCGCTTGTATCCGTCCAGTTTGTTGGGCTCCCTATGTCTACTTCTTCATCCTGGCTCTACTACTTCTACTTGGACATGTCGAAGACGGTCTTGGCAACCTTGCCCTGCTCAAAGAGCTTGTAGTACTCTGGAGCCTCGTCGAGGTCGACCTTGTTCTCCACAAAGCTCTTGAACAGCTCAAGGTTGTCTTTCAGGACATTGAGTGCCGCGGGGAAGAAGGTGCGGACCGAGCAGCGGCCAAACTGCATGCGGACATTCTTGTCGTAAAGAATGTTGCCGTCGATAGTGACGTTACGGGTGTGGACGCCGACGCTCGAGACGGCACCGTAAGGGCGTACGAGGGACAGCGCGTCCAGGACGGCCGACTCGTGGCCCACGACCTCGAGCACGGCGTCGGCTCCGCGGCCGTTGGTGACCTTGAGGATCTCCTCGCGCAGCTGAGCAAGAGGAAGAGCAACGGCGCCGTGCTTCTCCGCCAGGGCGAGACGGGACTCGTGCAGGTCGGTAGCGTAGACAGTCTCGAACAGCGAGCGAGCGGACGAGATGGCGCAGAGTCCCACAGGGCCACAGCCGATCACGACGGCGACTCCCTTCTTGGGAACAGTGCCGGCCTCGGCATCCTTGAGCGTCCACGCGTCAACAAGGGGGTCGTCCAGCAGGCGGCGCGCGTTCATGGCCGCGCTGTATCCGGTGGGCAAGATGTCGGTCATGAGGAGTGCGACCTCCTCGGGCAACTCGGGGGGAAAGTTGAACAGCGTCGCGTCGGCGAGCGGCATGCGGAAGTATTCGGCCTGGCCACCAGTGAGACACTTGTTCTGCTCACAGCGCGAAGTGTAGCCCTGGTCACAGTAGAAGCAGCTGCCGCAGCTGACCGAGAATGGCGCCATGACAATGTCTCCGGGCGTGAAGTTGGCAACGGCCGAGCCAGCCTCGACGATCGTGCCGATAACCTCGTGGCCCATGACATAGCCCGAACCGTCCTCGTGGCCGCGGTACGCGTGCAGGTCAGAGCCTGAGGGGTGTCAGTGTGGGCCGGTGACCATCCTGGAACCGAGCTGCAGACTCACCACAGAGGCCGGCGAGGTGGACCTTGATCACCACATCCGTGTCCTTCTCGCACTTGGGAACGGGAACCTGCTTGACCTTGACGTCGAAGGGGCCGTCAATGACGACTGCGCGCATAGTCTTGGGGACGGGGGCCATCTTGAATCACAAGCGATGAGAGGGTGTGAGCGAAAGAGTAGGGGTTGGAAATGGAGAGAGCAAGACCGCCGATACAAAGTGTGGAGGTCGTTTAACCGCCCCCAGCCTGGCGTCACCGGTGCCTGAAGCCGGAGGTGGGCGACAAGGCGACGGACGGTGTTATGAACGGAGCAGGCCGACAGGCGCGCGCATGTCGGCGCAGATGGACGGGAGAGTGGCTAGCGCAGGCTACAGGAGGTTGGCCAGGAGGAAGCAGCTTTAGTCAGGAGCGACATACTGTAGACCAGCGGTTGCACCAGCGCAGGCCGGACGAGCATCGACAGGTGGGCAGTAAAAAGTAACATGGAATATCATCACTACAACAAGCAATACAACCGCGCAACACCTTCACGTCGCCTAGACAGCCTGTATCTTGTCAGCGCCATCCTCCAAGTCAAATCGAGAAATGGGGGTAGGGGATAGGTGGATCAGAATAGGTCGATGGTATAATCTACGTCCGAAGACTAAGCAACAGCCTTCTAGTTGATATTGTTTTGGTCGATAATCATCACAGTAGGATAAAGAGAACTTTCTCCAGGCCACGACGCCAGCCCAGGTATCAGTAGTCACGAAGGACTCCCGAGACCAAAGACGACGCCGTGACTGGGAAGAGAGCTCTAGCGGGCAGAGCGAGGACGCGCACACAGTGTGCGAGTCGCGCACTCGTTCGGAGGAGAAGTCTTGGAGATATACTCACGTTGTGGGGTGCATGGCGCGCATGTGCAGCCATGGAGAGGAACTGTATGAATGAGAAAGAAAACGCGCCGACGTTTTTTTTTCAAGCAGAGGGACTCTGGTGCTCGCCCCAAGTCTCCCACGGTAGAAAACTTGGTATCTCCCCCAGGTCACACCCAGACCTTCCCCAGCGACGGTGCCTACAGGACAGAGACGTAAGCTGGATACCATTGCTGGGGTCATTGAGGATAGTTGACATGAGAACCATTGAGTAGTGCACACGCGTGGTGCCCACGACACGCACTTGGGACATCACCTGTCTTCCATCTGCTTACTTGGCGCCATTTACGCCTTGCCCCTTCGGTGTTTTGGCACAACAAGATACAACATACGCTCCTCTATCAGCTCATGCCTCTTATGGGCCTCCTCCTCGATCATGCGGGCCACCAAGGGCCTCAGAAGACAGGCCCCAGAACCGCCCGCTGAGCCAAATCTACTGAACATCAGGACACCGTTGGTGAAACGGTATCATGCGTCGTTGCCATCGACGCGGCAGGGGTTCGACTCCCTTACGGTGTAACTTTTGCTCTCCTGGACACCTGGAGACGTGCAGCAATGCCCCAAAGACAAGTTCCAAAGGTCGTTGATGAGATGGACGTGTGGCGGTAATGTAGACCGGCGATTTCCATCCGGCAATCAAAGATCGGCCTTCGGTATTTTACCACTAGCTTGCGATGGACGACACTTGACTTTCCTTTTGCGTCACTCGGTTGACGCTATTGTCACTCTGTCTCGGAGCTGCGACGCATGCATTAGAGAGAGGGCCGGTCGTATCTCGGATTCGTGTTTCCACTTTCCGTCACGCAGAGGTGCTTGGCAAGATGACCGCGGAGGTACCAACTGGCTCTTGCAACCACATTGCCTCGTGTGCAGATACGGCATCCGTGGTCGTTGGCTTCTTGTCCCTGGGAACTGCTGGATGACAATGACCTCGGCCTCCTCCCCCACTTGCAACGTCGTGTTCTGCGGCATCGCTTTCGGCTGTCACATGACGTTTAGCGGCATTCGGCTTCACCCGCCAACTGCCCACCGGTGCCCCTCGGCCCGTTAAGAGCCCGATGGTTCATCCACCTCCAGCTCAGCTCTCGCTCTCCCGCACAACACACTCTTACACTCTCCCCCCATCTCTCCTTACATCATGACTGGAAACGCCCCTCGTGTTGCCCTCGTTACTGGCGCTGGCTCTGGCTTTGGCCGTGGCATTGCCTACAAGTTCGCCAAGGACGGCGTCGCCGTCGTGGTTGCCGATATCGTGAGCGCTTACACCGCGGTTAACTCGGCCCACTGACACATCCAGGTCGACAAGGCGGGCCAGGAGACTGTGGATGCCATCACCTCCAAAGGCGGCAAGGCCATCTACGTGCACTGCGACGTGACCAAGCGGGAGGACTGGGACGCTGCGCTGGCGGCGACCGAGCAGGCGTTTGGCGGCATCAACTTTGTGATCAACAATGCTGGGTGGACGTACCAGTCCAAACCGGTGCTGCAGACCACGGACAAGGACTTTGACCTGTGCATCGACGTCAACCTCAAGTCCATCTTCCACTCGGTGCACGTCATGCTTCCGGCCTTCCGCCGCACGCGTGAAAAGGGTGGGCCAGCCGTCATGGTCAACGTGGCGTCGACGGGTGCGTGTAACTGTGTTGAGAACACAACGAGCAGTGTGCTGAAACTGCCAACAGCCGGTATTATGGGCAGGCCCGGGCTGTCGTGGTACTGTGCCTCCAAGGCGGCCGTCATTAGCGTCACCAAGAACCTCTCGATTGAGTTTGGCGCAGAGCAAATCGTGAGTGTTTCCAGTGATAAAACACTTGTCCCGTCTGGCTCCACTCCACACTGTCGCACTTGAAGCCTCTGATGTGCTTCTATGCGACCATAATGGAACCACTGCGTATACCTGATTCTGGTTCCTGTCGAGCGTCCGCAAAGGACAATCCCACAGCTCGACATTTGCTCACTCGCCCCTGTTTCCTTTCCCCACCAGCTAACACCCCCCCTCACAGCGGTTCAACGCCATCTGCCCCGTCATCGGCAACACGGGCCTCAAGTCCAAGTTTGTCGGCGAGCTTCCGGAAGAGGCCTTCCTCAAGACCATCCCACTCGGCCGCTGCTCCGAGCCCGAGGGTGAGTGTCGCGTACCACGGCCACAGTCACGGCCGTGTGGCGTAAGGCGTAAGGCGTAAAGTAAGCGCTGACGGCCACACCCCCGCCCGCAGACATTGCCAACTCGACGTGTTTCCTGTGTACCGACGAGGCGAGCTTCCTCACGGGCGTCGCGCTCCCAGTGGACGGCGGCCGTCTTGCGTGATGCCCCCTTTTTCTTTGGTCAGAAGTAGTAGAATGTCAATGGTTGCAAGGAACACGGGGTCAGACGTGTAGTGGCAAGATGGTATCTATTCCAAGTACTTTGTCAGTTCCCAGGCTTTCTACCACTGGCCACAGACGGCAGGTGATATCAGTCAGTCAACTGACGTTGTTCCCCTTCGTGCTCTAGCCTTGGTGCCAAGGACAAGGGGGCAAGGGCAGACAGAAGACCCCCCCCCCCCCCCCAACACACATGGCCGAGTGTCAACCGCCACTTGCAGATGTGTTTACGTATGTAATGTATGACGAGAACACCGTATGGCACCCGTTGGGGCCACCGGCCAAACCCTCAAGCCGTAGCACGCACCCATGTAATGGTATTTCGTCAACGAGCGGCGTGGCGGCGGCGCACCACGCGCACTCCAAGGATCCCAAGCTCGCTACGAGATCCTCACGAATGACCCTTGCACCAGGCCACAGGCCACAGGGCGGAGCGCGATGTGCAGAAGAACCAAAACAATGGGAACCAAACAGCCTCAGCCCAGCCCAGTCCGTCGAGCAAGCAGACACGAGCGAGCGAGCAAGTCCGTTAACTGGACGCAGGCGCCAGTTTTGCCAAAAAGTCTGTTTCGTCATCATAATAAAATAAAAAAGAGGTGTCTTTGACATCATCACAGACCCGGGCTCGTGCCCCGCACGAGCCGTCACTACACAAGATAAAATTTGGGAGATTGGGTTTTTACGTCTGATCGGCAATGGACAGAGATGGATGGAGATGGAGGAGGGGGATGGGGGGAGGGCCTAGCGTGAGATTGGTGGTGGTGGTGGGGTGAAACAACGTGGCGGGGTTGGGGTTGGGGGTATGGGTTGGGTGGGTTGGGTAGCCACAATGTTCGTTTGTTCAGTATTCTTCCTCCTCCTCTTCTTCGCCGACTGTGAAAACGGTTCCGTCAGCTCGGCGACAGTGCAAGCAAGACACGCGGGCGCGCTGCTACTTACCAAAGTGCAACGGCTCGCCGTGCTTGTACCGTGCCGGACTGGGCTCGCGGCCGGGCGTCAGGTCGAAGATGGGTGGGGGGTGCAGGTCGTCCTCGATGTTGTACGCGCTGTTGGTGCGTTCCGAGGCATACGTCCGCTCAATGTACGAGTCGCGCTCCATTCCGCCGTACGCATCACCGTCGGAGACCTCTGTAAAGTCGGTGGCGCGGCTGTCGCGAAAATCCTCCCCGTGCGGGGTGGTGGTGGCGGCGTCTCGGCTGTCCCTGCTGTCCCTGCTGTCCCGGTAATGGTCGACAATGGAGAAGATGGCATCGCGCTCGCCGAGGTTGCGCGGCTGCGGGGCGTGCACGATGCCGTCGTACGCGCTGGCGGTCGAGTCGCGCAGTGGCGGCTGCGGGGTGTGGACGTCGCGCGGCGACCCTGGGGGCGAGGGGGCAGCTCGCCTGCGCATCGAAATCGAGTCGGACGGCTGGACCGACTCGCCAGTGGTGGCTGCCGAGCCGGCCGTGTGCTGCGACGACCCGTCGTACACCGACGAGCTTGCTGCCTGCGACGAGTACGACTGCGAGTACGAGTTGCTGCTGTCGACGGCATTGTGCTCAAAGTCGGGCTCGGTGCCGGTGCCGTCGTCCAGCTCAGAGCGGTCGCCGGGGAAGTCGCGCTCCGAAGACGAGAGGAGGCCCAGTTGGACTGGAGGTTGCAGGCCCAGACCCGTGCCGGCCGCGGGACCCGACTTGTCCTCCAGGTTGTTGAGGGACCCAAAGCGCGTGTTGGTCGGGGTAACGTCGTCGCTCTCAGAGCGCGAGGCAGGAGGCGTGGGACCACGGTCGGTCATTTTGGGAGGAACGGGGAGGTTGTTCTTCTTCTGGGGAGGCGACGCTACGACCTCGAGGCCCTTCTGGTTGGCGTCCATCTTGCGCGCGCCGTTGGCGATGAGAATGTCCATCCACTTTTCCTCGCCGCCGTCCTGGGGGCTGCTGTTTCCTGAGCTCAGCCCACTCGCAGACTGGATCTCAAAATCCATCGACACCTCGCGCTGCTTCTTGGCCTTTTCACGCTGGTCGGTGCCGGACTTTACGCGCCGAATCGACTTTAAAAAACTCGGCTTGCCGTTCCCAAGCTTGCCGTGCTCGTCGGCGACGCGCTCAGACAAGGGGGGTCCTAGGGGGCTGGCAGTGGCCGACTTTGACATGGCCGTGGGCTGCTTGGGCGTGCGCGACGAAGAGCTGCCGAGCATGGAGGGACTGGAGGGGAGGCTCGCAGTGCCCGTCTTGGGCTTGTTCTGTGCGTCGCCCAGAGACTGCCAGAGCGACGACGAGACAGACTGGTCGGACCGAGGGAGGCTAATCTTCTTGGCGGTCGTGCGCGACAGCATCTTGTCAAAGTCGTCTCGTGGGGTAAAAGGCTGAGGCGGGAGGGCTTTGTTCTTCTTCTTGGTGCTGAAGAGCTTGTGCAGTGACTTTTTGCGCTTGGGATCGGCAATGGCCATCTGGTAGTCGAGCGGGACATACTCTTCAAAGAGGAAACACAGCTCCGAGGTGCGTGGGTCCACGGACGGGTGCGCGGCGTCCTGCTCGTCGGGACGGCCCGGGCGGGCCTTGTACTCGATAATGGCCCACGACGAGCGCTTGAAAGTGAGTTCTGCGCGGTCCATCCAGCCGGTGCCCATCATAAAGTCGGCCCAGCAGTCGATAAAGGCCTCCTCAATGTAGACGCGTCCGGACGCGTCGGCGCCCTCATAGGACGCTGCGGGTCCCGTACGAGGGGTCGTGTCGTGGTTGAAGGGCGTGGCCTCCTTCTGGGTCTTTTCCAGTCGGCGGCGAAGCTCGTCGCGCTCCTTGGGCCACTCGGTGATGGATGTCTGGACGGGCGCCGAAAACGTCAACGAGGCAGTGAGGAATGGCTCGGTACGGGTAAAGCCGCCGTCGGCAAACTGGCCCCAGTCCATGGTCTGGCGGCGCTCGGTGACGCTCTGCTTTGCGCTCTCGTTCAGGTCAAACTGGAGACGCTTGTTGATGTCGACATGCTCGCCTTCCTCTTTGCTGCGCGACGACGTGACGGTGCTTTGCCGCGGGGCAGAGTCAAAGCCACACTCCTCAAACGCGCTCCAGTGCTTGCCTGCCAGACTCGCGTACTTGCCGACCTCGCCTTCCTCCTCTGGCTTGCCCGAGCCGCTTTGCTTTGCTGGTGCCCCATAGACAATCTTTTCGTCCAGTCCGCGGGACGTGGGGAGCGGGAGCTGCTCCTTGACGGCCATCTTGCGGCGCCACGAAGAGGAAAACTTTGGTCGTGAAGCCTCGCCGCGACGCTGCTTTAATGTCACACGGTCCCACGCAGGCCAGCCAGGCATGTCGTCGACCCACGTCTCGGCGTTGACAATGAGGTCGCGCGAGTAGGCGCGGACGCTACGTGTTGCGACCTCGCACTTGACGACGCGGGCGGCGCGGCGCGGTCGGCCGCGGGACAGGTCAATGTCGGACGCGATCATGGACGGGTAGCCGTTCACCCATTCCTGGAGACGGAAGGGGAGGTCGGTCAGGCCGAGGTTGTCGCGGCCGCCCGACGAACGGATAAAGGCAAGGAACATGTGCTCGGTGGCGGACGCGGCGCGCACAAACGCCGTGTGCGCCTGGAGGCACGGGACAGAGGTGGGAACGTCAAAGATAAGGGGTGCAAAGAACGAGGCCAAGGCGTGTGGCGTGAGGCCCGAGTTGTGCGAGTGCGCTGCAAAGCGCGACATGAGGGCAAACAGCGGCTGGATAATGTAGTGGTAGACATCGGCAGGCAAAATCGACGCCAGGTTCGGGAACGCGTCCAGTGGATACTTTGAGGCTACGCTGTTAGCTGTGCCTTTGTTGTGTGTCTGCTCACCCCTTTCACGTCCTCTCCATTCTTCGTACATCTCCCAGTCCATACAACCATGGCAGATTTCGCGTGTCGGCTCCCGCACGCGCGTCATGCGGCTCAGCGCCCAGCGGAGGAGCCACGCGAGCTCCTGGTCGCTTGCAAACGTCACGTCCTGTGCAAACGTCGTCGCAGACGTCTTGGTCGGGGTGCGCGACGAGGTGCGCACAGTGCCGAGGAAGGTCTGGATGAGCATCTTCATGCGCGTCCCGTTCAGCTCGAGGCTCTGGTTGGAGAACAGAAGCGGCGTGTCGAGTGCTGCGAGGCCCGTGTCAGCTGCGCGCGTCCGGACTTTACACGGTGGCTTCCCCCCCACTTACATCGCTTGGCCAGCTCGGCACCCACGTCGCGAATGACGCGTGCGACCTCGTCCAGGCCCAGCACGACGTTCCGGCCCGCGCCACCGAGGAAACCATACTGCCGGAGCTCGTCGATGCCAACGGTGGACATGTTGTCGTTTGACATGAACGACTGTGCGCTAAGAGGGACGGTGGTGGAGAGGAACGCAAACGTCTGCGGGGCGAGGGACACGGCCGATGCGCTCGCTGCTGGGCCCACTGTGTCTGGTGAGCCTGGCAGCGAGCCACGCTTTTGTTGCGAGATTCTGTTGCAGCGTGTCAATAGGAACAGTTGGACGCACGCGCGACACAAGCTCACGTAGGGACGGTGCCAAACTCGCCGACATGAGACGGCGCGGGAGCGGAGCCGGAGCCGTTCCCGTTCCATGTCTTTGCGAGGCCGACGATACGACGGTCCGAGCCGTGTGGGTTAGTGACGAGGACCGCGGGGGCGCGGTCCTTCTTTGGTGGTTGGTGTGAGCGGGAGAAGAGCGAGGGCATGGCGCGCGCTTGGGGGTGGTCACCAGGAGGGTGTCGAGGATGACGGACGTGGCCTATGCTTGCTCGCTAGGAGATGAGGAAGGAGAGTGTGGGTGTGAAGAGAGTTCGTTGGGTGTCGTGTCCGAGAAGCAGCAAGGCGGCGTAAAGGTGATGTGGATGTGTGTGTGAGGGTGAGGAAGGAGGGGAAGGGGGTAGGGGAGGGGAGGGGAGGGGAACACGCCCGACACGCGCGCCAGCCGTTGATGCAGTGCTGATGTGGGTGGCAAGCTGGGTGATGGCGTGTGGGGCGGTGGTGTAGCTGGGTCGTCGGCCAGCGATGTGCGTGTGATGTAAGGGAAACGTGTAGAGAATGAAGAGCAGGCGATGACAAGTGAAAGGTGGGAAGTTGGGGGGAGAGAGAGACAGACAGACAGCGAGGACAGAGCTCAGCGACGTGCGTGTGTTGAGTGACCCCGTGTTACCCGTGGCAAGAGAGGCCAACAGAGGTACAGAGCGAAGAACGAGGGGTGTGGGAGAGCGCTCGGACCCAAGGGAGAGAGGGATGGAACGGGCCTCTGTTGAGGATCGAGCGCGCGCGCGCGGGGCGGCGGCGGCGGGACGGCGGCTGGGCTGGCTGGCTGGCTGGCGTGTGTGGGGGCACGCGCGTATAGGGGGGAGAGAGATAATGGGATGTATGACTGGCAGGCAGTCAGGTCGTTGTGGATGATGCCTGGCCTCGACGCAATGAGCGATGGTGGCAGCAAGAGGCAGCAGGGTGTGGGTCGTGTCGTGTGCGTGCGTGCAAGGAGAGGGAAGGAAACGAATTGTGTGTGTGTGGACGATGACCACGACGACGACGAGAACGATGGGGGGGGGGGAATGTGGATGGCAGAGAGACAGAGAGAGAGAGCGTCCCCGTGCGTTGCACGCGTGCGCGCGCGCGTGCACTGTGGGATGGGTTTTGCATCTCGGTGGGTGGCCCGCCCGCCCCGCCGCCACAGCCTGGCCCACACACCTCTCTGCGTCCCGCTGCCGTGGCCCTCCCGCGGGAGACGCTGCCTCGTATATTGCATGCACATTGTCCTTTTTGGCACTCTGTGCCCCTGTATGCATGCATGCGTGCACCACCACCACCACCACAGAGACGTACAGAGACAGGCCCGTTGCAGCCCAAGACGGTGTCCAAAAAAACCACACACAGAGTGGTCGATTTAAACCTGAAACGCCATTTCTTTATCCTGGCCGTCCTGGGCAGATGTCTTTCTTTCTCTCTTTCCTGGCCGCCACACGCTCTCTCGTCGGGCTGAAACCCGCGGGTGCAGTGGACTATATATCTGCCAGCTGCCAGCTCGTCGCTTGCACTTGCACTAGACGGCTCTCAACCGGCTCTCTACACCTGACACACCTGTTGGCCCACTGCGCCAAGCATTATAAGTGGACACGAAAACGACACCCACACCACTGGCCACTGGCCACTGGGGGGGGCCAGCGCGCGCCAATTCGCAACCCCCTGCTGTGTCCGGGCCGGCGTCCGCGCCTGACCACCCCCTGGCATTCCCCTCTTGATCGAGACACGCGTCTTCCCTCTTTCCTCTATTCCTCTTTTCGTATCTCTCTCTCTCTCGCATCCCATATCGCCCATCGCCCATCCCACAATCCTCCTCCCCGCTCGTGTACATGCAAAATCATCTTTTCTTCTTGTTCACATTCCATGTCCTCCAGCATTCATATACAATTCAGCACAAGGCCTTGTCCGCTTGCCGGCCCCCAGCGGGGTCCCAGCAACATTCCTGCACTAGACCAGACCCGACCCCACCCAGCAGGTCCCACCCGCGGTCCGGGTTGACGGGCGCCACAGCCACCCGTGTCTTGCACCGAGCCAACGCGCCAGCTGCACGCTGCACGCTCTTTCCGGGCGGTTCTCTGCTGGCTGCTGGACGTCGGGCGAGCAAAACCCTTTTGCCTGCCCCCCCGTGGCGTCCAGCGACCCTCGTGCCCAAGATCCTGGGTCCTGGGTTTCCTGCATCCTGGTCCCCCCCATTACTGCCTTGGCATTCATGCTCCATGCTCGGAGAGGTCCAGTTCTGGCCCAATGGGCTCACTCCCCTCCCCCCTTCCCCCCTTGGAATCTCGCTTCTGGCCAGTTTGGTGGATGCACGGGCTGTCGTGCAGATCGCAATAGCTCACATCGCGAATGGGAGAATGGACTGGCACAGGGGAAGAGGAAACGGCAAGGCGAGGCGAGGCAAAACGAACAACGGCGGTGCTGCGTTTTTTACGTTTTGGTCAAAGATCAGAGCTGTCAGGACAAGACGGCCCGGCCCCCCACACCCACTTGCCGGGTAGAGCAATAGGGCTCTTTTTTTGCGCGTTCCAGACATCCATCTCGCAGTCGCAGTCAAGCTGCAGCCAGGAGCAAAAGATAGCTCGACCAGAGGTCTAGCCGTAGAAACCTGACCCGGCTGACGACTCTGTATGGGTCGATTTTGAACGTAAACAAACTGAATCGCCACAAACGGCATAACGGAGCATGCAGGCCTAGGTCGTACAGGACGGCAGCATGTCATGCCCATGCATACACGCACACGTTCGGATACAGCACCATCAGCGCAACCCCCCCCCCCCCCCCCCCCCCCCCCCGCCCCAAACGCCAACAGCAACCGGGACAGGTCATCTGACCATCTGACCGCACCAAACCAGCACAATGCCAGCACAAAACAAAACCGCGGCGGAACGCGTCGTCGTCGTCGTCGGTCGACGCGACGCGACTTGTCGCGTCCCACGGGCCACGGGACAGTCGCGCAAACGCGGACGGCCAACCCAAAACCAAAACCCTCTTCCATGCGTCCATGCACCCATGCATCCGTCCCGCGTCCGGGCCTGCAGCCAGCAGCCTGCAGCCTGCTTCCTGGTACGGCACGGGTACGGTTACAGTGCACGGACCCACGGTGTGCGGAGTGGGGTGCCGGGCAGGCAGGTCCGGCGGGTGTGGCCGGTGTGGCAGAGGGAGGTGGGTAGGAGGTTGGGGGTCGGGCGTGAACCCGCCGGCTGTGGCCGACGCCATTGCCGTTGTGTCAACCAAGGTCAAGGCTGAGAGGCAGGCTGAGGACGAGCGCGCTCACGCGACGACGCGAGGCGACGGCGCGACGGGCTCGCGACGCGTTTTGCGACATTGGGGTACGTTGGTGGGTGCGTGCAGAGCGACATGTTGGGGCTGGCTGTACGGGCGTGGCAATGGGCACATCAAGCTGGTGAGCCCAATGTGGCAAAGAGTACTCTGAGTGGAGGCTAGTGATACTGCCTGCGTTCCCCGTCTACCTAGTTCTGCTCGATGTGTGCGGTCATGCCTCGGCGAGGTCTACGGCTGCCTGGATCTTGACCATGACGCACTTGACGCGCATATACCCCGTGTCTCATTGCGACGCGGGTGCCGTTTGCCACCTGTGGGATGACGGCAGACGCGGTAGGTTCCACTACGACGGGCGGATGGTGCTACATACAGTACCTCTGTCATTCCGTGCAGCTGAGAGGTAGCAGACGCAGTCGCCGTACCCCGCCGCCACCTCTGGATGCGGAACGACCGTTGATGCACAAGAGGGCACCACGGGCCAAGGTGTGGTTGCTGATGCTGGATATCACTGACACCACCCGCCCGCTGGCCTCTGGCCGCTGGCGCGAGACCCAAGTCTTGGAAACGCACTGTGTCGCGAGGTAAAGCATTTTATGAATTATGCGCCTCGAGTCGTATACGTTTGCTCTAGCAGTGCTGGTTTATTGTTTTGACATTGCCCCGCGGCGCCGCGGCACTCTCGTACTCTCCACAGCCGGCTCACGCCCAGTCAGACATCAGAGATCACAGTCACAGATCAGAGAACCCCCCTCCGGGGGACCGACACGGAAATCCACACGCACCCACACCCAGCTACTGCAGCCAGGTATAGGCTATACAGCAGACAGCAGACATCTCTACGGCCGCGACGCAGCTCACACAGTCCACGGGCGCGGGTCCCCGGTTTACGGGCCACGGGTGCACCGCGCTGTCCGCGGTGTGTGTGTTCTCCAGGCATGGTCACACTGTAGACGGAGACGCCGACATGGACTTTTTGACTCGACGACATCGGCCTCGGCTGCCCGTGGCCATACAGAGAGGAACAATGGCGGCCTGTTCGACGACAATGGCCGTGATCGGAGAACCGGGGCAAGGCGAAGGATGCCGAAGTGTTGAGCGGGGAGTGGACGCGCCCCGGACGGCTTCGTGCGTGCTCGGGATATCTGGATATCACTCAGTAAAGCAAAGCTGCCCGCTGTGCGATGGAAACATTGACGGCAGGGGACTTTGCGCGTACGCGCACGCGGACGATGGGGCTCGCTTCGTTGTCGGCCACGGGCGGTCGGGCGACACGGCTGACATGACTCATGACTTGGTCTGCGGCCGGGGGGGGGGGGGGGGAGGGGGGGGGGGAGACAGGACAGCGGTAGAGAACAAAACAACAACAACAAAACAACTGTAAAAGGCCAACTGCTTCATTGTTGTCGTGGATGGGTTATGATGACGATCGTGCTGGGCGTGCGCGGATTTCGGCGTGTCCCGCCAATCCCGCTTGGGTGAACGGATATACAGACATCCATCCTTGCGGCCGTTTGGCGACGTACGCGACCGCCCGCGGCTGGAAAGCACGCAATGTCCGAGAAGAGCGCTCTGCTGCATGCTCTGGATGCTCTGGATGCTCTGGCTGTGGCCGGCGGCGGGCAGTGTCGGCGCTCACCGACGGGGGTTCTGGGCTGCGGGCCTGCTGGCCTGCTGGACGACGAGCGACACGCTTTGCAGACGGCTTGGCCGCCGGCGGCACCGCGGAGGAGAGGGGGGACCCCGACGGGCGCCGTCCACCGAAGGGGGGGCGCCGGGCATGCCGGACTTGCTGGTGTTCTGTTGTCGATGATTCACAAGCGGCGGCCAGACAATCGGCACACAGAGACACATCTCTCAGACACACATAGAGTGCCCGCCAAGGCGAGTGTAAAAGACGGACAATGACATGAAGGCCATGACGTGGGCTCGGCACCGAGACCACAAAGGAAGCAACAACAATGTCACAGGTCACGGTCACGCTGGGTGCCTGTATGAGAAACAAAGACACCCATGGACAGTGTAGTACAGTGAGTGACAGCTGTGCATTGCCATGCAAGACTGCTACCCCATTCACCATGGGAGTCTGCCACCCCAATTCACCATGCCTGTGACCACCGAGATGGTTTCAACTGACCATGGGGCCATGACCAAGCTGCGACCGCGTCATACTGACGACACAGAAGATGCAGGTGGCGAATTCAAACTGTGAATTTGATCACGAGACTGTTGCAGGGGCTCGTGGGCGGGGTGGATGACGAAACAGCGAGTGGTGGTTGGCTGGCGATTGCGTGCACGCTGCCAGACCACCACTGCAGCTAGCGAGGAGATTGCGAGGTTCACTGCTCGCCCATGCGATGCTTTTGCTATCAGTTGGGGGGGTCGGTGTGCTCCTCCGGGAACGGGAACGACGGAACAGACCGAGAGCCTGGAGAAATCCGACGGGGTGGGCAGAGAAAGATGATTATGCTGACCGATGACGGCGTCGTGCGGGGGACGCCTGAGTCAGCCAGCCATTACTGGGGGGGTGGGGGGACAAAAATTGTTACGTAATAAAATCTCTTTTGCATATTCCCTCGGCCTTCGGGCTGCGCAGCCCAGGCAGCCTGGATGGGATCGAGGGAACGATGAGTAAAGGGGGGGAGCTTTGTTGGGAGAGGAGAGGAAGACGACGACGACGACGACGAACGAACGACGAAAACAGAAACAGCACAAGTGAGACGAATAACGATAAACGGGCACACCCACCCGCGCACGCAAGACGCAAAAGTCGGTGCCCCCCCCCCCCCGTTTCCTTCTTTGCCTTCCTCGCCTTCCCTCCACACACACCACTCTCACAAAGCACACGCCAGCGTACATCCACACACACTGCACAGTGCTTGCAAAGCGTCTACCCGTCAACCACCCAGCAAGCTACCCGCCCACCCACTGGCCACTGTCCCGAGCGACACACCAAGCCACCCGCCCGACGCCCTTTGCCATCTCGTCGTCGGAATAAGTAAAACCGGACCTGCACGGCCAGCGCACCCTCTCTCCCAGATCCCACAGCCAACCGCCCCGCCCGCTTTTTTGCCTCCACCCAACCGAGAGCTCACCCTCACCCGTTGGATCATTGTTGGTCATATCAACAGCAAAGCACCTCACCCCACCTCTTGGCATCGCCCTCACTCCCCTTGCAAAGCCAGTCGCTACATACAGCCGTGGACACCACACCACACTAGCTTGCTCGTGTTAACCGACTCAAGCACAGGCCACCCCCCCAACCACACACACGCACCACCCTCTTACCAATACAACAGCGCAAACCCCCCCGGTGACGTCCTGCGTTCTCCGACCAGAGTCGCCGCCGTCATTACCCTCCGCGCGTCCTCTCCACACCTCCCCCCTTGACCGCTGCCGCCACCATGGCCGACATTACAAAGCTGACAATCGATGTCACTGTGAGTAGCGTCAATGTCGTGGCCGCTTGGGACAAACCATCGGTGGCAACTGGCGAGGACGGCTTGCTGACAATGCAACCCAGTCCGACTACCTGTGCCCATTCTGCCTGCTTGGCATGAAGCAGCTCGAGATTGGTGAGTGCTGCTTCCTGTTGCTTCCTATATGACTTGCTGCTGGAGGCGGGGCCCACCGCGCCGCCGCCGCCGCCGCGGCTTGCTCTCGGTGCCGGGGTCTCGGACCCGGGACACGCTGGCCGTTTCATTAAGACTACAGGGGAGGAGCTCTCTTCATGCTGACGCTCCACTCCAGCCGTGGCAAAGTACCACCAGCAGTACCCCGGTGTCGAGTTCAACATCCGGCTGCACCCGTTCCAGCTGAACGGTCTCTTGACCGAGACGCCCGTGTCGCGTCGTGAATGGGGCGAGAAGAAGTTTGGCGCCGAGCGTTGGGCGGCCGTCTCTGCCAGCCTGCGCGACAAGTTCCGCGGCGTCGGCATCGAGCCCGCCACCGACAGCTACATGTCGTCGTCGCACCTCGCCCACCGCCTGACCGAGTACGCGCACGAGGTCAAGCCTGCGTCGCAGCTTGGCGTGGCCATGGACCTGTTTGCGCTGTACCACATCAACGGCACGCACCTGTCCGACAAGGCCGCGCTGGCCACGCTCGCCACCAAGCACGGCCTGTTCAAGAACCCCGACGAGGCCCGCGTGTGGCTCGACGGCCCCGGATCCGACCTCACCGTCAAAAAGGCCTACCAGCGCGCCCAGCGTAACGGCATCACGGGCGTCCCCTTCTTCGTCTTCCAGGACAAGTACGCCGCCAGCGGCGCCATGGGCGTCGACGAGTTTGTCAACATCATCACCGAGATTACAAAGCGCGAAAAGTCCTCGTCCCCACAGCCAATGGCCGTCACTGGCGACCAGTGTATCATCCAGAACCCCCAGTTGCCTGTCTAAGTAGTCCCCCGCCCCCCCTCCTTCCCCCTCCTTTTTCCTTGTCTCTAGTTTTCACGGACTCGTTTCGTGTGTTGTCTGGGCGAAACATGTGGGATCTTTTTAGTGTCTTTCTCTGTCGTAGTCGGGAGTGTAGCATCGGCCGAGTATGTTGTGGTCATCCGATGCATCTATGCGTACAACAGTGGGGCCGGTGGGGCAGGGCAGTGGAGAACGTGACGCGTGCAGGCAGTTCTTGTGCTGACAAACGCCAAAAGCCAGCCCGCAGTCGCTCGTCTAGTGGATAAAAGGCAATCTCCTCCCTCCCCCTCACACACGACGGTACAGCCTCATCCAGTACCGCGCGTTCTCGAGCTTACACGGCCAGCCAGCACCCACGCCCTCGGGGAGGCGGTACCACTTGGAGTCCTCCTTGCGTATCCGTTCCCAGCCGGGCACGGCCGACTTGCCGCCGGGGGCAGCGAGCAGCGCGTCGAGGACCATGTACACGGGCCACGTGCGGCCGTCTTTACCCAGCGAGAACTGGGCAATGTCGCTCGCGCTGTCGGCGACGAGGAGGAGGGCGCCGGGCGCAGTGGCGGCAGTGAGCGAGCGCAGGAGCGCGAGCGTGCGCGCGCGGTTCTGCGACAGCAGCTCGGTGAGCGTGAAGAAGATGGTCGTCAGGTCGGGCGAGTGGCGGAGGAACGGGAGCGGCGTGGGGGAAGTCTCGTCGTCGTCCTTGGGAGCAGGGGCCGGGGCCAGCACGTCGCACTCGATAAACTCAAACTCGGCATCGTACGCCCACCGGTCCTTGGCCGCATGGTCGATACGCGTCAGGACGTCGGACCAGTCGCCAATGTCGGCGCCGACCCAGTGCAGGCGCGGCGACTTGAGCGCCTTGCCGGCCGTGGCGAGCGCGGCGAACGCGAGCAGCTCGGAACCGGCACCGCCGCCGATGGACAGGACGTGCGTGGTGCGAGCCGAGGCCGAGGCCGCGCAGGCCTCAACCTCAACCTCACCCTCGTCCTCACCCTCGTCCTCACCCTCACCCTCACCCTCACCCTCGCTCTCGTCTCCGTCCTCCTCCCCCTCGCCGGCAAACAGCGCCCTCACATCCTTCAAGCTCGTCAACAGCTCGCGGAACGCCAGCGCGCGGCTCGGCGCCCACCGGCCCGCATACGCGTCCAGGAGCTTGGCGTCCGTGAACAGTTCGAGCCACTTGCGCTCAAACAGCAGGCCCTTGACGGTCTGCACGTCGGCGTTGAACGTCTCGGACGTGAGCGAGTTGTTCAGCGCCGTGCGGATGGCGAGCAGAACGTCCGGGTCCGTGGGCAACGCAAATGCCGACGCGGGCGGAACGGGGATGGTCTCGGCCTCGCCGGCGGCGTCGGCCTCGTTCTCGTCGTCGTCGTCCGAGCCCGACTCGTCGTCCTCGGGAATGGACGAGGCAGCAGCGGCGGCAGCAGTGTTGATGGTGCCGTCGGCGTTGCGGGCGGGCGGGTGGTGCAGCTTGCGCACGCGGCCGCCGTTCTTGGACTTGCGGGTGCGGGTGGGACCGCCAGAGCGCGAGCGGTGCGTCATGGTGTTGCTGGACGGGTGGTGGTGGTGGTGGTGGTGCTTGGTGGTCGTCTTTTGGCCGTCACAAATAATTGAGGAAGCCAGCCCGGATCGCTGGTGGAGGTAGAGGTCGATATCACGGCTATATGACGTGTGTATTATACGCTGTTGTTTAATCTAGTTTACGTAACTGTATTTGCTGTTTGCTTCCGCCCTGTCCCTCATGCCAACTGCTGCATGAGAGAGGTCTGTGGATCTGTGGCAGCGGTGGTGGCCGTAGTGGGCGGGTGAGGCCACGGCGATCGTCCCAGTCAGTCGTCTTGTCACTGGCATGTCCGACAATCCACCTCCACAATGACACTGATATGTTAAAAAAGAATTAGAATTAGTCTACAAGGGCGAAGGAGTGAGAGGGTAGAAGTCGGTTAGTTGCAAGTGGACTGGGAGGTTGAGGTTTTCTGGCTCGCACTCTTTGCGATGTGCACGAGAGTCGCTTGTTTGCCCCCTTCTGCGTTTGAGGTGTTCACGATGCCGCTCAACTGTGCCTCATGGACGAATCCCTTTTGTTCCAAGGCAGCATATCGTGACGCCGTCGTTGATGGTTTGTTTTGTCGTTTGATGCTGACGTTGGCTTCGAGCGGATATCATTTCGACCCGCCGTGCCCGGAATGGCCAAATTGGCATGGTGGGCCGTGTCCGAAAATGAGGGTACGGTAGAGAAGACCGACCGTCACATTGGTATCGGTCGAGCGTAGGCTGGGATAAAGTGGTAGAGTTGCCAGCCACGCACGGCCTATCCTCGACGAGTTCTCCAATAGGGCAGTCTTCTCCCGCAAGTTGAGTTGGTCAAAGATGTGGTCGAATCGTTCTTTGGAACGTGTCTTGACACCTGTCCCGCTGGCAGCGAATGTCCTCTCCAGGGATAACGTTTGGGAATATTGGGGAGAGAGCATGTTCGGCAACACTGGTCGCGGAAGCAGCGGCGGGAGGAGCCCAGTCGACAAATGAGAGCAGACCAACACCGCCCATGCGAAGCGATAGAGAGATGAGAATATCATCTATCTCGCCTTGATATTCGGCGGGGGGGGGGGGGGGGGGGGGAGGGGGTCTGCCTGCCTCGCGCAAGGTGTACACATCCGGTCGGAGGACCTCGTCGAACTCGCGCCATTTGTGTTGGAGGTCATCAGACCTTACAACACGCATGAGGTGGCGCGGAATCTGCTGTACACTGATGCGCAGGGCAACGAGCGCGAGCTGGCGTGGGAGCCGAAGAAGTTGGTTGACAAGTTGCTGCTCGCGGGCAATGGAGGTGTCGAGGAGTTGCTCAGGGGGGCGGCCTTGGGGCCGATGAAAGATCCTAGCAAGGTGATGCCCTCCGGATGGACTGAGTCGAGCGACTTGATAACAGACTTGACAGCGTTAAATGAGAGACCAGCTGGGTTGTCGGCCAATGCCGCCAACGGCCGGTCAAGAACACGCTCATCGGACCAAGAACGACGACGCCGTCCTGGAAAACCAGAACCTTGTGGTCCTCTCCCAAAGCGGACTGGAGCCTGGAGCTTGGTGATGGTAGATCTGGAGGAAATCTTGAGCGTCACCTTGCTGCCGTCCATCATGACAAGGGGACACGATGGGGTCCCGTTCGTCGTTGGGCAGTCGCGCGGTGGGACCTTCCTTGACAACAGGAGCGAGGCCAAACGTCGGCAAAGCAATTATGTAACTTGTACGGGGGCCCAACGTTGGAATTTCGGCGACGTCGCTGAGTCTGGTTGGCTTGACGTACTTTCCGGAGTGCTTGTAAACAATCACATAAAGGCAGAGGCAGACGGAGGCTAACGAGGAAGGTATTGCCGATCGACGGGTTGGGCTCAACTGGTTGGCCCATGAACAGCAGTGATGTTTGGATGTGCACAATGGAGAGGCATATATTGCCATCACTGGCGCTTGAAGGTGACGTAAGTCGGACGTCTCCATGTCGAGTGAATACAGCGGGCATGGTAATGAATATAAAACTGACACCGGGAATGTTGGGGTGGAGTGTTGATGGTCCATGCGTCCTGTGTGTGTGTGTACGTGTGTTGTGTGTGGCATGGTCCTGTACGCCAATCTTGGACCAGGCGAGGTACCCAGATATACGGGCATGCCCCATGCTGAACTGATTCAACCGCGCAACAGTCCAAAAAGACATCCACAGCATCGCAGACGAATGTAGCGAGTGGCTCACGGGCCCAACTACACAGTGCCACCTGTCCGTCCGCGGCCACGCACGCCACACGCGACGCACGTATTTTACCGAAAACCCCGACGTTCGCACCTCGCTCGCACCGTTTTTCGTCTGCTCGAGGTATATAACACGGGCAGGCAGCGGGGGTTGGTCTGCATCAAAAAAAGCATGGGCTTGTCTCTGCCATATTTTGAGAGCGCTACTCCTACGCTCTTGAAACGCCACGACGAGACTCACTAGACGAACGGATTAATGCCTCAGCACCATATAGGAAACCCGCGATTCTGAAGCCATCAGATCACGCGGGTGCTGGTGTGCTGATACACTCTTTTGTATTCCCCGATGGATTTTTTCTCTTTATAAAACCCACTTTGCAAACCCCCCTCTGTTCTATTGTGTGTAGCTCACTATATCACTATGGACGTCTGACCCGGCGCTTCCCCTCCTGTTGGTGTGATGACATATGGCATCGCCCGTTTCCATGCACGGCGCTGTGCGACTGGCCCCACGGAGAGCGATGCTTGGCATCTGTCTTTTCGGGGCAAAGGACAGAACGAGCGACGGGCGGGACCAGATATGAATACACGCCCGGTTTTGGTGCCTGGCCCCGTCCTCTCTCCAGAGTGTGCGTTTGTGTGAATGCTCTCGGTCGCCTCCACGCGGTCCAGGCCCTTCCTCGTGTTGCAACAACACCCATCTCTCTGGTGTCCTCTCCATCCTCCACCCCTTCTCCCTCTCATCGTCTCTCCTCGCCACACATCACACCGTCCCCCATCTCCTCTGGCCAGTGGCCTACCCAACCCCCTCATTAAACAGCGCGCTACAGCGCCCGCGCCAGCGTCGTCTCCAAGCCCCACACAAGGACACGGACACGAACACGACACCTTGCTCGACGCACACATGAATCCCCAGCTCGACGCGCGCGCACGCGTCCAGCGCTCCCCACTCCCCTATGTCCTCTCCGACGTCGACGTGCGCGCAGAGTCGTCGCGAGCCCAGCAGCGTGCGTATTTTTCGTCTCCCCCCCCCCCCAACGCCGCCGCATTCCAGGCCTGCCAACTCGGTTGAACTGCGCCCCGTTCCCGCTGCGCAGTCGTGCAGACACAAACCCACCCACTCACAGATGGCTAACGCAATCCTACAGGCAGGGCAGGCTTGATGCCACGAGCTCGTGAGTGCGCCATTGGACAGCGAGCAGCAAACGATGCATGGTGGTCGGTCCATCGAGCTGACACGAGAACAGCCAACCCCTCCGCAGCCGAGTTCTTCGTCCCCGGACTTCCGGGTGTGCCGGACCTCGCCAGCCATCCAACGTGAGTAGCTGCGATGCCCCTGCGGGTTGTGGCACACAAAACACTGACCCCCTTGCTCGCAGTCACCCCGTCAACCTGTATGCTGGCGAGCTGGCATCCTATCCTGGCGAGGGCAAGGGCGGTGGCGAAGGCGCGGTGGGAAAGGACGCGCAGATCTTGTGAGTTGTGGCTGCGGCGACGACGACGAGAGCACCCGGCTGACTACTGAGCTTTATGATGGCTCGTGCCCGGCGGTCGGCAGGTAAACAGCGTGTCATCTTTTGGTTCAACGGTGGCCCAGGCTGTTCGTCATTTGACGGCTCGCTCATGGAGGTCGGCCCCTTCCGCACTGTCCCCGCCAAGGAGACCGAGAGTGGACAGGCCGAGATCCGTCTCGTCGAGGGCGGCTGGGAGGAGTTTGCGACCATTGTGTTTAGTGAGTTGTTGTGCCGTCCTCTTGTCTCTGGGTGTTGCTAAACCGTCTCCCTAGTTGACCAGCCGCCCGGCACTGGATTGTCCTACGTCCCGACCGAGGGATACGTGCACGAGTTGGACGAGGTGCGTAACAACCGGGTCCCGGAATAGACCGTGTACTAACCTCCGCGTTCCAGGCGTCTCAACACCTCATCCACTTTATGACCAACTTTTACAAGGTCTTCCCCGAGCTCGACGGCGTGGATGTGAGTTTGGACTGGGATACGCCAGTGTACGCGATTGCCTACTGACGTCTCACAAGACCTACCTTGCTGGAGAGTCGTATGCTGGCCAGTACATTCCTTACTTTGGTAAGCTTGGGTTCCTACAGACACTGGAAGCTGACAGTCTCAGCGACCAACTTGCTCAAGACGGACCAGCTGCCCAAGCTCCAGTTCAAGGGTATCGCCATTGGTAACGGCTGGATCGACCCGCTGCGCCAGTACCCCGCCTATGCCGAGTTTGCGTACAACAAGGGCCTCATTAAGAAGGGCACCGACGCGGCCAAAGAGCTCGAGGCGGTCTTGGAAGCATGCAACGTCGAGATTGCAAAGTACACCGACCCCTTGAACACGCCCATCAACATCAACGTCTGTGAAGGTGTCATGAGCAGGGTGACGGATCCATTTACCGAGACGTGAGTCGGACAAACCCCCCTTGTGCAGTGATGCTGACCGGTGCAGACTAAACGGCAAGAAGCAGTGCATGAACATTTACGACATTCGCTTGATGGACGACTTCCCCGCATGTGGCATGGGATGGCCGCCAGACCTTCCGGACGTCTACGACTTCCTTGGCGTGAGCATTCCTGCCTCCGAATTAGTGCCCAAGCTGACAACCGTTTAGCGCAAGGACGTGGTGCATGCGCTGCACGCCGACGTCCATGTCCCCGCTTGGGTCGAGTGCGACGGCCGTGTCGGCTCGTCGTTGAGCAACCGCAAATCGCCCGCTGCCGTTCACCTCATCCCTGGCATTGTCGAGGCTGGTGTCAAGGTTCTCATGTTCGCGGGCGCCGAGGACCTCATCTGCAACCACGTCGGTATCGAGAACATGCTCGACGTCATGGAGTGGAACGGCGAGACTGGATTCGGCAACGCGACTGCCCAGAACTGGTACGTCAACGGCACCCAGGTCGGCACGTGGACCACCGGACGCAACATGTCCTATGCGCTTGTCTACGACTCGAGCCACATGGTCGGCTTTGACGTCCCGCACGTCACCAACGACATGATCATGCGGTTCATGGACGTTGACATTTCGCTCATGCCCGGTCTCACGGGTGCCACCACGTCCAAGATTGGCGACGACGAGCGCCCCGCCGTCCATTTCGGCGAACCCCCAGACGACGGCGGCATGCCCCTCCTCAAGGGCGGCACTGGCGACTGGGAAAGCTGGTACAACGCCATCTCGGCCGTCCTCATCCTCCTCACGCTCATCGGCATCGTCGGCCTGTACCTGTACTTCCGCCGCCGCCGCCTCGCGATGGGTGGTGGCCGCCTCGCGCTCGGCTCGTCCCGCCGCTCGCCGCGCGGACTCGGCCACGGCCACTCGCGCTCGGTTGACGACGACAGGGAGGAACGAGTGCCCCTGGCCGGCGCGGACGAGTATGAGCTCGACGACACGCTCAACGGCCATTCTGGCAGCGGCAGCCTCGACTCGAACGGCAAGGGAAAGGGCAAAGCTAGGGATTCGATGGAGGACATGGAGCGCGGCGAGACCGTGTTCGCCCTCGGCGAGGAGGACGACCATGAAAAGTGAAGTAGAGCACGGGAGAGGACGAGCGGCAGGCGAGAGAGGGGAGAGGAAAAAAAGGACTAGAACGAGGATAGGGATACAGACCATTTGTGTAGGAGCCCCCCCGATGGGTGGGTTCGATAGAGAGACTGTTCAGAATGCCATTTGTGCGATAGAACCACGGGCATGACGAGAGGAAGACGACCCCCGCGCCCCGTCGTGCGTGGTCGCACACTCGCCCGTCGACGAGCCCCAGTCTGTGATGCGTCATCAATCCTGGATCCTGGAGTTGTGGCATTGGGGTTTCCAGGATTTCCTAATCATGCAGGTTTCAGGCACGGTTAGCATCATCGTCCACCGTTATCGTTTCATCACAGGATCACAGAAAGCACAGCTATGTGCAGAGAACAATGCAGAAAGTAAAAAAAAAAGGCAGAATCTTGGTCCCATGTTGTAACCATCGATGTGTTGAGATTACGTAACCACTTGCGCCACTGCAGTGTGGCACCGAGCTGACCGGAGAACAAGGGTACTGCACCAATGCTGCTCTTTCTGCTTCTTCATTGTCCTCATGCTTCTCTGTAGTGCTCGGGCCTCCCTTCTGTGTGCATATAAGCAGCTCTGTAGACGTCTATGCATCCCCATCCTCTTCTGAAAGACAAACTGCCAGCTTAAGATGGCCCGGCATCTGCGTTTTATAAGGGCTGTTTTCATCCGACCCAGTATCGCTTTAGGCTGTGTCCGGACGATTGGTTAAGAGCTCTTTTCATATATTATTCAATCAGCAGTTTATCGAGATGAAAGGGAGGTGGGTCCTGGATTACCGCCACTGAAACTTTTTGCAATCGGCCAGAGGTTCGAATCTCCAGCTTTGTATTGCTTTTCGTGGTTGTACACGTTGTTTAATGGCTTTGGAATTGGGAACAGCTGTAATTCCGGCCATTAACATTACACGAGTTGATTGTCTTCTGCATCCGTCACACCATATACGTATGTGCCGGTTCTTTGCCCAGTCTTTACCGTCTGTGCCGACTGGTGCTCACCTCACGCCGCGAGCGACTTTGCGGCCTCGTCAATCAGGGCCGCGACGGCGTCGGGCTGGGACGCGAGCGACGCGTGGCTGGCCGCGAGCTCAATGGTCTTGCGCGGGTTCATGCGTTTGGCCATGCGGCGTTCGTTGTCGGGATGGATCATGCGGTCGTCGGCCGACACCTGGTACCACGTCGGCTTGTGCCGCCACGCCGGGTCCGAGACGGTGTTGCCAAACGTGCTCGCGAGCGGCGCCTTTTGCGTGACGCCCATGACGGTCGCGTCGCGCGCGTCGAGGTCCTGGCAAAAGCTCGTGTGGTACTTGTCGGGAACGACCCAGAGGAACCCGTCCGAGTCGGGCGCGAGGTTGGCGGCCGCGGCGGGCGGGTTCTCCTGCGTGATACCGCCTGGCGACTCGCCGGCGTCGGGCGCGAATGCGGCAATGTACACGATGCCCTTGACGGCGGCGTGGTTGCCGGCCTCGGTGACGACGGCGCCGCCGTAGCGTGGCCCACGAGGAGGACTGGGCGGCCGCCCTTGCTGGCCTGGTCGATTGCCTTTGTGATGCGGCCCGCGTCGTCGGACAGCGAGGTCAGCGGCACGTCGATGGCGTGCAGGTCGTCGAGCGTGTAGCCCTTGGCGGTGAGCGCGGTGATGACGTTTCCCCAATGCGCGGCTCCGCCCCAGAAGCCGTGGACGAGGATGATGACGGGTTTAGTGGATGCCATGGTGGTCGTGGAGTGTGCTGTATGGGGAGGAATGGGGATCGCAGTGGCAGGTAAGTGATCAGTTATATGGTAGCCTCCTGTGTGCGTGAACTGGGGAGACCAGAAGAACATGCTAGCCTCCCAACGTCCCAAGTATCCACACCCTCTCGACCCTCCCGATGCCTGCGCAGGTCACGTTTACCAAACACCTCTTCCCACGTCGGTTAACGCTCCCTGTTCTGTCGTCACCATAATCAGCATCCGAAGCGAGTTGATGGCGGAATGTGCCTTTTCTTGCTACATTGCATATATCCACTCCTGCCGCTGTAAGCTGGAGGGATGTCCGGCGCCGGCCACATGGCCTAGGCCTGGCGGCGTCGATACGTCGACGCAGAAAGGGCTGTTGACACTCCCTAACCGCTCCGTCATTCCGGCAGTTACATGAGCAGGTCGTGAAACATAACACGCATATACCTGACACATTCCGTCCGAACTTGGTCTAACAGCAGATCAGCACCTCTGTACCTCTGTCATGGTTTTGAGTTAATCACAGCCGGTTCGGCAGCTGTTTTCAGTACTGTGGACCTTGGATACTGCTGCCAGTCGTTACGGGTGCCCATTTGTTCGCCGCCTTGAACATGGCGTCTAGCACAATCAGATATGTCGGAGACCTTCACAGTTCAGTTCGTATGCTTGTCGCAAGGTGCTGCAAGTTGTATTGGGCTGCAGTGTGCCGTGTTTATGAGGGTACAAACCTCTGACTGCGGTGTCGTGGAGTGGCAAGGTGACTTGCTCGGATACAACCCAAAGCCTGGTATTAGCTCGTACCGCCCGGCCCGTTCAGCGCACCGGCACATGGTTTCCGGCAGCGCTCCTCCGTCCTGACGGCCCGCAGAGGCACTGCGGCACTGCGGGGCGTCCCACCTCGCCACATCTGTGCGGCGAGGTGCAAGGAGTACTGACGTGGCAGCACACACGGACGTGGAGGACCAAGGATGGGCGTCAAATCCAACGAGCCTCGAAGGTCACCGTCAGTAGCACGTTCTTCTGCGCCGAGCGAGTGCAGGCGATGGTTTTGCTTTGCGTAAGCCTGCGCCGCTCGTCCTCATCAAGCAACAACGGACTGCGATCACGACTGACATGCTCGCTCCCGTGGTCTCGCTCGGCGCCTTGGGTCTGTTAAATTTGGTTTGATAAAACTACCATGCAAATCATCTGTTCTACAAGGCCAATGGAAGGGGCCACTTCATAACGTTGTGTCTCCCTTTCTCTTTTTACTCCTTGCTGCTGCGGGTGGCACGCTTGGTGAGACCCGACGCCTCGTCCTCGTTGATCTCCTCGATCTTGGCCACGGGGGCGGCCTTGGTGGCGTCGGCCTTCTTGACGGCAGTCTTCTTGACGACGGTGGGCTGCTTGGGGCCGGTGGACTTGGCGGCGGCGAAGAGGCCAAGCAGGCCCGAGAGGAGGCCGACAAAGGTGCACAGCACGACGACGGCGGCGGCGATGACCTCGGGCATGGTCTTGACGGCGGCGATGGGGTCCTGCTGGGCGAGGGCGACAAACTCGTAGAACTTGAGGCGGGCCTGGTCGACAAACGACTCGGCCTCCTCGTCGTCCTCCGGGAAGGTGCCCTCGAGCTCGAGCTCGATGGGGCGCTTGACGCCAAAGGTCTCGTCGGCAAAGGCCTTGGCCTGGGCAACATCGTGACCAATGTAAATGTTGTCAAAGAGAATGTCCTCGGTCATGGTCCAGAGCTCGATACCGATACCGCCCAGGGGGGTGAGGTTGGCAGGGTTGAGGTCCTCGAACCAGTCGGGGTTGTCAATCTTGCGAGGAGCCCAGACACCCTTGTACTCGGGGTTGGGGATCTTGGGGGCGGTCCACTTGCCCTTGTACTCGGGGTTGCGGATCTTGGGGGCAGTCCAAGGGCCACAGCCAGAGACGTCGGCGCACTTGGGGTTGGGGACAGTGGGGCCGACCCAGTCGCCGTCCTCCTCCTCGTCCCACTCCTCGGGCTTCTCGGCGTCGGGGTCGGCAACCTCGAGGGGCTCCGACTCGAGCCAGTCCTCGGGAATGACGGCCTCCTCGTCGACGATGGTGATGGGGGCCTCCTCGTCCCAGTCGGCAGGCTTGACAGCCGCGACATCGTCAATCTCGGCAATGTCCACCCAGTCGGCGGGCTTCGAGTCGGTGGGGTCGTCAATCTCCTTGGGAGGGTTGACGGGAGGAGAGAAGTCCTCGAGGAGCGAACCAGCCGAGACCTCCTCCTCGTTGATGAGGATCTTGAAAGTGTTGTCGGGGTTGACAATAAGAGTGTAAAGAGCGGTGGTCTTGGTGAGCTTGGGGAGGGGGGGCTGGTCAAAGTGGTGCTCGACCCACTCGCCGGAAACGGGGTTCTTGTGGCGGAAGATGAAGTGGACCTTGTTGGTCTGACCACAGCGGTCGGGACCGAACATGATGGTGAAGGGGGTCTTGTCGGTGTACTCGCCGCCAGCGTGGAGCTCGGGGTTCTCGGTGAGCAGCTTAATGTAGGCACCACCGCACTCAAGGCCCTTCTGGAACTTGGCCTCGTACTGGATAACAAGGGGCTTGCCCTTGGGGTCGATGGGGTGCTCAAAGTTGGTCGAGATGGCGTGGTGGGCCGCCTTGGACTCTGCAGACGGCGCGTCAGTGGCTGTGCCATACAGATGTCGGGTCTTTTTTTCCTCTTCCTCTCCTTCTTTCCCTGGCGCCAACGAGGCGGGCATGACTCACTCAGGACAAGACCAGTGTCGCCAGTAATGGCAGGCAGGACCTCGGGCTCCTCAACAGCCCAGGTGCCGACGTACGAGAAGATCTCGTCGCCGACGGGGGTCTGTTTCTTGGCCTGCGAGACAGTCCAGCGCGACTGGGGGATCTGCTCCTGGAACTGCTCAATGTAAGGAGCCTGAATGGTGGACGCCTGTGTGTAATGTCAGCGACCTTGTTTGTGTGCACGTCCTCGCTTGGCCAGCGACCGCCGCAGCGGTGTGGGAGACAGCTGGAGAGCTGCCGACGACCAGAATCGCCGGCCGTGGTGGCCAGCGCCAGCCCTGCTGGCCTCTAGCTGTTGTTCCCCTCTCTTGACGCGTTCTCTTATGACTGGTTACGACACGTACCTTGAAGGCAACCTCTGCGGCGGCCGAGGCGGCGAGGATGAGGGCGCCGGTAGCGCCGGCGGTAACGACAGACTGGGGCTTCATTGTGCGAAAGGACGAAGAGTGTCTCTTGGCCGATTGAACAAGACGGAACGATGGAAGGGAGCGATGACGAAAGAGAAAGAAGAGGAATGGACACGGCGGGGGTGGTTGTTGTATGAATACGTGGAGGTCCCAGACGGATCTTCCTAATGAGTGCGTCAGACGAAACGGCCGGGGCAACGCGAACGGCCAACGCGCCACGTCGACGAGCCACGTGGGTGCGCGTTTTCAATGGCGGGGCAGATGGGGGGCCTATCTTGGGCACAACAGGTGTGGTAGGCCTACGACAAAGGATTGCATGCCTAATCACGTTTTTAGGCACGCATTCCCTCGCCCGGTGACGTACCTGGGGACAATGAGCGCTTCTCACGAGGGCAACACACGGGTCTGCTGCTCGCTCCTCCTCTCTCCAGGCCATCATCGTCGGGCAGTCAATCACATTGACAACTCGCAACATCTCTCGCTCTCTCTGACATCGTCCTATACTCCATCCAGCCCTTTCCCCTCTTTACCACTACCACCCCCGGGCACACTGCTGCCCCACCTTACCATGTCGGACGACAGCGCCCCTTACGCCGCCACCCACCCACACCCGGACCACATTGACATTCCTCCCACGGCCACCGGCACCATCAACGACTCCACCATGGCTGCCGTCGCCGTTGGTGCAGACGACGAGCACACGACTCTCCAGCCCAGTGGCGAGCGTCCTGCCCCCGCACGCGGTATCCTCAAGAACCCGATCCGCGCCACCTCGGACGGACGGGCTGACCGGTGCGTCCCCAATCCCGTTGCTCTGGACCTCTGTATATAGACTAACAACCTGCAGCCTCACTTGGGACGAGGCCAACATTGCCCTTACAGAGATCCAGAAGGACTCGCTCATGTGCGTTGTGAGAGAAAGAGAGGTGGTGTTAGGGACCATGTGGGCCCTCGCCTGGCTTCGGTTGCTGCGGACGCCCCCCGGATAATGACTCTAACGGCTCACCAGGAAGATTGACGAGCCCAAGACCCCGTATGTGCGATACGACGCTGTGAACGATGTGGTTTTGGGTATCGGAGGTACGTTTGACGGGAGCAAAGGATTGATATGGGCTGACCACTGTCGCAGAGGTGCCAGACCTCGACCTCGAGAACCAGGTGCCGTTCCCCCAGTCGCCCGCGGCGTCGTCGCACGCGGACAGGTGAGGCTTGACAGTCACTGCTGCAACTGAGCATGGGAAATGCTGACGGCCCGTAGCCCAACCCAGCTGCACCGCGAGCTCGTCGAGGCCAACACTCAGACCAACGCGCGCCGCGCGTCCAACGCCACGTCGTCTGGCTCGTCGCGCTCCGCCTCGTTCTCGCTACCCGACAAGCCGTTCCCTGTGCGTCCCGGCCAGCCCAGCTCGCCCTCGGCCAGCACGACTGCCATCCCGCCCCTTCCCCTGGGTGCGACCTACGCCAACACGTCAGCCAACACTGCCCCCTCGGTGGACGGTTCGGACGTGTTTGCCGACAGCGACGAGGAAGGCATGGACGAGGAGCAGAAGGCTCACAAGCGCGACTTTAACAAGAAGCGCGCAATGCACTATGGCCAGGAGGCGGCGCTCGCGCTCAAAAAGTCGCGCGAAATGGACGACGACGACGACGAGTCGGAGGACGCGGACGAGGACACTGAGATGACCGGCCCGCCCGTCCCTGCAATCCCCAACGGCGTGAACGGCGTCTAGGCGACGAGCGAAGAGTGAACACGCCACCTGTACACATATGCTGGCGGAGAGTGGGAGGGATGCCACACGTTATCCGCCTAGTTAATACCTTTTGAGAACGACTGCATGCTCGGAAAATGTACATTGAGATCTAGACGTTTTGTTGCGAGCCGACGGCAGAATGCGGGCAGCAACGGGAAGCAATAGTTTCCCCCTTGTACGTCATCCACCTGTGCCGACCCGCGTTTCCAAGCATACTCCCAGTGCGACGAGGGAGACAACAGTGTGAACATGTGTTTTGTGTTTCTCCATTTGCTCTCCACTCGCTCGCAATGGCCATGACTATACGAAATGGCTTGCCTCACCACGCTCGCAGGTTTGTGGCGGCCCGCCCAGTCCGACTCTTCATTGTCGGCCTGTTCATGGTGGTAATCGTTATCGGCCTTGGACTGCCCGTGTTTCCGGGCCACAACGCCGTCCAACCAGCCAGTGGCGGCTCTGGATGGTTTGGGAGAAAGAAGGTCGACGTCTCGCGTCTCCGTGTAGCTGTCCTCGAGCCCAGCATGTACCACGCCGGTGAGTTTTATAAACGGAGAGATGGTTGCTGTCTCAACCTGAAACGCGCGCTAACTGACTCTCCTCAGAGGTTGTTGCCGCCGTGCTGGGTGTGATGGACGACTTGAACACAGAGACGACCCTGTACGGTAAGACATCAACACCTCCACAGCTTAAACAACACCAACTGACATGGGGTAAACGCAGCACGGCAGGTCGAAGTCACGGACGCGCTCCACCAGATTGTTCACGGCTCATCTCCCAAGTGGATCACGGCACCGTGGGACCTTGCAGGTGCCAGCATCGCCTCGGGCGACTACGACGTTGCAATCATCACCACCTGCGACGTAAAGTTTTGGATGGGCGGCGGGGGCTCTGAGGAGATCCTCGACGACCTGCGCTTCTCGGCGAGTACCCGTGTCGTGTGCATCCCACACGAGATCGAGTCGTACGGGTACCGCATGGGCGAGGATGATTTCGGCATGGTGGGGACGTTTGGCCTTGGTCAACGACTCGACTATGTCACGCTCGGCGCACACTCGGCGCGAGCGCTCACACACAGCCTTCGCCGGTTTGCCAGAGACAACGACCAGCCGTTCTGGGAGAACACGCCCATCGAGTCGTTTGCGCCGGTGAGTGGCGTCTGCGCACCTGTGGCGGGTTGTTGCTGATCCAGACACAGGTGTTCGAGGTTCCGGCCACTGTACCCAAGAAGACACACAGGAAACAGGTCACAAAGGCTGGCATCGTGGGCCGCATCGACCTGGACCACCGCGACTATTCGCGTATACTGCAGGAGCTGGAGCAGTCCATTATGCGTGAGCTAAACTACCGTCTGCCTTGGGTTTCAGCTCACTCCCCAGTCAACCCGCAACTGTGGGGCTACGAAGTGATCCACCACAGAGAAGCCGGTGCCACAAGCTCAACACTGCGGCTGTCCAAGGTAGACGACGACGCATTCACGCTCCATCTCATTGGGTTTGCGAGCGACCGGCAGCCCATATACCCTGCCCTCTTGCTGGACGAGGACTCGCCCGTCGTTCACATACACGAGGGAGCGAGCACAGCCGAATTCTACACCCTCGTGCGCGACCTCGACGTCCTGCTGCCGGCATTTATCGACGACCTGTATGTGCAAGCCCGGTCCAGCGCGTCCATCCCCACAGCGGTCATTGCCGAGACGCCACTGCTCGCCAACGCACCCTTGTTGGAGGCATACACCTACCTCAACCCCATCAACTATATCCTCTCTCCGTTGGCATGGAGTGCGGTTGCGTCGTTGGCTACGTTGCGGCGGGGCGGCGATCCATGGGTCGAAGAGTTTGGCGCTGTGCCGCCGCCGGCTCCGCCACCTCTGCAGCCACACTGGTGGACGAGGAGGAGCGAGCAGCCCGAGCATTTCAGTACGTCGGAGGAGTACCGGCGCGCTCTGAGAAGCGTCAATGCCGAGGTGTGGCGACGGATCCTGGCCAAGGCGTTGCCCTAAGACGAGATTCGAGAGACATTTCGTGCAGCTTTATATTTCCCATGCATGATTACCCGTCGTCGTTATATACAACTGATTGCGTTCCTGTCTACATAAGCTTGAGCTTCTTGGCCACATGCCACGCCGCAACGGTCATGCCCTGCTTCTTGGTCCCGCGAACCACCTCTGCCATGACGACCTCGCCGTCCCAGTCCACCTCGCACGTGGTGCACCACTCGCCAAGCTGCGTGTTCGTGGAAGTGTACCGCGGGAGGGGCCGCTTCCTCTTGGACATTTCAGTGTTGAGAAGCGACGTCGCGCCCTGCGCGGCATAGTCCTCCACGATATCGCTGCCGGCCACGCTCTCGGCGACGGCGACAGCACTGCTCATCTCGGCATGCGCAAACTGGAGGATGGGGGTGAAGAGCGGTTCGATCCAGGCGCGGAGGTAGTCCATCGCCATGCCGTCGGTGCGGTCCTCCAAGGCTGGGAGCGGGGGCAGAGCAGCAGGGACGACGGGCTGCTTGGTGGCGTACGCGCCTGGCGTGGCCGAGTCGAGATAGTCGTAATAGGTCGACGCGACGCGCGCCTCAAAGACAGTAGCCATCACGCGCGTCTGCTGCTTGATCATCGCAGCGGCGTTGGGAGCGGCGTGCAGGGACGTGTCCAGCTCGTAGCGGCGCGCAATGTCCGCAAACACGTCGTTGTTGACTACCAGCGCCTTGAGTTTCTGCACACATACAAGGGTCAGCCCCACGGCCACTGCCACGGCCACTGTAAGTGCCGTACCCACCGTTGCACCGCCGCATGGGAGCCCCGGATACCTGTCGTTTGCCATGAGAGTCACAATAACGCCCACCAGCGCGTCGCCCACATGCGCGAGCTTTTCGTAGCCTTCCTTTCCGGCCTCCATTTCCAGCACCTCGTTCTGGCGCGGGGAGCCGTGGATGCTCGGGTGGGTCGTGGCCGCGACGAGCAGGTGGGGCGATGCAATGGGCGGGAGCGCCGGGAACTGGATCGAGTCCGGGATGGAGGCCGTGAGGCCGATGAGTGTGGGTGGGAAGGTAGGGGGCATAGTGGTGGAGCTGGATTCGAGCACGGAGACAAAGTGGCAATGTCGCAAGGACGGGACGCTGGCGCCGAGGAGGCAACGCAGCATGGGTTTATGTATCTGTCTGGGCCGGTAGCCGGTGGACGGTTGCTGCAGCTCGCATGTGTCACAGAAGGAGAAGGGAGTGTGAATAAAGCTCTGGCGCAACAAAGCGGACGTGTGTAGCGGTGTGAATGTGTGACGATCGCAGGGCGCCGTGCGAGCTGGCAACTCGACATGCGAGAAGGGAATGAAGAAGAATGAGAGTGTTGTTGTTGCCGGATGGGCGGGTATGTGTGTTGGATCCGAAGGTGGCGGCGATAGCTGAGACGTGTGGCATTTCCGTCATCATCTGCATTTTCCTCCACGTAGCGGCCTTCATACAACCCCCAAGGCCATGAACCTCATACCACGGCAAAGCGCAGGCTCTCTCTTGCAAGGGATGCATCTTTTGCTCTCCTATCTCCAAAACTGCACAGACAGCGACGAATCTCTCCTCATTCGCGAGTAACTAACATCGTCTCTTCGCTAGTATATCGGTTAGTATAACCGCCTCTCAATAGGGAGTTTCCTAATTGGAATATCGCGGTAGAGCAGGGTTCAACTCCCTGGCGGAGAAGCAGGACTGTCTGAAAGGACCTTCCCTTTTACCCTTTTTGGTTCTGGATAGGTGAAGAGATGAAGGACGCAAATGAACCTTTGGGACGAGAAGGTGGACGAGAAGGTGGACGAGAAGGTGGAGGCAACCCAGCGGATTGTCAAGCGGGGCTAGGACGGTCGCATGTCAATCGTGGCATGTAGTGACTATGTAGCTGGACACAGTCAGTTCCCCCGGACAAGACTGGCGCTTACTGTTCTGTCCTACGATCTTGCGTCTCTTGTGAACCCTCCCCGTGCGCCGGGCGACGCGGGGGTCAAGTCCGTTCGCGGCGCAGTACTGCGCTTGCTCGACTTGGGCCAAGTGGTGTTTCGTTGTGCACTGGTATTCCTGGCTGCCCCGCGTGGTGACCATGACAGGGACATTGGGGTTGATGACGCGGAGAGTAGCGTACTCGTCCGCTGAGAGCGACGTGACGACGAGGCCACGGTCGTCGACCACAGTCACGGTGGCGGGGTTTGGTGAGCGGGAGCTGGGGTCCTGGGTGTACAGGGTGAAGCGGTCGTGGCCGAGTTTGTGGCGATACTCGTCCAAAGTGTAGAAACGCAGCGTGCCAGTGGCTTGTGGTTGATTTTGAGCAAAGTCCCAGTCAACGTCGAGCAGGTATCGGTCGCCCGTCCCCAGGTGCCGAGTGTGATGGGCGGCAAGGACCGAGTCAAGGACGATGCGGCGGATCTCGGCTGCAGTGGTGTCACGGGGCAGGTTCATGCTCTCCCTCTGAATCTCAGTGACCCCGACCAAGTCCAAAGTAAGGCCACGAGTGTACTCTACAAAGTAGACTAGCCAGCTGAGAAGTGGCTGGAGGAAACCATAGTCGCAGGTAACACCGTCGATCCCCCGACGATCGTCCTGGCACGCACCCTCGGGGACGTACGCTGGTGGACCATCTCCTTGCTCTGTAGGCATAAAGATAACGACCACATGCTTGACCCGAGAGTGCGTGTACCACAGGTTTCTGGAACTCCTGAAACTCATCTGCAGGTGGTACTCGCAAAGTCCGATCCTGGGGTGGCGAGGGTCATAACGTATAGTCACGACATTGGTCCGAGCAGAAGAGAAGTGGGTGAATCCTTGATCGGGCCATACCCGCTGCCGAGGAGCGTTGGACCACCCATACTGGTTGGTGAGGGTCACAAACTCGAGACTCACTTTGGCATCCGGAGCGTGGGTTTCGCGGCTGAAAGGGCGGAAATGTAGGTCGTAAAAGTTTGGCAAGACTATGTGGTGGCGGCGAGTCAACGGTACGTTCTTGAGGCCTGCAGTCAACCAGTCAGAGTAATACTGGTACTCGAGGAGGTCGGCAATGACGGTATACGTCTGCAGGCGTTTCACCCATACCCCGTCCCGCACGACCGACTGGAGTCCCGGCAGACGGCTCCCACCAGGCGCAACGACCTTGAGGATGCCGTGTTGCCACTCTTGCCAGTTTCCCTTGTCGCTGTGGGTGACGACGACGTGGCGAAAGATGAGCTTGTGGGCGGAGTCACAGTACGTCTTTGACGTGCCCCTTAGTGCCAAAAGGGCGTGGCGAGGCGCATAGGACACGATCAGGTCCATGAGATGCGGGAACGCATTGGCGTCGAGTGACGGTTTGCCGTCGGTGCGCGGCACGAGCGGCATGGGGGTGTGCTGCCGCCGAACTGGGTGCACCTGCTGGCGTTTGCGCTTGGGCATTGCCCGAGGGAAGTGTTGATGGCCGTGATGATGATTTTGGGCGACGGAGTGGGCGACGGTGAGAAAAGAGAAGGAAAGTGGCAAAGGCGCGTGGCTCATATGTCAAAACAAGCTGGTTAGCTGGTTTGCCACCACCCAAACATCATCAGTAAGCAAGGTACCGGGTAGGAGGTCACTTGATGAGTCGGGCCGAGACCATCGTCAAAGGGAGCTGCATGTATGCAACCTCTTAAATGGTTACAAATCAGTCCCAACCTGGTGGACCGATGTGCTACATGCATGGTCCAGCGCACCCAAAAGACGACGGTGACTCGTTACCCGGCGCCACTGAACCCACCCCCAAGTCCCAACGATCGCAAGCTTCAGGTCGTGTCTATACATCAAAATAACTAAATTAAAAGCTCCTGCCACTAGTTACTACCTTTGACTGCTAGTTACTGTTAATGACAACGGAAAGAAATGTTCTGTCGTTTTGCGCGGGGCGTGTATTTCGTGCCCGGGGGGGGGATGGGGACGTTTTCACTCAGACAAGCGAGCCGGCCGGGGCAGCCTTCCACTGGGGAGGCGGGGAGTTGACGGGGTACCCGATTGTGGTGCCCGCGCCCTTCTCCTTCTCCACGCGAATGTCAAACTCGAGTGCGCCGCTGGACTTGTACTCGATGGAGGCATAGTTGCGGCGGGCGAGGACGTAGGGGCGCTTGACATGCGAGCCATCCGTGTCCTTTTGGAAGACGTCGACCATGTCCTCGTCGGTATGCTTCCTGTGGAGGGTGCGGTGCTTGTGGCCACCGAGCTTGGCGACGAGCCACGCAACGGGTCCGGGGGGAGGGGTGTTGACAATGGCCGAGGTGATGACGTTGAGCATGTACCGGTGGTCCGTCTCGGGCCCACCCTCCTTGTGCTTGTGGGTGAAGAGACGGCCCACGGCACACAGGTGGACATCACCCGAGAGGAAGGTGATGCGGAGACGCTGGCGGAGGGCAATGTCCTGCAGCTGAATTACAAGCGCATTACGCTCCTTCTTGTGGACGTTGGCGCACCAGTGGTCATTGAGGTCGTCAAGAAGCTCGGGTTCCTTGTCAAACTTGTTCACGAGGCTACCGAGACCCAACGCGTTGTGCCTTGCGAGCATGATGGCCGGGTTGTACTTGAAGCCAAGGAAGTGTTCGAGGAACGACATGCGCGGGTACGCAATAGGGACACCGAGGAGGAGCACAAGTTGCTGGACCGTGGGCGGGAGCTGCGAGATGGCGTAGAATGCACCTTCGTAAGACTCCTTTGAGACAATCTGGTGGTAGGTACGTTCAGCACGGCAGTCGAGGGCCATGAGGGCGACGTTGGGACCGAGGTAGACCATGAGCGAGTGGGCATGAGACTTGATGTAAGGGCCCATTCCACCAAAGAACAGGGAAGGGATCCAGTGGTTGCCAAGCGAGTAGTCGACGCCGTCAAAAGCGTCCACGGTGAACAGCTGGAATGCCAGGTACCAAAAGTAACCGCGGTTACCGATGAGGGAGAAAATAGGACCCTTCATGGTCGCGTCGTCGTAGGTACCGAAACCGTCAATGAGGTCGTGGTCGTCGAGCATGTTGACCATGGGGATGGTCGAGTTGGCCTGGCAAAGCCGTTCGAGTTACGACCAAACATCTTGCAGTAATGCTGGAAGTAGAAGTGGTCGATGGCCTTTTCAATATTGTCTGTAACTGGCATCGTGCGCTTGGTCTTCTTGTTCGGCTCGTGCAGCCATCCTGAGACGTCAGTTGTCTGAACGGAGAGCTCCAACGTACCTTGCAGGGAGGGCTCAAACGAGATCAGGTCGCTATAGATCTGGTCACCGCCGCCGACCATACAGTGGTACGGCTTCTCGGCGTGCTTCTCGAGCATATCCATCCACAGAGGGTCAAAGCCAGACTTGAACTTGCTGGTGCGGAACTCCTTCTCCTTGACACCGAGCGACAGGCCTGGGGCAAGGGTCAGCGCCACACGGTTTGCATGTGGTCGGTCGGCTTACCGTTGCAGCTGTGCGAC